CCCTAACCCTAACCCTAACCCTAAGGTAGTCCTTAATCACAGCTGACCGTGACTACATGTATCTTCGGAAAGCGTGCCATCGGCGTGTATGCAGTTTCTCGAACATCCGCAGGCCAAAGCTTTCCTTCCGCAGCCGAAGTTTTGCCTTCCCCGCATCCTCCACTCTCCTCTCCAACAAGACCGTAGACTATTATTCTGCTACTCAATCTATTCTTCTCTCACTCCATCTCACTTCCTTCTTCCTACTCCAGGCGTGCTTGACATGCCTCTGCCTCCACACCGCCGCCGGGAGATCTAAATGTTCCTTTGATGCGAGCCGCTCTGTCACATTGCGTGCATCTGGCCCCGGCGTTTCCAAGACCGCCGAGAGCGCCATGCCAACGCTGCCACCAGCAGAAGGTCCAGTAAGACGGCCGCTTTTCACAACACCCGGCGAGCAGCTGCTGGTGTGTGCGACGCCTCTCACGGATGAATTGCGATCCAAGCCTTGGATGCTTCAATCTCATACTGCCGGCATACCATCGAACGCAAGCTAGGCCTGTCAGCACAGCTGTGGTGCCTCGCGGTCGCGGATCCAACCCCTCCCCATGGGGAACAGCAGCACCGTTTTCGTGCCAGTGGGCGTTCGAGGCCCAGACATCCTTACATGAAGGCAGTCTTGGTGGCTTTGCCAACGTCCACAAGGACGAACATGTTCTGGCCGCTTCGATGATGGCCACGACGACGAGGTACCCATGGCACGGCTGGATAAATGCCGCGCTCAGCTCTGGTCCTGATTGACATGCTGTGCGTATATATAGCGATTCCCTGCCGCTGCATCAGGTTGGTTGTTGTCAGGTCCTTTACCATACTTTTCCTACTCGTTTGCAGCTCAGCATGGCAGACCTCCCCACTGAAAAGGTCGCTGATACCACCGTGCAGCCCGACTCATCATCTGACGAAGAAGACAAGCTGAGAGAGGTCCTGAAGACTGAGGTTCTCCGAGATGAGAACGATCCTGATAATGGCAAGACGCCTGAGGAGCGCGCTGCAATTGTATGCACCTGGGAGAGATCTTCGGTCCTTTCCACACCGCCTTCTGACAGCCATTCTACAGGACAAGACGTTGATGCGCAAAGTCGACCGATGGCTCATTCCTTGGATGTGTCTGCTCTACCTTCTGTCCTTCCTTGATCGCACGAACATCGGGAACGCCCGAGTCGCGGGCATTGAAGATGACCTGGGCATGGAGGGCCATGACTACAACAACACCCTGACCATCTTCGTATGTGGCCGTGTCTCTACTCATCTGCGTTGCCGCTTACGCATAGGTAGTTCATCTCCTACGCCCTCGCCGAGCCCATGACCAACGTTCTCCTTAAGCGCATGACGCCCAGGGTCTTCTTCACATCGATCATCGTAGCGTGGGGTGTGGTCATGACGTTGATGGGCCTCGTCACCAGTTACGGAGGCTTACTTGCCGCGCGTTTCGCGCTTGGTTTGGCGGAGGCTGGCCTCTACCCAGGTTGGTACATCGCCCGTTGAGCTGCTTCCACGACCCGCTGACCGCTCACAGGCGCCAATTACTATCTGTCCTGCTGGTATCGCCGCAGTGAGCTCGGCATTCGTACGGCAACCTTCTTTGCCATGGCCGCAATCGCGGGCTCCTTCGGTGGACTCCTGGCAGCCGCCATCTCGCTGATGGACGACATTGGTGGCAGAAAAGGATGGGCTTGGATTGTAAGAGCTTTCTAACGGAAACATCAAATTCACGCTGACAACCACTCAGTTCATTCTGGAAGGTATAGTGACTACCATCGTCGGTATTGCGAGTTGGTGGATGGTGTTCGACTGGCCAGACACTGCACGCTTCTTGAGCCCCGATGAACGCATTCGAGTCCAGCGCCGCCTCGCCGCTGACAACCAAACCCATACATCGGAGCAGTACGACAAACGTCACATCATAGCCGCCGCCAAGGACTGGAAGACGTACGCTTATGCTGTCGTCTGGATGGGCAATCTATGCCCTCTCTATTCCTTCAGCCTCTTCCTCCCAACCATCATCGCTGGTCTCGGTTACGAAGGAACGACCGCACAGCTCATGACCGTACCCCCATACGCCGTCGCAGCTGTCTTGACAATCTTTGTCGGCTTCCTGGCTGACCGTACACAGCAGCGGGGAATCTACAACTTGGTGTGCGTCTCCGTCGCGGCTGTAGGCTTCATTATGCTACTCGCAACCCCAAACCACAACGTACAGTACGCCGGAACTTTCTTGGCTGCAGCTGGCATTTATCCGACGATACCAAACTCTCTCTCGTGGGCAGCAAACAACTTCGAAGGTGTCTACAAGCGGGGAGTCGTGATTGGTACTATCGTGGGCTGGGGCAACCTTAACGGCGTGGTTTCGTGCAACATCTATCTTGCTTCCGAGAGCCCGCGATTCTGGACCGGACACGCAGTGGTACTCTCATGGCAGATCTGCTTCTTGCTCGGCGGAACAGTCTTCCTACATATCATGCTCGGGCGGGAAAACAAGAAGCGTATGGCTGGCGAGAGAGATTATCTGATGGAAGGCAAGACCGCTGAGGACATGGTGTTCATGGGCGATCAGCGTCCGGACTTCATCTACATGCGTTAGACGGAGTGCTAGCGAAGAAATCTTGCATTGGTTCCAGGTTTGGCACCTTGAGGAGTCTTGAGCCAGACATCAGATCTTTGGTGCCTCACAATGGGGGAGGAAGTAGTGAGTCGATGTTTCTAAACAGAGCAATGTTGCGAGAAGGGAGCTTTGGACACTGAGCTCGCTATCTCTTCTGAAGGCACCGTCTCAATCCACAGCCGTCCTCATCAAGAGGGCTGAAGGAGTTGTGCGATCGTTCAAGCGGATCATGAGGACGGCTGGGCTGCGCATGCCTCGACGCCAGTGGTAGGGGCATATAGATTTCAGCCACCCAAAGTGCAGACCTAGCTCGCAGGTCCTTCCCATCAAATTTGTGTGACAGCTCGACTTTGCTACTCGACGTATACCAAATCAATGCAGAATGCAGATGGCACTTCTTCCAAGGCACGATTGATGGCGTCAGCCGACGAGTGCACGTCAATGCTGTGAATTCACATTACACTGTCGATTGCTTACAAGTTGCAGTCCAAGATGTGCGGAGGCCGGAAGGTGAAATCAGTAGATGGTATATGTAGTGCAGAGATGGACAGCGGTGTATGATCAACGGGAGTGTTTCGCAATCAATGTCATGCTGCAGTGCTAGTACCCACAAACAGCAAAGCTTCAATGCAATCATGACGGGTATGCTATGTATCTCACTCCACAGATGCCTCCTCGATCTTCCTCACAATTCAGCTCCACCAGCAAGTTGCCACTCCATATGAACATAACCGCCACCGTGCGTATGTATCTCTATCCTGTAGACCTTCAACTGTCCTACGTGGTCCTCACCGTTCCCAAACCCTGCGCAATGTGCCGGTGTCTCGTGAGCATGTCATATCACGTAGCGGAAGAAAGGGCTCTTGTCGCCCATCCTCGTCAACTCATCGTCGCTGTACTTCGCCCGAATCTCTTCGGCAGACATGGCATCCCTCTTTCTGTTCTGGTTTCGGTATGCGAGCGCGAGCAAACCAGCAGAGGCAATCGCGGCGCAAAGGATGCCGAGCTGTGACCCTTACAGTCAGTATGGGGATGAAAGTGAGAACAGAAAACTGGGCAGATACTGACGCATAAGCCATATCCCAACGGATAGCTTGGAGCCTGAGCAGCAATAAAGATGTTCGATCCGACAAGCCCACCAAGATTGGCGCCGGTGAGAATGAATGCCATACCAATAGCACGCTTCCAGGACGGTGCTAGGTTGTTGCCAGTCCAGCTGAGGATACTCACAATTCCTGCATAGGCTCCAACAGGAATGAAAAAGAGGAAGAAGAAAGTCACGCCTTCGTAGCCTCCCGTTTGTGGGATGGCAAGGAGGGCAACGCAGCCGACCACGGCGATGGAGTAAGGGCCAGCCACAAAGACCCATCGAATTCCTAGGATGCGAACGAATCAGCACATGTCCCACAGTGACCAACGGCTGTTACCATCAGTGCACTTACGGCGCTTGTCGGCAAGCCAGGCAAACAACAGGACGCCCAGAAAACCAGCCACGAAGAGAGGCATGGTGACCAACTGGGCGATCGCATTCTCATATCCAAGACTAACAACAATTGTAGGGGCGGTGTAGGTGAAGGCGTAGATGATGATGCTGTTGCCCCAACAGCAGACAATCGTGAGCCACAGCTTCCAGTCCAGGAGGACCCCGGTCAGAGATTTGACCGAAAATTTGTCGTCGTAATCCACTTGGCCGGCTGCAGTGCCAGCATCATGCTCAAGCCGCTCCATCAAATGGTCTTTCTCCCATTCTTCAAGGAAGGAGGCCTTTCTCGGAGAGTCTGGAAGGATGAACGGTACACAGCATCCTACCAGTACGGTGACGATGCCTTCGAGGATGAATCTGCACGTGAAGGTCAGTTATATCGTGACACCCAACAAGTACTGAAGATGTAACTCACATCCATCTCCATCCCTCCAAGCCAGCGACACCGTCCTATGCCAGCGTCAGCTTCTACTACATGTGACTCGAGCCCAGAAAGACGCACCATCTGGACGATCCCATACGACAGCAAGCCTGAGAAAGCTCCAGAGATCGCAGCACCGCCGTAGAATATCGCCATTCTTCGCTGAAGCTCGAACCGGCAGTACCACGTTGTGAGCAGATAAGAAGCGGCAGGGAAGAATCCAGATTCTGCCACGCCGAGCATGGTTCGCGTGGCAAGCAGACCGTGATAACCCTGAACGATGCCCTGTAGAGTCATCACTGTACCCCAGGCCAGCATCAAGATCGCAATCCACGTGCTGGGGTTCAGAAGTTTGAGGATCATATTACTCGGAATCTCCAGCAGAGCGTATGGAAAGAAAAACACCATCAAGGCATAATTGTACTGGGGGCCGACGAGATTTAAGTCCTCGCTCAGGCCGGCAATGTTTGCGTTGCCCATATTGCTACGGTCCAGGAAGGACAGAATGTAGAGAAGCACAAGCACCGGGAGCAGGCGGGTGTCAACCTTGCGTAGGATCCGGTTCGTCTCTTTGTCGTGGTAGGAAGGCAGCTGTGTTGTGCATCAGTGCTGCTCCTTTCGTTCGATGGAATTGGCAATTGGGTGCACACACGGCATGCTCAGCGAGTCCTGCATCATGGGAGTCAAGCCCTTCAACCCTGTCCAGGTGCTGTGCCTGTTCTTTAACCTCCTTCTCGTTGGTAGTCATGATGGCTACGGCTCTATCGTAGGCGTGATTAAGCTATGAACTGAGCAAGCTAGACGGAAGAGACGTGGAGATAGTAGCAGCGAGAAGGCGCTTTTATGCCAGGCATGCCAACAATGGTGCGGAGATGTCGCCAGCTCGGCTCTCGCTCTAGGCAAGAGACTAGACATGTGCGCGGCACATGGCATTGTCAATGTTCGTAGAGAGATCGGTCTGGACCGAGGGCAGATACACCCCACACTCCGCATCGCGTGGAGCAAGTTCTGGGGTAGTCTTACTAGTTTCTCGGTACTTTCCTTGGCAACATGTTCCGGGCGACAAACGCCGACCGGCTTGTAAGAATGGGACGTATTAAAGCTAGCTTCCTGGATCCTGCGACAACCGGAACAGCGGCCTGAAGCTCAAAGGTCAAGTGGAAATTTGGAGCAGCAGATGATGCTCGATCTGTAGAAACCTGGTAGTGAGTCCGTTCTCCTCATCGCGGGACAACCGGAAGAGCGAGCTATTTGAGGCTGGCGTAGATAGTTCATCTCACTGCCCAATGTGTTTGATGTAGCACCATCACAAACAGCTCACGAGCTCTTATAAGCACCCACAGTGGAGCTTTAGGACGCTGGCCGACCTTTGCTTTTCAATCGCCTCTCGTCTATCCGAGGTCATTGGCATATTTTTATTCTCTCCAGATTGGAAGACATTATCCCAGCGTCCAGAAGTAGCCATCCGGCATTTACCATGCTAGAAGTATCGCGGCTGCGATCTACTGTATGTCCTTGCATGATGATGTTAGGACGCTTCTAGGCTTCGAGAGGATGATAGCAGCGGTTCAGCCAGTACACCTGAGGGATGGAGAGCCGGTGTACCGTAGGACTGCACCTGTTGGCCTTCCTTTCAGACCGCCCGTAGAACTTGAAGTCTGGCGTAAGAAAGTGGTAGTTGCTGGGAAGAGCGGGCACATTAAGCGGTGCCGCTGATACCAGAAGTCCGGTATGCTGTGTAGGGAGACAATCGCCTCACTTTGATCGACCTCGAGATACCAGGACTATACGCGGCCATGAACCCCAGGACTGTCGACAGAGCGATGGGCGAGCTGGATATTTTTCGACAGCTCAGTCACCTTCTTGGGAACACTTCAAGGCTCCACAGGTTCGAAAGCTTTGGCACGACTCATCCACAAGATCGCGCGGTGGGTTCCGCTCGCCTCCCGGCTTGTACCTGTTAGCAGAAAACACGTTTTGTGGGAAAAGGAAGATGAAGTTGAGGTTGGAGCGATGTGTTGGAAAGCGTGTGTAACCTTACGAAAACGGGACAGAGCTGTTGTAGCGGTTCAGCATCCCTTGATGGAGTACGGGTCATCTGTCACGATGTCCCGGTCTCCCAGCAGGCTGATACTTCTGGATCGTTCTGCACATGGTAGTCTGCACACTGAGCAGGAGGAAGAGTGGCCTTTTGAATCCTTGATCACATGAGGGGTAGGAAGATTCGGCCCTGTGTGCAAATGGCTTTCCAGTTTCCAGGCGCGGCTGAGTGTTTCTAGCGAGCTAGGCCATACGGTGCTTCAGCTACTCAACCCCTTGGTATGACCGGCAGCAGCACAGGTGACGGTCTGAAGCGTCTCGGCAGCTTGTAAGCCGCAGGTCTGCAGCAGAGCAGCGGAAGGGTCGAGGTAGTGCGCTGAGGACATAGCAGATCACCAAATTCAATCCTCCGTCTCGGACGCAGTCTCCACCCAAGCAGCTGGACAGCTTCAATGAGACATATGAAGCCGTGGTAGATGATTAAATCCGCACCGAGAGGATCTGAAGACTGGATGGGAGATGGGAGAATGGGAGAAGTTGCTTCGGGTTGGTGTTGTACATTGGCTCGATTGGTAACCCGGTGATTCATATTCATACGCTAGGAGAAAATATCTTCCTCTCCGTTGGGCCCTTCAAATGCCACCACTTCCCCTCTCGCTGTCGTCTGCAACCCGCTTGTGAGCCGCCATGTTGGGGAGAATACGGGCTTTGAAGGCTTCGGCGGCAGGCAAGTCTTTTGACGGACCAGTTCATCCTTGCTGGAGCTTCAGAGGCGTCGTCAGCTCCAAGCTGCACTGCAGTAGCTCGCCTAGCAGAAGAACAAGAGCGCGGCGTGCATGAGGCGATGCTGAACGGACCTTGGACCTTCCTCAGAGGTAGAAATGCCATGAGTATGGCTTTCTTGCCGCGGTAAATCTCAAGGTTACCCGCGGGTGCGAGCAACGAGTGCTTGGGCCAAGGACGCCAAACTACGCGGGCGTTGGTGTTGAGGATGCGGCAAAACACGTGTCCATCGCAATTGGATGCTCCGCTGGACTCTTGAAGGGCAGGACTGTCCAAGTCTCCGTCACTATTAGCTATGCACAGCCCCACAGCTCCAGACTTACAGCAGCCATTGCGGGGGCATTGGAGTACTGGTCGCGTAGGGCAGCTTCTACACAAGAAGGATGTTCAAGCTGAAGCGAAGGATTGGAGGACATCGGCCTTCGCCGCGGGGCGGTTGGTCGGCCTGGGTATGTCCACAAGTTCAGCGTCTTCCCGCCTACACCATCAACGGAATCGCAGCTGGATGGAGCAGTCAAGTGCTGCAACCTCTCATCCCCGTGGACTTTGCCGGCTCCGGAAAGTACGTTTTCACTGCATGGCTTCGTGATCAGGCCGAGCAGCAAGGCATCCTCTGCATCGGCGGCTTCGCTACATCAATGCTCGTGCAAACCTTCCTCATCGCTAACCACGGCGTTGGATTGAGCTTTGCCGGCTGCTTTTTCGTCTCGCTTGGGCTCTCGACATTGATCGGCGGGGGCTTTACATGGCTCGGCATCAAAAAGCTCTCACTACGACAAGTAGGGATTTGCAACTGGGATGCAGATTGCCATTGGCAGCGCTGCCGGTGCGGCCTCACCGTTCAAATATAGCGCAAGCGACACGCCTACCTATGATTTGTCCATGGCGCGACGATCGAGCTGCTTATTCTGACGACAAGAAGAAGTCGACTGGCAGAGAAGATCGCAGGGCGGAGGCCTTGAGCGAGGAAAGTGCTAAGCTGAGAGAACTGAGTACACATTTCGGGCTCATGCCGGTGAGATGTGGCAGCTTCAAGACCTGAACTCCACATGGGTGGTTTCATATGCACATGCACCTTTCTGACTAAATATGACCACTCGATCGCCAACTAGCTACCCACATTCCAAAGCATAATCTAGGCACCCCAGCGAATCGTCCATGGCTTCTCAGCAAAAGAGCAAGCCCAATACTCCCCCAAATGTCTCGGACGCTCACACCATCGTCCGCATGCTACATGTCGCCTAGAACATCGTTTCCGATCACATCTCCTGCTGCAGGCCCCCGAGTTGACACGTTTTGTCTCGGTCTGATTGTTGCAAGTCCATCAAAGTCTGATTCAGCTTTGCCTTCACGAACTCTCTCTTCTCCTCAGAGAGACTTTCTGTCCATGCCTCGGTCGCCCGGTACATGCTGCTGTATCTGGCATAGACCTCATCGACTACACCCAGGGCGTTCATGACGGCTTGGTACAATTTGGCTTCTTCGCGGTTCACGTCCTCATTGTTAACCTTCTGGCGTGCTTCGTCGAGAGTAGTTCTGGTCTGCCCAAGGGTTTCGTTGTCACATTTGCATCTGAAGTCAATGTAGATCATGCACTTTGTCTTCGAAGAGGCATTGTTGAATTGGGTAGAGCCCATCGCCAAGCCACGTGGAGCAGACTTTGTGCTGTTTACATGGCCTCTCGGATCTCTTCACGCTCGGACCTCGTGAAGATACCACCCGTCATCGTGAAGGCGTGGGGAGGTTCGGAGATGTTGAGTGGGTGGATCGAAGGTGGTTGGTGGTATTGATGGCGGAGATGTCTCAGCGTGGCAGTGGGCGTGGATGTCTGATCGTGATCGTTATGTTCGATGTTCGAGAGGTTTGAGAGAGCTATGCTGGGCGGGAGAAAGGTTTCGAAGAAGTGTATTCAAAGATGCGAAGAGTAGAGTGGAGTGGAGGAAGAGGAATTTGCTCGAGAGTGCCTACAGCTTATATTCGCCTTTCCAGCGGCTGGTTGCTGGATGTGAGCTCCAAGTGGGATATCGATCTTCCATTCACTGAGCGACCGATGGCTCGATTTCCAATTCACGGGCGCCAACATTTCCCGCCGTGAACGAGCTGAGGGTGCAAACTTCGCGTTGAATGCGACCGTCTTTGCCGCTTTGCAGTCCGTTAGCGCATCCGATCGCGGTCGTTCGATCAGCATGGTGTCACTGCGTCGCAGTCAATATCTTCCCGCGTTGCGAATGTGGATAGACCGACTGCGTGAATGAAGTATGCCCCCCGTCATCACCTCGCCCGCGCCATAAGGCCGGCCTTGAGATTGATCACAGTGGCCAGTGTGCAACCTCAGCCCAGCTTGGCTATCTCGGACCAGGCGCAGTTGGGAAGCAGGGAAGCAGGCTGATCGAAATGGTTACACTCATGGTAGTGGCGTACAGAATCCAGCATCTCGAAGAGTACCGGGTCGGTGCAGGCGTGAAGGTAGCCCGCTGATACCAAAGCCATTTCCAGCCTCCGGGAAGTCGATGCCGATCTGGTGTCACGAATGCATTTTCATGTGTTTGATGAATGGAACATTCAGATGGGCATGGTGCGAGCACTACCAACATGGGAAACCGAGGCCTTTGTCTGCTGATGGGTCGGTGTCAGTGTGCCGTCTTGTACGTCACACCGGTGCTACCAGAACTTACGTGAGGCCGCGAATGACAAAGAAGATGCTGCCAACTTCTCAGGTAGTGAGATGAGTGTGCAAGGACGCTCGATGTGTGGGTACGTGCAAGTAGGTGGAAGGTGCATTCCTGAGAAACTCTTTTTACCTTTCCTTGCACCCACTTCACCCCGTTTTCGAGGTTTTCATCGGCGTCTCCAACATCACCACGATGGCGCGGTCACTCCAGTTTCTCGTGCTCGGCATCACTGGTCTTGCAGCTGCGAAGACAACCTGCTCTGAAAAGGCAACATCAGCGACTCCTACACCACAGCTGAGTTGCACGACGTCCTCAAACTTCCGCCTCGTTGCAGACGTCATCTCCGGCGACCTCGCCCCCTCCATCCAAGACTGGGCAGTCTCCTCATACCACATCGGCGCCTGCTATGACTACGCCATACTTCAGCCCAATGACGGAAGCTCACCAGACTACAGCCGCGCCTTCTATGTCAACGGCACGGCTGCTGATGCAAGGGACAAGACCAGCGACATCATCACCGATGGCGCAACACCACCAGTGCCGTATGGAGTCATCATTCCATCTGCCAACGAGACCGACCAAGATGACAGACGCCCTGTTCAAATCAACTGCGGCTATGGTACTGCCGGTGTAGTCGTCTCACGCGGCTCAAGCATGAAGCCTCACCTCCGCTACGTCGACAAGACTGCTGATACACGCTTCGGCGGGTGGTATGCGTGCGACTCTGACTTGCCGTACGGGCCTGCGGTCGTGCTATACTATCGAGACCGCGAGGAAGCCATTCCAGAAGAATGTGCAGAGCTCACGCTGTACACGCAGTGGTAGGTTTGCAAAATTGCCATACAAACTCAAGACTGACTGCTTGAACAGCATCGAGCATGTCTCGACCGTCGACGACAACGCAAGGCCAGCACCTTGCGAAGAAATCATTGAGGATGAGGACTGAGGAAGAAACCACCCGACCCTTGGGAGGTAGCGAGACGGTTCGTGGGGAAGCGGACGTGCATGCGCCCTCGGTGGTTGCGCAAGGCCGAGAGCTATTTCCAGTCGCAGATTCGAGACTTCAGGCCTGGTCCGTCTCCGTGAACCGGGCTGGGAGCATTGCGCATAGATCATTCAATGGACAATTCCCTCCTGTCTCACATGGCTACAGCCTCCTCGGGGAGGGGAGGCCAGCGTCCTTCATCTTCTTTCACCTCACGTCTTCCTGCTTCCTGTCTTTCGCATTCCTTTCTATGAACTACCTGGGTAACCTTCACGTCTTCTTACTTTAATCGACAGCCATGCCTTTCAACATCCAACCCGTCCGACCACTGAAGCGACGCGCCGCCGACGACGACGATCTCTACTGCGCGCCCGTCAAACAGCGGCGCATGGACTTCGACATGGACGATTCTTCGAACTCTACGAGCAGCATGGACCTCGACGAAGTGCGCCTTTCTACGCGCAATGCACTAGACTACCACTCAGCGAGCCCCGAGCCCTCCAACCTCCAGAAATGCTACTACGGCCCGGGCTTGATCGCCTTCCCCCACTCCCTCGAAGTCTTCAACAAGGCCAGCAACAACTGGTACTGGAACGCGTCCTGCTTCCTCAACAACCGTGCTCTGGACACCGTCGAAAGCAACCAGATCTGCACCCACTTCCAGAACCGCTGCGGCTGGTCGCCTTCTCCGGGCAATCTGCCCGCGATCCAACTGGGGACGAGCGAAGACATGATCGGCCGCTCGACACCACGCTTCTCCACCTTCGTCGTCTTTCCGAACATCAGCGGCGGGGTCGTGCATTCAGAGGAGTTCATGCGCGCATGGACGGACTACGTGATGGTGCCTTCTATACTACACGCGGCGCGGAGACGGGAAGGGTGCACCTACGGCGTGCCCGCGTACGCGCGATCATACCGCGGCATCAGGATGGCGAGCGACTGCCAGCGAATAGTCTCAAACCATGAAGCCCCGGAGACGCCGGTGTCGATCAAAGTACGGTCAGATGAGCTGGGAGATCTGTGGCAGAATATGCAGAGCATCGTGAACAGAGACCCGGTGCTGTGGGAATTCCAGGACGCGTTCTTGGTGGTGGTAGCGGGGCAGGACTCAGAGACGGGCATGGAGTGTTACGGCTCGGATCTGCGGTCGTTCTGGGGACACTTCAGCATCAAGTTCGACCGCGTGGTGAACATGGACCACGTGCCGGCGGATTCGGTGACGATATCACCCAAGGTGTACTATTCTGGACTTGATAGTGTTAGATTAGCTTGCTTGCCGTGAGTTGGCGCAAATGTACAAATAGTGTATCAATGAATCAACCGCACCTTTCACGCGCAGTTAACTATGAGGGCTGGTTTGCTGACTGACCGGCTGTCTTCATGCGGGCAAATAGATGGAATCAAGTATACGATGAGTTGGGCACTCGTCTGCCTGAGCAACCATGCCGCATCGCCAGTAGCTCAACACCATGTTGCATTTGGACGAGGCAGCAGCCCTCGTTCTCATACTGTTGGCGCTGTTCAAGAAACACAAACCAGGGAGGCGAGCAGAGCAACGTCGGTTCGGGTTGAGACTGGAAGCAGTGCTTCTCGAAGAACGCCAGCAGCGAGCGCAGATGGAGAGGACGAAGGACAGGGAGGCCGAAGAGATGAGAAAGCGAGAACAGAGCGAACGCAGACAACGGAGACGACATCGACATAGGAAGGAAAGGTAGCTGTGGTACCGGGAGACGGCCACAGGTCGACAACGAGCGAAACATCGTACCATGTGGTTCGACATTGATATACCGCAATCTATCGAACGCTCATCAACACATCATACACCCAACAAACGCTTCAAAGCCGGCCAGCCAACCACCTCCGCCCAGACATCCACCATACTTAGCTGTTCAGGTAATCCCTGATTGCGCCCCTCAGCTTGCCGGCACCCTCACCAACCATCGCAGTTAGATTCTCGATATCGTCGCCAGCCGTAATACCAAATCTGCGGACAAAGTCCTTTGCCGCATCTTCCATGTTACCACTGTACTCCGCTGAGTCCATGTCCTCTTCAGGCCGGCCAAAGTACGCATTGGAAGAAATAGAGGTGGCGCCTTCGAAGCCTTGCAGGCGTGTGCGAGCTTCGTTCTGTTGAGTGGGATTGAAGTCGTTGCGGCCAAAGAATTCGTCTGAAGAGATCCCTTTTTGTGTGCCAAACTTCTCGCGCGCGAAGCGTTCGGAGTCATCTGTGTTGCAGTAGCATTAGCATAGGCCTATGAGAATTAGAAGAGCCTCCCTCAACGTACCCTGCACGGCGGGCTTGCTGCTGACAGCGCCAAATCCAAGCCCTCTTGCCGGCGCGGCACCACCAGCAGCCTTTGCCGCACCTCCACCGACCTGCCCAAAGCCCAGTTTCCGCACGCCCATGCCCAACCTATCCATGTCGCTGTCACTCTGTTGTTTCGAGCCTCCAGTTGCTCCGAAGCTGCCTGCTCGCCCTGGGCTCACTGGTGTTGGCTGGTGTATTGTCGCTGTGCTCGCAGCAGGTTGTGATGCAGTTATCGTGCTCTCTGCTGGCGTCTCTTCGTTCGGATCGTATCCCAACCTCTCTTTCCGCTCGGCTTCCTCCCGAGCCTTCTTCTCTGCCTCATCAAAGTCAAGCGCACTGGAGTCCACCTTCTTCGCTCCCAGTTTCGTCTTCTTTGCGCCCAAGATGTTGGCTTTAGGCTTGCTGGCTGTGGCTGTCTTGCGAACGGCGGAAGAGGAGATCGCACGAGCAGCTGCAGGAGGAGCGGATGATTCTGAACCCGCCGCATCGGAAGTCTTGAGTGGTGATTTTGGTCGTCCTGCTGCGTTGTTTCCATTGGCATTGAGGAAAGGTGAAGCGGTGCGATTGATGCCTGGTGTCCCTGTCCGTGAAGGAGGGTTGCTGGGTCTTTTGATTGCTGGCTTGTCCCATGAAGAGAAGAAGTCGTCACCGGGTTCGCCGGCAGGAGTGTTTGTTCCAGTGCCTTCGCTGTCGTCTACCAAGTCATCCACATTGACATCATCCGGGAATCTGCGCAACGTCTGTCAGTCACAGTCCTCTCCGCTTCTCTTGCGCCTCACTCACTTCCTGATGTCCGCCTCCACCCTCCGCGCCAGCTCATCCTTGTACTTCGTCGCCGCATTGCTCGTGTATTTCGTTTTGGGGTCCTTGCTCGCCAAAGCCGCCGTACCGCCGTGCGTCTGGAAGTACTTGGTAGCGCTCTCATTGCCACCCGTCTTCATCCGCCGTAGTTGATCCCATTGCCATTCTGCGTCCCAAAGCCATGTCAGCCTGTGCCCAACACCCTTCCTTTCCCCAGCATTCTTGGACTACTCACGGTCGAGATTGGTACTCCGCACAAAGCTGATGTGCACACCCAGGTTCCGGTGGTTGGCAGAGCAGTCCAAACACAAATAGATGCCGAAGGGCACGCTGGACCAGGTGGGGTTCTTTGCGCCGCAGTCGAAACAGATCTTGTTGGCCGCGTTGCGCTTCAGCTTCTCGAAGATGCTGTGCGATGTCGTCTTGGGTGCGAGGGCCATGGCTGCGTATCAGTCGTAGGGAGAAGACGGCAGAGGAGGCGGTAGTGGTGGTATTGAAGTGGAGTGGGACAGCCAGGTGGAATATTTGACCCTTGCGGAAGGTCAGCCCTCGAACCACTCTTGGCACGTTCACCATCATAACCAACAAGACGGAGAGCAGAGGAAGGGGTTGTTAACGCGGATGATCGTGACGGCATCATGCCAATGAACACTACTACAGGCCAGAAGAGCACCCACGCTCAAGCACCAAAACTCAAAGAGCCGTAGATATCACACCAACCATGCCTCCTTCATACCGATAACCCAACGAACGCCACGCTAATCCACTCAATCCGTCTCCGACATCACCTCGGATCAATAGCCGGCCAGAACATCCTCGCCTTGACCCCAATGTCCACCTCAAAGATGCCGTCTTCACAAGCAGCCCACAACGTCCTGCCATCGGGACTCATGGCCAGTCCTGCAGTCCGCACACCGACCTCCCTCCCAAACCCATTCCGTAGCTGCTGCATCTGCTGGAGCTGCACCCTCCGAAGTAAGATCTCGTTGCCTTGAGTGAAACCGCCAGGGAACGCACGAGCAGCTGCTCCGGCATTTGGGCCTAGAGTCGCACCAGCAAGGCCAGAATCTCGTGCGTCTCCCAGACTGCGTAGCCGATCACGCTGACGTGCGAGAGAGCGAGCCCGAGCGCGTTCGGCAGCCAACTCGGTTTGAAGGTCAGATTCTGTCGGCCGCATGCTCGATGGAGAGCTGTAGTCGCGGATGCCGGTTGGTGGGGATGCTCGAGCAGCACCCTCTTGCAAGCGTGAGCGAGCATTCTCGAACAGCGGACCGCGGGCAAGCGACATGTGCTCTTCGATGGTACGCCAGGGGTTCTGATCTTCTTCAGCAGCGGCCGCGGCGGCATCGGCAGCGGGGCCACGGCTGGTAGAGCTCGAAGGGGAGTCGGTAGCGGGTGGACTGAGGACAACTGAAGCTCGGCGGCGAGGTAAGCGTGAGCCATCGCTGAGTCGGACGAGACTGTTGGTCGTTGCCGCCCATTGGCTCGCTCCGCTACCTCTGCCACTATTGCTCATGCTCTCAAGCGATGGAAGCGAATCGGGCGTGTCAGGACCATGTGATGATCTTGGCCGCGGCCCTGGGCTCGCTGCATTCGTCCTGGAGAGCTCTGGAAAAGAGTCTTGCACCGAGCTCAAAATCTCACTGATCGGTCTTGTCGAAGGGTCGCCAGCCTCAGTACTTGTAGCACCTGAGCGTGTAGAAGGTGTATCTCGAAACATGTCAGCTGAAGTGTAGTTGACACCTCTCGGCTGTCCACCATTCTGCGATCGTGCCTCCTCCTGCTGTCTTGCCGTCCTTAAATTGTCAAGGACCTGCTGTTCTCGAGCGGTAAGGCCTCGTGGATCGTCGAGGAGCGCCGCCTGCTGCCGTGCATCCCGTTCAGCCTGCATCTGGCTTCGCGCGCTCGCCAAGTCAACCCTCTGCTGCCGATGTCTTCTCCGCGCATCAAGCGATTCGTACGCAGTATCCTCGCCCTGCCGATACCGCCGTATCAAATCTCGCTCCAGCTCGTCAAGCTCTCGCAGATCCAAAGCCAGCCCAGAAGGATGCGAGCCCATGCTCATGACATCCTCGCTCGGCACATCTTCGTACGCCATCCGCCGTAGCTTCTCATCCCTGGGCTCCAAGCTAATGACCTGCCGACTCTTGAGACCCGTTCGCAGATCGCCGATGCATATCCGTCCTTGGTCTTCAGCCCAAACAAGTAGATCCCAAGGCTCAGGCGAAAACATCATTGTTCGTATGGCGCCGGGATGAGGGTTGGTCAGATCGGGTCTCGAGCCAGGCACTACCGCCACCACCGCATCACTGTCATCAACATCCGAGTCTTTCAAAAAGTCGATGTCAAGGACTGTGATGTATCCGCCCTCCGAGCCCACAGCGACCAGTTGCCCGCTCGGGCTCCAGGCGGTTGTGAAATAGCACATCGTGCTCGCCTGCTCCGAGAAATGTAGGCTGACAACATTCGTTAACGTCCACTTGATGCTCGCGCTCGTAAGTCTGTTGTGCGGTTTGTGTATCTGCGGTGGCTGCTGCACGATTTCCCTCGTAAAGAAGTAGGCCAGATTCACATCACCTACCGCCACCAGCGTCTGCCCATCTGGACTGACGGTAGCATGGTTCATGAAGAACGGCAGCTCTAGACAAGCAGTCTCGGTGCTCGAAGGTAAGCTGTAGACTCTGACCGTCCGATCGTTGTTCGTCAGGACCGCCACAATGTCGTCCAGATGCGCCTCCTCGTCCTGTATGCGGTGTATCGAGATCGAATTCACTATATCCTCCCCGATCCGCTGTACATTGACGCTCGCCGCTCTCCTGCCGCCATCATGCGTATGCTGCTGTGCCTGCCGCCACGAATCCAGAGGCAGAGCTGTGTCCACGTCCATGCTTCCTCTCCCAGCTGATCCGTCCAGCTTGATCGCCGCAAAGTGTCCGCGCTCCTCGCCGCCGATACAGACGTAGCCGAAGCCGCTGGCGGTACATCGTGCTTCGAAGGGGATTGAAGCGATGTGCTTGCGCTTCTTCGTGCTTGTATTCAGGCAAAATATATCATGACCCGAGGCGAAGTAGAGGAGGTCGGGCTCGGGGGTGGAGATGTAGTGTCGGAGTTGCCAGTGGCTGGATCTCGAGGTTAGTCTCCCATTCACGTGGTTCCAGCTGAGGCTACTCACGCGACTGGTATGCGGACGGGGTAGAAGCCCTTCTCTGCTTTGGCGAGGTTCTGCGCTTCAGGGTGACTATTCCCAATGTTAGCTTGTGCTCCTCTGCTCTTTTTGCGCGTCCTCTCAACCTACGGAACCCAGTCAATGGCCATCCTCGCTGCCCTTCTCCAGGGTCCCCTGCCCGCCAGGTCGTTGATGTTCGGTGGCGGAGGCGCCGTGGGCTGCACTTCCGGTTGCCGGCCTCGGAGACTCAAGCGAACGAGCGTGTTGCCGAAGAGCCTGCGGTTGCGGAGTGGGTATGGTTAGCTAATTGATCTGCTTGGGGATGTGAAGAATGTGAAGAGGTGTTGTTGTTGCAATGCTGGTTGAAGGTGGGGAGAAAGCAGCAGCAGCAGCGAGCGGGATGAGGCTACGTCACAAGGACTTCTTGCAGACTGGATGCTGCCATTCACTACCACTCATATCCTTCTCTTGGTTGATTCGAGATATCTGGTATATTAATACCTTAGGTGATAGTCTACTCAGGTCTAGAACGAATGGTGGAACATACCGCAACCTGCACGAGAGGTCTCAAACGTGGTACGTCTGCGGAACCTACTGACAATGGGAGGCAGCCGCACAGGAGCATTCGCTACATGTACTACAAAGCAAACGGGAAAGATTGTCATGCGGTATTACATGCCACTCGATGCATAGGAAAGGACGGTGTGGAGATTGTCTCTCATTCGTATAAGCAGCATTGGCTTCAACATTATGGACTGGCTTTTCCGCCTGCACTGCAATGCCCGCTCATCGAGAACTCCCCATCGTTCATGCCACCATACCATCATAACTCATGCCAGCCTTCTACTGGGGTCCAAGAGGTTCACATTCTCATTTTCAGGTAGCTATTGCACGTGCTGCCATGGGCGAGTCGTCTCTGGCATTCTAGGCCCTGGCGGAGAAAAACAACGTCAGCAGCTGGCCTCGAATGAAGGTTCCTAAGCAGTACTCACTTCTCCTTCTGGACCTTCGCGACGGCCTCCTCGACACGCTTGAAGAGGGGGTGGTTCTCCTCCAGCCCAGTGAGGCTCTTCGTCGCCTCGGTCGCGCTCATCTCCTTCATCTTCTTGGCCAGCTCCGCGCTCTCCTCGTCGCCCTCAACGTTCTGGAAGCGCAGGGCCATCTCGACACCACCCATCAGGCAGTCCACCTTCTCGCCGTTCTCGGCAAGCATAGCCGCTGGTCCGATGAAGCGCTCCTTGCGGGAAAGCTTGCGGAGGGGAGCACGACCGACACGCTCCACCACATCCTTCAGCACTGGGTTGGAGATACGCTTGACGATGGCCTGAACGTACTCCTCCTGCTCGCTCTTGCTGATGTGGGTGAACTTCGTGCAGATGAGGTGAGCGGTCTCCTTGAGAGTGTTCTGGACGATGTCATGCAGCTCCTTGTCCTCAAGCACCTCGTGAATGTACGTCTTGCCTTTGTTGTAGCCGTAGTAGGCGGCGGTGGCGTGGCCAGTATTGACAGTGTACAACTTGCGCTCAATGTACGGCTGGAGGTCCTCAACGTAGTGCACGCCTTTGATCGCTGGTGGTTCGCTGGGCTTGAACGGGGCGGACTCAACACACCACTCGTAGAACTTCTCAATCTTCACGTTCATGCCCATGCCTTCGTCCTGTAGTGGCACAATACGGTCGATGGCCGAGTTGGCGAAGCGAGCCTTGTCCTTGATGTTGGCCTTGGTCTCGTCGGACAGCTTCTGCTCGATGAAGCCGCGGAGAGTGTCGGTGGCTCCAATGGCGTTCTCGCAAGCAATGACAGCAATCGGGTTGCTCTCCTTGCGGGCCTCGATACCCTTGGCAATTGGCTCGGCGATGAATTTGAGGATGTTGGGGCCGACGGCGCAGGTGACGGTGTCCGCAGTAGCGATCTCGTGGATCACCTTGTCCATCTCATGCTTGCTGTTGATGGCGCGGAAGTTGTCGATTGTGAACTTCTTCTCGCCCTCTGGTCCGATCTCGGTGACCTCGTAGCTTGGAGTCTTCTGGAGGGTCTCGATGAGGCTGTCAATAACATCCACAAAGACGACTTCGTAGCCAGACTCGTGCAGGAACTCGGCAACGAAGCCACGTCCGATGTTGCCGCCGCCGAAGTGGATGCTCTTCTTGCCCATGGTGACGGTGTATATGGGGGTGAGGTGTCTGGAAGGGAAAGCGGTCAGTGGATATGAGGAGAAGTGAGGTTTGTCATATCGTAAGGAAGGTCGATGTAGGCGGTTGAGAGCAAGAAGCGGTCAAGTCTTGGTCGTTCCTAGCACATAGCCTTTGCAACAAGCTCGACGAGGGAGTTTGGTGGAGGCATTGCACTCACTCTGTGGTCTGAAAGCTTGAGGGAAGGTCTTGTGAAGGGGTTCCTTTTGACAACGGCTATGATTCCAGTGTCAGCGCTTGTATCTTGTCGGTGAGCGAGGTGAAGCCATTGAGGAGACGCAGCAGCAGGATGCTCGCTAGCAAGACGGCTGACGTACGTACCTTGCGTTGTTGTTATAGTGTCAACGAAGTCCAAGAGGTGTCGATGTGAAGGTATCGAGAAGGAAGAAGCAAAGGTGAACTGCGACTTTTCGTTGTGGAAGGAGAGTTTCGCTGGCAACACGTGGTGGGGCAAGAGCGCGTTGGTGGGGTTCCAGGCCAAGCGGATCATCTTCGTCACATGAAAGGCCCGATTCCTGCCCAACATAAACTTCTCGTTGGTCCGTCATACCGATCTAGGTACCTGTCGCACATGACTGACATGACCAACGAGTGCGAGCGGAAATGGTACACCAAGGGAACACTGAACCGTTACCCCGAACCCTGTTGAGAACAGCAGTATTATACAACTACGAACGCTGTGGGACCAATGGGTATCTTGCTTTTCCATCTGCAACGACTTGCAGTACTTTCAAACACCGCCTCAAGCATGTATCGCCTGCTGCACGTGCGGATACACCTTGACCATGTTGTGGTACAGCTCGGGGTGCTCTCTCATCAGCGCCTCCGGGTCCCACGCCATGGCAACGAAGATCGTGTCGATGCCGCTTGACAATGGCACCGTGAAGCAATGAGTGATCTGCAGGCCGATCAAGAATGCGTATGCGATCACGACTGGAGTGAAGTCGCCATCGCGGTTGTAGGCCGGGTCGGTGAAGATGAGGTAGAGGTAGGCCATCAGGGCACAGGCGAAAGCAACGAACGTCGCGCCCATAGTCAGGACCGGTCCGATCAGGCACTCGTTGATGAGGGCGTCGATGCCACGGTCTCGAATCAGGCGCTGCATCTGACATTAGCGAAGCACTTCAGACGCGGCCTAAGCCTGGACTTACCCAAGTAGCCTTTGCAGACTGGATGTACGACTTCCCGTACAGCGCAATGTACGAGAAAGCATAACGGTTGATGAAGTTGACCGCCCACTCGAGTATGCCAAGCAAGCACCTGACAACGCAGAAGGCGCAGCTGGCCGCAATGTTCCCGGAGTTGGCCTCGCTCTGCTGTGCAATCGAGCAGAGCTGTCTCAAGAACTGAATGATGGCGACAAGCAGACTGCCCAGGCTGATGGAGCCGAAGCTGTACGTCAACGCTCTTCTCGCTGCGCCACGAGTCGCACCCTTTGCTGGATTGTTCGGCGCAAAGAACCATGCGCCGTACACGCCGGAGATGGTCGTGTGGATCGTGTTCTTGAGCCACTCGGTGATCCAGTACCCGGCGAAAGTGATGAAGGCAGTCAGGCCGATGACGGTAGCGGAGCTGCAGTTACCGCCGGTAGAACACGCTGGGTTGTTGCCAGGCTCATACTTGACGTAGACGGCGACTAGAGTGACGCTGAAGTATGCTCCGAAAGCCGCTGCTGCGAGGCCACCGAGGAAGGACACGAGGTAGACATGGCCGAAGCTCTTGGAGACGTCGATGGCGGTCTGCAGCATGAGGACGCTGAACGGGATGCGCGGGATCCACGTCCAGAAGCAGAATGCGCTGAAGAGGCCGAAAAGCAGGAAGACGATGCCGCCGCTCCAGTAGTGTCTGTAGAGCATGTAAATAGCCGTTCCCAGCGTCCTAGAATGGTCAGCCATGTCCTCCCAAGCCCTTCCCAACGACAACACTTACCAAAGGATGTTCAAGATGCCCGTGATCCAGATGAACTGCTTGGTGAACAATCTAGCCAGCGAGACGTAGCCGTATCCAAACACCAGCGCAACCACCAAGCAGAAGATGAACAGCACCATCGTGTTGGTCGTGAGGCCGAAGGTATTGTCCGAGCCGTAGATGCCGCCGCCATTGAAGCCGTACGTTGACGCATATCCCTGAATACTGATCCCGCTCACTGCTACGAAGCCAGCTGCGACTGCGAGGAACAGTATTCCGGCCCAGATGTCGTTCCACTTCGGTTTGTCGACCTTGAACTGCTGGTCGAAAGATGGCTTCGAATCTCCGTTGGCGAAGTTCTGGTTGTACGTGGGCGGCGGTGGCATGTGGTCTGATCCCTTCCATTGTTGCTGCGGCGGGTGTGGCTGTTGATACTGCTGTCCTCCATAGGCCTGCGGTGGGGGCTGCGCATCGTAGTAGTCGGCAGCTTGGCCGCGATGGTGCGCCATTGTCGTACTGTCCGGGCCGATACAGCCTAGGGAGATGCAATGTAGCTGATGTTGCAGGTTCGCGTAGGAGGTGAGGAGAGAAGAGACTTCAGGCGCGTCGTCAACAAAAGTCGCTCGAGCGGGCGGGAGACATCGTCGTCACTGTTGTCGATCTTCACTTGGATTGAGTTTAGCGCCATCTCCCACTAGCGCATGCGGTACCAGGCAGCCGGTGCCGCTTTGTTCTAGACCGTTGAACCTCTCCCGTCTCTTTCATCCATCTTTCATCCATCTTTCATCTTTCATCCATCTTTCATCTTTCATCCATCTTTCATCCATCTACATACAGGTACCTACTACATATACCGCTACGGCATCACTTGTTCAAGGAGACGTTTACATGCAACGGGGACGGCTTACTAAGGTATCTAACCACAATATAAACAAGAGCAGTCTCTACCACCAACCGGTCTGGCTTAAAGCCCCTACGCCTCTTCATCATCCTCGATCGCAGCATCACGGCTGACCTCCATATCCGAGAGTCTTCCCTCCAACCTCTTCATCTCAGCCCTCTCCTTCTCCCTCAGCTCTGCCTTCTCCTGCTTTTTCATCAACCTTTTCGCTCCCTGCTCAGCTTTGGCCCTCACAATCTTCAGATCTGCCTCCTCATGCTTTCTCCTATGTGCTCTGGCCTTCCTCTCCACCTTGGAGTCTTTCTTCTCTCTGCCACTCTTCGCCGAGTCCCAGAGATCGCCCAGATCAGCAGTCGAGGACTCCCCGTCAGTGGTAGTCTCTTGTGCCTCCCGTCTTGCCACTCTAGCCAACCTGGCCCGCTCGTCTGCTTTGGCCTGCTCCACTCGAGCCTGCTTCTCTGCCTCCTTCTGTGCAACCTTTGCCGCTCGAATCTCCTTCGACCTGGCGATCCCTGCTGCTATCTGCGCCGATTTGACCTTGGCGTTGGCCTCGACTCTCTTCGCTTTCAGTTCCTCCCAAAAGGCCGCCATGCCTTCTCCACTCTCCACCTCATGGGCGCTGCCTTCTTTGTCCGCATCGCTCTCTTCAGGCTTACGAGCTCTCTCTGCGTCGTTTGCCTTGCCTTTCTCGGTCTTTTGCTTGTTGGCAGCATCGGCAGCCCTGTTCTTGAGACTTTCGTCATTGCCCGTCCTATTTTTCAACTGCTCAAACCCGCCATCCAACCCGAGGCACCACTTCGCAAACAGTCCCACCTTCGCCTCCATCTCCTCGATCATATCAGTCGTCTCCTTACGAATCGCATACAGCTTGCTCAACTTCGTCTCATCCCCAGTGGCGACAAGCAAATCCCGCTGCCAACGCTTCTCCGGCGACGTCCACCATTTGTCGTGGAGCGCGCTGGCTCCGGCAATGTTCTTTGCAATAGCTGACACGGCATTGATCAGCTCGTCAGTTGGCTTGTTGCGGAGGGCCTTGTCTTCTTGAGACCGCATCTTCTCCCACTCATCATGGGCCAAAGGAACGAGGAACTCGACGCTTCGTTTGACGTCGACAAGGGGGTGGGCCACCTGTTCCGCGCCGCGATCATCTTGACTGCACAGAGTTGGCACATACTGGCTAATCGGGGCGGATGTTGGGCTCGAAGAGCAACTTCTTTCGTTCACTGGTGAAGCTGACCTTTTGACGATGTATGGAAGCGCAGTTCGATGGAGCACTGCTGTGTACTGCGTATCCGAGGATTCAAGCGCCATTGACCCAGATTGACTTGATATCACTTGTGGGACGAACAAAGGAAACGTAAGACGCCGGATGCGGGAGGAAGAAGTGATTGGAACAAAGAGACACGACCATGCTCAGATGCCAGTGCACAGACGCACGGCACTTCTACATTGACAATGCTCTCGTGTATCTGCTGGTAGTATTCAGAAGTAAATGTACAGCGCTCGGCCAGACTGTGTCGAAGAGTATCACACAACCGTCCACAAAGGTCGTGGCATCTCAGAGCGCGAGGAACTTGGCCGTCTCGTGACGGGATCAGTCTTCACGCCAACATACGCCTGTCGCTTAGGAGGCGCATCGCGTGTGGTGACCGACCATGTCGCCAGATCGTAGTATTGCGCAATGGCGTGCACGAGGAAGCGTCTACACTAGACGTCAGTAAAGACCCCATGACAAATGAAAGGAAATGCCCGCCGTACCCAAACGAAGCACCGTGATCGTGGACAAGACTCTCAAACACCACCTTGTCCCTTTCCAAGCCTTCACTCTCCCTCTTCGCCCGCATCTCATCACTCATCGCCCCGTTGCGTCCGACAAAGACAATCTCCTCATCCTCACTATCCGGCTCAATGACGCCTTCAGCCTCCAATTGCCTCTGCTTCTCCTCCCACTGCTCCACGAACCCCCTGACTTCCTGCTCCAAGTCCTGCAACAGCGCCTTCGCGCCGCGAGACCTCTTAAGCTTCGCCCGCAACTCCCGCTTGACTTGCGCCGCGGCCTCCTCTTCCTTGTTCGTCGGCGCGTTGACCTTGGCCTTGCGCAGTTCCCGCTGCTGATTCAGACGCGCATATTCGGCATCCCACAACGGAGCGAGGAAATAGGGCACGCTCTGCCGCTGGTTCATGGGTCTCACCTCCCAATCTTCAGGCAACGGGGGCTGCGCATAGGGATTGCCGACCAAGCGATCGTTCTCCCATCGCCTGCGCTGCCGACTGCCTTCTTTGCCCTTGAGCAAAGCTTCCCGACGCTTCAAGCTGTCCCTACGCACTGGCTCGCGCCGTTTGTGCACGACATGAACAGCTTCCGGCTTGGAGCGGGGGCGGTCGTCGTTCAACGCGGCCTCGTCGAGCGGGATGTCCAGTCGGACGGAAGCTCCTCGCACAGCAGGGGCGGGCGTGGGAGAAGAGATGGAGGTCGCGCTCAAGACGTCTGCGGCCTGCGAGACGGTCCAGGCTTCGACGCGCTCAATGGGCGTTGGCTCGGAGGGTGGCGTGAGGATGGAGGGCTTTGTGGGCGTGGCCATTGTGCTGGTTGTACGAGGTACCGGACGAGGAGGACTTGTGGACTTGAAAGGGACGATCTATGTCTATGGAGATACAGATGAGAGCACTCCGCGACAACAAGGAGCTTTGTCTGAGACCGAGAGGGGGTCCGGCTGATAAGAGTCATGCACGTGTCACCTCATCTTCATCTTCCTCGGACGGCGGGACATGACGGGCAGGAGTCAGATCTAGACCACACCAATCATGTTTCGATAACTGGCACGCCTGGCTCTCGTCGGTCTACAGTCGTGTGCTCGTTGGGCATCTCACACTCGTTGTCAATCAGAAACGCTGTTTTGTTCCAAATCGAGTATACAGACTACACAACCATAGATTACAGCTTCGAGTTCCCACCATCCACCAACTCTGCTCCAGCTCCCGAAATGCACAATTTTCCAGTGTCGAGGACCTTAACCTGTAAGATGACGACGTTGCCCTCCTTCCACATCTCCGTAGCCAGCGTCTGTCCAGGCAGAACGGTGCCCGCAAACCGCACCTTAATATTCCTGAACATGCCGTAGTTCTGGTAGACGTGCTTCCCAGCAATGCCGAAGAAGCACAAGCCGTGCAGGATGGGCACTTCGAACCCACCCACCTTGCTGAACTCGGGGTCCACGTGCAGCGGGTTGCGGTCACCGGACAGCCGGTAGACACACGCCTGCTCCTCGGTCGTCTTCTCCTCGACAACCATGTCAGGCTGTCGCTTCGGCGGGTTGAAGACACGAGAGGCAGCGCCGCGATCCGCACCCTTCTTCGCGCCACCGAAGCCGCCGGCACCGCGGATGAAGACGGTCGACTCGTTGTAGAAGAGTTCCTTGCCAGTCTTCTTATCCTTGGTGGTCTGGCCGGTGACGATGATGCCTGCGTTGCCCTTGTCCACGACCTCGACGAGCTTGGGGAACGTCTCTAGCACAGCTTCGGTAGGGATAGGTGAGGAGCGGATCTCGAGGTACTGTTCGCCGTGCAGCAGCATCATGGGGTTGAAGTTGGGAACGAGGTCAGCCATGCTGAAGGGTGCCACGGCATTGAAGGGTGGGATGACACCGAAGGTAGGAAGGACCTGGAACTTCTCATCGTTCTCAAAGACGAGTGGGAGGTCTTTTCGCTTTGCTCCAACGCCGAGATCTGATTGACAGGTTAGCTGGTTGTTGCACTAGCTGATGCCGCGCATGCACTCACTGTAAAGTATGACATCTCTCTCGTCGTAAGCAAATTCAGAGCCCTCGGCCTTTGCCTGCTTCGCCTTCTCGATGGCCTCCAGATACTGCTTGCCGTCCTCACCGGAAGACTTCTTGCTAGCTTTCTCTTTCTTGACCAGATTAGCCATGATCTTATTTTGTGCTTCCTGCGAAGACTCGGGGTGATCAGCCCGGCCGTCATCAAAGTCGACAATGGCGTTCCACTTCGACTTCACCGCTTCTGGGGTCATCGAAGCATCGGCGTTGAACAGTGCACCACCCGTGCGCTGCCACCTGGTCTCAGCAGCCCATCCAGATCCAGACTCGAACAAACGTCCAGTGGCTGGCTGTGGCATCTTGTCGGAACACATGAGCAGGACGATCGGAGCGACATAGTCGGGCTTGAACGCCTGAACCATCTCCTCGGGCATGATGGAGCGAGTCATGTTGGTGCCAGCATTTGGCGCGATGGTGTTGACGTAGATGTTGTACTTCTGTCCTTCGCGAGCGAGCGCTCGAGAGAAGCCCAGGATGCCGCACTTGGCTGCCGCATAGTTGGCCTGGCCAAAGTTGCCGTAGATGCCGGACGTAGAAGTGGTGTTGACGATGCGGCCATACTTCTGCTTGAGCATGTATGGCCAGGCAGCCTTGCTGATCTTGTAGGTGCCGCGGAGGTGGACATTGAAGACAGTGTTGAAAAGGTTGTCATCCATGTTCTGGAACGACTTGTCACGCAGGATGCCGGCGTTGTTGACGATCACGTCGATGCGGCCATACTTGTCAATGATGGCCTTGACAACAGCATCGCCTTCCTCTGCGCTGGCCTTGACGCCAAAGGCCTCCCCGCCGCTCTTCTTGATCTCCTGCACCGCTGGCTCGGGATCCGCCAGGTCGTTCACAACCACCTTTGCACCGTACTTGGCGAACTGCAGGCAGTAGATGCGACCAAGACCAGCTCCACCGCCAGTGATCAGGACAACTCTGTCCTTGAAGCTGATGTCTTCTGACGGTGGGTTCTTTGGCAGCTTTTGGGCGTCCTCCAGCAGCTCCATGAAGTTGGCCGGGCCTTCCGGGTGGGATGGCTCGGAGAAGTCGCTGACATTGTCCCACTTCTTGAGAAGGGCTCCTGGTGTGAAAGAGTCGTCAGCGCGAAGCAACGCGCCCTTTGCACGTTCCCATCTCATTTTCGCAACGTGACCACCGCCAACTTCGAAGATCGCTCCGCTCTCGTCGTTCGACGGATGTACGAGAACTGCCACCAGCGGCACCACATAGTCCGGCTTCAGCACCTCCAGCACCTCAGGCGGCATCACGGTTGCCGTCAACCTCGATCCTGCGATGGGCGCAATCACATTACAGAGAATGTTGTACTTCCTGCCCTCCTTCGCCAGCGTCTCCGTAAAGCCGACTTGCGAGAGCTTAGCAGCAGAGTAATTGCATTGTCCGAAGTTGCCAAACAATCCTGCAGCCGACGATGTGTTAATGACCCGACCGTACTTCTGCTTTCGCATATGTGGCCATGCTGCTCTCGCGCACTTGTATGCTCCAATGACATGCACTTTCATAATCAGATCCCAATCCTGGTCCTTCATGTTCTTGAAGCTAATGTCCCGCAGGATACCAGCGTTGTTGATCAGGATATCGATGCGTCCGAAGTTATCGATCGCGGTCTTGATGATGGATTCGCCGTTGACCACATCGTCGTAGTTGGCTACCGCTTTCCCTCCTGCTTGGGTGATCTCCTTGACCACTTGGTCGGCCATCTAGTTGATGTTAGCTGCATGCGTTTCTATAGTATACAGAGGCGTCTTGCATACACTCGAGCTTCCACCCACTCCATTGAAGGAGCCACCGAGATCGTTGACCACGACATTGGCTCCTCTCGAAGCAAAGAAGACGGCGTAAGCCTTTCCGAGTCCGCCGCCAGCTCCTGTAACTACAACGGTTTGACCGTCGTATCTCAGTTGTTCTCCAGCCATTTTGACGTTTTGATTGTAGGGTGAGACTGGATATGAGGACAAGAGGGGAGGAGAGGAGAAGGAAGTCATCCAGAGCACATGATGGTCACTCTCACATGAAGCTCAGAGATGCCGAGGTTCGCGGCACTTGCGCGGTATGAAATCCGGACTCCGGACGACCATCTCACCTCACTTGCCTCACCCAGCCACAAAAGCAATGACTGCCAAAACGATTGACCTTGGAGCACCACGCCATGACATGTACGACATCTGGTGATCTTGTGCTGTATCAAGAAATATGATCAAGCGATATCGTACATGAACCGGACCCGCGACAGCCCCCAATGATAGAAGACACGATGACACTGCTTTCGCGGTGTTCTGTTTGCTGTCACGGTCCGTCGGCCTCTTCATCAGCAACGCAGTCTCGGAGAAGGCCGCTGTAGTTCAGGCATAGCAACGTCCAAGCCGCTGCCGTTCCCGGACCGTCCACGCTCTGACAGATCCTGCTATGGCTTCTGGCTCCAGAGGGACGTAAGAAAGGGTCAACTTCACGCGGAGCTTTCTAGGAGGTCTCGAGGCAGTGGCGACGTTAGCTCCGAGATCGTTGCGAAGGCGGCATGGAACGGCCTTCACGCAGGTCGTGGACACCGGCTCTACTCAATGCATGCGGCCCAAGCACCATGCTGTGCCCCTGTTCATTCTCGCCCGCAAGCCTTCGGTGTTACGCAAGCCGGCAGTGAACACACCTTTGGAAGTCTCTCATATAGGGGAGAAGCGGGACAGACGTCCAAAGTATGCCGTACGGCGTCATTGGTGAGTCCAACGAGCAATTTATGTACTACTCTTTACAGATCCATATCCTGCTCATGACCTGGTGCTGGCAAGCATGTCGACGATCATCACCATTCAATGCAGCACCCTGCACACCATTGACCATCTCTTGAAATGAGCTATAAGAAGGATTGTTCGCAGCCACCAAACCGACCTTCTTCCACTGTATCTACGTTCCGCTCAATCATCAAACCACCAACACGAACGTCTTTTCAAAACCAATCATCATACAACCAACACCAACGTCCGTTCAAAACAAATCAACACACAACCAACACCATTGTCCGCCAAAACGAATCATCACACAACCGACACAAACTTCCCGTCGTAACCAACCAGCATGGCCATCGAATGCAAGGGGTGTCCGAGAGACGACCACAGCACATGTCTCTTCACCGAGGAGAGGCGGGTGAAACTACAGAGCCACCTGCAACAGATCTATTCGATCTACCCAAGGTATGGATCACTCAGCCCTTCGCTGTTCCGGACTGGGACCGATCCGGATGAGAAAGCGAAAGCCTATGCACAGTTTCACAGTAGGCATGGCCCGTATAAGCTCATACTCCAGCGAGCTGAGGCTCCATTACGGGCGGCTTATGCGGAGATACAAGAGGATAACCAAGAGCATGACGAGACCAAGTTGGCTGCATCCATCTCTGTCATGCTGGGCAGAGCTGCTGAATGTCATTCCATGGCCAGCGCTATGTTGAGAGAAAGCAAAATCTGGCTCAACACTCTGTCGCATAAAAACAGACACCAAATCCGACACTGAGCCTTGCAGCTCCTTGGGACGCCCAACGCAGCTTGAAGTTTTGCATGCTCTTTGCTTTTCGGTCTGAGTTGCTAGTAGGTACTCCATCAATCAAGCCGTCCGCTGCCATTGAATCACACCACAGTGTCTGCGAGCGTTTGAACGAGTTGTGCGACGCTTTGACACCTCGATCAACCTCTTGGTGTACAGCAGCGGGATACTATGAGATGTCCCACCTTCGTGTGACATGCTGTGCTGCCGTTACACCCCATCCCGGACTAACGGTGTTACGAGAGTTGACAGTGAAACCATGCGCAAGTCTGTCGGTACTCTCATTCAATATGGAACGAACCATTCTATACTGACCAGGACCTAGCAAACATGGGACAGCCGAGTGAGGTACAAAGCAGACACGGTGTCTCAAGGTAGCCTAGCAACCTCCGCACCACCGTCTTCCATCACTACACTCGCACTGTCATTCGGGAACCAGAATTTTCCTTTCTCAAAGGCCAGCACGCATCCAACGCCCGACTCTCGAACGCTGAATCAAAGATTCGTCTACATCCACGCTAGTATGCCTCACGACAAACTAAAATGTCCCTTCCGCGACCACGCAGGCTGCCTCTTTGAAGAAGACAGGCGTATCATGCTGCGGGCGAGCGTGGCCGTAGTCAAGCGGTTTTACGAATTCTACTTCTACGACTTGGTATGGGATCCCGAAGACTTCTCCGAGGAGTCCGAGCACGACAAGGTCCGGATATACCTCGACTTCTGGTGCCGGCACAAGTTGTACGAGACCCGGTTTCAGCAAGCTACAGCCGCACTGCGCGAAGCATCTGAGGGGTTGCGGCGGGATAAGTGGCAACATGAGAACGACAGATTCTTAATGTTTGACGTCGATGGTGCTCTCAACAAGACTGATAAGGTTGAAGAGAGGGCTAAAGCTATGCAAAAGATCACTCGGGCGTGGGCGGCCACGTTGGGACCCAAACAGAGAGAAACCCTGCGGGAGAGGGCGTTGCAGGGTGACTCTGACTCCCAGCAGTCTGATTAGGCGCTCCTACTACCAGCTGTCTTTGCAACTGCTTGTTGGACTTTCCATATCGGACCCGTTCTAGTGTGAACTGATTTGTCCAAGCTCAAGCAGCATGGAACGGCAATGCGAGAGATGAGGAACTTCCCTGTTATGTAGCCATCGATCAAGCGGCCACACCCAGTCAGGTAGGTCAAAGTGCATGCTGCGGATCTTGATACTCCCCAATTCTTAGCTTCGTAAACCATTCTATTCCTCAACTCCGGCGTCATTCCTCAGTACTCCAGATTCTTCCCTATTCATTGAGAAATGCTATGAGACGCTCGTCATGTGTGTACCGGTGGATCCGAAGTTCTTTTCGCTTCCTGCGTGCATGGAGCTATTCACTGCTGGCCGGGGATAGCACAGAGCAGCTCATTCATTGCTCATGGACGTATTCCTCGCTGTCCGACGCTGGCGAGTTTGCTCAGGAGAGTACTTATGTCTGGCAACCCTCCTCAGTCCAGTCGCGAACTTACCCAACACTCCATCCTTCTCTCCATATTACCGACATCGAGGACTCCATTCTCACTTATCCTTTCCCACATCTGCACCCGGATTCCATCAACAAAGCCACCCTCACTGACACTTTCGACTTTCAACATGAGTGATCAGCCTCCTCAGCTCTTCACCTGGGAAGAGCGTACGAACCTGCAGCGCGGTGCTGACCAGATCGGTACCCTGAAACCATTGTACGACGGTGGAACCCTTCGGTGTTCAACAATGTCGCCCCTGTCGCCGTGCATCCGGTCACTGGCACGATTGTCGGCCAGCAAGTTGAGCTGTGCATCGACTTCCACAGCAACCAACGTCAATGCCAACAGATCATCGACAGAGTGCTCCCGGTGCTCGAGGCAGCACAAGATAGATTCCGTGAAGAGACACCATCGGTTTGGACTCCGTTACGCATCGGAATCGGACAAGCCATCGCCGCCGCGGAGAGAATGGGAAACAGGTTGAGGGCAATGCACTGGGCCAGTGAGGCGTGGGCGAGTACCTTGACTCCAGCGCAGAGAGACGAAGTCTCGCATAGGGCAGCGCAGGCCATTGTCGGACCCTTGGGACGTGTCTAGCCTCGGGCGCGGAGTACACCGGATGAAGGGCTGTAAGGATGGTTCAGCAGTTACGGTAGGGGCGTGAGGTTGCTTCCCATTCTTGGGCGACTGCTAACCTTTATTCAGCATCGACGGGAAGCTGGTGCAGGAATCTGTTTTTTGGAATTTGACGCATATGTAGGAAAGTCAATGGGTGTCACGTTCGGTCATAGATATTAATGTAGCTGGGTGCATGTGCACATCAAATACCTCTCCAATAGCTTTATGAGGAGTGGTTTACAAATGCATGACAACAGTCTTTCATACGGCCCCATCAATTCCCCAAGTCAGGAAGCTGGATCAACCAAGTCGACTCGAGACGGTCACGGGCCGTGAGGCAGCGCAAGGATATAACGGCGTGGTGCAGTCAATGTACTTTAAACCCCTTCCGTCATTCACTGGTTTTCCAATACTGAGAGGGCTCACATCTTGCTCAACGCTAATTCCAGCAAACTAATTCCTGTGCGCAGGTTATAAGCAGCAATAGCCAGTCGTAAGCTGCACAATCACTTACTATATTTCGCACACAACAGCTTCGAGATCATCACCCAAGCTGAATCTGACGATCGCACCATTGGTCACATACAGCCCCCTCTGTCGAGGCTACGATGGTAGAGAGCGAGGGTATCTTCACCGAGAAAGAGCGTGAGTCAATAAGAATCCCCATCAACCTAATCCACGATGTACGCGAGCAGTGTGCGGAGTGGCAACTACAGAACTTACCCAGCCTGTGCGAGAGGGAGAAAGCTCCGGCCTACGTCGACTTCCATTCCAAGAGGCCTCGCTACGATGGCTACCTTGATTCTTGCGTATCCCCAGTAATGGATGCACTGAATTGACTTGACGAGGCGAACGACGACCACGTGCAGCATAGAGAAGATAAAGTGTGCCTTTTCCTGGGCCCTGGCATGAAAGCTCATGGAGAATGTCCGGATATAATTCGTGAGATGCGGCAGGTGACTGATGCGTGGGCGGCGACCTTGACGGAGCAGGAGCGAGAGACTCTCCAGAGCGACCTCGGATACGCCATAATCATGGACACATGATCTGCGGGGTACTCGTCGTGTTATCTTCGCGAGGTAGAAAGGCGATAGCTGGACGTGGAGCTGCGTAGAGGCTGTCAGCCAACTTGGTGTGGGAATTCCAGGGTAGGTAGATGTTTCTAACAGACAATGTATTGACCAAGTGGTCCCCTGGTTTGCTTGCTGTATGGACACAATATAATAGAGCTTTACAGACCTTGTGGATTGCTCAGACATTGGTGATGATTCGCGCAGACAATGATCACAAGTCGCTGTCAAACGCCGTTGCGAAGTGGGTATGGAATTAGCCCACAGCAAAGCCAGGACGCCCCCCTAAATCCTGAACCGGAGGATAGTATTGAACAGGGACATCGCCCAATGTCGTCGTAATTCGACTCCCGGAGCTGTTTGCACCACTGCCAGCCAGCAAGGGGGCGTTGAAAGCCTGGTAGAGATGTCAGCAAACCGATCAATCGGCGGAGTAGAATTATCTTCGTACCTCAGCAAGCTCCAACGGCGAGAACGAAGCCGATCGTCCAATCCTCCACCAACCCCAGTAAGTCGGCAAGATGAACGCCATGCAAACCAGATCCACCATCACAGCAGCAAAAAAGAAGACAAAGTCGATACGGTAGACATTGTGCTCTCCCTGTCGATACCCGGTGGTAGTAGTGTTGACTTCAAGCCCCGGGTCCAAAGCGTGTCTGAGGAACGACGGATCCTCTCTTCCGGCCACCATGCCAGTAAGGAACATCAAGGAGTTTAAGCTCTGCACAACGGTGTCGTAGGGATCGTCAAACGAGACCCCGCAAGCAGAAACAGGGTCCGCCCTCATGAACTGCATGTATGAGGTGCCATGTGACATCGACGTTGGACCCGTGTTTACCTCTCCATAAGTAGCGTAGGAGGTAGTCCACTGCGTACGCAAGAGCGTTACAATACCAGCCAAGGTCGACTGGTACATGCCACTATCCAAAGTATGGTTCATTGCCGCGTTGTTCGCGAAGGAGACGATTCGAGGCGGTGTCTGGTCCAGGGTCACCCGGTTGTTGTCGATAGTCACGTCGTACTCTCCAACAGCGGACGCGAAGGTGCAGGCGCGATATTTGAACGTTCCCTCACATCCGTCCATTGTTGCGTGGCCAGTGAACAAGTTCAATGTCTCGTGTTCGTCGTCGATCAAGAGGCTGGGTCCAATGATGAGCTGTCTATGCCCAAGGTCCACGGCTGGTCCATTGGTCGTCGCCTTTGCCATCCTCTGAGACATCGGAAGGGAGTAATTGCTTTTCAAAGTGCGGGAGGAGCACGCAACAGGCGAGAGTGCCGGGGCTTTCACCTTCGCTCTACACACTCCGTCGCAACCATGTATGAAATCACGCAACGGCCCATCCGAGAGCCATTTGGACCCCAGCTGGTATTGGAAGTGTGCAGACAGCTGAGCGTACAGCTTGTTCGAGGCGTGGCCGGTTGCTGTCGGGATAGTGTCGTTAAATGCCTGATCCCACCGCCCCCAATCGCGATTCCACCAGCCTGTGTAGCCTGTTGGAATCTCGGGACTGATGGTAACGTTCAGAGGTACGGTTCCAATGAGACTCTCTGGCACGACCGTTGTTGCACGCTGTAGAAGAGGCGCATTGGCTACAACAAGTACGGAGCAGATGCATGCAAGTCCAAGCAGACCCATGCGTCTCCCAGAGGCCATTGCACCCACGACGGTGGTACCAGCTCGCCAATCATAATGGAGTCTCGCGAGACTGGATTGGCAGAGTGGAATCAGCTGAAGCATCTCTGGGGTTGATGGCATTTACGTACGTCGTACCGCGCAATGCTCTGCTCCACCATGCGATGGCGACACCTTGGACACATGCGTACCTGATCTCCAGATTGGCCACGGCAGTACAGATGGCCAGGTAGGTGGAGGGAGGCGCCTTCCAGCTCGTGACTGCCGCATGGTTCGACCCTAGGAGTATGGCGAGGCTTGCCAGCATGCTTCCAACGGCCACAAGCATGACGCAGAGACCGCTCATAGGCCCAATGCGAAGCAGTGAAGGCTTCCACGGATGATCGCGCTCCCGAGATCCCGTCGAGGCAGGCGAACCGCCGCGCGTGCTTACTGCTAAAGTGGTGACGACCCAGGGGCTTTTGGGTGTCCTGGCAGCTGCGGAACTGCTGTTAATGGTATCCTGACCGGTACTGTAGACATCATCATCGTTTTGTGTTTGGACAGACTTGGTATCGAGCTCTGGCCACCATCGTGATCTCTCGTCGTCGTCGAGAGGCGACCTGTTGCCATCCGCCAGAGTCGTGGTGTTCACGTTGTGCTGTTTGAAGTCAGGCTGGACCCCGTGAATCCGCTGTTGTGGCGCATCCACTGTATTTGCCATTAATTCCCTGCTGTGCTTGAGAGATTTAGCAAACGGCCTAGATGACGGTGGTAACGTGCCAGAGCAGAGACTTCACTTCAAGAGGATTGCCTACGCCTTATCACTTCTCTGAGCGCCGAAGCCATTGAAGAGTAGTCAGCAGCACGGTATGGCGGTAGGGCTGCACCCCCAGCTTCAACGCACACAGGCATATTGTACCAGCAGTGACTCAACTCAACCGAAGCTGCACTGTCGACGCCGATCCTGCTTACATGTGCATGTTGTCCAGGCTAGTGATGACCAAGATGGAAGCTTGCGTCCGAATGGGTTAGATGACGGGATAAGCCAGCTGAGATACACCTCAAAGATCTGTCTGGTAGGAACTAGGTGGTGATTGTGTTATCGACGGGCTGCTGTATGCGGTATACGGGCCGCCATTGCCTTGAAAATCCTCATCACTCAACACTACAGTTGAGGATGAATATGACCGAGAAGAAGACAGCAGCGCTGGAGATGATGTGTCGGCTTCCTGCCCGGTCGTCGACCTGCGAAGTACGCGTGGTAGTCCCGTCTTGTCTTGTACAAGCAGAGAGTTTTGGCAGATCAATCAACCGGCCAAACACGCTCGGCCGATGTCGGCGCTCTACAACATTCACTTCCACCCCGCTTAAAGCAACGGACCTCGTTGCATGTGACAGTCACCAAACCAACCAACCATGCCAGACATGCTCGACGACCGCTCCCAACACTGCGTCCCATTCATTCTCGACCGCATATCAGACCACCGCGCACACTACCAAAGCAAAAACGAACAGCCACCCCCATTCTTCCTTGGCCTCAATGGCGTCCAGGGCGCCGGCAAGACAACGCTCGTAAACACCCTGCACGAAACACTTACACAGCCGCCTCATAGTCTGCCCACACTCGTGCTGTCGATCGATGACCTGTACCTCCCACATTCAAAGCAGGAAGAACTCGCTGCTGTCCACCCGGACAATCCTTTGGTGCAACATCGCGGCGAGCCGTCAACTCACGATATTGAGCTTGGGAAGAGGCTATTCCGCTCCTTAGCGAGTCGTGAGAGCAACATCAAAGTCCCGGGCTATGACAAGAGCGCTTTCAACGGCGCTGGCGATCAGAAGCCGGAGGGTGAGTGGGCAGTCGTCAACGAGGATGGGAAGGAGAAGGTGGACGTGGTGATCTTCGAAGGGTGGTGTGTTGGATTCCGGGCTCTGAGCGACGGTGAGGTGGAGGACAAATGGAAGCGGGCGAAGGAGGAGTTTGAAAGGAAGGGGGATGGCTACAAGGGACAGCTGGGGAAGCAGAGGTTGGAGAGCGTGATGTTTGTGAATGAGAAGTTGAGGGAGTATGATGAGTTGACGGATCGATTTGGGGCGTTCATCCATATGTGAGTCGCAGAGAGTTTCACCTTTGTAGGGGCCAGCACTGATGCATGAGACAGAGATGCTGAAGACCCGCTCTACGTGTACGACTGGCGCTTGGAGCCTGAACGGGCGATGCGAAAGGAGAAAGGCAAGGGAATGAGCGACGAGCAGGTCATCAAGTTCGTCGACGGCTGTAGGTACTTCTGATCGCTTCCAAAAGTGGCAACACTGACAGACATCGCAGACTTCCCAGCCTATGAGCTGTACACCGATGTTCTGCGCAACGGAATCTTCGGCGACGAGAAAGGAAAACAATTACGGCTCGTGGTCGAGAAAAATCGGCGTGTGAAGGATGTCCACCATCAATAGGAGGCTTCGTCTGCCAAGGACTTTTGAGTATTTCATACATGTGCCAATTATGGCTCATCTACCACCTGGGTCGTCCGACCAGCCGAATGGTGCTCTAACGCCTCGAACCCATTCTCCGTCAGCCTGACAGCTCCTGCGCGCACCAATGCTTGCGACAAATCATCAACCAAATCCGTCAAGTCTTCGATCCCAACACACAGCCTGATGATGTCTTCGGGAAGCGCCCGCTCCTTCCGCGTTGCTGGATCGATCGAAGCATGGCTCATGCGGCAGGGCATGGAGATCAAGCTGTTCACACAGCCGAAAGACACCGAGATGCCGAATAATCGCGTCGCCTCAACAATCCGCTCCGACAGCGCAATCGACCCAGTCTCGAAGCTCAGCACAGCGCCGGCCCCTCTCGCCTGCGACCAGTGCAGTGCATACTGAGGATGCGACTTCAAGCCCGGATACCGGACCTTGAAACCATGAGATTCCAAGAACTGCGCGATCGCCATCGCATTCGCCTGCTGCTTCTCCATGCGCACGGAAAGCGTCTTGATACCTCGCAGAAGCAGCCAGCTATCGAAGGGCGCCAAACCGCAGCCGGTGGAGTTGATCATGAAGTAGAACTTCTCGCCCAGCGCGACGTTGTTGACGCCAATGACACCAGCCATGACGTCGTGATGGCCGGAGAGGTACTTCGTTCCACTCTCGTATACGACGTCGGCGCCGAGATCGAGCGGGTTCGCCAAGTATGGAGAAAGCATGGTGTTGTCGACAGCGACAATCGCGGAAGGGTTCGCGGCATGAGCAGCAGAGGCGATACCGGCAACATCCGCGACCTTGATCAGAGGGTTCGTAGGCGTCTCGAGTAGCACCATAGCAGTCTTCTCCATCAAGACTCCTTGCACCGATTCCAACGTCGTCGTATCCACATGGTGCACGATGATCCCTCCATTCTCCTTCAAGTACGTGAGCAGGCGATTGGTGCCGCCGTACAAGTCATTCCCCGTAACAACCTCGTCGCCCGGCTTCAATATCCTCGTGATCACATCACAAGCGCCCATGCCAGACGAGACAACCAGCGCGCGGTTCGCGTTCATGATCTTGGCCAAGTGCCTTTCCAAATGGGACCTCGTAGGGTTGCCACTGCGCGTGTAGTCGTACTCTTGTCCCGGTCCGCCCTTGAACGTCGCGGACTGGTAGATGGGTGTGCTGGAGGAGTTGAACTGGTCGTTGCTCTCGGTATACACCAGCTCTGTCGCGAGGGCATACTTGCGGCCCGCGGAAGGGCTCGAGGGGGCGGGAGAAGGCGGCAGCTCGTGGCCGTCGAGGTCGAGGTGTTTCATGGCTTTGCCGATGCCGTTTGGGATGCCGTTGGGGTCCATGGTGAGGTGGTTGGTAGTTTTTTATCGAGGGCTCTGTGAATTTTGCCGTCAGCGAGAGGCGCGAAAGCCATGGTCGGTGGCCGGACTTACAGAGACCTCGTTGCGGCTGGATTATGAGGGTGGAATGGTGGGCAGAAGTCTGGTTGAACGAGACTCCCGTGGGTGTGTGATGTCAAGATGTGGTGGTGGAGGTGAGAGTCAGATTGAGAAATGCAGGTGACCGCTCTGCAAGGGACCGCGGAGTCTGCAGATCCGACGTCGGTCGGCAGTTGTTGGAGAGGTCTGCCCGCCACAACACTCTTTCACAGGCGATGACGAGCACTGAACTGGGACGACAGTGCTGGAAGAGTGCTCGAGGGTAACACGACCTGCCAAGTCAGCAGTTGCTGAGAAAACACAAACCATATCGTTAACATTGAGCCCGTACGATGACCCGTTTCGTAGAGAAGACATTAATATTCGATGCTACGTCCAATGCAAATATGCCGTCTATGTGCACTGCCCTTCGTGATCATGTGAACCATTCAGTCATAAGCACCAGCTCCTACTATCATCTACCTCCGTAGAACTCTGATCATTGCCATCCCTGCTCACCGCGAGCAGTAAATGTCCGTCGCAGTAGCATTCACATACCGCCCCGCCTTGCTGCTGATAAAGTCCAGGGGCGACAGATACTCATCAAACAGCAAACATCCCGTCTCCAGCTGTCCTCCTTTGGTTCCATAGTAGCCCTTCGGCGTCGGGACTTGGTTGGCGATAAACGACGACTTGCACTGTCCCGGGTTCCCGTAGCCGAAGCATTGCTCCTTGCACTGCTGCGCATCCTCTGCCTGTGACTGGCCGGAGGTGAAGTAGGCTTGGTACAGCAGGTGGTCGGTGACGAAGTCTGGGTTGGGCTTGTAGCCATCGACGTTGGAGCTTCCGCAGTTAGCGAAGGGGAGAGGGTTGATCACTGCGCAGCTGGCAGGGACTGGCACAGAAGCGGGACCACCGGCGCGCTCGACGAGAGGCGAGGCGGCTGCCAGGAGGGGGAGGAGAGATGCGAGGAAGGCTGAGGGATGCATTGTCTTCTTGGGTGGTTGGTGGAGTTGAAGTGGTTGAAGCTAGTGATGATAGCTTCTGTGGTGATGAGAATCGAGAGTTGATAGAGCGAAGCAAAGATGGTATTCTTTAGATATTGGGTGTGATGAGACGGGAGTACAAGGAAAAGGTGCAAGGCAGCTGCATATATACCCTATTGCTCAATACGTGGACCTGCGCTCACCTCTCGCCTTCGTACGTTGGTGAGACCATCAGCCCTGCCGAAAGCGTGCAGCAAACAGTTACAATGCGATACGATTGCTGGAGGCGGGAAGCCGGGTGAGCCTCACGAGAGTTGACGTAAGGTGTAGCCGTTGCACGAGGCTGATTCTCGTGTTCGAGAATAGCTGGAAGCTTTGGTTGGATGCTGCTTGCGGTCATGCCGGCGGGAGCTGAGGAGTACCAGCGACATAGCCATTATGGGCGCAGTGAGTGGCGTTCCCGGCGGGCAGACAGTCTCTGAAGGCGTTGCCGACAGTAGATGTTCGTTATGGCAGGAAGAAGACAGCATGGTTTTGCGGATTCCAAGGAAGAGGAGGAAAGAAGCTTTGCTCGCAGCGTGGCACAGGCGCTCTTAGGACCTCCCATCTCACGTCTTCCTGCTCTTTCGACACCGCAAGACAGTCACCGCCTCAACCAGACTGCAATTCCATGTGCTCAGAAAGCATGTCGGCGCGGGAGTCTCCGAAGTCCACAGTCGCAGCAGGAGAACAGCAAAAAGAAGATGATTCCTCATCGATGCCCCTCGGCCCTCTTCTACATCGGCAGGCCGGATGATGCGCGCAACGATGACATAGCTCCTCCTCTCACGTCCATGTGTGTCAGCAACATATACCAGATGTGGAGAGCAGTAGGCAAGTCTTCTCTTTGAAACGTCTCCTACAACCTGACATGAACCTTCCTCTCGCACGTCTTCCATCTCGTCCATTTCCCTTCTCCTCTTCGAAGCCTTCCTCGCTCCATCCCCTTCAACGAGCTACAGCAACACCTCCGAGCCAACGACCACTTCACACCCGGCACCATGAGCAACATCTTCGACTCGCAGACGGCGTCCGTAGGTCAGTACCCGCACCACCTCCACCACAAAAGCGCTGGCATTCGAGCAAACCTTCGAAAGTAGAGAGCTCGCAGAACCCGCTGTCCGGCCTTTGGAAGCCTGCTCACCTTCAACGCCTCTACTATGGCTCGGGATCTGTTAAGAAGAACCTCACCGAGTGCTTGCCGAAGGAGTCGTCGAAAGCCTTCATTGTCACCGGCAATTCGCTGTCGAAGACGGGCTTGATCAAACAGGTGGAAGAGCTGTTGGGCACGAAGCATCATGTCGCTACATACTCGAAGATCGGGCAGCATGCCCCAATCAAACAGCTGGATGAGGCGACAGAGCAGGTCATGAAGGACAGTGACATCGATACCATCATCTCTGTTGGCGGAGGTACGTCAATGGGCGCAACCCTACCATATCTCAGACGCTCGCTAACCGCGTCGTCCTTCTGTTGCAGGCTCCCCTATCGATTCTGCTAAGGCCATCTCTTACCGAGTGAACGAGCGGCAGCCGGGGAAGTTTCTCTACCACATTTCCATCCCTACCACCCTAAGCGCAGCAGAGCCGACTATGGCAGCTGGCTATACAAACGAGGAGGGCATCAAGACAGGTGTCGCACACCCCGAGCTCGTACCGCACGTCATCATCTACGACAGCACGTATGCGCTCGAGACTCCTCCTTGGCTGCTCATGTCCACCGCTATGAGGTCGATGGATCATGCTATGGAGTTGATGTGTAAGCTCAGTCCATTCATGTGTCCAACAACCACTGACACCTGGCAGACCACCCCACGTCGACAGAAATGCCCTGCAGACAAATGGCCATGTATGCCGCCGGCGAGCTCTACGACAACCTGCCGAGGTACAAGTCCAACCCCAAGGACGAGCAAGTCATCACCCGACTGCAGCTCGCCGCCTTCGCATCTCTCGGTTTCCTAGCACTGAATGTCAAGGGCGGGCTTGGCCTTTCGCATGGCCTTGGCTATGCACTGGGTTCGCCCTACGGCATACCCCATGGCATCACATCATGTCTCACGCTCGGCCATGTCGTGAAGCTGAAGGCCGAGAGTTCGGACGACGACGCGGCGCAGATTGCACGTATGGCGTCCCGGGTGGGTGTCAAGCCGTCTGGCGATAACAAGAAGGACGCCGTGGCTGTGGGTGACGCGATACTGGACCTAGTCAAGCGACTCGATCTCCACACGACGCTGACGGAGAAGGGCGTGTCGAAAGATGATGTGAGCAAGATCACCAAGATGGCGACGAGGCAGGAGTCCGGCCCGTTGTATGATAAGGTAGCCAAGCTTGTGGAAGGCTTGTATTGAGGTGCCGTAGTCTAGCTATACATGAAAGACTCCGAGCTAGCTGAACAACTTCTCAGCATTCCCATGGTAGATCCTCTCAACCTCGTCTTTCCCAAACATCCCTTGAACACCCTCATCCATCTTCCCAGCCAGCATCTCCACCCCCTCAGCCTTCGTGAACGGGTAATCACTCCCATACAATAAACGACTGGACGTCGCCCCCGCCTCCATCAACCCTTTCAGCTGACCCGGGAACGGAAACCCAGCAACATCAAACCACACCTGCCGCATGAACGCCTCCCTCGCCTCTTGTTCCGCCACACCCGTCCACGGCCCCGGAACCAGCGTCGAGAAACCCGTGAACCTGGACAGCATGGGCGGCATAGCCCCACCGCAATGTGGGAAGATGAACTTGATATCCGGACATCGCTTGATCGTCCCGCTAAGGAAGAGGTTCGTCACGATCCGTGCCGTGTCGAAGAAGAACTCCGTCATCGGGTTGGGATACTTGCTCGCCAGCGGGGCGGCTTTTATCGGTTTCTCGCCTGCTTCTAGTGCTTGCGGCGAGCATGGGCATGTAGGAGTAGTGGGGTGGAAGAAGAGAACCGCTTTCCTGCGATTCAGCTCGTCGAAGACAGGATCCAGCGAAGAGTCGCCGGGGTAGACGCCGTGGCCATTGCTCATTATCACAAACCCATCGCAGCCCTCCTCGGACGCCCTCCTGATCTCCTCAAGACAGATCTCAACATCCGGGACAGGCAGGGAGGCGAAATACCCGAACCGATCAGGCATCCTACGTTTGAGGCCAGCAGCGTATTCGTTGCATTCGCGGGTCACTCTGGCAGCCAAAGCGGGGTCGTTGGCGACGAGGTGGGTGCCGGGGGAGGAGATGGAGAGGATGGATTTGCGGATGGAGAGTTTGTCCATGAGGGCGAGGTGGGCTTCGGGGGACCACTCGGGGAGGTAGGGCATGCTGTCGGGGGATGTGGTGTTAGCGGGGAGGGTTGAGATACATGAGAAGAGTCTACAGTCAATCATGGTGGTAACAAGGAGATGTTGAAGACGTACCCGTCGGGATTTGCTGGGGCTTGTTAGTAGGTTCGAAACATTGATAGCTGTCATTGTCTCACCGTGGCCATTCTCAATGCAAGCTTGTCGGTACGCCGGCGGCAAGAAGTGCGAGTGCGTGTCGATGCGGTATGGCATGGAACCCATTGTCCAGTCTCGGATCGATCGAGAGTGGCCTTTTAACGCCGTCAAACTGATGTTCGATATATTTGCTCGATATATGCTCGGTTGGTTAGCATTTAGTGCTTGAGATTGAGCGAATGCATTGGAGATCAATGGCACGACGACCTTACCAGATTACAGCGTTCGCTCCTGGTTAATTATCAGACTTCACTATTTCGCCTATTCGCCGTCGGTACTATGACTGTGCCACCATGTGCTCCCGAGAACGTCGTTGACTATGAGGTGGACGATCGAGAACACAACAGCGCCGTGATAGTCTATTCGCGGCCAAGAAACTCTCGTACGGGCCACTCGATGAAATGCTATGCACCTCAAAACATTCTATATCGTTCCTTAGACTGGAACACTACAGCTTCGGCAACCGCTGCAGTGCTCAAGGTTGTGGAGCCAGAGCTCCGCTCTACACCCGCTCAAAGGAGGTGCAGCTCCCTTAGAACTATCAGCTCCGTGTTTGTGGAGCTGAATATTATGCCACGTTACGAGAATCGATAATATTGAGCGAAGGCGAAGCGATCGGGCGACTTGATCCAGACCAACGCTCGCGATCCAAGTCCAATTTCGTAGAGACGTGGAGAGACGCATAAGAAAGAGAGAACATGAAGTCCAATGGCGTGGGCTGTAGGACGTGTTCGGGCCATAGTTTGTAAGGTACATGTAGTTAGACTACGCAGCCAAGACCCGAGCTGAAGACCCGAGGGCCCGAGTCCCGATGATTCTCTACTCTGGTTATATGAGGGAAAGGAGGCTGTAGTGGCATGTCATGCATGGAGAAGGTCAGACTGCACCACAACACCATTTAAGCTGTCGTCGCTCCCACCCAGGGATACGATGTCCCTTCGCCATAGGCGCATACCCAACGTTCACACCAGTTGATCATGGCTTCATTCCTACTCAAAGACGTCCGCATCTTCGACGGCCAGGACACAAGTGAGCAGGGCCATGTCCTCGTTGAAGATGGCAAGATATCCAAAGTCTCCTCATCACCAATCAACTACGCGGGCACGACCTATTCCAAGCCGGGCCATACAGTGTTGCCAGGCCTGATCGACGTCCACGTCCACTGCGATGGCGGCAACGAGGTGGCACTCCCGCAGTCCCTACGCTTGGGCGTGACGACCGTGTGCGACATGGGTAACGAGTGGCCCAACATCCAAAAGCTGTTCAAGCAAAGGGAAGGTGGCGACTGTGCTGATCTCAAGACCACGAGCTTCCCCGCGACCGTCGACAACGGCTGGCCGATTCCGATCATACTCGCCCATTCTTCTGATGAGAAGGTGAGAGCAGCAGAGCAAGCTCCGCGACTGGTTGCATTCCCTTGCTAACGAGGACGATACTTAGACGCTGGCTGAGGTTGCTACGTATCCGAAACTGGTGACTGCCGAAGATGGTAGGAAGTATGTCCAGGATAGAGTCGAGGAGAACGTCGACTACATCAAGCTCATGCATGAGTCTGGCCGCGTGATGGGTGCCGAGTTCAATAAGCCGACGTTGGAGTTGCAAAGGGCTGTGATTGAAGAAGCGCACAAGTCTGGCCTCATGGTTGTTGCTCACGCCACATGTCTGGATGACACGCTGGAAATACTGGAAGCTGGCGCTGATGGCCTCACTCACTGCTTCATCGATCAGAAGCCGGACCAAAAAGTGATTGCTGCATACAAAAAGAACAATGCGCACTGCAATCCAACGCTTTCAGCCATGGGCAGCGGCACCGAAGAAGGAAAGAAGACGCAAGAGAAGTTCGCTCACGATCCTCGCGTGCAGCACCTCATCGGTCAAAGCGGGCGAGAACAAATGTGCAAGTGCATGTCGTTCGCTAAACGGACAGGGGCGTCGTTCGAACATGCCTTCGAGACGGTGCGGCAGTTGAAAGCTGCTGGTATTGAGATCTTGTGGTAGGACGTGACACCCTACCTGAATACAGTCGGAGCTGACAATTACCCGTAGTGGCTCGGACGCAGCAGGTCCAGCTGTAGGCACCGGATACGGCCTGACGATGCACCAAGAGCTGTCGCTGTTCGTCAACGCGTGCGGTTTCACACCAGCCGAAGCGCTGCGATCTGCCACTGCTGCGCCGGCGAAGAGGTTCAATTTCTCTGATCGCGGGCAGATTAAAGAGGGCCTGAGAGCGGACTTGGTGCTGATTGAAGGCAACCCCATGGAGGACATCGACCGCACGCTGGACTTGCGAGGAGTTTGGACGGCGGGTGTGCTGTGCTCGGCCTACAGGGATAGTCTGTAGTGTGCTGAGAGGCCGCCTCACTTTATGCTCGTTGCTCCGCAATCGTCCCGCTGCCTGGTGATGGCGAATGCATTAATCATACCACCGCAAGCCCTTTCGTCCGTAGATTGCATTTGTTGAGCGATTGAGCGTCTGTGCTGTTCGAAAACTTCTGCACTTCCAAATCGTCCATGATGACGTCCATCACCCAGCATGTGACAGAGTCATAACGATGACATGTGAAAGTCTCTGCCCCAGCCAAATCTCCCACCGCCCGAAGATAGACCTCGGATCGGATTCGGAGCCAAAACACGTGGGCAGATAGCGAAAAGCTTGTAAAGTTACGGGCAAAGATTCTTCCCAACGAATTTCCGGGGGATCCACAGGGACCTCGGTGAGAGAGAGGGAAGGAAAATGTTTGCCTCGTCCGGTGCTAACTTACTCAGATTCAACACCGGTCAGACCGTCGTGGTGTCCGCGCTATCGTCGCGAAGAGTCACAAGAGTGGTATCCCAGCAGCGATGTGAGGAAGCAGATGCCGCTCCTCCACATTCCGCCGCCGGCCGAGAGAGCCCACGCAAGACAAAGCCACCTCCACGGCACGACACGGAGTAATCTTGGATGTCGTCTGGGGTGTGTGCATGTGCACAGCAGCTGGCCGGGGTATGAGAGCGAAAAGGAAGTCGATTCCGATAGCGGGATTACCGGCGCTGATAGGCCGACTCTTCGAATGAAGGGATGAGACAGGACGAGGGTGCTGGCACGTCCTCGACCAACACATTCCTATTATCCTTCCTGGGAGTGTATCTGCAGCATGGGAAGCTGGGCCTATAAGGCTCCTTCAAAGCATCACGAGGTTTCGCGATCGTGGGGGGGAATCTTGGGGGATTCTGGAAGAAACAAAGAAGGGCGGCTTTTCCGTCTGGCGCCCCTAGGCAAACGCCATCCTGCGCACAGCCCTACCCCGTGCAGAGGGAGTGGAGCGCATCTCGATGAGGTGCTCCGAGGACGTTCTTGCGATTCATAAAGATGGCGTCTTCGTGGATAATTTATCCGTCTGGTAGGAAGAATGCGACAGGCCTACCGCTACCGACACTCCACAATCTTGGATGCAAAAGACCACGCGGTTTAAATAGCCGTGGAATGCGGAGAGCGGAGAGCGCTAGACGGCGATGGATAATTTGTAGCAGAGATCCAGGCCCGTGGGAGTGGTGCAGCATGGGTAGGGAGACAGATTGGCTGAACATCCCTGCGCTTGGCTGGCTCTTGGATGTTGTGTGGATGCCATACTGTTGCATCGTGCTGCACCGCTTAGGGGATGATGGGGGAGTTGCAGGGAGCATCGCGTGTACGAATAATCAGAAGAGTGGTTTAAGGATGCGTAGATGGATGGAGAAGGAAGCTCGAACACCACCACACATTCCCCAGATTGATCGACCATCCCGCGTTCGTTTCAAACGACATCCCCCAAGGACGTCATCCATCGTGATTCCTTATCTATAGGCATGGTGTTGGGTGTTTGAGACGAGCCAGATTCGCAAATATACGCGAGATCGCAGACCATTACGATAACAGAGATCTTGATAGTACCTCCTAGCAGGCAGTTGTAGATCAGATAGACTCGCCAACACCAGTTCTTCGTGTTTATGCAATACTCCACCATCTCCACGACCTCCAGTCGATCAGGAGACGGATTATCTCCAGACGCCAGTGTCACAGACACAGGGCCACCGCTGTTCTGCTCGCCCACGAATCTGTTGGGCTGTCGCCATCATTACCAGTCCTTGCCAGACATGAGAGCCGGCCAGCGCTACCGCCAGATAGCATTTTTTTTCAGCGAGGCTCCACTCGTCGTGAAGATTTGATTCACGAGCCGCAGGCCCGTAGTCCCACAATAAACTCATCGTCACTGTCACCCATCGTCAGCGCGCCGGCAGTCGCAGTCATCAGAACAGCCAGAAGAGACGGGCTTGCCAGAAGACGCCTCTCCCGGGCGAGGACTGGAGTGCGTGCGTGCTCGCTGTTCTGCTGTGGAGGTTGTACCACGGATGCGCCGCGAGCAAGAGTCTGGACTACGCCTCCGCAGCTGCGCCGTGCTTCGCCTGACTCTCACGAAACAGGAGCGGCGGGAGGGCAGCCGTAAAGCCTATTGTCAGCACGGGGTGCAGTGGAGGAGGAGACAGACGCAGGAACCAACCAAGCAATCGCACGCACAAGCTGCTCTTCTCGCCAGTGCTTCGGCTAATTGGGGACAGCGAGACGAGACGACGTGGCCTTATCGCGGGCAGGACAGAGGGCGACATCATCCTCCCATCCACCCATCCACCCATCCTCACCCCTTCCTTCGTCGTGGGGAAGGCGCCCCACAGCCTCGGATTGCGCGCCCCTACTCTTCCCGATCGCCCACTCTCTTGTGTCTGCCACCAAACACTTACGCACCTCCTCTTCTCCTCACTCCCACTGCCGTACGTACCGCTGGATACTCGCACTTAACTCCCTCGGCTCTTTCCCCCACATCTGCCTGCCCTTGCTGCCAGAATACGTACCCCGGAGACGCCGCCGCCGCAGCACAACTCCTGTCCGATCCTTTTTTTATTCCCACGCTTACTTAACCTTGGCTCTCTCCGCATTTCACATGCTGTCACAACTTTTGAACCACGAGCGCAGTGCCCAGTCGCAACAGTCGCCGCACCAGCACAACGACACCGCTGCCACGATAACGTCGATACCGGCCTCGTCCAACGCAGAAGCGTCCGCGCCGTCCTCGTCAGACCCCATGGCCGCCGTGCAAACGATGCAGGCAGTGGGTGCGACCATGCAGAACCAGGACGAGAACCGATCAGACCTTCCGCGACCTTACAAGTGCCCGCTCTGCGATAAGGCATTCCACCGTCTCGAGCACCAAACCCGACACATCCGCACACACACCGGCGAGAAGCCGCACGCCTGTCAGTTTCCTGGCTGCACCAAACGCTTCAGTCGCTCGGACGAGTTGACCCGGCACTCAAGAATACACAACAACCCCAACTCAAGACGTGGCAACAAGCAGCATGCTGCCGCACAAGCAGCAGCGGCTGCCTACCAAGGTGGTCTGCTCGACAACCCGGCACTCCAGCAGATCAACTCCCTCAACTCGTTCAACAATCAGATCAGCTCCCTTGCGCAGTTGAACCAACTGAACCAAATGAACCAGCTCAACCAAGCAAACGCCGTCAACCAGCTCAACAACGCCAATCAGATGAATCAAATGAACGGCCTCAATCACATCACCTCCATGCCACCGCCGCCGCCTCAGCAACAGAAGGCTCCGAATTCGGCGCCCAGCTCTGGCATGAACTCACCCAACGTCTCGCCACCTCACACGTACGCCAACTTCTCCAGCAACCCGAGTTCCTACATCACGCGAAACGTCAGTGGTGACATCAGCCCTGCGGCCGGCAACTTCCACCGACCCATGGACATCAACATGCTCGCCACGGCTGCCTCGCAGGTAGAGCGCGAGAACAACAACGTCTCTCAGATCCCGAACCAGCACCTTTCGCTACCCACGAGAGCGCCTTACACCTACCACAACCACCCTTACCATACTGGTCGCATGCCGTCACTTTCTTCCTACCACTACTCCTCAAACCCCACGTCGCAACCCATGTCCCGGTCGCATTCGCATGACGAGGACGACCAGTATGGAGGACGAGCGACGAAGAAGTCGAGACCTGGCTCCCCTCAATCGACCGCGCCACCGTCGCCAGAGTTCCCGCACGAATCAACATCTCCCACTCCCGACCACACCCCTCTCGCCACACCCTCTCACTCACCACGCCTGCGACCGCAGTACTTCCATAACGGCGTCCAGCTCCCGACTCTCCACCACCTATCTCTGCAGAACCAGCCACCTCCCGCGCTCGCCCCGGTAGAGCCTTCAGCGGACGGTCAACAGCCGTACGTCCCGGCCCATCACAGTGGCTTGCGAATCAGCGAGATCATGGAGGCTGGCAACGGGGCGCAAAGAAAGCTGCCGATCCCGATGGTGCAGTCGAAAGACAACAGCTTCACCAAGATCAACGAGCTGGTGCACCCTGAAAGCGGCGCCAACAGTGGTCAGACGAGTGCGAGGGTTAGTGAGGCTGGCAACGATCTGCACGAGCGGTCGTAGCGCGGTGGAAAATCCTGTGCGTTGACTTTTGTGTACACCTCACGGGAGGATCACTATCTCGATGCTCGGCACACCGGTTTTGAGTATCTCATCATCCGGCTCACAGCACAGACACCGACTGAGCGGCCTAATTGCATTGTACGCCTGGCATGGCGTGGGAACGGGCAGGGACGGAGTTCTAGCGCTATAGACTTGGAACGGCGCACGACAGGCGAATGGGGGTTTAGAAGCACGCACGGGGGAGTCGCAAGACTGGGTGTGCTTGAACGCTTTCTGGCGGTATGGTATGGGATTGCTTGAATCTTTTGCTCTACTCAGAGATAGCTTACTGGCGCTGGATGCACCGTCGGGTTACGTAAGGACATTGCTGGCGAGCTAGACTTGCTACCTTGTGAAATGAGATATCCACATCACTGTCTTATCTCACTCTCCTCGTTCAAAACTCGATGCCGATGTCGACTACCGGTGAACACGCATACCTGCATCTCGCGCACATAATCGAAGTCATCATCTTCCATCAACTGCCGTGACAGGGAGAGGCAGGGGAGGTACGACGATACCTCAAAGTCTGCACCCCAGTATGTTTTAGGTAGTCTCTCGGTAACGCAGAAGAAGAATCATGGAGTCATCTCCGGACACATGGCATTGACCTAATCCGTACATACATCATGGCCGTTTCGGCGATGTCTCGCGACACGACGTCCTTCCCAACAACATCGAAATGAAATTCCATCAGTCAGTCACAGCCAGATCTTCGATCCAGTGTCATCCCCACAGCCCCCAAAACTCACTTTTACCCGCCAACACACAAACAGCATGCCGAAACAGGCAGTCCCGGGGTTTGGTTGGAAGCAGCGTCATCGTTCAACTCTGCACCCCAGGATTCTCTTGCTGTTCTCCGCCCCGGATGGCCTTGCTTTCTCCACACCCACACCTCCCCAGCTCTGCCGTTGCCGATCTTGGTATGATTTTCTTCTGATCGAATAGATGTGCGTAAGGTAGGAGTAGCTCTCAACGGTATGCGGAGGGTTCTCAACGTTTCTGTGGGATTTTCGTTATGGTGGGCGTCATCGCGACGTGGAGTGTAGCGGCCGTAATGTAGCCGACGATAAGCCTTCTTTGCTATTGCGTTGGGTGATGCGATGGTCATCCGGGCCTTGACCACGACGACGCGTCAACTTTCGTAGGTCAGGCAAATGCACCGACGAAGATACGATTCCGCTACATCATCTGGTTGGCAGATCCGCCTACCTCTGGCCCCCAATGGTAGAACGTAGCAAGCGTAGATAGATAGATAGGTAGCAGCGCTTACATCCACTCCCAGAGCGACCACCCGACTCGACTCTCCTGCACAGTCACCTCATACATGCATGCACGCACGCAAAGCGTCTCGGTCCGAATCTGTGGAGAAAGGACTAGAACGCAAGGCGAGAGATAAGGTAACGCCATGGCAGTGCGCCGGCACTACACTCTGCATCTGTGGGATGCGGAGTGATTAGTCGTGAGATAAGCAAAAGCGCGAATGGGGAGAGAGAGAGAGTAAAATGTGCGGGGTGCGCTTTGTCGAGGTCTGGTAATGTACCTTGGTACTTCGCCAGATGCCGAAGTGAGCGCAGCGCGGAGAGGAATGGCGAGCGGGAGGCGATATGGCGGACTGGAGGGCCGGTGTGGCGTGGAAGGCTGAATGTTGCGAGACGCATATTCTGCTTGGTAGACGTGGTACAGCCCGTACCAGACCTCGCTTGTGTTGGTGATGCGACTGGATGCCTGCTGGTGCGCCCAATGCTTGGGACGATGTCTCCGAATCGCGAGCTGATGACATGGAGTAATCTGTCGTCGCCGCAATGGCAGCCAAACGGATAGCAAGAGTCCAACCATGGGGAAAGAAAGCATGGGCTGACTTCACCTGTGAGTGTCGTCGCCGTTCACGGTCAACCGAGCGTGTCCATCCGGAATGGGCGACAGGCCGACCAAGCAGGTGTTGCTCAAGAATGTCCCAAAAGCTCAATCATCATCCACAGGCTCATCTTTGATCACAACCACATCATTTTCACTGTCACCAGCATCGCCTTGACCACCCTCCGCTCCCACCACAACTCTTCTTGTGCCACCCCCTTCCCTCTTCACCTCGACCACATTGACGGTGGTACCAGGCCTCGGCCGGACTTCAGACGCCACAACAACCGTTTCAATACCCGCCGGCACCCTCTCGTCCTCTGGTCCCCAAGGCAAGTTGTCGACATCAATCTCCCGGTTCAGCAGGGACTTCAGAATGACCTCCGCCCCAGCCTTCGACATCACCACGTTCGCTTCCCGGCACCTTTCACTGCAGCAGCACTCCAGACATCCCTCCGTGCAGTAGCAAGCCTCCACTCGTTCGCAAGCTTGATTTAATAGCAGATCGATGAACTCGAAGGCCTTTCCGGCAATGCCAGACCCATGCTGCCCGCCTTTGTCGTCGTAGAAGGTAAGTCGCGCTGGCCTCTTCCGCTGGGATTCCTTCTTCGCGAACTCCTTGACGGCGACTTTACACTCCGTCTTGACGTCTCCGGGCATCGAGATGACAAAGTTCGGCATCAGGCTCAGGATGGCATGTTCGGCGGCGTGGATGGCACCAGCGATGTTCAGCCGTCTCGAGTCCAGGATCTCAAGTGCTTTCTTCGGAACATCCAGCCACATGCCCTTGCTGTGAATGATGATGGGCGGGTTGTCCACTTGTACCGCGTCTAGGATTCGTCGTCGCTTGTCGACTTTGAAGAAGCCAAAGACGACCTGCTTAATCTTGATCGCGCCAAAGAACGCTCGGCTCAAGCTATCTGGTATGCGACGAATGGCCTCCGTCTCGACGGGGTCGATGTCCGTGTAGTCGCGCTGCTGCGTCGTCCAGTCCACCTTCACGTACTCCACCTTCGCGATCATACGCTCGGTGCTCATCTCCTTAATGAGGTACGTGCGGCCTTGATGCAGGAAGATGCCGCCTTCGTAGATGGTGAAGAAGGCTCTGCTCGCTTCGAGCTCTTCTAAGACAGTGTTGCGGCCGCCGGTGGTGTCCACGATAGCGAAGTGCGTGTCTTCCACATCTCGGATGGCTACTGTTCTGCTGGGATGGGGGAGGAAGCGCGCAGCTGTGTGGTAGAAGCCGAGATCATCCTTCCGCAGGCGCTCTTCGCAGATCTCGCTCAGCTGCTTGGTGAAGTACTTGTCATCCTCGTCTGGTCGAATAGGCATCTCGTACGCTGCGCACTGGATGTGGCCTTCCAGCACGAGCATGTTGGTCAGATCGACTTGGAGCTCGCAGTTCGGTTTCGTGAAGATCTCATCCGGGTTGCTCATGAAGTACTGGTCAGTTGGGAAGCAGTCGCCTACCAGCACGCTTAAGCTGTCCTTGTTCCTGCGACCCGCTCGACCGCTCTGCTGCCGTAGGTTGGCGATCGTGTACGGGAAACCGACAGAGAGCACCGCATCCAAGCTCCCGATATCGACACCAAGTTCGAGAGCGTTCGTGCCAATGATGCCGATCAGCTTCCCGTCAAACATCTCCTTCTCTATGCGTCGTCGGTCCTGTGGCGTGTAGCCTCCTCGGTAGGCCATCACTCTCGCCATCACTTCGCTTCGGTCTAGAGCTTGCAGCTCATTCTTGACGGCTGTGGTGAGAATCTCACACTGCTTTCGTATCCGGCAGAATGCAATCACTCTAACGCCTCGTAAGATCAATTGACAGAATAGCCTCGCGGTCTCTGCATTGACATCGCCTCTGCCTGACGTGGGATCGCCCGGGTCCTTGAAAGGTGTGTTCCAGCATAGGAACTCCTTCCGGCCAGACGGACTGCCATCGAAGTCCACAAGTGTGATATCCTCCAGGCCAAAGATGGTACGCATATGCTCCTGAGGGTTAGCGACCGTAGCAGAGCAAGAGATGAACTTGACCTTGTTGTTCCCAATCGCTGCACATATCCTGCGTAACCGGCGCATGATTAAGGCGACATGTGCGCCGAACAGGCCATTGTAGACGTGCAGCTCATCTACAACCACATACCTCAAATTCTTCAAGAACGTCCGCCAGCCTTCTTCTTGCGGCAGAATGGTGATGTGGAGCATGTCTGGGTTTGTGAAAATGATGCGAGCTTCGTCGCGGATGTAATTGCGCTCATCCATCGGAGTGTCGCCGTCGAACGTGTCACACAGAACACCTTCCAGGCCAGGAAGATAGCTTAGAAAGTCTTTCAAGCTGCGTCGTTGGTCTTGCGCCAGCGCCTTGGTTGGGAAGATGTACATGGCGCGCGTGTGAGGATCGGTCTCCAACGCATTGAGGACTGGTAGTTGGTAGATCAAACTCTTGCCTGAAGACGTGGAGGTGGACACGATGACATTCTTGCCCTCGTGGAGAGCATTGATGGCTTCTGCTTGGTGGCTATAGAGCGATTGGATGCCACGCGTGTTGTACATGGCGTTGACCAGGTCTTGCGAAAGCGCAAAGTTCAGTTGACCGTAGACTGGCTGTTGCGGATCGAACACACGGTGACCGTCAGGCACTATCTGCCCGCTGTACCATTCCAGGCCTTTGAGCTCAGTGATGATCTCAGGTATGGTCTCACGCTCCGTAGGAATGCTCTTCGGCAGGGCGCTTTTCGACAGATCTGGCAGAGGTGTGCCATCACGACTGGTGGTCGGCATCGGCACGTATGGCCTATGTTCATCCTCCAGCCGCAGCAACGGATCAGTGCCCAGTTCCACCGACTCATTCAACCAGACGTTGATCGCAGACGTGAACTTGACATTCCTCTTCTCGATCAACTTCATCATCTGCTTCTGGCTAAAGACCGGCATCTTGAGATCCTCCTGGCGCAACTTTTGTCTTGGGTTGACCGCCTCGCCGGTCTTTGCGTGCTGAACCTGTCGCTTGAGATCACCGTCGATAAACTCAAACAGCAAGACTTCATTGTGATCATCTCTGCCCATTCCACTCCTATTATTGCGCTCCTCTGCCGGGTTGGACGGGAACATGTCGTGCACGCTCTTCTTCCCTCGCAGATCCTCCTCGCCCATGAGTGCGACCTGCAGCATCTGCTCGTCCACATACTCAAACGTCGTTGCCTTCGGTATGAGCGTCCTGATCTTTGCAATGTCCTCAATCTTCAGTTCCCGCTTGATGTTTGCCTCCACCGCCCCCTTGAGGTTCTCGAACGTCGTGGCGAAGTGCTTCCGCGTACAGCAGAAGGTGTAGACGAGGTTAAGCGCCTTGTGTGTTTGCGATAGCTTGGTGAACTCGAGCGGCCATGGGATCTGAGACTCAACAAGATTCGAAGAGTTGTTGCGCGAGAGGGCTGGCCTCTCTCCCTTCGCCGTTCGACGAGGCTTCTTGCCGCCATCGTGCGTCTTCGTCGGGATAGTCGTGGTCGCCGGTTCCGCCTCTGCTGGTGGAAGAGCTTCCACCTCTTCTCCTCCATCGTCCTCGGATTGTCTCTTCCGTTTCTTTTTCGAGACCAGCTGATTGCTGACCGTTGCCGCTTGGAGTTTGACCATCTTGACGTCCTAGACCTTCGCCCGCCTTGCTCGCCTATCCATCACATAATTTTCACAGCAACTGTACGATTCCACGGCCTACGTGCCCTTTGTCAAACTGAACATCTGGTTGTGACGCCATCGAAGGAATCCAGACGACGCGGCTCGGAACGCGCTTGCTCGCGCCATCACATGCAAGCGCTAGTCTAAGCACTTCTACCTCCAAAAGCTTACCTCCCAGAATGTCGCAAGTGAAGGTTGGACATCACTGCCACAGGGACGACGTTTGGACACTCTTCAGACCCTTGTGCTGACTACCTACTGGGCTGGCCATAAATCGCGCATACCTAAGAGAAGGACCAGGCTTTTCCCGCAAGGACCCGACGCAGACGATGGCACGATAGCGGCCCAACAGATACATGTACAGACGCAAAACTACTCCACTAAGTTACACACCAAAGAAAACCATCTTGATCTCCGGGGCTTTCCATCCAATCCAACATGGCAGACATAGTGCAAGCCCGCCTAGCCGCTTTCGAACCATCCAAGAACGAAAAGCACGACCCGGGCCAAATCGTAATCTTCTTCGACAGCCGCATGTCCACCACCCCCGACAACCAATTCTCCTACCTCCAGTCCTCACGAATAGCAAGTCTCCACCGCCTCGGCTGGCCCTCCTTCACCAAACCCGACCTCGACCCCGGCATGATCCGGCTGGTCTGGTACACGCACGTCGGCAACGAAGGCCAGCGCGATTACCCGCTCTACCGCGCCTACGCCGTCAAAGACATGTTCGACTCCCTCTCCGAAGCTGGATTCCGGCCGATGGTGCTGGGCTGGTCGGGCGAGAACCCGTTCCCGATGATTGGAGGTTCTGAGCCCCCGGCTGAGCCGAAGAAGCCGAAGGTTCAGGTGGCGACGACGTGGAGTGGGAAGGCGGTGGGGCATGGGAAGGATGCGGGGACGCCGCATGATCGGGTCATGGCGATTATTTCGGATCAGGAGAGGAGGGAGGCGAAGGTGAGGGAGAAGGAGGTGATAGATTCGGCGGGGCCGAAGGAGAAGAGTGGGTTGGGGGTGCAGAGTCCGGTGTAATGAGGTTGTTGTGCTTGGAACATTAGATTCGAATCTTCAAAGCGTTTTAGGCCTTCTTCTACATATCATTTACATCTTCAAAGGGCATATCATCCTATGGTCCTCGTATTGACGCAAAGATCACGGACCTGCCGGTGTCATTAAGGAGCTGCTTCTCCGCCTCTTCCATCACGAGAATCAGATGTGTGGTGCGAACGATGACTTCTGCATTCACGGTGAGTACCGCTCGCCCGTTAATTCAAGCGAAAGCTTACCTTCGAACTCAACGTGGTAGCTGACAGGAAGTTCATTCTCGCTGGCGTACAGAATGGGAGCCTGTGCAGCCCGCCTGTACTTTCGCTCCTTGACCCGGAATTTGATGCCTACATTCTGGTCTCTCGTACTGAGCCACAGCACCTTGGGGTCATTCCTGGGGTCCAACCGTTCGGCAGAATCATCACATCCATTCTTCAACCCTCCGCCAGCAGTCGCGGGCTCATGGTGAACCACAATCGGCTCTCCGTCCGACCAAAGCTTCGTCTCGCACGCTTTGGCCAGCCAATCTCTCCATACCCGTATATAGCTCTGGCTAACCTCTTGGAAACTCGTCAGGAACCCATAATGCCGCTTGCCCAGGAATGCGAGGGTCTGCAGCTGAGAGAACAGATCACCGGCGTCTATGGAGACGGTCTGCGAGACGGCCTCTTCTGGCCCGGGGACTCGCTGTTCCGGGTTGGTGCTGGGATGTGTGCGCGATCCAGGTATGTCTCCAGGCACACTCCACGTTATCCGCCCTGCTTCCGGCTCGTGATGCTGCGGTCGGAACCTCGAGTAAAGCGCGAACGCCTGCTTCAGCTGCCCGCTACACTGCTCACCGCGCTCTATACACTGCCGCAGCTCCTCCAGTCCTTCCGTCCCCAGCTTTCTGCAGAACATCCTTGAGGCCGTGAGCCTGGTCGCGGGAGGATGGCATTCGAGGTAGAACTCATGGCCATTGAGGCCGGAGGCGATCTGGAGGCGGTTGTGGATGACGCGGAGAGCGAGGCAGTGGAAGTGGCGGGAGAGTGTTGTCAGGGCGGCGACGGACTTGGTGTCGAAGATGTCGATGATACGGAGGAGGATCTGGTGTTGGAAGGGTCAGTCGTGGTTCGTTGTCGTGTTGGATAGACGTACCTCGTTCGGGAGACTGAATATACCGCGCGGTATCTGCTCGGTAGCTTCGTCCATTCTTCGACCGTAATATACCTATACCAATGCCAGTAGATTCAACACAGAACTGCTATCTACATGTAGATCTATGTTATGCGTCGATGCGATGACGTTGAACGACACGTGATCGCGTTGCCTTAGCGTGTCAACGCCGATCTCGGTAACCGCGCCTCACGATCTCGACTTCACCTCGACTTCACCTCAAAAGATCTCTGTTATATCGACAACCTGCTAACACTCAGACCTGCTGCCGATGCGAGTATCTGAGAACATCAACGAGGATGGCGGCGCATCAGATGGGCAAGTTTGTGCGACAAAAGAATGGCCTGCCGGACGATGCTCAGCGCTCTGCTGGCGCCATCGACCAGAATCATGATGATCTGAAGATTAATCCCAAGCGGCCGAAGGGTGCTCACCCACACAAGGTGAAAGCGCCTAGGCAGGATTCTTGCGAGCATCCAGGACACGGCGGCCAGCCCTTCTACCAGGATGACACCAGCCCTGGCGGGACTTCGACTACTGCGAGCGTGATGGAACAGCAGCGCGGTGTGAAGCGAGAGCCACCTCAGGATGATGGTAATCACCGCGCAGGGCAGCAGCCAGTGGGTGGCAACGAGAGCCAAAGCTCAGAAGGCGCCGAGGACGAGTACGAAGACGAGGAGGACCGCGAGAGCTCGGACGAGAATCCCGTCGACGATCCACTTCTGAACTACGGCCATTCCCTTAATGCACAGCAGTCTCAGATCTATGCCGAACTCGATAGACGCGGCGCCGGTGAAGACTCACGATTGCCAGATGTCGGTCATATGAAAGGTGACTCATACCCCACCACATCTGGCGGGCAGTCAGCGGTCGAAGTCGGTCATTACGACGGGCCTGATGAGCGGTATCATGCCCAGAAGCCTTACCATCGTAATCAATCTTCTCCGAAGCGCAAAGCCGGACACCAAGGCCACGACCACCGCGGCGCCGGCCCTACGGTCCAACCAAGACCAGAGCCTTCAGTGTCCACGACGGAAGCCCCTAGCTACCCTAGTAGCTTTGTTAGAAGGCCTGACCTACCTGTCGCTACCAAAAACTCGGCCCCTCCTGGATTCATGAGGGCCCCTGCGGGTCAAGGAAACCTCAATTTCAAGCGTCAGGTTGTCCCGCACGCTGCCAACGGAGCTGGCGCGAATCGGCCTACCGTTCCCGTAACCAACAACGCTGCTCAGGCGGCACCTGCTGGCAAGCCCGCGCCTGTGGTGGTCGAGGGTACGAAGACACGTTCCCAGGCTCCCGTTGAGATGCCACAACACCTGAAGCCTCACAACTTGGAGAACCGCCCGACCTCGCGACCTGATAGCCACAACTCAGCTGCCGAACAGGTGGATGCGCGCACCGCTGGTAAGCCGGGAATCAACAATGCTGGTGCACGAAATCATGAAGAGTACTCGTCCTCCGCCGCATCCTCACCTCCAGATGATTCAGCACATCTGGGCGACCAGCTCGATTATGAGCCTCAAGACCTATACCGCATGGGCTTTGGAGAACTCAAAGATCAATCTTTCGACTTCGACCCAAGCGCGGCAGAGCTTGGGCTCCCAGAAGTGCACCCGAGCAGCACCATCGAGGAAAAGGTCGCCGCCGTCATGGCGCTCCAACAGCAGACTCAGGCAGACTTCTTCGCGAGTCTGTCACTGGGAGAATGGGAGCAAGCCGGCGATTGGTTCTTGGGGCGCTTTGGTGAGGTTCTTTCCAAGATGAAGGGCGCTCGACAGGAGAAGCGCAGCGCAGCGCAGACGTTCGAAGGAGAGATCAGTGCTCGCTATCAAGCGGTCGAGAAGAAGCGTAAGCTGGTCGATGATTGTCTAGACGATATCAAGGCGAGTGGTGCGAGGGTACTCACGCCGAAGAGAACGAGGAATCAGTGAGGTCGAACGGCGGAGTGGATGTGAAGGAGGGAGTTCTGCGCTAGGTATTGCTTTTCTGCCAGGGTGCTGGTATGCGAGGCAGCATTCAGTATTGCTGGAGGGCTTGTTGACGGTGCCGTGGCTAATGAAAGGAATGACCCACACGACGTATGGCTAACGAGCGATGGATGATGGCTTTGCACTTGCTGGTGCTTTATACCCCGATATGCTGCATTATGATGTTTGGGAGGCGTCGACATAGCTCAATGTACGAGGACGATGGATGCTACGATGACCCTCTCCCATCTTCTTTGTTCTTATGGTAAGCCTGCCTGAAACACTTCGCTGATATTCCAAGCCCACGGTCCACAACAGGTCCTTTACTCTGGGGCAAGCGCTCGCATAACTTAACGCTCCACGTTGGATTTGCTGTGATGGTAGGGTGGCATCCACTCAAGGTACGGTCAATGTCTCTCCACCACATCCATTGATGGTCGTGAAGTTCTCCAGCTCAACTCCTTCGACGGTCCCATACCGGCCGACCGACGGCAACCTCGTGAAGGTCAGCATCCCTTCCTTGGCTTGTGCCACTTTCTCCTCTGCACTCGAGATTGCTGAGCCAGTCAAGCGGACCATGATACGACACCGGTACGTTTCGAAGTCGAGCCAGGTAGTCGCCGCTTCGACCGACAGGCTCTTGACCAGCTGCTGATGCGAATCGGTGAAGTCCGCGACGTTAGAGAGTTCAGACCTCATCTCGGTTGCCAGGCTCTCAACACTGGTTATGAAACCCGTCTTCAATAGCCCTCGCCGGTCATACGCCGATAACGCCTTCTGGGGCAATATCTCACGGCATTCTTTCATTGTGAAGTAGCGCCACCGCTCGGCTTTGATGCCAGGCGCGGGCCAATTGTAACTTTCGTTGCTTGATGGCTCTGGACCTGTTCAAGGTTAGCACTATTCAGGCAACGGCGGGCTGCGCAGGCAGGCACCTGTCCCACTATGTACGTTCCACTCCATCTCCAATTCCGTACCCTGCTCACCGAAGATGCGGAATGGACTGCAGAATATTCGCCTGAACAGCAGGGTCCTGAGATCCGCATATCAGCTCACTGTCCTGGATGGCTAGATGGTCGGTGGCTTCGGGTAGGACATACCATATGAGATCTTGCAAAATTACTTTACACACCAACCTCTGGCCGTGTCGGACACTGATTGTTTCCAGCAGCTCACCATTCCAGACGCTCTGATCCGGTTTCCAACTCATCCTGCTGAGATTGTCTACGATCTGCTGAACCTCCGAAAATTGGCTTCGAATCTTGTCGTCTGGCTTGTTTGGAATGCCTGAAGGCGTGAACACCTTTGCTTGGTAGACGCCGTCGTCACGCTTCAGTAGAGCGCCTTTGAGTTCTCGCACATTCTTGTCGAGACTTTGAGTCTCCTGTTCATGCTGCCGTTTCATCCTGTCCACTACTTCGGTGTGGTGTTGGATCAGGTCAGCTCGATCTGTGCCATGTTTTTGCTTGAGCCTGTCGACTTCTTGTCGGTGGTCAGACCTTGCTTGGTATATTGCCTGATCACTTTCTTCCTCGCGTTTGCGCAGATTCTCGTTGAGCTGCGTCACCTCCTGGTCGTGATAAGATTGCAGTGACGCCAAAGTTTGCTGATGCTGATCCTTGATGTTCCTTATCCTCTGGTTTGCATCGGCAATCTCTTGGTTTCTGACCTGGATGATCTCGCCAAGATTCTGGTAAGCCTCCCATAACTTCTCATACCGGCGTGCATTTGCCTGCACAGCTCCAGCTCTGTCAGAGCCCCCGGCGGCGTGAGCTGCGGCGATTTGCGCATCTGGATTCACTTCCCCTCTGCCAAACGCGCTTTTCACCTTTTCCACGAACGGCATCGTTGTGTGTACATACGCTCAACGACGTTGGAATTTCTCATCGGCAGCTCCTGCACGGTAGGGTCCTCAAACGCATGCTGCATGAATGCAGTCGCCCCAGCTGGATTCTCCGGAGTGGTCTCGTACCAGCAGTAGCGAACAGTCTTAGTGCTGTCGGAATAAGACGTACCGTCGTGCGTGCGTACACCGGAAGGCCAGGCTGAGAGCTCGGTCCTTAGCTCGACAAGGCTGGGTGGTGTCTGGTCCGTATGCAAGCCACTCGCTTGCTCACACCGGAGTCGCCTCACTTCCAGTACAGTGGAGCGAGGCTCATACTCGAAGCATGGGTGGTTGCATCAAGTGCGCAAGGCTATGCCTAGGAAAGCAGAGGTTGCAGGCTCTGCCGTTGACGCTGTGGCGTCGGATCAAGAGGCAGAGACAGTCGATGTTTTGTTCGCGTGACTGGAGGCATTATGCCTGATAACATGAAAGCCTTTCGCGAGGGAGTCGTTGCTCGCTCTACCAACACCATGGCGGACGACTGGGTGCTGAACTCGCTGGAATCAGAAGCTCCCAGCCACCAAGACAGTCCCCAGCGACCGGCAACTCCTGTCCGTCGGAGAGAGTCTTCAAAGCTTGATAGACGAAGGTTTTCTCGACGACTACCAGTAAAGAGCCCCGAACCAGGTCCTCCAAGCGATCCAATTCAAAGCGCAGGCAACGCTCGTCTTGTGCTTGCGATAGACTATGGCACAACTTTCACTGGTAAGGAAAGTCTTTCTGATGAAGAGCGAAATTGAGACAGTCCCAGGTTTCGGGCACGCCACTACGTACTCCGACAGTGCCAATCTCGCCGATCTGTCGGTCCTGCAAGACTGGAGTCCGACCATGAGCAATCTTCAGAAGGTGCCGAGCGTGATTTCGTTCGCGAGAGCGACGAATGGAGAGGTGGACTGGGGAGCGGACATTGGTGATGAAGCTACGACAATGGTGAACACGAAGCTTGAGCTTGAGCCTCAAGAAAGTCTGTTCGACGAGTTGGAGTTAACGTTGCAGGTCCTGAAAGGAACTGGCAGTCTCTCATTCGAGCATATGCTCAACGCTGGGCCCAATCCTGCATACACGTGGAAACCACCTACCAAGATTGTGGCCGAGTACCTGACCAAGATCTTCGAGAGTGCACGCAGAGTAGTCGACATCAACCAGCTCGCGGTTACGAAGACCCCGGTGGACATTGTTGTGACTGTACCTGTGGTATACGATCTCACGAGAGTAACGTCGCATCTTGCTTGCTGACTCCTCTGGCAGGACTGGTCGTATGAGGCGAAGAACTCGGTTTTTAGTGCTATAAGAGACGCAGGGTTCAACAGAGACAACTTCACCACCTTGAAAGACATGATTCTGGTTTCTGAGCCGGAAGCTGCGTCTCATTTTACTGCTCGTGATCTTCGTGGTCGCAGCGAGAAACTGATGCAGGTATGCTTGACGCAACGCTTATAGAATTGAAGTCATATCGTTTCGCTAAGCGAAGTGGTCCAGGTCGGCGACAGTTTCATTATCTGTGACGCTGGTGGAGGTATAGTGGACGTTGTCTCTTTCATGGTCAAGACCTTGCTCCCCATTTTCGAATCACGAATGTAACCACTCCTAGTGGTAAGTCCGTAAACGACCCACATTACGACTGAGCAGACCGCTTACAGTTCTAGGTGGCAAGTTTGGCTCTGCCTGGATCGATACAGCGTTCAAGTCATGGCTCCGGGACGAGATCGGATGGGACAATTACGCCCAGCTCGATCGAGTGAATGCGTGGACACAACGAATCAGTCCGCACACAGGAGAAAATGGCCCCATGAGGGAGCTCATGAGAAGATTCAGAGAGAAAAAGGTCGTGTTTCCTAATCCTACCGAAGCAGACATCAAGCTCGATCTCCCATCACCACTGAATAGTTTGACGATTGGGAAAAGAGTGGTAGGAGGCGAGCTGACGATACGACGGTAAGGACTCTGTGCCAAAGACCTCATCTTTGCGAACACTGACCTTGCCATCGCAAGAAAGGAGATGAAGGAACTCATGAACTCCTGTGTCAACGGTGTGATTGAATTGATCAAGGACCAGATTTCGAAGGTCAACCCAAATCAGGGAACCCGCGTCAAGGTGAGACCATGCTGAGTCCTCGTTTAGCTCGCCACTGCTGACCCAGACGCCTCCAGAATGTCATCCTCGTCGGCGGCTTTGGTGCATCTCCTTACCTCCAAGACGAATTGCGAAAGAGCCTCGCACTGAGAGGAATAGCCATGCGTCGCCCGAGTGAGGATAAATCGTAAGATGCTCCACACACCGTCCAAGTGGTTCGGCTGACATGTCCTGTGGCAAGTTGGACGGCTGTCGTACAGGGAGCGGTAAGCTATGCGATTTCCTTCCCCGAGAGACCTCCGGCTGTTAGGCAGTCTCTCGGGGTGCAGAAGGCCTCTTGGTATACCTGCTGACACAGCGTTTGATAGGTCGTCTACGGCATCGAGTGAGTCTCCTGATCGATTCATCAGTGCCTATTTGGCAGGATCGCTGAGCATCGAATACTAACGAGCTACCAGGAAGTCACGGCACAAGACTGTGAAGCACATGTACGCCATGAAAAGAAGCTATGGAGTTCGAATGGGCTCCAGGTTTGAATGGCTGGTCAGAAAGGGTGATCTTGTCGTCTCGGACGAGACCAGAATCGTACACAGTCAAACTTTCTGGTACACGCTGAACGACAAAGTTGATCATGCGGACTTTAACATCTATTGGTACAATCGAGACGATGACAACCCTCCAGATGTCTGGGAAGAAGGGTTCAGTGGTACGTACATTTTGTGCAACGCGACAAGCAGCTTCACTGACCCTGCATCAAATTCAAGAGGTGAAATCTGCTGGCGTTGCCAGGTTTGATTTGAAGCCATACAGGCATCCAATATCAGTGGTACCCACAGGATCGTACTCACAGACACTTGGTCCTATGAGATGGCACTTACAGGTATCCGCAACCTCGATCACGGCGGAGATGCTCTTGAAAAAGAAAGTCATTGCGAGCTGTGTGTTCAAAATTGAAACGGACAAGTCGACTATGCGCAGGGTTTCCGTGGACTCATTGGCGTGGCAGGACGACGTACGGGCTTAGCATGTACAGTGCAACCATTGCAGTCTACAAACAAAACACTTGGTTTAGTGATTCACTGCACGCAATCATGAGTGATCGCCTCACTCGAATGGCGACGTGCCAAAAAAGCCTTCATGGCACGGATAAAGCAAGCACGGTAGGAAAAAGTTAGGCTTGCATGATCATGGTTTTGTCACCATACTTCGGGTGAGCCTAATGGCGGATGGCGTCGACTTATCGTAGCTGAGCAAGCTGTGCTTCAATGTGTGATATCCTGCATGAACAGGAATGAGACTGTGCAGCAGCAGTAGAAGCAGGCTACCTTATGCGGACTACGACATTCTGGAAAGTTGCCTACGAGGCTGCGGACACGATGGTGTCATGGGTTGGAGCTCTGAGGCGAGCTGCATCTTCGCCTCTACTGCTACATCACCAGCAATATTCAAAGACTGATTTCGCTAGACACATACCATTCAACTCAACCAATACCTCGACGCCTTTGTACGACGGATCAATGTCGCCTCTCACCGATAACATCAAGAATCGTCTCAAGAAATCGTTGACCAGAGCCCAAGCGGAAAGCAGCCCACGTCGTCATCCTGTTGCACTGGCCACACCTGGAGCTGCTTTCACCAATCCGTTCGGCGCTGCAGAACTTGATACACAACAAGAGCAACGCATTTGGGAGCGCGACCGACGTCTGCAGGCAGAACAGGAACGGCAGAGGCAGGACCAGCTGCAGGAGGAGTGCCGTGAAAGAGAAGCCGCGGAACGCGCCAAGATCAAGGAACAGCGCAAGCAGTGCGCATCGAAGGAGACTGTTCGGATCCTACGAGAGTTGATCCGCAACAAGTATCGCTTGGATATACTTATCTGGCAGAACCGACGCGTGCAGAGAGCGGATCGGGAGCTCATCTTCCGAGACTGCCATGAAGCTGATCGTATGCGGAGACACATCTTGTCCATCGTGAAGTCGTGGGAAGAGGACATGTTTGACCGCGAAGAGGATTGGAGCATGGCGAAGAAGATCAAGAACAGTCTGGGTCGGGAAGATGAGCATGCTGTCTGGGCCGACATACCTCCCTGGAATCGTTGAGATGTACATATTACGGACCTTGTGAACTGATTGCGGTTGAGATAGTATACCACGCAAACCAACTCTCACCCCACAACCTGCGATGTCGATCCAGAGACACTTTGTGACGCTCGATGTTCGCGAAAGAGTGGTATCGATCATTCAAATATTGCCGCTAATGCTTGATGCGCTGTCTCATCACGAAAAAGCACGCACATTCATGCCGCTCGACCGCCTGAGGTGCTCGAGAAGGCAACGCAAGGCTGAGAAACTCTAATTTGTAGCCCCGCTTAGCGCCTAATAGCAGCGGCATTGCCCCTAGTTATGGTGGAACCGAATGTACCGTATGTCCCGGAACGGTGACAGTTCCGTCTCGACCTCTACAGCGCGCGTGTATTTTGGTAGAGCCGTACCAGTCGGCCTTCTTGTATATATGTTAATGGCATTGTGCATATTCTAGTAAGTCATCGCCTGGCGTCTCGTCGAGAGAATGTCAGCCACCACGGAGCAGACCAGCGAGAAGCAGCCCTCCCAGCTGCCGGAGTGGGAGCATGAGGCTGCTGGCAACAGTCGAGATGGCCGCCAGAACATCTCGACAAGAGGCTCGACGAAGGCTGCGATGTCCGCCAAGCTGGACAGGATGATGCCGCCGCATAGGAAGTATCTTGGGATGCGCAGGAATGTCCTCCTCTGGGTGCTGCTTGCGATTGTGCTCGCGCTTTTGGCGCTGATCATTGGCCTGGCAGCTGGCCTGTCGTCTAGTTCTGGGTAGGTGGAAGCACGGAAAGCATCTCAAGAGCGTCCAAGTGCTGACAAAGTGACAAGCGGCCAAAACCTCCCTCTCCCCAGCAACACCGAAGACTTCGTCGGCGACCTCACATACTACGAAGCCGGCCTAGGCGCCTGCGGCGAGGTCTCCGACCAAGACGACAACATAGTCTCGATCTCGCATTACGTTTTTGACGCGGCAGGCTCGTCGACAGATACCGGTGGGAATAGCAACGCCAACCCGCTGTGCGGAAAGATGATCCGGGCGGCCAGATACGATGAACAATACGGCGAGCGGAGGAGTGTCGACCTGAAGGTGGTGGATAGATGTACGGGTTGCGAGCCGGATGATATCGATACCACGCTTGGGGCATTTGAGAAGTTGGCAGAGCAGGATCTCGGGAGGGTTGATGTGACTTGGGCATGGCTGGAGCCTGTGGCTACTGGGAAGTGAGGGCCCGTGTCCGGCGAAGACAGGGCCTCCATCATGTCTCTGCAATCATCTCCTGGCGCCTCTGAAGCATGGAGCGAGGTACAGATCCGCCAAGCCATGGGCAGGAGATGGCAGGGTCGGTACTTGATCCGGACACCATCCACTTCATGGCTTGCCAGGCGCTGAGGCGAGCGCATTGTAAGTGCGAGCTCACCCAGGTTGTTTGCATACTTGCGCTTGTTATCGCTATGTGCCTTGGTGTCCGCATAAGAGGCCGTTGACTGTCTGCCATTGTGGAGATATGGTAGTAGAAAGGCGGCATGGGCGATAAAAGGCAAGTCCGACATCGAGGAAACTGCCAATGCCAACCTCGAGGCTTGAGTGATCATGACCAACTGATGGACAGTTCGATTGCTCCTCAGGTACGAGATGAGATGTGGTTTGTTTTGACGTTGTGAGGCGATAGCTCCCATTTGAAGGTCAGAACAAGCTTTTGCATGTGACAGACACACCTTACACGGAAGGAGCACCATCCGCATATCTGAGGCAAGTGCGACGTTTCAAGAACCTTCTTCCGACCTCACCTGTCCTTGCCTCTCGGTTGTAACCACACTTGCTGCTGGCAACGCTTCAAGAAACCTCTGATTTCTTCGAGCGGAGCATCTGCACTTCCCTTACATTCATACGCTGCAGTGAACTTGCCACGCTCCTCCGCGCCAGGCCTCGACGTTCACGAATGCATTTTAAATCTGCAGAAGACCTGAGAACATCCACCTAAGACTTCAACCCCCACCACAACGAATGCAACACTGGATACGATACGTCTAACCACGCTTCCTCCACCCTCTCACCATGCCGGAGTACGAGTACGCCTACGGCAAGCACGATCACCACAAAGGCATCTTCTTCGTCGCCACTATCGTCACCGTGGGACTATGCAGCCTCTTTCCGGCCATGTGCTTCAAAAGCTTCAGCGCAAAGGAGAAGGCCCGGAAGAGAGCGGTAGTACAGGCAGAGAAGGCGGAAGCAAAAGCGCGAAGTGCGCAGAAGGTGGCGGACATCCAACAAGACATGGGTATGATGGCACCGAGGAGGCCAGACAGCCGCGTCCGCTCCCCTACGACAGCCCACGTGCCCCACGAGCACCGCCATCGACACCATCGACATCACTCGTCGAGGCCACGAGATCGACACGACAGCAGACACCGGAGGTACAGAGACGAGGAGGATTCCGACCGGAGCTAGCCGCACCATCAGTCGACTTCTCGAGGCAACTACGATCGCCAGCTGGATCGGGAGCGTCAGCGGCGTCATCACGGCAAAGCTCCGCCGAGGCGGTACCATCACAGCTCGTGGGAAGGCGTGCTGGCACCGATGCCTACGGCGCTGTGAGCGCAGATTCACATGACTTTAACGTCTTCATCAGTGATGCAGTCCAGCATGACAACGACACAGCGGACGAGCTGCCGTCACCCATGCTTCTGTCACCAACTTGGAACACTCGGTACGTGTCATGCCTGGATGAATGAACTCCGCTGAACGACTTTAGAGAGCAATCAGAGTCGCCTGCCACCACAGACTCCAATCCTGATCAGCCTGTCCAGCCAACATCAGGGTCCGGCTCCACACGTAGCACGTTGTCATCCCGTAACTCTTTCGCCAGCAGTTATGCTCCACTACTCCGATCTCATCGAAATGATAGACGACTCCTCAAACGGAAAAGCAAACCTTCCCAGCACCTCGCGAAGCGGCCATCTCTTCCGCCTTCACGTCCAATTCAGCCACGCTCACCGTCATTCTACAGGCCGAAGGTCGTTGAAGACTCCGCAATCCCTCCAACACCTACACCTTTTGTACCAACCCCAGGTCCGCCAACGTCGGCATCGTCGAATCCTTCCTTGTCCCCTCCACTAATATCTTTGCGCTCTCCGTTCTCGTCACGAAAAGTCCCTTCGTCACCTACGCAGATTGAATCTGGCTCCTCTCGGGGACGATCGACCACACCACAACCGGTGACTGCGTCGCTCTACAATCGATCACCTCCATTATCTCCACCTTCACCAATGTCGCAACCTCGCTCGGCATTTTTTGAAGGATTTGCGGACCGTGGCGCTCGGGATGCGCCACGACAGCGACAGCCCGCTGCTGGTCAATCGCGCACGTCGTCCTCTCACAGCCCGATGTCGCCACTTACTCGGCCAAGACCATGGCAACCTCAAACGCCTCCCGAAGCAGAACCTCGCTCGCCAGCAGAGTCGACGCCAACGTCCCACCGTCACTACTTCCGGACCTTCAGCAATGACATGATCAAGCGAGCAGATGCTCCGGGACGCTTTGTCACAGCGCCTTCCTCGCCAATTGAGCCGAATGAGACGACCAGTCAGCAGCAGCATGTTGAAACTTACGGCTCGGACGGCCGCGTCCATCCAGCGTCTCCTAACAAGAACAAACGAAAGCGAAGTGGAGTGCTCGAAAGGTTACGGTCGAACTCGCAGATCCGGAACTCAGTCGCCACAACACCCAACAGCGTTGGTGCGTCCTCTGCATCTCATGCAACCCCAGACATACGCATCAGCTCTCCCGGTCTAGCCAAAAGTAGACGGAAGTCCAGCATATCCTCGTACTTCTCCTCGCGACCTCGATTGCCAAATTTGTCCGCCGCGAACACTCCTAGCCCGGCCGCTTCGCCAGGGCTGTCGACACACTGGGAGGATGTGCTGGCTGAAGGCCAAGATCGTCGCCATGTGAAAGATCCAAGCGACCCATTGTCGCCGTTCACTATGCCTGCGCGACGGGCCAAGCCGACCTTGAGAAGAAGTGGTGCGACACTACGTTTCCCGGAAGCAGATCGGACGTTACCTGCAGAGTCCATAGCGCCAGTCGTGCCATCCGGAGCAGCGGTCGGCCCACAGCCAAAGTACAAGGCAGCGGACGGGCAAGAGTACTACAAGACTTCAGTGACCGGGCCGAACGCTTCGGTGAACTTCTTGCCCTCGGAGATGAAGCGGGTAGACACGCCTCCAGTCTTCAAAAAGAAGCCAACTGGCTTCAAGGGCTTTTTCTTCGACATGCGCAATACCTCGTCCACGAAGGCAGATCCAGAATCGCCAGAGGCAGCCCTCTCCAAGCGGCGTGGACCTATTGTGAGCAAGGCCTCGCTTCAGTCTCTGGTGCCGAAGCTTTCCTTTCCAAAACTTAAGTCGCAGAGCTCGCGACAGTCTACATCAGCTCGCGAGAGGAGCCCTGACGATCGGCTCCGGGTCACCCAATTCGAGCAAACACCCTACAGCCAGCGGTACGGCGACGCCCGGCGCGCTAAGAGGAACCAGATCCGCACGTACGTGGAAGAGGCTCTGGGTGAGGAAGATGCTGCAAGCGAGTCCGCAAACAACATGCCGTTCGAGCTTAACGTGCCCGACCATCTGCCCGGCAGTCCGCTGTGCCCGCTCAGCCCGAAGCACAAGAGTGGCGGGAAGGCGATCTGTCCGATTCATGGCAGGAAACGGAATTCGAAAGGTAAAGTGGGGGGCTGGAAGGAGGGTGGGAAGGGAGATTGGAAGGGAGATGGGCCGGGCAAGGAGAGGCATGGGGCGCCGACGATTGTATTTGAGAGTTCGCAGAGGGATGGGACGGGGGGTGGGAGAGTTGGAGGAGACTGGTGGGGGAGGGTATGATTGGTATTAGCAGCGAGACGTTAGGGAGTAGTATCAACTCGGTCCTAGTAGCTTCAGCAGACATTGTTCTTGTATCACTTGCATGCGTCTTTCTCAGGGCTCGTGGTTGACAAAGTTAAACTTGTACCCAAATAGGAAAGCGCAACGCGGTCTAAGCTTCTGACACGCGACGCGGGACGGGATGGTAGTGACTTCACTCTGCAGCCCTGGACTCACCTCGTGTCAACAACGACGACTCTGGTAAGACGCAACCCCTTGAAGACGTTTCCGACGGCATGGACGAAGCGAACGGGGTGCCATGTCCGCCAGCGCTTGATGTGCGACAGGCACAGGAGTCGAACAATGTCTCGAGCACAAAGTCACCCGGCGGCAAGACATCCCCTCTGTTGTCGACACCAGCAACACCCAGCCTCCGCACCCCGACCATGACCCGACAGTCGTCTCATCCCGCAACATCACCGCTCCGAGAGTTCTCGCCCAACCCACCAGCGACGGTACGACGGGCTTCCAGCGCAATGAGCGTCAACCACCGGCCCTCGACTTCACCAGGGCTGAGAAAGAAGACTTCACGCGCATCGCTCGGCGCACAACAGGACGACAACGAGAAGCGGCCGACACCCAAGCGCTCCATCTCCAACCTCATCACCGGTCTGCGAGAGGCGCATGGTAAGATGGAGAGCATTGAGGAGCCTGTCCCGCTCACAGCACCGGGCATAGCTGTGGACCACTTTGCGCGGGAGCTCATAGCGCACAGCCAGCCGAGGTACGATGCGGAGACAATGGTTATACTTCACGACGCATGCTACGGACACCGCTACTCGCGATTGAAAATTACGAAATCTACGCTCTCCATGATCGTGGAGAGGCCGGAGCGCATACACGCCAGTGTCCTCGGAGCTTCGACAGCATACGTCAGATTAGGCGGACACCATTCCGGCGACAGGAATGCGCCGCACCCGGATATCAGAGAGGCTGCGCCGCCGCCATTCAAGATTCGACGGACGGGGAGGGCGCTGGATATTACGTCCTCGTATGTGACCAATGTGCATGGGACGGCATGGATGAGTGAATTGAAAGGCATGTGTGAAGTTGCTGGGGAGAGAGTCGCAGCTGGAGCGAAGGAGTTGAGCAGGGCGGAGGGTACGGGTGCGGATGCTGAGAGGAAAAAGTTGCATGAAGGCGACTTGTACCTCTCATCAGAATCGCTGCACGCTTTCCAGGGTGCTCTGGGTGGAGTGGCGGATGCGGTCGATGGTGTCTTCTCGCCCGCCACGCAGACGAAGCGAGCATTTGTCGCAGTACGGCCGCCTGGTCATCATTGCTCAGCGGACCATCCCAGCGGATTCTGCTGGCTCAACAACGTCCACGTCGGAATTGAATACGCCGCTCAAACATACGGCTTGACGCACGCAGCTATGCTGGACTTCGACCTCCACCACGGCGACGGCAGTCAAGCAATCACCTGGCAGCGCAACAGCAAGAACAACGAGAAGCGCATCAACGCAAAACCGAATAGCAAGTTGAAGCTCGGTCCGGACATCGGCTATTACAGTCTCCACGACATCAACAGCTACCCGTGCGAGATGGGGGATGATGAGAAAGTGCAGGCGGCGAGTCTGTGCATTGACAATGCGCACGGGCAGAGTATCTGGAACGTTCATCTCGAGGAGTGGAAGACGATGGAGGACTTCTGGAGGCTGTACGAGGGCAAGTATCGGGTCCTGCTTGAGAAGGCTCGAGGCTTTCTACGGCATCATACCGTGCGATTGCGGAGGGAAGGAAAGGTGACGCCGAAGGCTGCTATATTCATCTCGGCAGGCTTTGATGCGAGCGAGTGGGAGGGCGCGGGCATGCAGAGGCATAAGGTCAATGTGCCGACGGAGTTCTATGCGCGGTTCACTCGCGACGTAGTGGAGATGGCACAGCAGGAAGACTTGGGGTGTGATGGTCGGGTCATCAGTGTCCTGGAGGGAGGGTACAGTGACCGGGCATTGTGCAGTGGTGTTTTGAGCCATCTATCTGGACTTTGCGCGACGCCTTCGTCGTCGGTGAAGCAAGAGGCTGCGAACGACATACCGCTCGACCAGATGATGCGGGGACTGGGCATCAATGGCGCATCGGCATTCAGCAAGCTGTCTTACGACCCGTCCTGGTGGTCAGCCGCGAACCTGACCGCGCTGGAGCTCAAAGTCAACCCACCGCCTCCTGCACAGGCGAAGAAGATGCGCGTCGGCCAGCAGCCTACGTACGCTACGCCCACCGAGTCCTTCGCTTATAAAGTCGTCGACACGGATAAATTCGCACGCTCCATCTCAGGCACCATGCGCGACGTCGCTCGTCCTGTGCGGCCGCCTACGCCCCCGCCGCCAGAGGTCGACTGGGTGATTGCCACACAAGAGCTGTCGAAACTGCTTATCCCCACTGACCGGCAAACCAAGAGCTGTACCCCTGAAGAGCTGGCGGGCCCAAAGACGCAAAAGCCTCGTGTGAGCGCCATGCCGGCCATCAGCCTCGAGGACTCCGCCAAGCCGCGCCAACTGCGCGACCGAAAAGCCAAAGGTCCGGCCGGCTACGCGGCGAGTTCGCACAGTGATGAGCTCGAGAGCGTGCGGAGTGTTAGCCGAAGCAGTCGGAGGCAGACGATCGCTGACTTTGCTGCTATCCAATCCGAACCGCCGCCGGAGCCGGCCATGCAGAGGAGAGCGAGTAGGAGGCTGAGCGCTGGTAGTACGTTGAGCTCGATTGGAGGGGATCTGGATCCTGCTCCGCCTCCAGTGCCATCTCTACCCGTGCCCGACGCAGCAGTACCGCAGACTAATGGCGCGATGAAGCCGCCTCCGCCGCCCGCGCCAGCGGTGCAGGTCAAGAAGACTCGCGCACCTGCCGCCCCGGCGGTGGCGAGAACGAAGAAAGCCGCGGGGACGAGTGCACCAGTATCTCCGCAATCCAAGCGGCCCGGCCTACCAACCCCGGCCCCCTCTCAGGCCCCTCCCCCAGCGCCCGCCCCATCGGCAGAAACAGCCCAGCCGACCGCGAACGGACCAGCCGACCTCGACGCCCTGACCACAGGCATGAAGAAAATCACACTCAAGGTCGGCACGAAAGAGGAGCACGACCGCAAGCAGAAGGAGAAAGTGGAGGCGGAGCGGCGGGCGAGGGGTTTGAAGGCGGCGGAGACGAGGCGGGTGAATGCTGCTGCTAGGAAGGCTGCTGCTGCGGGTGCTGTTGTGGCGGTCAATAAGCCACCCGAGACGAGCGCTGCGAGCCCTGTGATGGCAGTGCCCGCCGAGATGAACTCTGCGGCGCCGGCTCCCCAGGTTCACCCCCAGGTTCCGGCCGAGACCGCGTTTCCTGAGGTGCCCGCGACTACAACCAACGTGAGTGCGCCGAAGGAGGTAATACCAGAGTCGAGCACTCCAATCGAGCCCACCCAAGCACCTGCCCCGGCACCCGCGACGCAAGAAACCTCACCATTCGACCAGCCGACCCCGGACGCCGCTATGATGGATCCTCCGCCCGCCCCAGTGCCCGCCCCGGCCGTGCCCGCCAAGATGTCAACGAGCGGGAGGCGGCAGTCCTCGTACGTCTATACGCCACCACATAAACCTTCGCCTGTGGAGAAGAAGCCGTCTTATGCCTCGCGACCGTCGACGCAGCCAGCGCCAGCTCTAACCGAAGAGCCCGGAGCAGAGCGTCAGTCCGTTTCTGCTAATGGCGCGGGTCCTGCTTTCCAATTCGCGCAGTCAGGTGACTCGAGCAGAAGAGCTGAGGAGCCGAGCGAAATGCATGACATCGAAACGGGTCCGACGTATGGAGCGGGTGCAGCGCAGATGGGTTCGACAAATCCCAGCCAGCAGCTTCCGGTCTGGAGCAGCACAGGACGAATCCCGTTCGGTAGTGCGCCGGTGAAGCAGGAATCGTCAATTGAAACGGGTACAGCGCAAGAACGCCTTCCTTCTGCTACGGAAGAGGGTCATGCTGGCATGGATGGCGCTGGTGCAATGGCCGCACCACCACAGCTGCCCATAGTGAATCAAGAGGACAGCATTTGGGACGTGCCCGAGACGCCGCAGCGGTAGTATGGTCTTCGGAAGATCGGGCATTGGTGGGCAGCAAAGGATTGATGTTGAGGAATGGAACTGGTGATTGGCGTTTGTACGTTGGCGTCGTCGGACATGCTGGACCAGGATATGGCGAGCACGATACCCTTTTGTTTGTGGAACTGTTGGCAATACGAACGATGTATCTGGGTATCATTGGAATGTGTAATACTGGTCCTCGCGGACCCTCGCCTTCTTGACAGCCCCTCCCATGCATCCGTGACACACCCTCAATCCCTCGCCCCATACTTTGCATAATACTCCTTCATCGCCTCCACCTCCTCCGTCCTCCCCAACCCCTCCATGCCCTTGACAATATCCCCCAGCGTCAACACCGCCACGACCGGCACTCCCGTCTCCCTCCTGACCTCTCCAATCGCACTCCCCTCACCCACACTCCCGCCATCCTTCTCCTTCCGCCCGGGCATCCTCTCCTCCCGATCCACCGCGACCACGATCCCCACCAACGTCCCGCCCTGCGCTTTGATAATATCCACCGCCTCGCGAATAGCTTTGCCGGACGTCATCACGTCGTCGATGATAACCACCCTCTTCCCCTTTACCGTGTCCCCGACCAACACGCCTCCTTCCCCGTGGTCTTTGACTTCCTTCCGGTTAAACGTGTACCCCACATCCTGATACTTCTCCCCGTCCAGATGTGTCAAGGACAATAGCGTGGTCGCACAAATCGGTATCCCCTTATACGCCGGCCCGAACAGCACGTCGAATCCAAACTCGGGGTTTCGAGCAGCGTAGTCGTGCAGTGTGCGCGCGTAGGCGGAGGCTATGGGGCCGACGGTGCCGCCGGTGCAGAAGAGGCCGCAGTTGAAGAAGTAAGGGCTGACGCGGCCGGATTTGAGGGTGTAGGTGCCGAAGGTTAGGATGGAGGAGGAGAGGGTGAGGGAGATGAGGGAGTGTTTCCATTCGGGGAGGTCTGAAGGGTTGGCCATGTTGAGAGGTCGGTGTGGTGATAGTGAGTAGGCAGGTGAGGTTGGATTTTGGTTTTGTGTGAAGGTGGGGTGGAGGGGCCATTGGTGGGGCGGGCCAGTGGGGTGGGTGGAAGAATGAGATGCCTTGTCGCCTTCTTACGCCTTGCGGATCATCCCATCTTGTTGACGTCGCCGGTCTGGCGGTCGATACTGCTCTCCGGGAGATGATGGGTACATGATCACGGCCCAGTAATGGATAAACTCGACCATGGCCCAATTCAACATCTGCCGCAAGCCACACTCGTACTCCGACCCCTGTACCCGTCTGTACCATCTTGTCATGCCACCGTGTGAAAGCAATATAATGATCAATAGACCCAAGGCCCACCCACCGCCCTGATCGGAGCCGCTCAATCTGAAAACCCTTCCAACATGGCCATCCTCCTCCTCGCCCTCCTCCACGGCTTCCTATCGCTGGCCACAGCCCAAGAAGACACCCCCCGCTGCTCCCGCATCTCCGCCCGCTGCAACAACCCCTTCAAACTCTCCCGCGCCTCCGCCTTCTGCACCTCCATTCTCGGCATCGGCACCCTCACCACCACCGTCTACCCCTCCGCCACCACCGTCCCCCTAACAACCTGCAACTTCACTCCCTCCGTCCCGCCACCACCATCCTCACCACCAACCGAAACCACTCACGCGCCCATCGGCCCCTCGAGCCACAAACCCAAATGCCTAGGCGGCGCGACGAATTGGCCACAATGGTACTCCGCCTGCGCCTGCCTGCCCCCCTTCACCTCCCCCACCGCCACCGTAACAAACACGGAACAGCACACCCTCACAGGCCCCTTCCACGTAAAAGCCTGCGGCGGGAGCGTAGACGGGCAGTACTTCGTCGACGAACCTGATCCCGGGCTTACATTCATCGTCTTCACGCCCTCGGAAGCGGAAGCGGGACCGTTCTACCTCGACCAGCACGGCTGGCTCTACGACCGCGAAGCGCCCGATAAGCCATTTGTGGTCTACGTCGGTCCGCGCAACGAAGGACAGAGCGACTGGCCGGTGCGGCAGACGGATCAGTTCGCGGGTGCGAGGAGAAGGCCGATTGTGTGCGAGGTGGATGCGGGATGTGCGCTCAAGTGCTCCGGGGACCCGGGGCATGGGTTTAATGTTAGTTCGGAGTCGTTGGGGGATTGGCGGTTGTCGGATCGGGAGGAGATTGATGTGTTGGATGAGTTATTTGAGGATCCTTATGTTGTGCTCTTGTGACGGTAGATGGGAACGTTTGTGATGGTGGGAAGCAAACCGGATGTGAGGGTCGAGTGGAAAGTTCAACAACTATATACTACCCCCTGACAAACGCCGGCAAGCTTCATTAATCACGTAGTCGTCGTCTTCATTGTACATACTTCATGTCCCAATCTCCTACCAAGTCACCCAACAGTCTCCTAAGCATCACACGATCGGCGATTATTTCCCACCATAAGCCTTCTGGATCTCATTCTTATACTTCTCAGTGATGCCTTTGCGGTTGAGCTTCTGTGCGGAAGTCACGAGGCCCTGGTACAATGTCAGCATACATATCTCCCACAGCACCGTCCAGAGGGTATGATTAAAGACTCACATTCTGCGGCGTCCATTCCTCATCGCTCAGCACGACTCCCTCAATAATCTCAATCCCCGTCAACCCACCCTTCTTGCCCGCACTCTGTAACTCCTTCAACACCGCCGCATTCACCTTCTCATTATGGCACAAATCCTCCAGTCCATTGCCCTTGACTCCATTCTCACTCGCCAGAGCCTTGAGCGCCGGCTCCGCAGGGACCACAATCGCAATCGGCTTGTTCTTCGTCGTATCCGCGAAAGCGCAGATGTTGCCAACAACCGGCACACCGCGGTACACGCTCTCCAGCTTCTCGAGGGCAATGTACTCGCCATGCTGCATCTTGACCAGATTCTTCTTGCGGTCGATGATGCGCAGCTGTCCGGCAGAGTCGAATTCGCCGATATCGCCTGTCTTGAACCAGCCATCATCGGTGAAGGACTCCTTCGTCTCCTTTTCGAGATTGAGGTAGCCCTTCGTGACACATGCGCCGCGGATCCAGATCTCGCCTTGTGGTGGCTTGTTGGTGGAGTAGTAGCCGGCGTCCGCAAAGTCGACGAGCTTGACCTCTACACTGCCCGTCACCTCTCCGATGGCGTTGTCGGTCCATGCCAGTGGGTCCATGAGAGCTCCCATGGCGGCGGTCTCCGTGAGACCGTAGCCGGAGATCATGGGTGCAATACACATGGAGATGAAGTGCTGGGTCTCCTTGGAGATGGGTCCGCCGCCGTTCATGCAGATGCGCAGGCGGCCGCCAGTAGCCTCCTGGATCTTCTTGAACACGACAGTGTCGACGATGCTGGTGCCGAGACCGGATAGCGGGAGGTAGCCGGAGTTGTTCATCATGAAGGACTTGGCACTGAGCGCGCCCCAGAAGAGATTCTTGGTGATGGCGTTCATCTTGCCGACCTTGGCCATGATGCCCTTCTTGACCGTCTCCCAAACAGCGGGGACGCCGACGAGAATGGTAGGCTTGAATTCGGCAATGTCGCCAGCGGAGTTGCGGAGGCTGGTGTCAGTGAGCGTGCGTGGGTGCCCGTAGCCCATGGTGCCTCCCCAGAAGAGACAGGCAGATTCGAAGACATATTCCAGGATATGGGCAAGCGGGAGGTAGGTGAGGAGACCATCACCAGGTCCGAGATAAGGTCCAACGATCACGTCTACGCCTGCGATGGCAGCCAGGACGTTGCGGTGGGTCAGCAGCACACCCTTGGGTGCGCCAGTGGAGCCAGACGTGTACATGATGCAGCAGAGGTCTTCTGGCTTCGGTTCGACAGGGTCGACCATATTCTCCTCGCCCATTTTGACAAAGTCGGTGAAGCTGGTGACTGTGAGATGCGAATGAGCCTCCTTGAGCTTCTTGATGTCCTCCTCGACCATCTTCGGATCGCGTTTCGACGTGTACGCATCGTCGTTGTTGTAGATGACATGCTGGATGTCTTTGGCCTCCTGCAGCGGCTTAATGAGAGTCGTGAGCAGATGAGGATCCAGAAAGATGGCCTTGGCCTTGGTCTGTTGCAGAGAGTGCTTCAAGCCGTCTTCACCAAGCGTGTCGTAGGCCGTTACAATGGGCATACTCTGACTGCCGGCACCATGCGCCGTAGCCAGCCAATGTGGGTGCGTCGCAGCGAAGATATGGACACGATCTTCAGCCTTCATGCCCAGCTTCCGGAAGCCGCATCCAACCTTCAGCACCAGCTGCTCGTACTCGGTGAAGCTCATGTACTCGTACTTGCTGAGTTCAAAGTACTGCCACTTTTTGTCGACCTCCTGCTCCTTGCCATCCACCATCTTCTTCACCTTCTTCGTCTCCTCGTGCGTCTCCAGCAGCCGCCGCTTGCCCACCGCTTTGGCATTGCCGTATTTCTTGCTGGAGCGCTTGATGATGTCGAAGATGGTGTTGACTCCCTCCTCGGGCGTGACGCGCAGGCTGTCCTTGGTCCGGGCGTTGCGTCGCGGGATGGTCTCGCCTTCCTTCTTCTCCAGACCGGGGGCTTCGACGGTGTAGGGGGCCTTCTTGTAGACTTTGGGCTGGGGGACCATGGACTTGAGGTCCTTGCGGTTCATGATGTCGGCCATGGCGTCGGGCGAGAGCTGCACGTTGCTGACGCTGGGCGAGAGGAAGTAGTGCGAGAGCTGGTCCAGCAAGTTCATGCGGGGAGGATGTCCGTCAGTCCAGAGTGGTATATGTATGTGAGTTGGGTAGGTGGTGTGTAGGTGAGGTGTGGACATGTGTTCTCGTTCTTGTTTGGAGTCGAAGTTGAAGCTGCCCAGCGACTGACCTCAACGTCACTCGCCCAAAGCTCCTTAGCGCCGGCACTGTCCGGAACAGGCTTGTCCAAAACAACCTCGCCTCGTCGCCATGATGAAACTACAAACACCGCTATGGACGAGCTCATGGCGGCCCTCGTTGACGAGGTGGAAGACGTCGACGAAGGTATAGTCCATTCATTCTCTTCTCAGTCACGCATAGTGACAGGTTAGTGCAGAAACATTCCACGTCTTCTTCCAGAACCACTCCTCTACGCAAGACCTGGGCATGCTCGACCCGAGAGCAGAAGAAGTGGAGCTTGCTATCAACGGAAGAGACTTCACCATCAAGCAGTCACCGGGCGTCTTGCAGTCGAAGCGGGAAGGCGGCACGACGGGAGCGGCAGTCTGGCGAGCATGTCTCGTGTTCGCAGAGTGGCTGGCGTGGGCGAAGAACCCTCTCTTCTCATCCGACCTGCTTACTTCTGAGAGTGTTACCCTAGAGCTGGGGTCAGGCATCTCTGGCGTCGTGCCCCTGATTGCCAGCCCTCGCGTCGGCCGGGTGGTGGCAACAGACCAGCAGTACGCCCTTAAATTGCTACAAGAGAATATCACCAACAACCTGCCTGCGGCCAGACCGAAGTCACCCAAAGGTCACACGAAACAGCAGCACGCCCCGCCGAGCAACATCGATGTCCTGGCACTCGACTGGGAGACCTCGGACATTCCCGCCTTCCTCAGCACTCAAGGTCTACGAGATGGTGTCGACGCTGTCCTGATGTGCGACTGCATCTACAACTACGCTCTAATCAAGCCACTCGTTCAGACTTGTGTTGAGATCTGCCGAGCTCGATCTACTCGTCAGTCCAACATTGATGAAAAATCAAAGCCGACGATCTGCTTAATCGCTCAGCAGCTTAGACAGCCCGACGTATTTGAGCAATGGCTGCAAGCCTTCATGGCATCCCTTCGTGTTTGGAGAGTGCCGGACGGGATGCTTACGAATGGACTGAAGGAGGGCAGTGGCTACGTCGTTCACGTTGGCCTTCTACGGGACAAGTGACAGGTCGCTGGTCAATCGAGATATGGTGAATCATAGACGGGTGGCTCTTATGGCTTTGGGACCGACTCGGTGAAAACTACTGCCGTTTGGCTTTGCAGAGAGGACCACAAGCACCCGTGGACAGTGAGCACCTTCCTGCATTCATCTCCACCAGAAGCGCAGCTGCTCTGGAACTCAGAACGCGGCGATTGGATGCACGCACTCTTTTGATTTCTGCGGGATCATCGTTCTGCTCAACACGGGTCTTCCCAACAGCAAGCTGCTCACTTTGTATCTTGGTTTTCTGGATCGATGCTTCTCGACGATAAGACTGAACTCCATACATTGCGAGCACAAAAGTCCTCGCCACTTCCGCCGTCCAGACGCCACCCTCAGATCACCCACTACAAGAGCTCACAAGCGCCCAACTCGCAAAACAAATCCCTCCTATCGTAAACGGTAGCGCCAAATGCACTGCCGGGAAATCAGGCCACAACCTCTCGCACTCCGTGAGCGTCTGCATGATCCTCAGCCCTAGCACGAAAAAAGGGAGCCCGAGCAGGTAGGCCAACAAGACCGCAGGACCCTTGTCGGTGCAGACGTTGATAGGAAGACTATCAGTTTTGTCGTAGGCGATAAAGAGGCACATGAGAGCTACGCCTCGAATGACATACGAGAGCGCCGTGGAGCCGTAGATTACCATGAGCCAGCGGTCGTATGGGGCCATGGGCTTGGGCATGTCCTCTTCTCCCTCTGACTGAGAGTCTTGCGATGCTGTTGGTGGTGCTGGGGTCTGCTCAGTATCCGGCTTCTCGAGATCCAGCTGAACAGAGACTGGATCTGATTCTGGCAGGCCTGCAGGCTTCCCAGCAGCTACGGTGGAGTCCTGTCAGTACTAAAATCTACCATCGTTCGAACTTCGTACACACCGTCTGATCGTGTCGGCAGTTTCTCATCCATCTCGTCCCACCTAGGACCTTTGCTGAACGCCAGGAAGCGCTCGGTAACGGACTGCAGTGTCTCTTCGTCCTCGTCTGAGTCCCACATAGTTCTTTGAGTCCATTTCAAAAGATAGATACTGCAAAATTACATGCGGGTGGCTGTGCTTTTGACAAAAGATGCCGTCGCTTGTAAGCTTTCCTTCAACTATGGTTGATGACTGTAGGTTGTATGGCAAGGCTCCGCTATGCTGACCATTCGCTTTCAGCACACCTGGCATTCGAACAGGATGCACGACTCTATTTACACGCTATGAACAAACATACAGCTCGCCAGACCAACCACAAGCATCGCCAACGGCAACGTCAAATGCACCGCCGGAAAGCTCGGCCACCATCTCTCGCACACCGTTAGAGCCTGTGGGATCTTGAACGCGAAAACAAGCAGTATCGGTACAATCGAGTAGACGAATAGGATCGTGGGACCGTAGTCGGTCCATAAGTGGGGGCTGTCGTGGTGGCCGTGAAAAGGGTCGGGGTAGAGCACGAGGAGAATGAACGAGGCGAGCATCCATGAGAGATATGTCAAGCCGTAGATGGCGACTACCCGGCGTCTTTAGGGTGTTATGGGCCTGCAGGCTCGATACCGTAGGAATTCGCATCGAGGTGAGCAAGCCGGTGGTATCGGTGCAGGTGTCTGCTCTTCTTGCAGTGGAGCGGACGGGGCTGGTGATTGCTTCTCGAGATCGAGCTGGTCAGGCGCAGGTGCCGAGTGCTCGAGTGTCTGACATCGCTACAGTAGAGTGTGGTCAGTATTGCCGTCGGACATCGCTTCGAATGAAGGACCTACTGGTTGTGTCAACTGCTGGTCCATTTCCTCCGCGGTCCCGGCTCCTGCTTCGAATGCCATAAAGCGTTCAATGACTGAGTGCAGCGTTTCTTCTCTGTCTTCTGAGGCCATACGACTTGAGGAAAAGATCGTCTCGCCTCTGGATAGATGTCCTAGAGGTGCTGGATGCTACAAAATTCGGTGCGAGTTGCTGTGGTATTGACAAGAGATGCCGCAGCACGCTGATGCGCTTCTCCTCCGACTATGGCTGGTGGATATAGGTCCCATGGTAGGATTTCGCTATGCTTACCATTCGCTTGCAGGCTTAGCCTCCAGCCCGAGGATACAGATCTGGCGTGCTTAAAAGGACTTGCATACTCTCTGGAGCCCCTTGCTGCATACTGCGCGAGCTCGGCGTACGCCTGGAAGATTACGAAGGGCGGTACAGGATGTCGCCGGATCGTGTCTCCGCAGCATACCAACTTTGATCCAACATAGGTAGCTACCGTAGTCAGAAGATGGAGACACGCCAAGACGAGCAGAACCATAGTTCCAACCCTCGACCGACCTCTCGTGTGCGAGTTGAATCTTGGGTAAGCACCGCGAGGAGGCGGCTAGCACCCTTGGATTAGAATCGTAACCAGGTGCGACACCTCTGGTATATCGTGCCACTTGTCCTCAAATTTGCAGTGCACCCTCTCGACGCTCCAGACAATCCGAGTTGCAGACCAACGCCATCCGAGAACCATCAACATGGCAAGGCCGGAGGAGAACTTTCTCAGCATCGGCGGAGCGACTCCACGCAAGTACTACGACCGCTTGATGGCTTTTGCACCAGCAGACGCCGCGGGACAAGTGGTGGAAGAGACACGAGCAGCGCCATCATCGGTAAGTTAGAGCACGGTCATGGAGGCGATATCAGGTCGGCTGACGTTCTCGAGCAGCGGTCCAGTCTGGAAGATCTCGAGCGAGCGTGGGCAGCAATAGATCTGGATCTGGAGAAGCAGGCGACGACACCTCTACTCATCAACTTCGAAGAGGAAACCTCAAAAGAACCCTCAGCACCGGCACCTCAAAATCCCCAAGCCACCCAGCGAGGCCGCGAAATTTACAACCGCTGGCTCATCGCCATTCACGGTCCCTGGATCCTTGCAGTCTTCATCTTGTGGTTTCGATACAGTGACCTTGTGCCCACAGCAGATTTCTGTACCGATGCAGGCCCTGCAGCCATCCAAGCCGTCCTGTACGGAGCGTTGTGGTTGTTTTGTACTTGGTTCTTCATCCAAGGCTTCCTGGTGTTCGAGAGGGCATCCCCGAATGTCTCCTGGGTTCATCTGGCGATTCCGCTCTTCTTGATCGGCCGCGGTGTGGCGAGATGGGGGTATGTGAAGCTTGGGATCTGCTCGTGAAGTGGCCTCCAAGGAATGAGGATGTCTAGGAATAAGATCAGGGTAAAGTTCACATGTTATTTAGTCTGCACCGCTCTTCTCCAGACGAAACAGGTCGCAGAACAAAAGTAGCAGCTATGACTAGATGCCACCACTGACTCGAATCCAACCGTTCCATCATCAGCATCATCACATAGTAGTCTTGGCCAGCCTTATCCGATCCATCCTGACCATTCGCCATAGCATACCATCCGAACGCTCTACCAAGTAGACAACTGTGTAGAAAGATGACCATGTAACATCTGGCTATCCTTCTCCTCCTCCTGCCGGTCGCGCCGTCCTGGTATAGAGCCTACGGGTCGAAGGGTTGGTTGAGGAACCTGTTGTTCCAGGAGAACACTATCAGCGCGCGGCGCTAGGGGGCGGTGTTTAGTCTACGAAGGTCGGCGGTGCTTAGGAAGGGATCAGCCCAGCGCCAGCTTGGAACGCGGGGGGATGTTAGTCTACCAGGTAAGAGCAGGAGCATAAACCAAATGTGTACGAGTTCTCTCAGGGCAACGTGACATATGAGCTTCTTCTCCAGGCCACAGCGATGGATGCTGCGACGACTGATGAAAAAGGAAGGTTGAAACCAAAAAATCCGCCGTATGCGCCCCCGAAGGAGAACAATAGCACCGGACTACCGCGCTGTGCAATGCAGAGTCCAGTGCTAGGTGAGTGGCATGCTTGAGCGCCGTCACCACAACAAGGTAAGTATGAAGAGAGAAACCACGAGGAAGACGGAGGGAAGCAGAGGTTAAGTAGTCCTCAAACGGCGCTAAATTGGCGCGACCGGCTCCCTCGGATGTGGTAGAAGGGGGCTGGGAGAGTCACGTGGTTTCACATGACAGACCTCTGAGTGAGCCGTGCGGAGATTGCAAGAAGAGCCTGCTTACAGTGTCCGGATGAGTGCACTTATCTCGAAGAAGATACCACTGCCTTCCGCAGCTGCCCGCAAAAGGGGGCGTCTCAAGTCGATACGCTGCTAAAATCATGAATCCTGAGCGTTGTGAGGGCTGAGCGCACCGAGGCGACGCCGATGGAGACCTACCCACTTGCATCCACCCACGCCACTACCCACGGTATCAATGCGAACTGCTAATAAGATTCAGAACTGCCATGTGGACACGTTAGAGATTGCAAGAGGCCCACATGTCCGCCGAACGCCGGATATCAACCTTGATTGCGCACGCGAATAGTACAATACCTCAACTGAAGAGAAAAAACATCTCGACCGCCGAACAATAAACCTTTTCACTGCCGCGGACCGTATGCGTTTGACTCGGGGTTCACCATGGCGAGGTATATGAGCGGTAAGTGTAGCCACGCTGATTTCCCTATAACCATCTCTTTATCCCTAGTATTCCTTTCTTACCCTGCCCCAAAATGCCATCCTTACTCACCTCCTCTCTCCTCTTCACCTCCCTCTGGACGGTGGCCACCACCGCCCAAGATTCGTGCGCGGTCTGCGACGATGTCCACTTCTTCCTTGCCCGTGGCAACAACGAGCCCTATCCGGGCCGCCAGTCAGCCCTCGTCGAAGCCACCTGCAACGGCCTGAGCAGTTGCGGCTATGAGGATCTCATCTTCGCGGATCTCGCCAGCGATCTCTACTGCCAGATCACCTACGACGCGACAATCGCCGGCCATGTGCAGATGACGGCGTATGCACAGAAATGCCCGGATTCCAAGCTCATCTTGGCTGGCTACTCGATCGGTGGCCAGGCGGCGAGTGACGTCCTTGGGGGTGCTGGCGGCGAGCTGGCCAATGGCTGTATCCAGCCGGAGATCCCTGCTCTCGACTTCAACAGCAGCCCGGCCAACCAGAGTACATGAGTCGCTTTCCCATATACAAGGAATTCCATACTGACTGTCTTGCAGTCGCCGCCGTCATCATCTTTGGCGACGTCCGCCACACCGCCAATCAGTCCTACAACTTCGGCTCCGGCGCCTCCTTCGATGGCCTGTTCCCACGAACTCAGGAAATGCTCAACAACCTCGACCAGTATGCAGACATTATGCGCAGCTGGTGCGCTGACACAGATCCGATCTGTGCTGCGGACGGCCTGGAAGCAGACATAGAGAGCCATCTGAACTACTACGATCTGTACTCCGAGGCCGCCGCTTCGTGGATCAAGTCCGTCGCGTCGCTGACGGACGACTCCGACTCCACGACAAACATCCCCGTGAGCATTTCGGGGACGGTGCAGGACCAGACCGCTGGGACCGCTACGCCTTCGGGTTCCGTCACTCTTAGCACGGAATGGACGAATACCATCTCCTACGCACCGTGCACCACCACCGCTCACTCGCAGCATGTCTCTAGCATGGCTCCCTCCGCTGCTTGGAACGCCACCTCACCCTATGGCAATGGAACGAACTTCACGATCACAGTCCCCTCCACGGCAACGAACGCCGCCGTGACAAAGGCCAGATTCGCCCCGAGCGCGTCGGCGCGTCTGATTCCTTCCGTCAACGGTGGGTCGATGGTTACGGTGGGGTACGGCCTTGCTTTGACAATGCTGGCCATGATTATTGTGTAAATTGGAATCGGACACAAAGACATAATGTTTATACCTTATTAGTGCGGTGTGGGATCGTGAAAGTGCGCCCAACTCCATCCCGAATTTTCACGACTCATCACTCAACTTCTGCGTGCGATCTCTCGACTATTCCTGTTCTTGCAACTTGTGACCTGCGGCTGAAGTGAAAGGTTTCCGTCTCGAGGTTTCGTTTGGATCCTCTCGTCTCCCGTTGCGCTATCACGTGCCCTTACGACCGTAAGCTGTCAGCCAGTGGGAGACTATGCCAAGCGAATGCCCCGAACAGGCAGTAGCTTTTGCCTTCGTCGCGGCCGATAACTGATATGCGGGAGTTTACGGCTGCTTCTCTGTCGTTGCTAGACACTCTGCTGTGCATAAGCGATGTGTTGACCATGTCACGACCACAAAGTCCGGAACAGGAGCTGGGATTCGGGACGCAGCTCAAGACTCAGATAAGTACATAGAAAGATTCCTCACGTTACGAGAGCGTCTCATCTCAGCTTCTCACTCTGTGGTGTTTCCAACTCCTGCAATTGGTCTGTAGTGAGAGCACTACGCCTCACGATTCCTCACGCTTCCGTCGAGGCAGACGAAACAATATACATATACCGCGTAGATCGAAGCTATCAGCAATACAGTCCTCCCGCTCGATTCATCGTCAACAGCCCACGTCCGACATTCGATCAGTTTTCGATACCTAATCTCTGTGAATATGACCTCTCCCACCACTGTCCGCAGCAACATGGAGTCCACAGTCCAGGCAATGGTCTCCGGCCTCAACGCACCCCTCGATCACGACGCCCTCCGCGCAACCCGCACCGACGACCTCATCTACCAGTTCTTGCCGGAATCCCTCGGTGCTCCAGCCCGAAATAACGAAGAATGGAAGGAGGTGTTTACTCAGCTGAAGGCACTGTTCTCGAGTTTTGAAGTAGATATGCCTTGAGTCTCTCGAGCGTGCGGATGTGCTGACATGCTCAGGTGACCCTGCGTCTCTGCTTCTACGACACTGAAGCTCGAGGTGCGTGTCTACACGGCAAAGTCGATACCCAGAGTCCGATTGGGCCGGTGACGATGGAATTTGTATTCATGATCAAGTTTAATGAGGCGGGGGATAAGATGGCTAGGATCGATGAGTTCTTCGACAGCAAGGTGTATACGGAGTTCTTTGGGAGAGTCGAGGAGGCGATGAAGCAAGGTGGTGAGCATCAATAAGACTTGATGGGGCACTCGAATGGAAAGATCTCCGCTCCTGGCTTCTGTGTTAGTGCCTGTCTTCTTCAGTGCATCAGCTTGCTGTGTTATTCTGTGGCCCGTAGTCTTGGTGGGAACCGTTGAATTTGGTCGTAGCTGTACATGAAATTACTTTTGGTCTTTCGACGTCAGGAGCGTCTTCGCGATCAGCCCTGATGTGTCTTCTGGATATGCTCAATGGCCTCCAAAACTACACAACGTTAGCAGCCACTCAATCACAAACACGAACTGTACTCACCGTATCCCACAAACACCTTCGGGTTCTCCGTAGCCGGGAAATGCCCCAAACCCTTCATAGCTTGATGCTTCCCGCCCGGAATCTTATCGCAAGTCTCCTGGCTCATATCCGGCGTGTTGCTCCAGTCGTACTCGCCAGTCAGCATATAGACAGGACAGCTCTTGGTGTCGATATCCTTCATCCTGCTTCGGCCGTCCCAGCCGCCAAAGTAGAAGTCCAGGTCACCGTGAAAGATGCCGTACGCCTGGGCGGAGTACATGTGCCAGACGAGCTGGCGGTTGACGAGCGGGGCGGTGGGAGCCATCATGCCGTAGATCCATTCGGGGGCGAAGAGGGATTGGTTGACGTAGGGAGAGCGGTCGTACCATTGGCGTTCCTGCGCGAACAGTCAATACTCTATGCAAGGCAAGGGAGCGATGATGGCGGGTTTCATGGCATACGTACCATGTTAAGGTAGTCGGAGCCCTGAAGTGGGATCGTACCCATTGCACCAACTTCCTTGTTACGAACAGCTACCGCCAGACAGACTTGACCAGCCATGGATGCACCACAAACGATGGCGTTCTTGAGACCGAGCTTCTTGATCGCTGCGGCGATGAAGCCAACGTAGCCGTCTTCGGTGTTGGTGTGATTGCCTGTGAATGTCAGTTCTTTTGTTCCATCTTGTCAGAAGGATCCAGTATGGACGACACTCACCAGGCTGATATCCCTCATAAGGAAAACTCCTCCCATGAGCCGGAAGATCAACAGCTGTCATGTGGCACTTCTCCAGCATACGCTTGTCATTCATGACACCGTGGTACTGCCTGCTGTCGCTTCCAGCGGTGTGAAGGAAGAGAACCTCCTGCGATCCGTTGCCGGCTTGCTCGTAGAAGCACTTGCACCGTCCCCATAGTGGTGAGGTGATGTATGCATATCTGCCGACGATTTGGTCTTCGTCAAGCTCTGGCTCAGTGTCGGCTGGGGTCTCGCCAACCAGCTGGTCGTGCAGCAGTTCAAGAACGCGGCGCCAAACGTGAGTCCTGGTAGCCGTAGCCCGTTAGTAGTCGATAAAACACACGACCTGTGACCGTCGTACCAGTGAGCAAAGGCTGTCTGATCGCCTTCAACGCTAATGCCCTGCTGTTTAATGTTCTGTTGTCTTGTCAGACCCCATTCTCATGTTCGACGACCATCAGTCCGTACCATGCCGAACATGCCTAAATCACGGTCAGCCTGCTCCACACCACTACCAGCTCATTGATCACTCACCCCAATAACTCTGATACGGCCGCACAGGCGTCTGCTCAAAAAACCTCTCCCACTGCTCCGGCAGCGCCACAAGCGTAAAAACCGCGTCCTTCGTACTCCCTGTTCTCAACTCCGCTTTACCATTCGTCACCGTACACAAGATCACACTATCGCTGCCATGAGACTTGATGCCCCAAGTAGCTGGCTTCTCAATAGCGTTGGAAGTCGTGAAGGCGCTGAGCTGAGCGTCGTTACTGGATACTTTATTGACCTTGTCAATGGAGGAGGAGAGTTGGGAGGGCAGGTCTTGCCAGGCGTATGCTTGGGAGGACATGGTGTTGGTGCCGTTAGTGGAGGTCTTTTGTTTCTTCCCTCGAGGAGGCATTGCAGGCGAAGAGGAAGATGGCTTTATAATACTGCGAAGGAAGAGATGGTCGAAGGATCGGAGCAAGGAACAGACGGTTGGAAGTCGCCTACCGGAGGTTATATGCCATGCTCAAGCTCAGCATCCCGCCGAATGGCGTAGCATCTCCACCCATTCGTGAGCTCCTGGGAAACGACTCCCAGGTATGCGGTGTTGATCGCAACCCATTGAGGCACGTAGTTTGCGGAGTCGCGGGGCTGTCTGCGTGTTTGTTCGGCGGACGGCCCTGACGAACCCTGACGCACGGCAAGCGGCGCAACGGAGAGGACAGCTTTGAGAGCTCGGCTCAGGTACTTTCTCCAAGGAGGAAATGAGGAAGTCGCATTGTTGCACGTGATTGTTATATCCGGTAGTGGGGTGTCTGCCGGCGAGAGATTGACCCCGCACCGTCGTCGGCATTGCTCGTGGAGAGGCGATGTCATGCCGCAGAGGACAGAAGAGAAGTATATAACCGAAATCCAAGTTAGTTGTCGTACGCCTCTTCCTGAAGCAACCTGACTTCGTAACTCTCAATCTGGCGAGACAATCCAAAAGACTGAAAACGCAACACGCGAAAAACAGCAACGGAACGCCCAACATGGCTCAGAATCTCCCTTTCAAGGTAAGCAGTATTCCTCAGTAAGCATTGAGCGGGATGTCGCAAGATGAAAGCGGTTGATGATGGATGCGAGGAAAGACATGGCTGTTCGGCAGACCGACAGTCCATATCATCCGCCGTCACATCATCCCGTTGCAGAGAACATCATCAATAAGAAAAAGATATACTCACACCCGCCCCTTCCAGATGAACAACCCGGACCTGTTCCGCGACAAATCCCTCATCGGCGGCGAATGGAAAGAAGCCTCCTCCGGCAAGCGCTTCGACGTCTACGACCCCGGCAGCAACAAAGTCTGGGCCACCGCGCCCGACAACACCGCCGAAGACACCGATGCCGCGGTCAAAGCCTCCTACGAAGCCTTCCAGTCTTTCCGAAAGACCAACCCAAAGCAGCGCGCACAGTGGCTGTTGAAATGGGACCAGCTGATCAGGGACAACCGCGACGATCTGGCGAAGATTGTGACGTACGAGTGCGGGAAGCCGATTGCTGAGAGCCAGGGGGAGCTGGACTATGCGCTGGGGTTTACGTGGTGGTTTGCGGGCGAGGCGGAGCGGGTGATGGGGACGGTGCAGACGCCGAGTGCGCCGAATCGGAGGGTGTTTACTATCAAGCAGCCCATTGGGGTTGCGGTGGCGCTGGTGCCGTGGAATTGTGAGTTGTCCTTGCACCGATGGAGGAGCGGTAGATGCTGACGGGTTGGTAGTCCCGATTGCCATGATCTTGCGGAAGGCTGGTGCTGCGCTCGCGGCTGGCTGCACGATGGTGGTCAAGCCATCTCCAGAGACGCCTTTCTCCGTCCTCGCGCTGGCATATCTGGCAGAGCAAGCCGGGTTTCCGAAGGGTGTCTTCAGCGCCCTGACAACGTCTCTCGAGAATACGCCAGCGCTCAGTGAGGCTCTTTGCCGGCATCCGCTCGTCAAGAAAGTCACCTTCACTGGTAGCACGCGCGTTGGCAAGCTGGTTGCGAAGCATTGCTCGGATGGTCTCAAAAAAGTGACGCTTGAGCTTGGTGGCAACTGCCCATTCCTGGTCTTTGACGATGCAGATCTGGATCAGGCCGCAACTCGTGAGTGCTAAAGTAGCCATTGGAATTCCACGTGCCTTGCTGATATAGTATCGCAGAACTCATGGCCCTCAAATACCGCCACGCCGGCCAAGCCTGCATCACCGCCAACCGCGTCTTCGTCCAAAAAGGCGTGTACGACAAATTCGCAAAGATCCTCGCAGAAAAGGCCGGCGCACTCAAAGTGGGCCACGGCGCGACTGAAGGCGTGACAATGGGTCCAGTGACCACTCCTCGGAGCTTGGACAAGGCAGAAGCGCACATCGCAGATGCAAAGAAGCTGGGAGGCCAAATCGTGCTCGGCGGCAACAAGCTGCACGGCACGAAAGGGTACGATGGATACTTCTTCGAGCCGACGCTCATCACGGGTGCGAAGAAGGAGATGATGATCTCGTCTGAAGAGCAGTTCTCGCCTATCCTGGCGTTGTTCGAGTTCGATACCGAAGAGGAGGCGGTGCAGAAGGCGAATGATACTTCGATGGGTCTTGCTAGCTGTAAGTCGAGACGTCCCTAGTGATCAGCGATGATGGCTGACAAGATGATGCCGCAGACTTCTTCACCAAGAACATCGACCGCACATGGCGATTGCTGGAAAACCTCGAGGCCGGCATGATCGGCATGAACACCGGCAACTCTTCTGCGGCCGAGACGCCGTTCGGCGGTATCAAGGAGTCTGGATATGGCAAGGAGTCGGGCAAGGACGTTGGTGAGTTGATGTCCAGCAGCCCCTTTCGAGATGGCGCTAACCTGCGGTGTAGCGGTGAACGAGTATTTGGTCACCAAGACTGGTACCTTGACTCTCAGTGGGCAGTACTAGGATGCTACTCCTGCTTCTTCAAGGTATATGTAAGAACACATGTAAATAGCAGCAGTACAACATGTTGTCTCGCATTCAATGGATCAAGTCGTGGTTGCCCCGTTCGCGCACGTTTTGTCCCCACACTGCGCCCCGGATCTCGACTCCACAACCGTTGTTGGCTCAGATGGCAGCGAACTTCAACAACATTCTATCGATACCTTGACAGTGCAAAGACAAGAAATCAAGCTCATGCGCACCCAAGCGTAGCTATTGCTGTTGTTGATGTCCACCGAAGCATGTGATTGTCGAAAGGCATCGCCTTCGATCTCAGACACCGCGCGACAAGATGGAAGTCACGCCTCGGCGCTCCGTGAGCCGAGGCATCTTTGTGCCAACAGGCGACGGGACCTTGATCGTCTCCGCAGTTAGATCTGACAGTCTGTTCTTCCATCTCATCCTCTTTCCCTTCGAAACAGTTGACAAGACCATCCACCCATCTATCGTTAATTACCATCCCAGACCGCCATCATGTCGTCTCCTCGTAAGAAACGCAATCCCCCATACTCTGCAGTGATCCCGAAGCTAAGCACAACCACGAGCAGAGCAAATCCGCACCACCACCACCGAACTCCTCAACATCAAACACCCCATCATGCTCGCCGGCATGAACGTCGCTGCTGGCCCTAAGCTCGCGGCCGCCGTGACGAACGCAGGCGGCATTGGTGTCATTGGCGGTGTCGGCTACACACCTGATATGCTGCGAGAGCAAGTCGCAGAGTTGAAGGCTGGGTTGACGGATAAGAGTGCACCGTTTGGTGTTGATCTGTTGTTGCCGCAGGTGGGCGGTGGTGCGAGGAAGACGAATTATGATTACACGAAGGTAGATCAGCCCTAGGACTTCTCAGTATTGTGAGACACTTGCTGACTGGGCCGTCATTGTGGTCATAGGGCAAGCTTGACGAGCTCGTCAGCATCATCATCGAGAGCGGAGCGAAGCTGTTCGTCAGCGCTGTTGGTGTACCACCAAAGAGCATCGTAGATCGATTGCACAAAGAGGGCATCTTCTGTGAGTAGAGACGATTATCCACAACGCGATCGCCAGTACTGATACAGATGCAGACATGAACATGATCGGCCACCCCAAGCATGTGCAAAAATGCCTCGACCTCGGCGTCGACCTCATCTGCGCCCAAGGCGGCGAGGGCGGCGGCCACACCGGCGACGTCCCCACCTCCGTCCTCATCCCCACGGTCAAAGCCCTCTGCGAAGGCCACAAGAGCCCCATGACCGGCAAGGAAGTCCAAGTCGTCGCCGCCGGCGGCATCTTCAACGGACAGAGCTTGGCTTCGGCCATGGCGCTCGGTGCGTCCGCCGTCTGGGTCGGTACGCGGTTCGTGCTGTCGGAGGAGGCAGGCGCGCCGAAGGCGCACAAGGAGGCTGTGAGGACTTCTGGGTTCGACGACAATGTGCGGACGATTATCTTCACTGGGCGGCCGCTGCGGGTGCGGAAGAACCCGTACATCGACAACTGGGAGACGAACCGCCAGAGCGAGATCAAGGAGCTTACGGACAAGGGCACGATTCCCGTGGAGCACGATTTGGAGAAGATGGGCGATGATGTTGATGATGACACGATGGACAATGCGAGGCCGTTCTTGATGGGCAAAGTGGCTGCTGTTGTGAATGAGTCGAAGAGCGCAAAGGATATTATTGACGAGATGGTTGGCGGTGCGGTGGAATGGATTGGCAAGATGAACTCGTCGATTGTTGGGAAGTCGAGGTTGTAGAGTGTTGAGCATATATTTTGGATAGTTACGATTCAGCATTCGACTGTGTACACCGTCTGGACGCTGTGTGGTGTGCAAGTGAATGAGTTCCACGTGGTATGTGATACTGCATGTGCTCTTCGAGCCGACGTCGGCCTCGCTGCGACGTTCTTGTCCAATCTCCAGCGAATCCCCTCGCTCCCTTCTCCATCTGCAAAACGTTCTTGACCACACCACAACACTCGACAACACAGCAGCATTGACATCTGCTTGCTCGAGAGCTCTCATCGTAATAAGTCCCTGGTGTCTCTGTTGGATTGAATCACACGACAAAAGTCACTTGCATGGCAACCCATGGCCTGCCGGTCCTTCATTTCGAGACTTGAAACCGCAGATGTAACCTGCTCCACCTCCAAATCTGGAGGATCAAACAACAACCCGACAGCCCTTCGCTATTCTTGGCCACACTGAGCACTATGGTCAGAATAGGGCCGTGGGCTGTGACAAAGGTGAGATGAGCAGGGTGTAGGAGCAGATGTAAGAGCAGTGGTACTACTTCTTCTATCCCATGTCTCCTCTCCTTTGAACGCAAGATCAGACCTCTTTCGATTATCTTTCTTGTCCTTACGTTATCAAAAAAAGGGCTGGTCTCTTACCACACTCGTTTCCATTTAGAGAATATACGCATCTTGCACAGCTCGAGATTCTTGTCGACCACAATGTTGACCATTCCATCCTTCCTTACCGCCCTCCTCGCGGCCACAGCCCTGGCATACCCACAACCAGCGGTTGAAGAGCGAGCCACCGGCCTCACACGCAAGCACCTCACTCCTAAAGGCCGCAAGGCAGGGCTCTCCGGCTACATCGGCATCCAGTCCACCCCAGCCTTCGCCCAACTCGCTCCCCATTTGAGCTGGTACTCTGACTACACCCCTAATACCCCCCCATCTCATGGCCTCAAGGGCGTCGGCATGCTCTGGGGCGCCTCCGGCTCCTCATGCGGCTCCACCTCTGACGACCGCCTCGCAACCTTCAAACACATGATCAACAAAGGCAACATCCCCGACACCATGTTCGGCTTCTACGAACCCGACTGCTCCTGCCCTTCCTCCTCCGACATGACCGTCGCCGAAGGCGCCTCCGACTGGAACGCCCTCCTCTCCCCCTTGGATAAAAAGCACGGCACCATCCTGGGCAGTCCTTCCATGTGCAAACAATACGACGAAGACTACCTCACGCCCTTCAAGTCCCGCATCTCGCGCCCCTGGGACGTCACCGCCATCCACGTCAACAAACCCAACCTCGCCGAAGCGAAGAAGGACGTCGAGTACTACGTGCAGAAGTACAAGAAGCCCGTGTGGGTGGCGGAGTTCGCGTGCGTGCATGATCAGCCGAGCTGGGAGCCCTGTACGGATCAGGGGGAGATTGATCGGTTTATCAAGGATGTGGTGAAGTACTTCGAGGGGAACAAGCATGTCGTGGCGTATGGGCCGAGTAACGGGGAGGGGTTGGGGGAGGTGTGGCCGTTGACGAGGGAGGGGAAGTTGACGGCGAGTGGGAGGACGTATTTGGAGGCTGTGAAGAGGGTTTAGGGGTGTGTTTGTAGGGAGGTGTGGATCTAGGCTTTGAAGGCGAATGTTTGGATCGATGTACGAGTACCCGGGCTGCCGGGCTAGGTATGGTCTGTGTCAAAATGATGGGTGGATAGGTTCTCTGAAGAAGCCTGCAGGGTCTCAGGACCATGTGGTGCTCCAAGACCTCTTCACCTTTGCTCTACTTGTCGAGACACCTGTCCACAGTCGCGAGCTACAGCCACCGTGGGAGCGAGACCCAAAGGCATGGGATGTCTCACTCGATCGACCATTCTTAGTGCGCGATAGCGCTGTGGAAGTGCAATGCAGCGTAAAATGCCATCAAATAGAATATACATACAGGAGAACAGCGCTCAAATCTAAACCTCATCCGCAAGCGCTCCCTCTTCCACCTCAGTGCTAGCATCGTCCCGCCCGGCCGACCTATAATAATTGTAGGCCAACTTCTCCACGCGATACCTGTTATGAAAGTCGTTCCCTCTCCAATCGACTTCTTCATCCGGCCTCGTACCCTCCAACCACAACTCCAACGCACGACTCAGATCCCGCATATAGCGATCACCAAAGACCCGCGCTTCGGGGTCATAGCGCTCTTGCTTCATGTCGTAGTCCGGGTGTAGGTGGGACAGGGGATGCACAAAGGCGGATTTGCATCGCGGCAGGTAGAGGAACCAGTTGAGGATGTCTGCCACGATTGGCGGACTGCGGAAATCGGGCGTGCGGAGCCAGGTCTCGGTGTACTGGCCTTCGAAGAAGTCTACTGACCCGACGTCTGATTCTGAATCTGAGTCTTCGTCATCGAAGTCTTCCCAGCGATTCCCAGGTTCTTCGTAGTCCTCCTCATCGGTGTCGGACGGATCAATCATCCCGTTGTGATAGCGAGCCACCTTCCCTTCAGGAATCTCTTCAGTCCACTCCGGATCACCAAGGGCGCTCTGGGTTTCCTGAAAGCAAATAGTGAGAGGTGGCAGCACGGGCATGTTGGGAAACCCCTCCCGCAGCGAGCCGACGGCCTGTCGCATCCCGCCGTCGAATTCCCCGTCCACCTGTTGTCCACCGTGCTGGCAGTAGTTGATGCGGACATCGGTGCGCTGGAACCGGTTCCACTCCACCTTCTTGGGCAATTCTTCTGGGCTTCTTCTCACGTCAGGCGTGATTGCCAGTGATGCCTCGCACTTCTTGTACATCCAGGTTTCCATTTCCTCGCGCAGGTCCTCGTGCGCTGCGCAAACAGCCATGGTGGTTTTCTCCTCTGTCCGACACAGCGGATAGTTGATGGTTCGGTCTGTAGGGAGAATATCGTCGTATATCATCTGTCGTAGTTCGAGCGGGAGATCGAAGAAGCCTGTGGCGGGTCGCGGCGCTTCGATGCTGTGCGTTGTAGTCTCGGGCCCTGCGGTGGTGGGCGCTACAGTGTCGAGTCCTGTAGCGATGGGCACCTCAGTGACCTGTCCTGCAGTGGTGGGCGCTGCAGTATCGAGTCCTGTAGTGATGGACGCCGTGGTATCGGGTCCTACAGTGAGGGCCGCAATAGTGTCACACACGTTCTTCTCCACATTCGCGATTGCTTGAGAGTCGTCGTAAAGCTTGTAGACCGCTTTTCCTGAGTGGTGGAGAACGACGATGTTGGAGATAGAGGAAGATGGAAGTGTAGAAGATGTCTTCAGAGCGGAAAGCAATGTGAAAACTGTGTGGACGTCTCCTCATACTTATACTTCCTGAGACTCACAAGCGCATCTTTGTGCTTACCTACCTTTCGTTGTCCTTTCGAGAAGTACTAGAAGGATAGTGAGGACGAGAACCTAAATAATGGTCACTTCTTTGACCATCACCTTTCATCGGGTTGGCACTGAGCCGACATCGGCGTCGCGTGTTCAAATTCCTGACTCGGGTCGACTTCAGGCCATGGAGTACAACATAGGGCGTACACATATGCTGCACGAAGAACCGTAATAAAAGTCCGGTCATGCTCGTACGCTGGACACAGTCTTTGAGAAACAGAAGGAAGAAGTCAAGATGAAGAAACACCTTACCATCGTTATCAAACTGGGTACCGTTCCTGTACCACCGTTCCTTCTCACAACAACCATACTAATGCTAATCCCAACCCAGGCACCTCCTCCATAGTCAACGAAACCACCCACGAACCCCTCCTCTCCACCCTCTCCACCATCGTCGAGACCTGCATCACCCTCCGCCATGAAGGCCACCGCGTCATCCTCTGCTCCTCGGGGGCTATCGGCATGGCCCTCCGCCAAATGGACATGGAGCGGCGCCCCAAACACCTCCCGCAAGTGCAGGCTTTGGCGGCGATCGGACAGTGCAAGCTGATGAGCATGTGGGACCAACTGTTCATGCACATGCGGCAGCCGGTCGCGCAGATTTTGCTGGGGAGGAACGATATCGCGGATCGGACGCAATATTTGAACGCGCAGAATACATTTACCGAGTTGTTGGGGATGGGCGTGATTCCAATTGTGAATGAGAATGATACGTTGAGCGTGCAGGAGATTAAGTTTGGGGACAACGATACGTTGAGTGCTATTACGGCGGGGATGGTGCAGGCGGATTATCTGTTCTTGATGACGGACGTCGATTGTCTCTACGACAAAAATCCACGGACGAACCCAGACGCGAAGGCGATCGAGGTGGTGGAGGATGTGGGTGAGTTGGCGGCGGATGTGTCGAGTGCTGGCAGTGCACTTGGGACGGGCGGGATGGGGACCAAGATTGTGGCTGCAAGGCTGGCGACTGCTGCTGGAGTGACAACCGTCATCACGCGAAGTAGCAAGCCAGGCAACATCTGGCAGATCGTCAAGTACGCCGAAGCACAGAAATCTGCAGCACGAAGCATGGAAGGCAGTGGAGAGCTGCCCTCACAAGAGCCCAACCTCCACAAGACCGCCATCACCAACGGCACCTCCACACCACGCCTCGCAGAACCCACTCTCCCACCACTACACACCCGCTTCCTCCCCGACCTCCACCCCATCCGCGACCGCTACTTCTGGCTCCTCCACGGCCTCGCACCCCACGGCACCCTCTACATCGACGCCGGTGCCCATAACGCCCTGACCAACAAAGCCGGTCTCCTCCCAGTCGGCGTCATCGACGTCGAAGGCAGCTTTAGCCAACAAGAATGCGTGCGGCTCTCCGTCTTGCCCACGCGGACCTCGCCGCTCAGCGAAGGAGAAGAAGTCGGCCGAGCGCTGGTCAACTATTCGTCGGCCGAGATCAAGCGATTCAAGGGAGTCAGGAGCAGCCAAATTGCGGAGATTATCGGGTATGCAGACAGTGAGTACGTGGCGCTGAGGGAGAGCGTGGCGTTGTTTCGGAGGGAGATGAGTCGGCCGGTGACGCCGATGAATGAGAATTCGAAGAGGATTAGTCTGGGAAGGTTGAGCAGTTATGTTGATAGTTAGGCGGGATATGAAAGGTATGTGCATGTCCTTTGGGATGCTTTGAGATGCTCATATAAATGCTCATTGGACGTGGCAGGCCGCTGGATGCGTTGGTAACTGGGGTGCTGTCCCAGGGCAAGCGTGTTCCTCTTGGATCTCCGAATGAAGCAGACTGGGCTGTGGTCACGCCTCCACTTATGGCGCATCTTCACACAGCGGTCGGTCTAAGGGCAACCACCTCCGCAGCTTAGACGGAACAAAATGCCCTACGGCGGATGTGCGGTTGTTTGGTGATGGGGCGCTGAACGTACCCTTGCCAACGGACGGGTGAAGCTGAGCGTTCATTTGACCTTATGAAGCGTCTCTCTATGAGGGAGAGGAGTATCAATCTGAGCGGGCTGGAGGGGTGGGTTGACACCTCACACGCCCATCGATGTAAGCCGTCGTCATTTGAGATCGCTGTCACATGCTCGATTCTTCTAGCGGGCCTTGGCGCTACACAGCGGCCTAAGATCGAACTGCTTTCCAGCCTCCTTCGTACGAATTCCTTTTCACCACGACGAAATGTTCAACCATCCCCGGCGACCCTCGTCTATAACGATGTGTTATGCGCGGGCGCCGAAACCACCCGCTCTCGGAGTGCAGCCACCGCTCCCTTCCAACCCTCCCGAAGACGATGAGGTGAACATTCTCGCCAAGCTCAAGGCGCCGACGGCATCGCACATCACCACTCAGAACATACCCTTCACCGACCTTCCGCCAGAGATTCGTAACCGCATCTACTCACTCGCTCTGCCATCCACGACCGCCGAACTCATCATCGCCACCCCTTTCCGCGACGAAGCGATGACGTTGGGCAGTCAGCCAGCACTCACGAAGACGAGCCAACTGATCCGCACGGAAGCGCTGCCGATGTTTTATGCCAATGCGACCTTCACCGCTTACATCGAGAACGCCGGTTTCACCGAGCTCTCGAAGTGGTGCAAGCAAGCCCAAGAGATCACCGCGTCCATCGACGTCCCCTACATCAACATCAAAGTCAAGCTGCTCGGAGAGATTGGCTGCGTCTGCGACCTCCTTGGGTTAGTGAAAGAGCTGGGATCGACCGACCTTGCACGTTTCAATTTCGGTGTTCCCAGCGCCAGCAACACGATTCTAGCGCCAGCCAGTACGTACCACCGTCAAGCTGATTCCGTACGCGAGGCTCTAGCTCTAGCAAGAGTTTTACAGTACCAGGGGACTGCGACTGAGGCGGGCCTTCGTGCACAATTCGACCAAAGCTTCGGAACGTTCGATGGATTTCCTTGCTACCTCGTACATTGTGAGTGTCTTGTCCATGAGAATTGGATGAAGACTTTGGAATAGACTCGCTCCGCTCCGACATGCTTAGGGTTATGGCAATCAATTGACGGTCATGTCAGGCTTCGGGAGCATTAGGTAAGTCTTAGGACAGGGTGAGACAGAATCAGTGATGGGATTCTGCGAACGGCAAGCGGTGGACGATGGAGCGATTTGACACGAATCCACTGAGGCGTTCCAGCAGATGTTAGTCAGAAAGTAAATCCACCTCAACACCCTGCAAAGCATCCACCGCCCATTGCGGGTACTTATCCTTGTCTCCAGCGTAAAGCCTCCCAAAGTACTCCTTCAAGAACTCAGGGTATCTCTGCTCCACAATCGCCTCCCTTGCCCTCCGCATCAGCTCTAGAAGGTGATGCACATTATGCATACTCAGCAGATGCGCCCCAGCCGTCTCTTTCGCAGCAACATGATGAATATAAGCGCGCGTGATCCCCAGCCCGCCCTCGCTCTGCGGCCGACAGCACGTGCACTGACAACCCTCCTCTACCGGCCGGAAGTCATACGCATACGCCGCATGCCTCAGATTGAACGTCCCCTCCGCCGTGATCCCATTACCGAACCTCGCCGTCCGCGTCGGCCAGACGCAATCGAACATGTCCGCCCCAAGAGCAACACTAACGAGAATATCCTCCGGATAGCCCACACCCATCACATACCGCGGCTTCCGCTCTGGCAGCAACTGCGTACACGTCCCAACGACTTTGCAAAAAGCATCCTTCGCCTCGCCGCCGCTCAGACCGCCGATGGCGATCCCGGGCGTATCTCTCGCGACCATCTCACGACAACATTCCCGCCTCAGCTCTAGGTCCAGACCGCCCTGGATGATGCAGAATAGATTCTGACTCTCCGGCTTCTCGTGCGCGGCGATACACCGATCCAGCCAGCGGACCGAACGATGCATGGCTTCCTTGATCCGCGCATGGTCTGGGGAAGTGGTGGCGATGACATCGTCGAGCTGCATCATGATGTCCGAGCCGATGCTGTTTTGGAGCGAGATGGAGTGCTCGGGGGTGAGGAGCATGGGACTTCCGTCGTGGGGGGAGAGGAAGCGGACGCCTTCTTCCGTCACTTGGGAGAGCTTGAGGAGGGAAACCATCTGGAAGCTGGTGGGTAGGTTAGTAGAAGCGGGAGGATGAGGGTCAAGAGGATAGCGCACCCTCCGCTGTCTGTTCAAGGTTAGCACATGTATCGCAGAGATTTTGCTGGCGACGTACCTGTGAGAATGTTGTGCGGCCATGACTGCAACTTATGAGCACCGCCAATAGTATCCAGCGTCTTCTGCCCCGGCTTCAAGCCCCTGACTCCCTGTTAGCACAGCAGATGATGGGACACCTACAGACCGTACAGATGATAAGTATTGTTCAAGCACAATCGACAGCTGGTGTCCTCAAGCTGCTTCGGGGTCAAGCCTTTCAGAGAGCCCTGCGTCGCCACCGGCATGAACATGGGCAGTTGGACCGGGCCATGAGGGAGGTGGAGCGTCGCTGCGCGGGCTTTTGTGGTCTACAGGACTGGTCAGCTCTATTGTAACTTGGAGATAGAGTTGGCGCTTACAGAGCATCTCGCTACAAGATCAAAGGTCAAAGCAGACGGGAATGGTTTTGCAACCATATCATCCTCTGGCGGAGGCATGTGAAGTTTGTGTGAACTGCCTTCCTAAAACTTGTCTCCAACTTTGGAGCCTTCCAAGCACTGGCCAACAGCGAGAGGCATACATTTCGATAAGTAGAGATGAGTGGAGATGATCCTGGCGCGAAGACTTGTTGTGCATGTTACTGAAAAGGACGAGCAGGGACGTAGTACTGCATGGTACGATGGCGGAATAGAGTAGAGACCATGAACTCTGTAGGGTTTGATTTCTTGATATGTTAGGTGGACTACAACTACCTAGGCACAGAGTGACGTCCATCCAGAGTGATATTCTCAACGGCTCGATCGTGACTGACCCAGAATGCAGCTACTCCGCCATCGCAAGCAGTACGCCCGTAGCACGAGCGGCATCCATTAGAAAACGCCAAAGCCTGAAGACGCACTGACAAGATGGTGCTAGACGCGAAGGTAAGGGCTAAAAGGAGACACCTTAGTCGGAGATTCAAGACACAAAGAAATCAGCTTCACATCTGAAAGAGTACGGTCAGGTCTGGGGTCAGAGACATGAGGGACAGGGGACGGCTTTTGGCAATCAAGCGTCGTCAACAGCCGGCAAAGGCATGAAGACTCAGCGACACCTTGTGGGGAAGAAAATTCAGTGCATTCTGGAGGACTGAGCTTAGCTAAAGCGCCAAAGCGCCTGTTCCGCTGTGCCTCGCTTCCATGCTGTCCGCCGAAAGAGTCGTCTATCGTGGCGGCCTGTCGCCAAAGCGGCGCGGGCGCTCGGCCACCTGCTGCTGCTGGACGGCGACGACGTTGACTGGAATGCTGTCGAACTGTGTGGAGTATGTCAGTGGTGATGCTCCAGCTGTTCTCAGTGTGGGTTATTCTTACGCCCATCGACTTCAACAAGTCCTTGGTCTCCTGATCCACATCCAACATGCCGCTCTCGCTGTTCTGGGTGAAGTCGAGCGCAGACACCTCTGGCACGTATTGATCCTTCCGCTCACGCTCCTCTTCCTGCAGCTTGAAGGAGATGCCGCGCACTGGTCCACGCTGGATACGCTTCATCAAGTGGGTGGTGTAGCCGGCGATCTGTTCCAGCAACCGTCAGTTCGAAGTCCTCGAGAAGTTCCCAGCAGGCAGAATGTGCTCAGGTGTGCGCACCTTGTTGCGCAGCCTCTTGCTGGCAATGACTGCGATCTCATCGCATATCCGCTTATTGGTCTCGAAGTCGAGGGTGAGCTTGGGGTAGTAGCGCTCGATGATGACCTTGGCCGACTTCTTGACGGTCTTCGTGCGAACGCGACCCATGTTTGCGGTTTTGTTGTCGAGAGGAGATGTCGGTGACCGAGCGAGGTGATTCAAAATTGGCTGAGATTAAAGATTCGAGAGCCAAGAAGTGCGTCGGCGAAACAGTCGGGCCGGTCACCACTTGGCCCAAGCGCAACGAGAAACACTTCACTCCATGCTTTTCTTCTCCTCTTCGCCATTGACACGTTCAACCCACTCATCCAGGACGGCCAGGCACGACAGACTATGCAAGACAGCGGTATTGACAGTCTTGATCTACCGGTCGCTTCGCAGCAGCGTTTCAGCACCCCAGCAGCGATGTTGGCTTTTCGCGCCGCGGCACAGCAGCGCCTAAACCCCGGTCCTCGCCAGAAATACAACCTCGAAGCAATTTACATGTGTAGATCAATGCAACATTGAGGCGAGGCGAGGGAAGACAGCGCCTACATCCAGCGACCATGAACGATGAAGTCGTACAAATACAGAGCAGGTAGGAGACCAATACTCAATCGCATCATCCGCTCGCTCCCATTCCAGATTCCATCTGCTATACCTTTCCATTTCTCGCATTCAACCATCAAAATGCTTGCATCCGCAGCTCTCCTGCTCTTCTGTACCGTTCTCGTGTCCAGCTCTCCAGCAAATCCACCAGCATTCATCCGCAACCTCGTCGGCCTCGACCAAGTACCCATTGGCGTCAAGCAAGAGCCCATAACCCGGACACGAACGATTACACACACCCACTTCGAGATCAACGTCGTATCAACAGTCCACAAAACCCGACCGCAACCGACAGCAGTACAAGCACCCGCTGCACTCGAATCGGCAGGAGGCGCCGTGCCGGTCTGGATCTCACAGCCTGCGAGCCCGAGATGCAATTTGAGATCGTGCGCGGTTTGTAGGCTGGTCAACAACTGCGGAGAGGGTGATGCGGAATGGTAAGACTTGCGCCAAACAGTTGATGGCTGGGGTTGGAGATCTGACATTTCTGCAGCCCGAACTGCGACCACGCGGAGTACTGTCGGCAATGTACGCCAGAGGTCGAGATGACTACTTTCAAAGAACTGGTCGTGAAGTCGCACAGCGAGTGCCTCGTTGTGCCCGGACAAAAAACCGACTGCAGTATGGATTCGAGCGTGAGAGCGCACCAGGTGGAAGCTGCGGGCAGTTGGAAAGCCACGTAAGGCTTTGTGGGGTTTGAGACATGTATATACACGTATATCACTCCTGTACATAAATCATCCAAACATCTTCTCATAAGAGTGCTCTCCCGTCTCCACCACTTTGACCTCATCACCAACCCGGAGCAGTCCTTGCTGGAATAGCGGGATCATCTGCATGCCTAGGCAGGGATGCGGGTAAGCGCCCTTGTCCACCTTCCTCGTCTTTCCAAGCGCAGTATACGGCTCGTTGGCATCTCTCACCCCGCTGTCTTGGTCGACGTTCGGGAGGGTGCAACGAGCTGTGCGGCATGCCACATGGTACTCTCCGTCGGTCTCTTCGAAACTCCTTTGGTCCGAGATGCGTTTGATACATCTCCCAATGTGCACCTTCTTCCATTCGTCCTCTTCGTAGGCTGGTACGCCGTCGAGGTAGATGTTTGCTCGGAAGCGCTTTGCGTCCAGGCGGCCTCGGTCCTTTGATTTGTCGGGCAGGTCCTTAGCTATCGCTCGCACACTGGCGAGACTGAGGATGTGCAGCGGGAATGCGTCGCCGAAGCCAACAGAATACGACTCTTCAGGTCTATCCTTGGGCAAAGAACGAGTGACTGCCCGTCGGTTTCGGTCGTCCACGCGGAAGAGACCGAGAGTATTGCTGACTCCCAGGAAAGACTTCAGCTTCTCAAGAGTATCAGGTGGGATGTCATTGGTGACGTTGATCGCGGATGCCTGGTCCTTCCAGATGGTCATGGTCTCTCTGCTGTACCCTCGATTCCGCGCCCACTCGGATGAAGGCATGAGGGGTACACGGAATGTCATGGTCTCCGTGCGAAGGCCGAAAGGATTGAAGCCAGGCTCGAGCGGAAAGCGAACGGCCACACACCCGCCGTTTCCCGCCCACGAACTCTTCTTCCGCTTCTTCATCGGATCTTGAGATTTCCTCGAGGGCACCCACAGCTCGGTCCGGAGCAGCGCCAACCGTGGAAACTCTCTCTGCGTGATGAACCGCCACTCATGCTTCCAGTCATGGTTCACCGCCTGCTTCCTGCTTCGGGGCTGTCTGGACTCATCCGGCGAGGAGACCAGCTGTGCGAAGGTGAAGAGGCGATCATATTTGAGACCCGTAGCGCCGACTTCTGATGCAGCGAGCTCGATTCCACGGCAAGACTTGATCGGGTAGGTGAAGAGCGCTTTGACTCTGGCATCCGATGTTTCCGACGGCGGTCGAGATTGCTCGTCTAGATTACTTCGTTTCGATAGTCCAAGGCGGTAGAGGTCTTGTTTCCGTTTTACTGGAGACCGGGGTCGTCGAAAGGTTTGCTGAGCTAGGCTATACAACAATGGTCCGATGAGAATGCAGAGGACCGCGGCCACAGCAGGGCTTTGCAAATACTCGTAGTAGTGGTCCGTCAACGATACGTGGTTGTTCTTGATCCATATCAGTGGCTTCCCCCCTTCGCTCGCTACCATGCCTGGAAAGCACACTGCTGACAGCAAGGCAATGAAGACGGTTCTCCGAGCCATATTCAAACCGGTGTCCGAAGAGACTGCGTCAAGCCTCGCTGATCCGCGTGGTAGGCCATACGCCATCTCATCAACTCCTCATACTGTATCCAATGTCGGATGTGCGCGTTTGTCACCTCATTGCTCAAAGTCAAGTGTGCTCTCCACCTCTCAAAAAGAAGGAAGCCTCGGCGAAATCTCGGCGCCGGTCGACACGGCCTCCAACTTCGCGTCGTGTCTTTGCCTTCGTCAACAACAGTGGGAGGCGGGAAACAGAAGATAATGGACAGCAATGGATGACCCATCCGTTGTCGACTTGACACTATCGCAGCCGACGCCGAAGACATCACGTAAGTTGCCGCGGTTTGACGGAAACGTTCGTACTAACTTCACTCCAGATCGACTGCCGACAGTATCAGCGTCCCAAGCGTTACAGGACCTAACCGATGGGCCTTCCAACTTCATCAAGACAGGTATAGCCTCCCTGGATTCACGCCTAGCTGGTGCTAGTATCACCGTTGAAGGCGGCTTCGAGCGTGGCAAGGTCACCGAAATCTGGGGACCAAGTGGTGGCGGCAAGACGGCGATAGCGTGCGTTTATGAGTCTATTGTGGTCTGCTCGAGCAAAGCTGACTACATGTAGGCTACAGGCTGCTATACACGGCATCCATGGCGGAAGTTCAGTACTTTGGCTTGGTGAGTATTCGTCCACATGTATGCGTGTCTACGCAGGATCTGACATCGCACAGATGCTGCAGCCTCTCTGAGCAAAGACCGACTACGAGGCGTCGCTCGAGTCAAGGAGATCAGCAGCCCGACACCATCTATTGGACGGGATACCACCAATCACTTCCATCATGTGGACGTTCCAACACTGTCTCACTTACTAGCCATGATCTTACATCCTCGTGCGGACACGATACCGCTAGGCGCATCTCTACTCGCCATTGATGGTCTCAACCACCTTCTGGATCTCGACTATCCTCGGTACCAGATAGCAGCTCCAAACAAGACCGAGCTGCAGAAATGGCAGGCCGGCCGACGATATGCCATCCTCGGCTTCCTGGTGTCGGGTCTGAACAAGCTCGCGGTACTCAACAACATCGCTGTCGTTGTCACCACTGGCTGCGCAACTCGCATGCGGCACGACAACGGTTTAGGCGCAGCGCTGGTCCCGGGCCTAGGCGGGGTGGAGTGGGAGAGCGGCATCTCAAGCCGCATTGTAGTCTTCAGAGACTTCGGTGTCAGGCTCGTCGGTGTTCAAAAATGCCAAGGTCGCAGCTTGATCTCCCGAGAAGAGGTTGGCGAGCCTGGCCACCTCGTTGCTTTCGAGATCACGTCGGAAGGAGCAGTCACGGAGTGGATGATGCAGAAGGCTGATGGGAGCCCGTTGAAGCAGGCGGTTAAAGCTAGGGCCAGCCCAGTGAAGCCACGAAAACGCACAGCCGACGAGATTGCAGATTCTGAGGGCGAAGACATGGACGAGTACGGATGGGCTGATACGGACGACGATGCGTTCACGGCCGAAGGACTGGTCGGGAATGGCGATGCTAGTGCGGTCCCTGCGGAACCTGGTTGAAGCGATGTAGCTTTGATTTCAAGGCATGCTTCGACTTGACGGCGAGTACTACTGCTGAACACGACGACCCTCGCTGCAGTGATTGGCTCGCATTGGCCGATGTTCGTGAAGGGCGTGTGCTATATGGGACTGACTGGTTAGACTGGAACTTCATCGATGAACTGAGCATCGCTGGAAATGGCAGTTCAGCTCCAAGATCGACTGGCTGCGGTAACGTCGAGTGGTGGCTGTCGAGTGGTGGCTGAGGCTAAGGGGGCCCTTGAAATGAGCGGGAAGGGTAGAAGAGCCTGGCAGCCGTGCATTGTAAGCGCCTTCACGGGCTGAGTCCTAACAAGATAGACTAAACTCACAACAATCCCAGTAACTCGAGATATATTACAATCGATCCTACTATGCATCTGCATTTCCATTCAGCCGCCTATTCATCTCCGCGAGCGCCCTCCTCCCCTGTCCAGCAATGTCGGGGTGCCACAGCCACGGGAACCTCTCATCGGCTTGTTTTGCAAACGCCTCAAGGTCGGCCTCTGACAGCTTCGACTTCCAGAGATCGCCCCAGAATGAGAAGGCCTCATTGCTCGTCCTCAGCGCCTTCTCGAACCTTGGCTTTCGGACATGCTCGTAGCCTGCGAAGGCGGCTTGCACTTGCTGCGCAGCCGTCCCTGCTGAAGCGGAACTGGCCGCTTGCAACACTTCAGCCATCACGCAAGCATCTTCCATCGACTGGGAAGCTCCCTGGCCTTGATGCGGACCCATCGAATGTGCAGAATCCCCAATGATGCAGACACGGCCTTCGAAATACGATTCTGGAGGCACAGAATGGGTGAACGTAGCCCAGAAGGCCGTCTCATCCGACATCTCCTTGATCAAGCCTTGGACAGTGGGGCCCCATGCCTTGAAGTCCTCCACCATCTGCGACTTCTGGTTTGGGATGACCCACGCTTCATGCTCCCATACCTCTTTGTTGCCTGGCCACAGACCAACGTTGATATTCTTGCCGCCGTCGATGGGGTAGTGGATCACGTACCCACCCGGTCCCAAGCGGACGGTACTCACGCCTGCCTGATCTTTGCCGAGGAGCTTCTCGAACTTCTCGATGGGAAAGACTGCCCGGTACACTCCGGTCTGAGCGAATTTGGCGGATGTGGCCGGGTTGTCTGGACCAAGTAGGAGGCGGCGGACGACTGAATGGGCGCCATCGCAGCCGATGACCACAGATGCGGTATCCCGTGAGCCGTCGTCGAACGTCAAGGTCACGTCGTCATCAGAGTGCTTCAGGTCGACAAGCTTCTTGTTGTACCTAGCGTTCTCGGGCTTAGTCCGCTGAGCAAGGAATTGCAACAGCTCGTTCCGCGACACCGTCATGGTTCCGATCGGCAAAGGAGCTGTCGTGATCTGGTAGATGAGCTTCGCATCCTCGAAGTCATCCGTCGGTGCTCCAAGACGGCAGTCCATCCACAGGTCCTTCTTTCGACCTGGGTTTCGCGTTGCGAGGGAGAAGATGGCATCGCCAATGTCTGAGTCGATGAGCTTGAAGGCTTCGATGGTGTTTGGTCCCACTGCATCAAAGCTTAGCCTAGGAACGGTTACGAGTAGGAGGTATGAATGAACATACGGTTGATACCAGCTCCGATCTCCGTAAAAGAGGCTCTTGCTTCGTAGATGGTGTGTGAGATCGATCGTTTCGTGAGCGCGATAGCGAGCGATAGACCGCATAGCCCGCCGCCGATGATGGCAACGTGGAAAGGCGGATTAGACATCCTGTGAAGTCCTGCTCGAGCTCGAAAGTCGACTGGTGTTGCTTCTCTCCAGTCGGTCTTTTTGCATCCACTCCTTCCAGTCAGACTGTCAAACGATCTTTAATGTTTTCACACTCAGGATGGAGCCATACGAATGAGTAAGAAGTGTTACGTGTAGGACCTGATCGTGAGACCCATTTATGTCTGCCCGGCGCAAATGCTCCAGTGCATCACAGTAAGCTGACAAAAGACGTGGAATCGGAACCGAGTGACTACGTACAGTCAAGTGGAGTGAGACAGGTCATCCGTAGCTATCTGAGGCTGAACGTCCCTTAGGTGAGCTGATACGTTTACAAACGTCTATCGGGGCGAGAACAGCATGATTCCATTCGGCTGCTTCTCCGTGGAGCACAATGCCTCTTAGCAGTATTGCAAGATTGGACATGTCAGCGTCGATCTTGGAGACATTGGCCAATGGTGAGATTGTCTATCAGGGCACCTGTTGTACAACTCTACTCTACAGACCATGCTCTCTCCCAGGGCGCTCTACTGCTGGTTCTCAAACTTCAACCCAGCCTCCTTCCTCACAGCACCATACACCCCAGCAATATCCCCATTATCCCCAGCATGATCAACGACATCCTGAAGATGCTGCCCAGCGACATCCAACGCCTTCATCTGCACCCCCGCTCGATCCGCCAACGACTTCGCATGACCGTAGTCTTTCCGCGCAAGCTTCGCATTGAACGCTGGCTCCTCTCGCTGATAGTAGTCGCCACTCCTCAGGCGGTTCGAGTATGCAGTATACGGGCCTGGGAACATAGTCTCAACGAACGAATGCAGGTTGTCGGTGCCAAGACCACTCTTCTCCGCCAGCACATGGCCTTCTGATAGCGATTCGACCATCTGAAGAATGAACGTGTTGCCAATGACTTTCATGCGGCTGGCATTGCCTTGTGGCTGGTCGCTGTAGTCCACTTCTGCCCTGCCCATGACGCCTTTGCAGAATGGTCGGACTTTGTCGACTTCGCTCTTTGGCCCTGCCAGAACACATACCAGCTGGCCGTTGTCCGCCATAGCCGGTGCGCCGAAGACGGGACATGCCACGAAAGATGCGCCGGCGTCGTTAATTGTCTTTGTGAGCCCATTCGTGGTGTCCGGATGTACCGTCGAGCAATCCACAAACAGCTTTTGCTTGGCCTCTGGCACCTTCAGTGCTGTGTCAATGGTATGCTTGATCGCCGCATCGTCGCCCACGCATGTGAATATGATGTCCGCGCCCTTCACGCACTCTTCTATTGACGTTGCGACCTTGGCTTTGCCGGAGGGCAGTGTCGATGCGAGCTTCTCAGCACGGGCAGTCGTTCGGTTGTAGATGAGGAGCGGAGGCGAGTATTTGCCCTTCTCGACGATGTTCTTCACCATGCCTCTACCCATGTTGCCCAGGCCTATCCATGCTACTCGTGGGCCGTCTGGAGACATGCCGACTGCTTGTTTGACTGATTCCATCTTGTCTTGAGCTGGGTGTGTATTTATTGCTTGAGGATGCGAGATGCTTGAGGAGTGTGGTGCAGGAAAGGGGGATTATGGAAGAATCAAGAGTGAACTTACCTTTACTGAGTGCTGAATGTCATTTGGACAAAGTAAACTCTTTTGCATCACCTCCGCTGGTTATGACGTGGCTTGGCGTGTCATGTCGGAGGTTCTGGAGATGATGTCGGCAATTGCGGGACCTCTCCCTGCGTGAGCATGTTCGCATGTCCGTGCCGCAATCAACTTCAAGTACTTGTTGGTGAGCAGTAAGATCAAGTCTTATAGAGGTGGCGGGCCTGAGGTTCTCACATCACTCAAGAGAAGTCGGAAGGATCAAACTGCTCGCAATATCATAGCATTTCATACAGCTACCACACTGCCTTAACAACACACCATGTCCATCGTAGACGCAGCACAAGCCTCTCGTCAAGCCTGATATCCGAGCAATGCGCTGTTCTCGACCTCATTCATGTGCTGCCTTCCACCCGCTGCCTTTTGGCAACCCGTACGAAGTGAACGATGCCACTACATCAAATAGGCTGGGAAGCACTTGAACCGATGCGAAGAGGTCTCCACCCTTGTCGAACATTTTCCTCGATGCTCTTCGTCGCAGCAAGGAGCTCATCCATAGAACTCGCAGTCGTCTTCCTCCTCGTTCGTCACCATCGACGGACGATGCTTCACCTGGACCTCGTCGAGGGTCTCGGAATCGTCTGAGGCGTACCCAGAGCGTGCTTTATTCGCCGCTTTCGAGCGATAAAACGATGAGCGCTGCAATTTTGCTGGCGCGCCGAAGACGCTATCCGGATTGTAGAGAGAAGGATGCAGCGTGGGCATGAGACCGTCAAGATCGCGCGATACGGAGCGCCCAGGTCCAGATGATGCGCGTCCAAGTCCTTGAACCGCACTGCTGTCCATTCTTTGCGCGGAAATATCTGGTGTTGTTCCATTAGCGACATGCAAAACACTAGATTCGTGCACGCCTGAATTACCTTCGTTGCCTAATGAGGCAGATCGCTTGCTTGGGGTCACCCTTCTCTTGATTACTTGCAGCCTGCTATCGATGCTCGACGGCTCTCCACGAGCGAATCGCATGATATCCACATCACTAATCGCAGATCCCTTGCACCGCTGCAGAACCTCGTCGGTCGTCAAGTTGCCCATTTCTTCCGCATGTGTCTTGCTCAAGTGACTCCGCATGTACCTCAAGTCGAGCGTGGGATGCAGTGCACCACCCCTGGAGCAGGAGGTATTTGCACCGCACAATGAGCAGCAGAGGGCATACATCTTCCCGTCGGAATCCTGGCAGAGGTTCAGATAGCTTTTGCGTAGCTTTTCGAACATTGCTTGCACACTGGTATCGTCCTTCGCCTGTCCTTCTGATTCTTAAGGCAGAGCATGAGTTTCAAGCTGTGCAGACTGCGCATGGACTCTTGGTTTCGAAATGCTGATATTGGGCAGTCTCCGATCTTGAGCAGACTGATCTGCGATCCTTTTGTCAGCGTTGTATGGATTTGTCCAGACGATGGCAAGAGCTTACCATCTTCTGCGCTCGTCATGCTCTGCAAAACACCACCACAGTTTATCAGTATATGATTGTCGTAAGCAGTCGGCTCCCAAGAATTGATCCGCGACAGAACTTCATTCGGGATCGCTTCACCCGTGCATTTGGCGGCAACCCACTCCACAGATGTCCCCCTCACTCCGTGACCGGAGTTCAAGTGCCTGCGCAGACTGTCGACGTTCATATTCGGATATTTGATCTCTGTCCTCTTCGCAGCAAGTTGAGTTGTGTTTGCGCCACATCCTTCATAGTAGCAGCAGAGTGCGTAGACATTGCCGTCGCTGTCTTCATGGAGGTTGCTGAAATCTCGTGCAAGCTCGAGCTTGATTCTCTCATGCCGCGAAGATGTGGTGTCGGATACATGCGTCCCAATCGGTACAAGGGACGGAGTCGGAGCTTGTACAGGCTCGCTCTTCCACCAGGGGTGTCAGCATGATCTCTTCTACCAGTATGCACATTCTGAATATACCGTAGCTTGGGTGGCCGATTGATGTCCTCGCGAAAAGCCGCTACTGTTGGATATCACAGTGGCGCGACCAAGTGCTGAATTGGCAGTTTGCGCGCTGCGGGCGGGCGTCAACCCAGCTGAGACTGCAACAGTAGTGCGAGCAGATGCTGGAGCTGGCTGAGACGCAGGGCCAGTCGGGCGGTTCTGCGCATGTTAGTGAAAGACAACAGCAGCTGGGACGTGCAAACAACTCACAAAGAAGGCTCGACACCGGGCGTCCAGATGTTTCGCTCGTGCTCGAAGTTCTTGGATTTCCAGTTGCTGTTGTGTGTTGAGGGCCTCTTGCTCTGCGCGATGACGGCTCGTCAACTCATTTTCAAGCCTCTCGTGCTGCTCAACCTCTCGATCAAGGATGGCCCGCTCCTCATTCTGCTGCCGGAAGAACCTAAGCCATGTTCCATCCTCTGAGGTTGCCATGACGGCGCGGCCTCTGTACAGGGCGATTGCGAGTGAAAGGTGTAGGTGTGAAGCTGTGAAGTGAGGAGGAAGCAAAGATCAAGCAGGACAGTTCGTCATTCGGCACTTCTGCTTCCGCTCCGGAGCTAAACCGAACGTGGATTGATCGTATTGGGAAGGAGCGCATCGCATATGATTGTCACGTGAAATACTTTCTTATGCTCCATGAACGTGGTCGGCCATTTGCCACGGTTGCGAGGATGAGCCGGACTGCAAAGATGAGCCGCAATGTCTCCTCGAACTACGCATCACTCACCTGGACGTGAAAGAACACCCACCTACCACTCCTGCAACATGTCCTTCCATTCCCAGCAACGTATCTTCAATCTCCACTCGACCCTTACAGATCCTAGACCTCACTGCCCTGGCTTCCACTCTTCGTCGTCTCCATCCTCGACCGTTGTCTCACGGAGCTTGACTGTGACCCCTTCATGTATCCCATTGATGGAATCGTCTGTGGCAGAGTCTGCGGCCTCTTGGTTCGTTATGCCGGGAGCACGGAGAGAGGTCCGCAGACGCTTCGACGGACGGTCGAACACATCGTCGTCTTCTGGTGAAGCATGCCGAGCTGACAGGCCTGCCATCCCGCCCAGACCGCGGGGCGTTGCCTGGCGTGAACCGGACTGGACAGTGCCAAAGTTCCATGGCGCATAGGAGTTGGGGTTGCCGAGCCCTTGCATACAAGCGTCAGTGAGAGTGAGAATCAGACAGATGTATAAGTGCCGCATACCTTCTCCACTATCCCTGTGAGCACCTCTCTTCTTTGTAGTCTTCTCCAATGCAATGCGATCGTCCACACCCGACGGTTCCTTACGATAGATCCGCATTATGTCTTCATCGGAGATTGGCGGCCCTTTGCATTGCTGCACCGCTGAATCTGCGTTCAGGAAGCGCGACTCCGCGAAATGAGCCTTGGTGAAGTGGTTCCAAAAGTTCTGGTAGTTGAAAGAGGGCGCCACAACATCCTTTTTAGCGCTGGCGTTGCAACCGCACAGTATGCAGCATATAGCGTACATCTTGCCATCAGAATCCTGCCACAAGTTGCCGTAATCGTTCTCCAGACGCTCGAAGATGGCTTGGATGCTGGTTGAAGTTGGTGCTTGAGAGTGCTTGTTTGGATACTGTAGGTTGGCATCTGAGGCAGCAGAGTTCGAGGACGATGTTGTGGCGAAACCAGGAGCCTGAAGCACATCCGAGATGCGATTGGCGAAGTCCAAATCGGCCTCTTTGCGGAACGGGAGACCTGTGTGCGTGAACGGGACGGCGTCACCGCGACCTTGTCAGCTCGTACGTTCGCTGCTGATGTCGTGTGCGGATCGGGTACGCGAGAAAGCATCTGCCGCAGCCGTGCGGACTGGCGGGCGACACGTGTTCTGCTGAGGTGCAAGACTGAACGTGCTGAACGAGGTGTTCGAACTCCCTACGACGTTGTCAGCAACACGACACGTTGTGCGGATCTCAAAGACCTACCCTGCTGGCCTGCACCCGCACCTCCAACAGGCCTCACGTTCGCGTTGCCGATACTCACGGCCACGCGATGATCGATGCTTGTAGGCTCTCCGCGCCAGATCCGGACGAGGTCATGGTTTGAGATAGGATCACCCTTGCACTTCTCGATGACCCATTCGACCCCTTTGCCACATATCTTGTGAGCGCCAGCGATGTGGGACCGAAGCTTGTACTTGTCCATGTTCGCATATTCCGCCATTTGGTACTTCACAGCCTCCTGGTTTGTGTTTGCGCCGCAGATGTGACAGCAAAGTGCGAAGAGCTGGCCTTCATCGTCATCTTCGTGCAAATTGCGGTATCTCGCCTTGAGCTTGCGCTTGAGACGTGGCAGATCTGAGGTGTCACACGTGATGTCCGGCACGATATTCGAATCTAGCAGGGTCTGACCACCAGGCCGCGGTTCGCTCTCCTGCTGTCTGAAGTCAGTAGGAAGGTTCTCAGCAAAGCCAACAGGTCACGGCTTACTGCGTTGCGCGATGGCGCTCCGCTGTGGGGCCTGCCCTCGAGACCGTTGGGACGAGCGCCCATCTCGGTGGGCAGTGTGCGCGGCTGAGGTGGGAGTCTTGGAAGCACGGCGGATGTAGCGGCACCACGGACGGATGCATTTTGACGGTCCTAGACATGTCAACGACAGACCATTGTAAAGTGGGGTTACGCCAGAGACGCGATTAGTGACTTACATGCTCAGCTTGCTGCAGCTGTACCAGGAGGTCTGCGGACTCTTGCTGGTGCCTTTTCGTGCGATCGGCAACCTTTTTCTCGTATAGAGCATTGTGGTAGGCGACGACATCGTCTATGGTTTGCTTATGTTGAGCGTCATCGTCGGCTTCCTCGCGCTGATGGCGGTCGGTAAGGTCCTTCTGAAGCTGTTCGCAGTGTTGCATGAACCGCTGCAGGCCTTCGAAGCAGGATCCGCTCTCCGGTGGCGCCATGTTGGACCTTTGACCTAGGTTGCGGGTTGTGAATCCAAGGTGGAGAGCCACGTAACAGTGCAATAGAGGTGTGCAGCGCGTGCCACAAGTTATGGGACTTCAATCGATAGCGGGGAAAGTTCTAGCAACAAAGAAACCAATCTCCAATGTCCGCCGGCGATGCAGGTACCCGGAGCTAGGCAAACAGAGAGGAACGACAACGTCCGCCGCGAAATGGGTTCACAAATGTGTCTGAGACAGTCAAACGAATCGGTCATGCGTCGCTGTTCTTTCGGTCGACGTCCCGGTAGCACTTGAGAACCAGCCACTTGGCTGGACAAGTAACAGCAGTCGGTTTCGTCGCTTGCATCCAGAGGATCGATACTTTTCAAGTGCTGCTTGGAAGTCCACAAGTGGTTAAGCCATGCATTTCGTGGTTACTACCCATGAGGGCAATCTCGAGCAAAGGTCGCGGACCAGCTGGCAGGACCGGCGCATCTTCTGCATCGACGTGAGGTTCCCGGCCGCAGACTTCGAACGACATGCGGGACACGAACACGCTCTTGTCTCGCCAACCTAGCTGGGCTTGGGTAAGTTGGCTTCGCAGCGGGTGCCCCCCGCAAGGGATGCCAACCGAAATGGGTGCCCTCTGCCAGTAAAAAAGCCAGACACGTGTCGCTTCGAGCGGTCACTAGGCGGTTGCCGTGAGTGCTGCCCTCGGCGGGATCACGCAAGCTACGGCATGTAGTGGGCAACTGCCTAGTGATAGAAGGCATTCCACCTGCCCGGACTGTCAAATTGCTTAGGACGAGCGATATCTGACTCTGCCGAGTGCAGTGGTTGGCGCCAGCGCCCAATTGTGGAATCGCCATAAGTCCGTCGATGCGACGGCCTGCAAGACCAGACGAGCCAGGGTCGTGCAGTGTTAGTCTGGCATTGAACGCCTCTACCTACTGGTGGGCGTTCAAAGCAATGCCCGAGCGCGACTGGTCCCATATTGCCCAATGAGAGGTGGCGTGGTTCAGAAGACAGAGAGAACAGAAATGTCCAGCCCTACTTGTGTGTGTCCAAGAGACGTGTTTCTCATCTGGCGTCCTCCGCCGAGATGCTGTTTCTGTCGATGACACCGCTCTTGCCTGTTCGACGACCTTCTAGTGCAAGCGCAAAACAGGCGCGGGAAGCACATCGGCATGCTTCGCTCTGAGGAGAGTCCCAAAGTAGCAGGGGCAGAGGTCGGCGGACAGCTTCACGGCCGTGGGACCACTTCGCTCTACGACAGGATCACTGCGGGCCGCGGTGGGCGGAGAGATGGGGGAGCGGAGTCGGTAGCAGCACAGTGCTCATCCAACTCGCGGCTTGCATTGCCTCGACATTGACGGAGGTTGATGAGCAGCAGTAGAGTTGAAGATGAGGAACAGGACGAGATGAAGTCTGAAAGCTGGGCGTGATCCGTGCGTAGAGCGCTTAGCGTGCCGTTCTGTCTGCACTGCACTGCATAGCAAAAGGAGTATCGAGCTGGTTGCAATGCAATGACAGTACTAACTGAGGACCTAACACTCTATCTACCCTCATCATGCGGCCGTGACGTTTGAAGCACAAGATTCTCCATCACGTTATAGTACAAAAACCCGCATCGCCCATCCGACGCATTCTGTCAAGTCTCACCCTAGACACTCTCTTCCATGCATCCTCAGCATGGCCAGTCAACCGAAGAACGCGACCGCTTGACTTGCACTTCATCCATCATCTCATCGTCGTCAGTATTGCAAACTGAGGCCTGCGCGAAGCATGGCTGCTCTTGCCTCCGCCTTGACTCTGATGATGAGCTTGGACGGAAGAGATTCTTGTCGGCAGATTCGTCGAGATACTTGGCGGCAAGATGCTGACGTGATGACAAACAGGTCGCACCAGTGGGAGAATGGAAAGGCTGGCGAAGAGAGGAGCGGTCGTGGGCGAGGGAGTGGTCGCGCGAGATTGTAGTTATGAAGTCTGGCAACGGGGATCAGTGGCAATTAGAAGACATCAAGTGTGCTCGAAACTGTACCTTCTTCACTCTCAATTGAGATTATCCGTTTCCGTGCGCAGCGCCTGACACTGATTCGGTCTCTGATTGTGTGGCTGAGGGCCGAAAGCTGTCCATGGCGGATGCTTACGATATCTTTGGAAGAGATGGCAGGCCCCCGACACTGCTGGATGAACTCGTCAAAGAGCAGATCCAGCTGCGACGCATCAGGATCGGCCTTGCAATAATGGTTTCGCAAGCCTAACGCGGTGAAGCCAGGTCGGTTGGTGTGTGCAGTTTGAGCAGTATTGGCACCACACAGAATGCAGCACAGAGCATACATCTTGCCGGTCTGACAATCTTGCATAAGGTTGAGGTACTCTCCCTTGAGAGCGTCGAACATGTCCTGAATAGCTGTAGCGCTGTGAGCCAGTGTGCTGGAGGCCGTTGCTTGTGGGGGCTGCGTGGGTGACCGGAAAAGGTTGTGGATGTCACGGCCGAAGACAGAGGTCGTTGCACGAGTATCGAGCGGGATGGAGTGGACTGCTGCGGGGTTGTCAGCGGCGAGCATGGACGAATCAGTATGAGGAGAGGGCATAGGTTCGTCATCCGACGAAGACGTAGCTCGATGAGTCGGAATACGTACGTGTCTCTTCACCTGAAGTCTTTCATCTGTCTTGGAGATACCCTGCTTCGAGATCCGTTCGAGGTCTGCGTAGGACAAGGCACGGCCCTTGGACCGCTGGATAGCTTCTTTCACGTCCATCACACTCCAGTCCTCCGGGTGGACCTGATGCAAGTGAAGCCACAATCTTTTAGCATCGAACGAAGGTCCGCTGGCCTTTAATCGAAGGTTGCCAGTGTTGGCACCACACCTGAAGCCGCACAGAGCATACACCTTGCCGTCATCCATGTGCAAGTTCTGGAACTGCTTCTGCAGCTCGTTGAACATTTCTTTGACATGAGCCAAAGGTTGTTCGTGTTCAGGCGAAGTTCTCTTTGGAATGGCGGAGGTGAATCTGCTTGATGTAAGGTTTCGTGGGGCACGCTTGGACGAACCGCGAGCTTCGGGCAGGCGACCTCTGAGACCAGAGGAGCCAGACCGAAGAACTGCGGAATGGGACGAACGGGCGTCTGTCCGACCTCGCTCAACGTCAGTGCAGGATACGGGGTTGGAGATGGTGTCTCCGGAGGTCATGAAGCTGTTTGCGCGCTCAAAGGCCGCACGCCTTGGAGTAGGGGTGACCAAGAGAACTTCTAGCGCAGTATTGCCAGTCAAGCGAGGCGGTGAAGAATAGCATTTGGACTGTACTCACCATCAGACTTTGTTGGTGCGCCAGATCTGTGTCCAGTGCTGACCTTCACTCTGTCATCGAACCTGGTCGGCCTTCCAAGCCAGATGCTCAGAAGTTCCGCATCCGGGATGGGTTCTCCTCTGCATAAGATCTCCACGTCGGTGACTGTCAGACCCTTCACCTTGTGGCTCACGATGATGTGTGCTCGCAGCGCATGACGGTCCATGTTCGGGAAGTCCGTCTCACCGTCCTTGACGGCGCGACAGCTGATGTTTGCGCCACAGTGGCAGCAGCAGAGAGCATAAATTCCGCCCTCATCTTCGTAGAAGTTGCCGTATCTGGCTTTGAGCTTGAGCTTGAAAAGCGGGATATTGGTGTAGTCGAACGAAATGTCCGGTTGATGATTGATGGGCGCGTGAGCTGCTTCGCTGTTGCGGGTCTCACTCTGCTTATTGCGACGTTAGCGGGATCATACGCGTTCGCCGCCTTTAACTTACCGACGCCTGGTGAGAAGATTGAGTTTGTGCAGAAATGTCGATAGCGTCGACAGCGGGTAAGACTCCATCGGGATGCTGGACAGTAGTACTCGGAAAATGAACAGAAGTGGCTCCGATAGTAGAAGGAAAAGAAGTGATTGAGAACGAAGAGTCAGCGCCAGAACCAGCAGCAGAACTGGGAGCAGTAGCACAGGCAGAGACAAGGGCAGTTGATCGCTCCTAGTACTGGTAAGCATCTCCTCAATGTTGGTAAAGTATCTCAATCAACCTACAAGAATGATTTGCTCGACATCAGCGTCAACTTTCGCCTGCAGCTCGGTCAACTCTTCCTGATGCCGTCTCTCGCGGTCGGCTTTGCGTTTTTCGTGAAGAGAGTCTTGGCGTGCGACAAGAGCCTCCACCGCTTGCTGGTGTTGCTCGTCGTCGTTGGCGCTCTGGCGATAGTAGTCGTCGATGAGGGCTTGCTTCTGGGGTTCGCGTTGCGCCATGGCGGCTTCAAGGCGTTTAAACCAGCTGCCTTGTTCTGAAGAGGCCATTGTGGAGGGTAGGGGCAGTGAGAATTGCGGAGGTGGTGGCTGCGAAGGGGACGGTTGCGAAAGTGATGAGATTGGAAGTGGAAACTGTAGTGACGCCCTCATATGCAAAATTGGATGGCAAGAATGTTCGTGTAGCGAGCGATTGCTAAGGTGCGCCATCATGCAGCAAATGCATCTCTAGAAGAAGTAGCAAACACCACGCGCATGAAGCCACCTACCTGGGTGTTCTAGACGAGAAGAAGCAGAGCACTCCGCTCCGTGGTGGACCCCTGCCAGCTTGCGGTCATCCGTGCGGCCTGCACCTTTGCGCAATTAGCTGTATACATGCTTCCGGGCTGCTGGCGTGAGTGTTCGACACTAGGCGTGCCGCAGGGGTGAGACAGCTTGAGCGTGAGGACTTGCAGATGCTTGCACACAGTACCTAGGCGGTCAATACCGTCTTACCACATCATCGGCAGTCTGTTGTCCAGATCTCTAGGGCGTAAGCAAACAATGCGGTCTGGCTATGCTGCAGGCGCGTGCTGCCGTGAGCGAGGTGTCCGCCCTGTTGCAGGAGCGTCGACGGTCTGCGGGCAGGAAGGGCTCTGTATGCCGGTGGCCGTTGTTTCGGATGTCCGACGTCTCAGCGAGGGAGAGGCAGACTGACAGACCACACAGCTCGAAATTTCCACCTCCTAGGTAGCTGACGCGGCTACATATCGCCACGCAACAATGCGCGCGGCGCGATCAATGTATATCTATAAAGGAGATGTTAGATGTACAGAGGTGTGAGGTTGCCGTCTGACCTCTATATGGGAGGCGGCTAGTCGCGGCCCTGCTTGCTTCTTCGGGAGTGCCAAGAAGTCGACCCTTCACCAAGACAGTCTTTGTCTCGCCATCATCCCAACCTCACCTCGCCGACCCGCGGATTGTAGGCCACGAAAACTTCGCCACCAGATAAGCTACACCTTTCCTTGCTTCCTACTCTCTTCATACCATCCAGGACAATCTATACTCCTTCCACTGCAGCACCACAACCATGTCACACCTTTCATCCCACCCACCCCGCCAACCGCCACCCCTCATGGCCTCCATCTTGGAGAACGTCGGCAACACGCCAATGGTACGCCTCAACAGGCTACCACAGTCCCTAGGCCTGCAATGTCAGGTATACGTCAAGTGCGAGTTCTTCAACGCTGGCGGTAGCGTCAAGGATCGCATCGCGCTGCGCATGGTCGAGGCGGCGGAAAAGGAAGGCCGCATCAAGCCCGGCGAGTCGGTCCTTATCGAGCCCACGTCGGGTAACACTGGCATTGGATTGGCGCTTGTTGGAGCTGTGAAGGGCTACAGAACAATCATCACACTGCCTGAGAAGATGAGCAGCGAGAAGGTGTCGGTGTTGAAAGCGCTGGGAGCGGAGATCATCCGCACACCCACGAGCGCCGCCTGGGACAGCCCGGAGAGTCATATTGGAGTGGCGAGGCGATTGGAAAAGGAAATACCGGGCGGTGTCATTCTGGATCAGTACAGCAATCCCAACAACCCACTCGCGCACGAGTACGGCACCGCCGTGGAGATTGTGGAGCAAACCGAGGCGGGCAGAATCGAGGGCAGTCTGAAAGCAGTTATCGCTGGCGCAGGCACTGGAGGTACAATCACTGGCATCGCGAGGGGTGTCCGAAGACGTTACGGAGACAAGGTGAGCATCATTGCTGGAGATCCGGCAGGTTCGATCCTCGCCTACCCGGAGAACTTGAATGAGAACGGCATGAACAAGCCCTACAAGGTCGAAGGCATTGGATACGACTTCATTCCGGAGGTATTGGCGCAGCGAGAGGTCGATCGATGGTACAAGACTGACGACCGGGACTCTTTCTACTGGGCTCGTCGCCTCATTCGGGAAGAAGGTCTCCTTGTGGGCGGCAGCTCCGGCTCTGCGATGGCCTGCCTGGAGCGAACATGCCGCGATCTCAACCTCGGGCCGCAAGATGCCGTCGTTGTCATTCTCCCGGACAGCATCCGCAGCTACCTCTCCAAATTCGTCGACGACGACTGGCTGGCCGCCAACGATCTACTACCCGCCTCACCTCCGCTCACACCCCCGGCCGAGAAAGCAGACGATCAAGACCTCACTGTCGACGAACCACCCCCATCACCAACCTCCACCCGCAAACCAAATCCCAAAGCCGAATACGGCAACGCCACCATCGCCGACCTCCGCCTCAAACCCGTCCAAACCATCGCCGTCAACAGCACAATCGACGACGCCATCGAACTCTTGCGCGACAAGGGCTACGACCAGGTCCCCGTCACCTCCGCCACCGGCAAGCGCCTCGTCGGGCTGGTCACGCTCGGCAACTGCCTCAGCTACCTCAGCAGCAACCGAATCAACATCGACTCGCCGGTCGAAGACGTCATGTTTAACTTCAGCAAGCTGGACGAAGTCAAGCCGCTCGAGAAGAACCCGGGGTTGACGGAGGGTAATGATGATGCACGGGAGTTTGTGGAGATTACTGCGAAGACGCCGCTATGGGCTTTGGCGCGGTTCTTGGAGTGGAATGCCGCTGCTATTGTGACGGAGAGGGAGAACGACGGGCAGGGCGGGATGAGAGCGTCGGCTGTGGTGACGAAGGTGGATTTGTTGGTTTGGTTGGTGAGGCAGGGGAGGCATCGGCAGGCGAATGGGCATGTGCGGTAGATGCTTTTCTGGGGCACGAAATAGGCGGGACACCCAAGCAGGATTTTGGGAGAGAATTGTCCCGCTTATTCTGGCCCCCAGGAAATGCTGAGGGTGGGTTGGTTGATGAAATGTCATGCGAGCGACGGCGTTCAGGGCGTGGGCGGTGACTTCGTGAGTCTGCTTTTCTATCTTAGATGATACACGGTACACCCTACAATGCTCACGAATGCATGATGCTGTCCGGCATGTGATAGTGCACTAGGCCGAGCTCGTACTAGTGTTCGATGCGGAGTCATCACCTGCTTTCCTCCTTCGCTTCGATTGAATTTCTACAACCGACATGCTCAGCCTCTCACCATACTGGCAGAGCCACGAACTCAACATGGCGCCGACAGGATCAAACCCGGAGGTCTGTTTATCATCAACGCAGGTTTACCGTTCACGGATTGGACGCTAACCTTGAACAGAATGGCGACCCCGACGGCGACATCATCGCTCACATGGCAACCGGTAGCGGCTCGCTCGAGATGCACGACAAGGTACGAGAGTTATACTGCATTCATTCTGTTTGTGAAAGCTGACTTGATCCAGACCGACAATCCCGCCACCGCCATCGCTCGCACGGAGAAAGAGCGCGCCGCACGCGAAAAACACAACGACGCGAACTGCCGCCTTCTTGGTCTCTGCGCGGAGCTACGCAACAAGATATTCTTCGAAGTTGTGGAGCATCGACGGCAGGATTATGTCGAGTCCAACGGGTTCCACCCATCATCTCCACCGCTTCTTCAGACTTGTCGTGGCCTTCGCTCGGAGACCGTACCAATCTTCTATGGTAGCAACACAATCGTGCTGATTATATACCCGAAACGCAACAACGAAGATGGCCGGCGTAAAGAGGCCTTCGCCTGGACTGAGTCCCTTTCCAACGATGCCCTGCCCCAGCTTCGCAGGGTCTATCTCTTTTCCCGGCTCCCGTGCGAATGCAACACCCCATCTAGGAAGTTTTTCTTGGCCAGCCTGGGCGTGACATCCCAGGGGAGAGGACGACTCGAACTCGAAATCCTCATGCCGTCTGAGTACTCGCTTGGCAGCGTCGAGGCAGGCGGACATAACTGTCGCCTCTGTTACCAAGATGTACAGGTGGCAGCGGCGAAGGCTAGGAGGGATGCGGAAATTGTGCTGCGTCGGATGAATCTAGAAGAGGGAAGCGCAGCGTACCGATCGGCTCTGCTGGAGCTGATCAAGTGCGTTGAGGTGTGAACCATGCCGCAGGCACAAGCACACCCCAGCGTGGAAGACGAAGCGGACAAATAGCCAGATGTGGTTGGGCTCGGCGGCGATGTTGTTGTTGAGCTCGAGGCTGTGCGACTTGCCGAAGGTGTGGATTGTGTTCCCTACTTGCAGGCTTTACCAGAGGAGCTTTGTCGTAATTCTTCGACAGTAAGTCGCTTCCAATGCGAGCACTTTACAGTATTCCTTGTCACTTCCATTCTCGTAGTCGCGACTTCCACGCTTGCCTACTGTCTTCATTCGAGATCTTGGTCTGACATGTGACAGCCGCATGACTCTTGCTCTGGGAGCTAGCGGCCCGCTCCTGCTGAGCCTCATACATGACAGCATGAGCTTTTCAAGATCTACAAATCGCTACTCCGAGCTCACTACGAACCTCCAGTTGCAACAAGATGGCCACATCAGGCGGATCAAGCACACCGCCGGTGTCCCTCGCCCTCACCAACAAGACCATCCTGGGCGGATCAAGCACGATGCCGACGGCCCCTGACCTCGCTACCACCGCCGCCACGGTAAGCACCTCATGGTGTGAAATCGTCGCTTCCACAACTGACCGCCTGCAGACTACCACCTCCGACAGCATGACCGACCAAGCCCAGCAAGACCGTCTCCAGCGAGCGCATCACAACGCCACCAAGTGCCGCCTCCTGACTCTGCCCCCTGAGCTACGCAACCGCATCAACGAGGAAGTGATCGCAAGCAACAAAGAGCCGCATGTGCGGGTTCCTCATCATCCTGGCCAGGCGCCTGAGCACTTCTCCGGCATGCAGCTCACGCAAGTCTGCCAGAGGATGTGCAACGACATCCTACCAATGCTCTGGGCGCAGCCGATCGTGTTTGTCCTTCACAAAAAGCGCATGGAGGGGCATGCCAGCTGCGAATATGATGCAGCTGCAACTGTAACGCTTGATTCGGGGTTGTTCGCAAGGGATCTTTCCAGGCTTTTCATTAGCTACGCCTCAGTCTCCTTGGACCAACGCCAAACAACGGAGGTGTATCTCGAGCCAGACACACCGGGGACCCCAAAGAAGCATAAACACGAATGCATGTGCGGTGGTGGAGCATGGACGACAGCGACATGTGGGGCAATGATACAAGCCGTCAATGATTGGAACGCGAAGTTAAGGAGTCGCGACGTCGAAGGAACGGGCCTCACAGAAGATGTGGTACGCAAGATGATTGCGATGGTCTTGCGGGACTAACTTTGCCTCGCTCGATGCCCAAGGGTATACACATCATGCTGGAGAAACTCGAGCTCTCACAGCTTCGAAGATCGAGAGGGAACAAAGAGTGGCGACCTGTGCGTAACGGATGCTTTGATACTCGACTTGGGTACGATACACATCAGGCTCTACTTGAAAGGAATTCATACACCACTTTCATGCTCCATATCTTCGTTCCCAAATTCCATAGTACACGAGATCTCACCATTCACGTGTGACAGCCGTCGCACCACGTGACGTGACGTGATCCTCATGTCAAGCTCGCGCCTTGGCTTTTAGATTCACAACATCTTGCTCCCAGATCTTCTCCTCCAACTTCACAACTAGTCGTAACTCACAGACACCACCCACCGGCCTCCAAACCATGCGCACCTAGGATAGATACCATCGAGCATCGAACGGATCAGCGCCACGATGGTATCTACCCCTATTGCCTGGGCCACTAACGCCAAGTCTTCCAAGGTCAGTCGGGTCCCGTCTCTGAGTCTCCTGCCCTGTGCCAGTATCTTACCAGTGAGCTGACATCCGCTAGATTCGTCAAGAAAGCGAGACGGAAAAGAAGGAACGTGAGCGTGCCGCACGGGAACACAACAACCTTACGAGATGCCGCCTCATCACCCTCCCGGCAGAGATCCGCAATGCCATCTGGGAGAACTCCGCGAACCCGATGAGGTGGTGGGATGTCAGTGCGGACAACTTAGTCCATCCCAGAGCATTGCTCGAACCTGCCGCGCTTGACTTCGAGAAGTCGAACCATTCGTCTACACCAACCATTTCGTGATTGTCCAGCTCGGATTTGGCTGCGCCTGCAACGAAAACCACCACATTGCTACGATCAAGGAGTGGCTCGACAAATTTCTCTCCCTGCGAGAGATCGGTTATGATAGTGTCATCGTCGACGGTTCTTGGTGGACTAGCCTTCGATTCACATCTGGGAGACAACCAGGCGATCGACAGATCGAATTCAGATCCACAACTTTCGGCGCGTGCGACAAGGATCTCACTAGACTGTCCGACGGAGTGCGATATGGTCAACTCACGAACGAGGATGTGGTGAAGCTGTTCGATATCCCCTTGTCTTGAAAAGAACCACGGCAACGAGATCGACCAGGCAGACTGCCAGATATGCGCTCGGCTCCCGACTCCCAAGACTCCCAACTCTCGACCGCCAACGCCCGACTGCCAACAACCGACTTAAACCTTCATACGTCCCTACACCAAGCTAGGACTTCCAGGCCGGAAACTTGACCAACACCAGATCAACCATACAAGGGCCAAACCACAGTTTAGCCACCGACGACGGAAGACACACAAACTGAGCGACCTATGGTGGAATTGGCGGCAACCGGCTTAGAAATGTCTATACTCCTTGCCGAACGTGACGATCGAGATTCCAGGCAGGAAGAAGCAGGTTTAGGCTACTATGAGCTTGATCAACTTGCGCTGCGAAATGCCACCGTGTCCCCACTTCTTGATACTCTTGCTCTCACTTTCATTCAGTTTATGCTTATTCTCCACCTTCCGTAGCAGGGCGACCGTAGAACACAGATCCAGGCCGGCGCGCAAGGTGCGCATGTCTGAACGTCATAGATCTTGTTTCCGAATGATGCCAATCCCGTCCTCAAACCATCCGTACAACCGCATCCCCGATATACCGCCGCGCCACCCATTCTTCAATCCGCCACCCTCCCCTTATCCGCCCAACTCGGCCCCACCCCCCTGCAAGCCCCCACATAATCCTCCCACCTGCCCCTCCCCTCCACCACCCCCTCCCCAGTCCAAAACATCGTCCAATTACTCTCGGGCACCATCCACGTCCCCTCGCTCCGCTCAAAATACCACTTATTCACCGGATTGTCCTTCCTACTCCTCCAACAAACCCCTGCGGGGAAACACGTCCGCACCATCGCTTGGAACACAATATCCGCTACCCCGCTGCTGCCCTGGCTATTCGACAGCACAGCGAATTTGTCGAGATACGGCACGAGGCGCGAGGGATCGGAGTCCAGCGCCCCGGGCGGCGTTTCCCAGGTCAGGATTGCGCCGCCTTCGTATTCGCCCGCGACGATGAGGCCGGCGGTGCGGCCGCGGATGCGGTCGAGGTAGTGGCGCACGTCGAGTTTGCGGCGGAAGGAGTCTTCGATGAGGTGCACGAGGCGCGGCAGGTCGACGCGGGGGTCGGTCTCGAGGTCGAGGGTCGTTTGGCCCGAGGCGGGAGCGAGCCAGCCATGTGTCGGGTCGGGGGGCGGGATGATTGTGACGGGCATGCCGCGTTTTATGAGGGTGGCGCGGGGCATGTCCGGGCTGTCGACGTCGGCGTCGGCGCCCGGAGCGGGGGGTAGGCGGGCGACGGGGAGGGATGACGAGACGATGGGTTTGTTGGTAAGGAGGTTGTGGATGAGAGTGTTCCTGCGGCGGCGGGTACCTGCGCCGATGCTGGAGTCGTCTTCTGTGGACTGCGAGGAGACGGCGGCTTCCTGGGGCGTGATGACTAGTGCCGAGGAGGCGGAGGGAAGCAGTGTAAGACATGCCTTGGTCATGGCCAGATTTGAGCGGTGTTGTTCGTAGACATTGCGAGCGTCGGTGACCGTGGGGATTTCCTTGCCGTACTCCACCAGTTCGCCTTCAATCTCGCTGTACTCCTGGTCGAGGTTGATGAAGACATGAGCGCCGTCGCCTCGCGCTTTGCTTGGCACGCCGCCGGCCTCGTCGAGAACAATGATGCGGTCCAGACTAGTGTTGATGGTGGGCCGGCTATCCCCGGGTATCGTTGGACTGGTCGGCAGGCCAGAGAAGAGCCTCGACAGTGCGATCATGATCGTAGTGGCAGGTATCTGCACGAGCTGACTGGTCGCTGTGTGCGCCAGAGTCGGGACAATAGGGATAACAGACCGCTTGAGAGGGTCCGTAAGTAGACTTGGCACGGAGACGGTGGCTGCGCTGTCCGTGGTGCCTTGCACCGAGCCGTGCGATCCTTCGTCAGTAAGTTCAAGAGCCCCCAATACAAGGCGTGCACCCTTGGTGCTGTGTTTGCCAATTACCTTCGCCAGCCTGTCGCATTGATGCTTGATGGCGGACGACTGCTCCCTCATGCTGGTGGCGCCTGCGTCACCGCCGCAGTCCAGGACAATGGCAATCCTCATGTCCAGCTTGACCAGCTGGCTGAGCGTGGTCGCCACCCCTTCCAAAGTGGCATCATCCAGACTTTCCGGCGCTCTCAAACAGACAAGCGCAACATGAAGCGTCTGCTGGGGAGTTGCAGCAGTCCTTTCACCCACATGCGGCTGGGTGAACTGCGGCGACTCGGCGATGGCCCGGGCAGGAGCATACAGCCCGCCGAGGTTGACGCCGCTCCTGTCCAGTCGGTCCTGATCGCGGCGGTGGCGGGCATTGCGTTCTTGCTCGAGAGGCGAGAGGGTAGCGGTCTTGCTTGTGCTGGCATCCTTCGCTGGCTTGAAGCGGGCCAAATACTGCTTGGCGTCACGCTTCGTGGCATTGGCGGTGAGGACGTTCATGAAGAGCTCTCGCTGAGTGGCTGCATCGTCGCCCTTCGCTGGGCTGCGAGTTCGGCCATTGGTGCTTTGAGGAGAGGCAGTAGCGGACGAAGAGTAGCATTGGACTGGTGTTGATACTCTTTTGCAAGATTTTGCGAGCGGCGCCTTGAGGTTACCTGGCACCTTTGCCCTTCCAGACGCCAACATAGAGGTAGTCATTTTCCATCGCAGCCCCGGCTCAGAAATGCTGAGGCCCGAGCATCAAGACCGAAATCAACAGAGTATAGAAAAGAGAAGAAGAAAATGGCTCAAGAAGCCTGCATTATCTTGGTGGTATGAATCATCCTATCACGTACGCCCTTCGCCGGACCGAGCTGCCCGACGGCAAGGATTCGGATCTCTCGAGACGGACCAAGGAATAGAAACCAGATGGCGCTGATATCTGCAGATACCTAAGACGTTGTCCGTTGACAGAACCCATTAGCTGAAGTCCTCAGAAGGAAGTGAGGTCGAAATAAGAGTTGTCCGCTCAGTCAAAGTGGCAGTCGCGTCAGATCGCGCCAAGACATAGGCGGCGGGTCATCCCGGTCCAAATGTTGACAAAGGTAAACACACGCGACAACGACGACTCCGACCACGACTCTGGACCGGACGAATACAACTCAGCGGGACACGACAGCGAGCGACAGGCGCGCAAGAGGGAGAATGATCGGCAATCGGTGACACCCATAAGACGTACACAACCACGCGACAACCAGCACCACGACAATGCGCATCACGGAACTCATCATCGACGGCTTTAAGTCGTACGCCGTCCGCACGGTAATCAGCGAGTGGGACGCGACCTTCAACGCCATCACCGGTCTCAACGGCTCCGGCAAATCCAACATCCTCGACGCCATCTGCTTCTGTTTGGGAATCGGCCGCTTCGAACTCTTGCGCGCGAATGGCGGGGCCAGCGACCTCATCTACAAGCGTGGCCAGGCCGGTATCACGAAAGCGAGCGTCACGCTGGTCTTCGACAATGCAGACAAACCCAGGAGTCCGATCGGGTTCGAGGACTATGCGAGCATCAGCGTCACGAGACAGATCGTGCTGGGCGGGACCAGCAAGTACCTCATCAATGGACACCGTGCGCAGCAGCAGACCGTGCAGAATTTGTTCCAAAGCGTGCAACTGAACATCAACAATCCCAACTTCTTGATCATGCAGGGGCGGATCACAAAGGTGTTGAACATGAAGAGCACGGAGATTCTGGGTATGGTGGAGGAGGCAGCAGGTACGCGCATGTTTGAGGACAGGCGAGAGAAGGCGATACGGACAATGGGCAAGAAGCAGATGAAGGTGGAGGAGATTGAGGGCTTGCTCAAAGACGAGATTGAGCCGAAGCTGGACAAGCTGAGAAATGAGAAGCGGGCGTTTCTTGAATTCCAGAGCACGCAGAACGATCTGGAGCGCTTGACGAAACTGGTGGTGGCATATGACTACGTCAAGTCAAAACAAAAGCTACAGCAGAGCGCACAAGATCTGACGTCGAAGAAGGAGCGAGCGGCTGAGCTGGAAGATAACGCCGACAAGCTGCGACGAGAGATTGGTGTGCTCGAAGAGGATATGGAGAAGGTACGGGCTGCGCGTGACAAAGAATTGCGCAAGGGCGGCAAGTTTGCGAAACTGGAAGAGGCTGTCAAGACGCATTCGCATGAGATGGTCCGGCTATCGACTGTGATCGATCTCAAAAAGGCGTCAATGAGTGAAGAAGAGGAGCGGCTGAAGAAGGCCAAAGCGTCGGTGAAGGATCTTGAGAAGCAGCTGAAGCAGAAATCGGAGGCGCATCAAAAGCTGCAAGAGCAATATGAGGGATCCAACCGAGAGGTCGAGGAGCAGAAAGCGGAAGTCGACAAGAAGGAGGAGCTATTGCAGACTCTCCAAACTGGTATTTCTTCAAATGCTGGCTCGGATGGAGGCTACGCAGGTCAGCTGGCGTCTGCTCGAGACGGTGCCAGTAAAGCAGGAACAGAGATCGAGCAGTCAAAACTGAAGATCAGCCATCTGGAATCACGCATCCAGGAAGACGAGCCTCGGACGAAGAAAGCTGAAAAGGAGAATGCTGGCCTTTTGAAGGATCTGGAGCTTCTACGATCGCAGGCCGGCAAGCTGGAGAAGGAACTAGAGAAGCTCGGATTTGAGCCTGGTCGCGAGGAAGCTCAGCAAGGAGAGAAGACACAGTTGGAGAAGCGCATCCGGGCATTGCAAGGCGAGGCAGATGCATTACGGCGAAAGGTGGCTGGTCTGGACTTCTCCTACTCCGACCCGTCGCCCAACTTCGACCGCCGGCGGGTCAAAGGTCTCGTTGCACAGCTGTTCAATCTTCCCACCGAGCATGCCGAAGCCGGGACTGCACTGGAAATCTGCGCTGGTGGCCGCCTTTACAATGTTGTCGTTGATTCCTCAGACACTGGTAAACAACTGCTCGAGAATGGTAAGCTGCGAAGACGAGTCACCATTATACCACTGGACAAGGTCGACGCACGACGAGCGCCAAATGATCGAGTCTCGGCTGCGCAGAAGCTGGCGCCTGGGAAGGTGAACCTTGCTTTGACACTCATTGGCTATGAGCACGAGGTTGAGAAGGCGATGGAGTTCGTCTTTGGCAATACGCTCGTCGCTGCCGACGCTGCCACTGCGAAGAGAGTCACATTCGACCCGTCGGTGCGGTTGAAGACCGTCACGTTGGAGGGCGACGTCTACGACCCCAGCGGTACTCTTTCCGGTGGCTCTGCGACGCAGGGTAGCGGTGTGCTCCTTACGCTGCAGAGGCTCAATGTCATCACCGAAGAGCTGGAGCTGGAGCAGGAAAAGTTGGCGAAGCTTGAATGTACTATCGCGAAAGATGCGCAGAAGCTCAAATCGGCAAGGCAGATCAAGCAGGAGCTGGACTTGAAGGCTCACGAGATCCAGCTTGCGGAATCGCAGATTGCAAGCAACTCCTCCTCTAGCATCATTGCTCAAGTGGCAGAGATGAAGGAGACGATTGCCGCTTTGAAGGAGAACATCGATACTGCGAAGAAGAGGCAGACTGAGGCCGAGCAGGATGTCAAGCGGATTGAGAAAGACATGAAGGACTTCTCGTCGAACAAGAGTGGCAAGCTGGACCAGCTGCAGAAGGATCTCGACAAGCTGAAGAAGGCGCTATCGAAGGCTCAAGCCACCATCAAACCTCTGCAGCAGGAGATGCGAGACGCCAGAATCGACTCCGAGCAGACCGGCAGTGACCTCGCCGCCGCCCAAGAAGAGCTCGCTGATTCCGAAACCACCCTCGCCGCCCACAAAGAGGAAATGCAATCCCTCGAGTCCGAACAATCCACCGCCAAATCCGCCCATGACGAAGCCCAAGCAGCCCTCACCGACGAACGCGCCAAACTCACATCCTTCGACGAAGAAATCGCTGACCTCGAAGCCGCCTCCAAACGCAAATCCCAACAAATCGCCGACGAGAAGCTTGAAGCCCAGAAACTCGGCCATGACATCGACAACTTCGCCAAAGCGCAGCAGACCGCCCAGTCCGCCCTCTCCATATTAGAGAAAGAACACGACTGGATCCACGAAGAAGCCTCCTCGTTCGGTAAACCTGGCACCCCGTACGACTTCCACGGCTCCAACATCCACGAAGCAAAATCCAACCTAAAAACCGTCACCGAGCGCTTCCAAGGCATGAAGAAGAAGATCAACCCGGCGGTGATGAACATGATCGACTCGGTGGAGAAGAAAGAAGCCTCCCTCAAACAAATGATGCGGACCGTGATTAAAGATAAACGCAAGATCGAGGAGACGATCGGAAGTCTAGATGAGTATAAGAAGGAGGCGCTGGAGAAGACTTGGCGGAAGGTGAATGAGGATTTCGGGTTGATTTTTAATGATCTTCTGCCGGGGAATACGGCCAAGTTGGATCCGCCCGAGGGGAAGAGTATTGCGGAGGGCTTGGAGGTGAAGGTTTGTTTGGGGAAGGTGTGGAAGCAGTCGCTCACTGAGCTGTCTGGGGGGCAGCGGTACGTCTTCGTCTCTCCCCTCTCCTGTCCCCAGTCCGCGAATGCTAACGTTGATCGCCTGCGGCAGGTCTCTCATCGCACTCTCCCTCATCCTCTCCCTCCTCCAGTACTCCCCGGCCCCCATGTACATCCTCGACGAAGTCGACGCCGCGCTCGACTTATCGCATACACAAAACATCGGCCGCTTGATCCGGACGCGGTTCAGGGGGAGTCAGTTTATCGTGGTGAGTTTGAAGGACGGCATGTTTGGGAACGCGAATCGGATTTTTCGGACAAGGTTTATGGATGGGACGAGTGTGGTGCAGGTGTTGGGGCCGGGGGATGTGCGATGATTTGGTAATGCACCTGGGTAGCGAACGGCGTTCTATGGTGGTGCGGAAGTCGGTCTCGTATTGTCAGATTTGGTTATGTGATGCGGTCGGATGGTGTATGTACAGTATCGTGGTCTTCAGGGCCAACGTATCCAGCGGGCGGAAGGCGGTGCGATCTATCCCTGCAACAGAACCTGCTGCCTCTTCTTGACCTCTTTCGCGATCTGTTCCACATTCAATCCCCGCATCTTCTCACCCAAAATCTGCGTCTTTTGCTCCAGATCCTCAATACCATCCGTAGCCCCCTGATCCGCCAATCGCACAGTCCCATATGGCGAGTGCTCGAAGACCGCAGCGAGCAAGGTTTGCATATCAGCGTCCGCCTCTGCGAGTGACTGAGCCAGCTGGTCGGCGATGCCGCGCTCGGAGATTGTGGCGAGTGAGGACAGTTTTTCGAGCTTGTCCTTCGTGCTTGCTGCCAGACTTCCAGTGAATTGACTGCCGTCCCCCGAATCTGTGACTTTGACATCGAGCTGTCGTAATAGTTGCGTGACTGGATCGTGGGACTCAGAGAGATTCGCTTGCACCAGGCGCAGCGGCTTCAGACCTTTCTGCGACTGCTTTACCGGCGACTGTGCTCTGTTCTGAGCAGCCTTGCTGTCACTGCTGGATGCCTGAATAGCCTGGAAAGCAGCATTGATGGTCTTCAAAGCAGAGCGCTGTGCGCGAATGTCCCGTGAAGTCTCATCAGTGGCCTCTAGCCGGACAGTGAGGTACTGCAGTGCTGAGCTCATGTATTCTGCCCACGCTGCTTGCTCGGTTTCGTTATCGGACATTGCCGATTGCAGGGCCCGTGAGATAGCGGTGCGGTATTGGGCTTCGACCGCCATGGTAGAGAGGCCGTCGATCTCGCGGCATAGCTCCTCTAGCTCTGCTCGCAGCGAGTCGCGCTGGCTTTCGAGACTTTGCGAGGATTGCCTCTTGCGGCTCCCGTTCGTTTGAGAACTGTAGTCTCGAATTGCAGCATTGTACGTAGCATCGATCCTCGCGTGAATCTCTTGAGTAGATAGTACGGTAAGCGCCTGGCACAGCCGCTCAACCTCATCCAGTTCCGCGGCATCGGTAGCATTGGCGGTCAGTTTCGGCAGCACTTTCTCAAGGCCGTCGAGCAAGCGATTGTCCTTCTCCAGTAGCCTTTCGACCATAGGTAGGATCCCGGTAGACGAGTGCTCCGCCTGCTTCGAGGCTCGTTCAAGGCGTGCTTGCAATGAGTCCGCTAGCTCAGAGGCTTCAAACTCGGACTGAGCCTTCTCGCGGGCATGCCTGTTGCTTTTGCCGTTCGAGGAAGAGTCATGGGTGCGGTCTGAAGCATTGCGGGATTGAATCTTGCGGAGGGCTTGCTTTTGAGCCTCTAGGAGTTTGCATTGCTTCTCGATCGAAGCGGTGCTGGCTTCGAGCGAGCTGATGGCTGATTCAAAGTCCTCATCGGACAGCAAGGGGCCTGTGGCTATGTCGCTGGCAGACGATGTGTTGTGCTTCTCGTGGCTGTTGTTGGCAAATTAGCACTGCTCCGTTGGTTGAACTGGCGTCTTGACATACAAGGTCAACTCCTCCCTCGTCAGCAGGGTCTCCGGCGAGAGATGCTCGTCTATCCAAGCCGACAGCTGTTCACTCGTGTCCGGACTCTGAAATGCCCAAGCGACATCATCTCGTCCGAGCCCTATGCCTCGCGCCTCGAGGACGTGTAGCAAATGCGCCAGCTGCGGATCGGACATCATCCGCTGATGGACGAGCAAAGGCTACACGGCCCTATAAGCCGGCGGAGTCCTTTTCAAGGCAACCTGGCAGACCCTTACACCGGACGGTCTTGTCAGAAGGATGCCGGGCATGTGTGTCCCTACGAAGACGCTCCGTGCGCTCCTTCCCCTTTCGGACCAATCGGGAGAATCGCGGGAACATCGGAGGTACTTTCTGGTCACCTCACCTCTTCTTCGTAACTTGCAAAGTACGACACGTCTTGAGATGACACATTGCCCTCGGCTCAAAGAGATGCCGTGGTGCCGAGCTCATACACGCTGTTTGCGTTCTGGACTATCATGTGCGCGAGGTCCGGTGCTACGGACATGGCGGCCGGTGTCCATTTGAGGAGCTCAGCTACGTCCTTACGACGTCCTTATCCAGAGGCAGCAACAAGACATATATGAGCTCCATACCGCTCCACAACACAGTCTAAGTACATGCAGACTCAACCCTTCCTCCCGTCTCTTCTCCTTCTGCTCAACAACCTGTGAATGAACATCCCCTTCCCACATCCAACCATGTCGCACCTCGAAGTCCCCGGAGCAATGCTCTATCACGAAGTCGTCGGCTCCGGTCCCCTCCTCCTCTGCATCTCCGGCGGCGACGGCTCCGTGGAGAACTGGCGCGTCTTCTCCGACGCTCTAAAAGACCACTTCACCGTCGTCTCCTGGGACCGCCGCGGCTTCTCCCGCAGCTACATAACAGGCACCCAAGACTATCGCCCCCTCCCCCGCTTCGCCCGCGATGCCGATGACGCCGCCCTCCTCATCCAGAAGTACTCCCCCAACACACCGGCGACAGTCATCGGCAACTCCTCCGGCGGCATCGTCGCCCTGACCCTCCTCACCCGCCACCCGGAGCTCATTCGCACCATGATCCCCTACGAACCCCCCATCGCCAAACTCTGCCCGGACTACGAGCACATCTGCGCCCTGCACCGGGAAATCTACTCCACCTACCGCCTCGGAGGCCCACTCCCAGCATACAAGCTCTTCGGCGCCCTGACCAAGTCGCCGCTGATGTCGAACTTCAAGATCGACTTCAGCACGCCGTATCTATGGTCAAACATGAATTTCTGGTTTGAGCGGGAGTTCATGTCTGTGCCGGATGTGGATTTCGATGTCGAGAAGGATTTCGGGCCGCACAAGGACAAGCTTGTGCCGGTGTATGGGGGGTTGTCGCAGAAGGATGCCTATCAGTATCAGGCGATGGAGGTGGTGTGTGGGAAGCTGGCGTTGGAGTATTTGGCGTTTCCGGGGGAGCATATTGGGCAGATGACGCATGCAAGGGAGTTTGCGGGGGCGTTGTTTGAGGCGTTAAAGAGGAAGGATGAGTACTATGCTGAGCTGTGAGATGGCAATGGAGCGTTCTTGCAGGCGATGGCTTGGAAAGTTGCGTGCGTTGTATGTCTAAAATCGACTTCACTCATATCTCAACCCATGTGCCGAAGCGTGTACGCTCAACCGCCTGCGAATCATTCAACTCCGCCATGTGCAAGAAAATCTAAAAGTACATCCCATCATGATCCTTGCCCTGCCTGCTTCGAGTGCCGAAAAAGCCTTACCATATGATACAGAGTCGGACGGAGGACTGATGCGCTGCTGGAGCGACGATTCCGAAAACGAAATGTGAGGACGCCCGAGGCCGGCGGCTACGTTGCATGATCGGGACGGTGAGGAGGATCGTGATGAAAGTGTATCCGTAGTTCTCGAAGACCTGGAGAGCTCGGCAGAGGAGCAATATTGGCGCCAGGTCACGTTGCATGTGCATGTACGCACGGTTGTCCGTGCACGGCTCGAAGCTCTTCGTCCTGTTCCGGTCCAGCCTGAGGTCTGGTCGCTTTGATTCACTTGCTCATCGCTTGCTGGGAGAGACAGGCTTGCGCTTCTTTCGCGGCCTCCGCTTGCAGCCGATAGTCCTCCAAAAAATTCCACCAGCGACATATGACTTCCATCACGGTTTCGAAAGATGTGTCAAAGTATACGCAGTCTCGGAATCCCTGGTTGCCCATATGTCGACGAGAGGCTTCGAGCTCTCTGATGATGGAGCGATCGAGATACGTCACTTGCCATTGTGCAACATGATCGATGGTGTGCTTCGCGTGGTTGCCGACGGTCTGATTGTGCCAGTGGGTGAATTGCTGATTGGTCAGCTCTGGCTCTTTTGTCCACCCCACCACTACCGGCGTTGTGCCATCAGCAAAGCTGATGACGGTCATATAAACCGTGCCTGTTGCAAGCTCGTCCGGGGATAGTCCGGCAGCCTGTGCAGGCTTACAAGCGATGGCGAGCATTGGTGTCGCGTAGGCAGGAAGACTCTGCGATATATTTGCGGAGTTGGCGTCTTTAGTATTGACGTATGGTGAATGGTAGCCAACAGGGTGAAACTTGGCGTTCAACTCTGCCTCCCATACTTCCTTCAACTTTTGCTTCTCGGTCTTTTTCCCCTGGCATTTGGCGCAGAGTAGCAGTTCCATCACATCTTGTGCCCGCATCACTTGGATCGTGGTGGAGGGAGCCTCGAGGAATTGTCTTGCCATTTCCTTCGCCATGTCACTGCAGTCGCGCGTGACATTATTGGTGCAAGGAAAATTCCATGGCGCTCCAATGCATTTGTGAATGGTGTCAGGAAGAGCATTTTGTAGATATGGTATGACTTCTGTGAGCGATGGCGGGTTTCTCTTATCCATTGCAAGAGTTTGGACCGAGCACCGCAGTGCTAGCGTGACTGCTTCCCGTACAAACGGACCGTGGAAAGAGACAGTGTGCAAGTATCAAGTCGAGGTGTGGTCGCTGAAGATATGAGTGCGAAGAGACCCGGGACACTTGCGGTGACGGGAACAAGTGAAGTGATGGGGTTCTGAAGGGTGCAGATAGCAGTCGGAGCTTCAGGCTGTTGCGTCCCAGTCAAGTCTCCCGGTATTGCGAGTGCGAAGCGACACAGTATCTGCGGCCGCGTCGGCTGACTGGTCCGACACGCAGAGCGAGGAGCTGTGACGGGCTACACCGAGCATGCACGAGCTGCAACGAGCACACGGGACCCAGGACGTAACAGTTGAGGAGCCATTGGGAGAGATCGCACACCGCCCTGGGTCTGAGAGAACCCGTGCATGGCCAGACCAGCAGGCCGCAAGTGCGTGCAGAGGAGAAACCACAAATACGAACGACTCATATGTTTGGTTCCGGGGGCCTGGGCCGAAGCCGTTTGACCTTCGTCCAAAGCTGTTGCGCCTATGCAGCAAGTCGCTTGACCAGCGAAGCCTGGGAGCTGCATGGCGCTTGAATCATCCTGGGCCTTGCTGGTGTGTTGTCTGAACTCATTTGGCGACACCAAGGAAAGGGAGAAGTGCTTTTGAGCAAACAGCATCATTGCAGGGGTGTCCGGGCGGTCGGTACCGATGTGTCGTCCTTCTTTGTTCTCCAGGATGCGGAGATTTGAGCGATGCGGGCTTCCAGAGCGCGGCCACTTCGTGCGAAATCCGAGCGAGGTTGAGACAGCATGTTCTTGAAACCAAAGACTAAGGTGACCAAAGAAATCAAGGAAGTTCATTTGTATTGAAAGACGGATGGTAAATTCTTTCCCAATGCGCCCGGAATGCCGTGCCGAATATGAGCTCTCCGTCATACGATTCTCCAGTGCCAGAACAACCAATAAAGCACTGCGGCTAGAGCGTATACCACACGTGGCGGACAATTGAGGACGTCCGGAAGCATGAGTAACACCAACGCCATGAACAACCAAGTGACGCCAGACCTCTCGTTGTACATTCTGAAACCGCCGCTATCCCTTCGGAATACCACGTTCCAGACATGCTCTCGTCGCTGATGATCCAAGTTAAGCCGGTGCCAGACATCAGGCTCGGTGGTGGTCGCTTCCGCATCCGCGACCTCAACATCCAGCGCTTGACTTCCATGAATAGCATCGACTACAGCTTGGTCCAGGTCTTGCCCAGGCTCGAGACCGATGTCTCTCATGATAGCCCACCATCTATTGATAGTCCTCTGTGCGACAGAAAGGTCCACCTCAAAGTACTCGCGATGCGTCCTGTGCGCTCTCCCGTGCTGTACGCGGAGGTCTCGCTGGAAGAATGCTAGATCAGCGTGGACCAGAGCTTCCAGGCGGAGTAGCTGTAGGAGTGGTATGCCAGGCAAATAGTATGCAGTGTTCCGGTTGAATGTAATGCCGTGCTGGTTGGTAATCTCCCGCAGCCGGGTCCTAACGGGTCGTGTTGTGTAGCCTATCTTGACCATCGGAGTTGAATCGTCGGCATTGACGCTGACGGCATAAATGGCTCCTTTGGCTCGCGGCCTCGGTAGTGGTTCCAGCAAAAGTGTAAGAACTTCCGATCGAATAGTGCACGGAGCCCAAGTCGATGCATCAACAGGTGAGAATCTTCCATCGCTTGTTGCCAGATCTGGCGTTGAAGACAGCGCTGGAGAGGCCACAGCTGATACTCCCTGCGTAGCTTGCGGTGCACTTGTCGGTGTGTCTTCGTCAGTGGCGGTTAGCGTTACGGGCGTAGCTTCTTCAGCGACGGCCGATGCTTGAATTTGCTCGCCGACATGAGCAGAGGGTGGGGTTGCCTCTGGTTGCGTCAATGTGGAGTTCGTGTCCGTGGATGCATCAGTTACTTCTTCGACCACGTCCAATATCGACGAGGCGGCCTGCTCGATTCGCATGAGCGGAGCGGGTATTTCGTTCAAGGACGCCTCCCTTCTTCCGGCTGAGCCATCGGGATGTCTATCGGCACGACCACAGCGTGATGCTCGCGCAACCAATGGAGACTCTGGGACTTCAGTCTCATCAGCGTCTTCGTTCGCTGGAGAATCTTCCTCGGACGAAGGTGGGGTGTCGGGGATGGAGGGCCCAGCCTTGGAGCCAGGATGGAGGTTGATCCGTGGAGGCGGCGACTGACGATTCTCCAAACGAGAGCTGGCAGTGTCCTGGGGTCGTTGGCCGGATGACGGAGGCGTGATCGGTGCATTTGCTGGTGCGGCGTTGAAAACGTGATCTATTCCACTCTTGAGCGAGTATGGAGAGGGGTGTTTCCGGGTCCTGAAGTCGAGGCTAGGAAACTCAAGGCTCCAGGCCGCTTCTACCTGGTTTTTGTAGTTGTAATTGTTATATTGGTGGTCCGCGCACATGAGGAGGCAGATGAGGTTTCTGATGTCTCTAAGCGTCAATCGGTCTGCTGACGACTGCATCATGTTTCTCGCCATGTCTTTACGGCCTTGTGTCACGTCATTCGGGCAGGAATCGTGCCTTGTTGAAGCAATGCATCTGAACGTCTCGATTGTGTCTTGGTGCTGGAACGCGGCTCGGACCTCTGCGAATGTTGTGAGCGTCATGGCGATGGTTGCAGTGAATGATGTGGGAAGAAGATATCGCTGCTGCTCTTGTTGTGTGGGGGTCTTATAGTCGTGTCCACCGGCGCCCAGCAGTGCTGAGGCAGGCGGAGCACCACACAGCTAGAGCACAGACATCGCTGCATGCTGCCTGAAAATATCGTCTGTATCGTGGCGGCGCTTCCAGCTGATAGCGAGAACATTCCCTGGGAGTGCTCTTTGTCGTAAGCGAGGCCAGGTCGGTTTTGCGCAAACCATCAGCCTCCTCTGCGCGTGAGCGGCACAGCAAGCCACATGTTTCAGATGGCGCCCGCGATGCAAGCAGCGAGTCACTCTCATAGCGAGCCTGAACTGCAAGCTGAAGATAGTAATACTATCGAATTCAGTACGTATATGCACTCAGCCACCCGTTTGAGCTCAGTGTTCCCGAGTGTATGGTGGAGTGGTCGACAGTGGTCTTGGCGCCGACAGTGCAAGCGAGCAGCAGCCCAGAGCATCTGCAACATGTCGTTACTGCAAGTTGCAGGAGGACGCATGGATTCAAACTGTCCAGAATTCCATTAGGTGGTAGGCTGCGGACACTCAGTCCCAGTCTTGTGGTATCGTCCGAAAGCTTGGCGGGCGCAGAAACCTTCAGGTCAAAGCAGGCCAGTTCAATTCATCCCTGCCACTTCGGCGCCTCGTCCGTGGAGATCATGTAACCCCTCGCCGCAGCTTCGCCTCCCACGTCGCCCTCCTGAGGCTCCTCTGCGGCGAGGCAGACCGCAGTAGCGTAGTCCCCGTCGTGACTGATGCTGAGCTTGGCGACGGTGCCTAAGAGCTCGACCTCGTCTTCAGTAGCCTCTTCGACATCAGCCGCCTCCTCATCACGGCATGGAGCCTCAGGTACAGCAGCCTGCTGTGTCGATTCCGTAGTGGATTGTTTCGAAGGCCAAGCATTTTCGAATGCCAAGGGCGAGAGACCATGGCGTTTCTCTTGTGTCGCCGGGTTGATGGGCTTCGCCTTTTGCAGGAGTTCGACCTCGTGCTTGATAGGTCGGTCATCAGCACTCGTCTTATCGAGGATAACAGCCGACATTGGTTCTCCAAAAAGCGGCGTGCGGATCACAACATCATGAAAGCTGAGCCTTCGCTGCGAAATTGCCTTGATTGCGGCCTCTTTGGCTGCGAAGCTGGGTTATAGTCAGTAAAAGCATCATGAATGCGTCGCTCTCCTAGAGCCAGAGGAGCAGGAGGAGGCGGCGGCGCCAGCAGAAGTTTCGACACATTGGCAGGTCAACAAACATACCGCCCAGCTAGGAATTGATGCACCGCTCTCGCTGCTTTTGGGTCCTGTAAGTCGAATGATCCGTATCGGCTCCAAAATTGCACTCGTTCGCGGCGGGTCAGTACTCGCTTCAGGAAGCCCACGAGATTTTTGGGTTGAGCGGCGTCTTTCACGAGGAGATTTTTGATGCGAGAAACGTGTGCGACGTCTGTGCCTATGTTGAGTTCGAAGGGAAAGGGTCGGATGGGCATGATGAAGGAAGCGGATGAGCTGATGGGATGATGTTTGTTCGGTTGCATGTACATGTAAGTCCAGGTTACACAGCATGACTACGACTTTTGGCCATCACGAGAACTCAAGGTAACATTTTGGGCCGTGCAAAGATATCAGAGCATGTAGTCATATATGTACACTGCAGAGGCTTCTAATAATGTGCCTGTGACCCGCTCCGCGTCCTCTTCAACAGCCCGCTCGCGTATGCTGCTACACAGCTCAATGTCCTTCCCGGTGCTTGGCTCCCTCGCCGGATTCTTGCTCTGCCGCCTTGATGAACTCTCTGTAGCAGTCTGTTAGCCCGCACCGTATCGCGCAGACAGACGAAAGGGCGCGGTGTCCGCTTCGTATGGGCCAACATACTGTATGAACTTCTCCTCATCCTGATCCTTCGCATTGATCGGGGGTGCCTTGGGCGCCTCCTTCTTGCTGCCACCCATGCTTGCCCAGCTGCCGATAAACATCGTCGAGAGGGTCGCGATCGAGAGCTACATCGTGGAGTCAGTATTGGTCTATCCAAGTCGAGAGCTGGCTGTAGTCCAGGCGGGTGGAGGGAGGATGAAGCGCTCGATGTCTTCGATGGACATACCCAATGCGAGCCGATTTTCTGACCGGCGATCTGGTAGTAGACGACCATTTTGGCGTTGTTGTATTGAAGCTGCGGTGGAAGGGTATCGGGCGGGTAAGAGGTCGTTCAATTGGCAGTAGAGTCGTCGTGGTGAGGTCCAGGTCAAGCTTCAGGGCCGGGGAGCTTCGGGAGTGAGCCACTGTGGCTGGGCAACGCCTCACAGACATCGGGAGCGATCGGCTTCGATATGACCACCGCGCTTCATGTGATACAGCTGTTGTCAATCATCAATAAATGGACGGGTTGGGTTTGATATATAATCTCGATCTTGGAACAAGGAACATGTAATTTACACCATATACACCGCCACATACCACCGATCCAACCACCACCATGCCCAAATCTAATGGCTCCGACGACCCCGTCTCCACCATCCCCCACGAACGCCCCGAAGACCGCCCCGACTTCTCCCAACCGCTCCCCAAAAAGAAACTCCCCGACGCCCTCCAACAAACGCTCGACTCCGACGAACGCTTCTGGGATGTCCTCTCCTCCGGCAAAGGCGAAGACAGCACCGAGTCCGGCGTCCGCTATGCCGCCTACGCCTCTCGTCTGCGGACGATCATGCTCTCCGCGCAGCGGTACATCGCCTATACTAGTGATATAGGCGAGTCGTTCCGGCCGGTCGCGCATCCGTATCTCGTGCGCGGGGCGTACGGGGTTAGTTGGCTGTACTTGGGCGGAGATGTCGCGCATGAGGGGTATAAGGCCTATGTGCGGAATCAGAACATTCTGCACCCCGAGACGGATGGGAAGAGTACGGAGCTAGCGCCTGCGGCGACGGGTGTGGTGCCGGCGATTGACGATTATAGGGCGAGGATGGCGGAGCGGGCGGTGTTCCAGGGTGTAGCGAGTATGGGGCTGCCGGCGTTTACGATACATTCGATTGTGCGGTATAGTGGGCGGGCGATGAAGGATGTCAAAAATGTGAAGGTACGGACGTGGGGACCGATAGGATTGGGTCTGGCGGCCGTTCCAGCGTTGCCGTTCTTGTTCGACAAGCCGGTCGAGCAGGCGACCGAATGGCTGTTCCACAACGCCTTTGAGCTGGTTGGAGGGCCCGCTGCGGTTGGAAAAGATCCAATCACAGGGGCGCATGTGCCGCAGAAGGAGAAGGAGCTATGATGTTGGAATCTGTGGTTGATGGCTGATACTTACACTACGGAGCAGCGATCTGGTGTACGGCGATGCGGCGCTATATTCTCGAGTCGATACCATCTGTTTATATATACGACATCGAATCTCATGTTGATTGGATCAGTATCTTAGCCAGCAGCCCTTTTCTCCCATTCATCCCTCTGACGGCCCTCTTCCTTGGTCGCACTCTGCAGAGACCGATCGATTAACGTTGACGTTGGCAAACCGTGCGGTTTCCATCAATGAAAACTGATGTGTACTCATAGATTATCTGGCAACGAAGACTCGATCTGAAAGCTCATGTCGAACCCCACATCAAGCAAGACAAGCTTCGGAGTCAATCTCATATATCGCGACTTTATCTCGTCATCGATCTCGTCTATCACCAACCATCGGAGAATGTGCCGGAACGATGACCGGACCATGGTTCGCTACGCTCGGTGTTGTAAAGGCGGCATCGTCCCTTTGTACGACTTCCGTCTCAGAGCTTGTACAGCGGGAACATCAGGCCGTCAAACATCAATGCCAGGACACATACAACACTGGAGATACCAACTCAAGATTACTTAAATAACTATCATGAATAACCTCAAAGATCTCCCTTCCAAAGCCATGGACTTCATGTTCTCAAATGAACCTCGTCCTGGCTTGCATCCTATCCCAGGCACAGAGCCCATTCGGATCGAGGCTCTCATCCTGCCGCCGTTGATGTACTACGTTGCGCTGCTGTTCCTTCCACCAGCGCCACCCCAAGCAGTTGATACTGTGGCCTTCAAGACGCTCCGAAATGGGCTGGCTATTCTTGCTGGGATCTTGTTCTTCCGATTACCGTTGGCTTACCATATCCCACAGAGCATTGGTAACAAACGGATGGGCAAACCTTAGCATTTCAAAGGCATTTGCTAACCTTCTTGCCCTCCAGGTCTCAACTACCAACTCTCGCTCGTAGGTATCTATGGCGGATGTCGAGTAATCGACGTCTTCTTCATCGGGCCGTACCTGTTCAACCACATCCCCCGCCGCGTGCGCTATGAGCATCGGCCCCGTGTCGAAACGCCCGCAGCCATCGACAAGAAGGAAGACCCAATGGACAAATTCTCCCAACCGACCACCAGCAAAAAGCGTGTCGGGTTCGCTGACAGTTCTCCGACCCCTTCATTCTGGGACCGAAGGCCCTCCCTTGCGTTAGACGACTACATGCCAGCATCCGCCGCCGACGCTGCAAACACAGCAATGGGTCATCTAACCACCGCAATGAACGGTCCACGCATGCAGCCCGTCTACGAAGTCGGCACCCCCGAAGACGGCTGGCCCCACACTTTCCACGACCGCGCGAGCTGGGCTCTCGAGCTCGAACTCAGCATGCGTGGCATGGGCTTCACCTGGACCACCGCAGACGTCCGTCACACCAATAAAACATGGCTTCCCACGGTCCACAACCGGCTCCACAGCATCGCTACCCACGTCGTCCCCGTCATGCTGCTCTGTCTCTTCACCATCCGGGACATCTACACCACCCACGTCCTTCCCTCCGCGTCGGCCCCATTCGATTCCGCCTCCGCCTTCGACGAGCGATTAAGCCTGCCGAACCAACTCCTCCTCACAGCCACCCTAGGCGCATTTCTAATGGTCGCCTTCTCCCTCGCACACTCCCTCTTCGCCATCGTCTGCGCCCCGCTCTCGCCGTCCCCCTTCGCCTTCTTCCCTCCCCTTTACACCACGAGGATCTGGAGCATCACCTCCGTCCGCGGATTCTGGAGCTACGGCTGGCATCGTCTTTTCGCGCGGCTATTCCTCGTGTACGGCGTTTGGCCGGGTCAGTGGCTCGAGCGGAAGCTGCTGGGGAAGAGGGGGGACGAGCCGGCGGATGTGGGGAAAGTGGTGGGTGGGTTTTTGAGCAGTGCTGTGGTGCATTCTTTTAGTGTGAGGAGTGTGCTTGCGGGTGAGTGGGGGAGAGCTAAGGGAGAGGCGGTGTTCTTCGCCAGTAATGGTGCAGCGGTGGTGGTGGAGGAGGTTGTGGCGAGGGCTGTGGTGGAATTGAGGAGGCGGTTGGGAGTCAAGGAGGGGCAGTGGTATGATGGGGTGGTGGGGAGGGTGTGGTGGATTGCGGTGTTATTGTTCAGTGGGAGGAATTTTGCTAGGGGTTGGGTGGATGCTGGGTTGGTTCGGGAGATGGCTGGTTATTGAGGTCAACAGTGGCTTGGAACATTGTCTTCTCAAGGAATAGCAGTCTAGATTTCAACTGCGTCATGAAGGCACAAAGTACGCCCTCTCTATCGGCTCCCTCGCCGTCTCCCACGCCAGCCAATCCGATCTCGTCGTCCTGTATCACACGTTAGCACCAGTCTTCATCTCGCGCTCACATAGGAAGATGAACACTCACGGCAACAACCCCATCCCATTAACCTTCCACACTCCCAACGCCAACGCAAGCAAATTACACCCCACAAACGCCGCCTTCACCAACATCATATCCCCCTTATTCCCCTCCGTCTCCAGCCGCGCAAACGTGTTGTTAATGTTCAACACCGCCTGCACGGGGCCCTTGAACAGCATAAACACCATCATGATGCTGAAGATCTGCAGCGAGTTGCCGGTCATGTACATGCCGATGGCGTTCATGGGGAGTTGTTTGGCTGGCGCGAGGGCCAGTTCCCAGGCTTTTTTGAGCTTGAGTGTGTCCATTTCGGCCGGTGAGGGCTGTTTGCGAGGGGTCGCTGCGGACTTGGATTTGTTGGAGCGGGAGGGTTGCAGGGCGGTGGGGGTGGTGTAGCCGGGTGGGTCGGCGTAGGCGCCGGACTTGGGTTTGGACGGGGGTGTGGAGGCGAGGTCGAGGACCCATTGAGGAGGGGGCGGTGGAGGGGCCATCGTTACTGTTTGTTCGCGGCGTTGGAGTGTTCATGTTGAGGCCAGATCGTTACTGACGTCTCGCTGCCCGCCAAGGCCGGTTCATTCACCTCCGAGAAGCTTAATGCCACGCGCTCAGACTTCCCCGGAGTCGTTAGAAACTACCTCACCTTGCTATATCACTCCATACTACTCATATTAGCCCTGCACCGACGCTGGAGGCAGGCACCCCACGACCACCTTGTACAGAATACCTAGTATCGACCGCCCAAGCCTGCTCGACCCCGCACGAATCGCATCACGAGACGGACGACACTCTTATCTTGGTAGCACATTGGCTGCAGGCGTCTTGGGGTGGTGCATGAGGCGGCATTGTGCATACTGAGTGCCCGTTCGGGCGAGGGAGGCGTCTTGAGGCAAGATGAGCTCCAAGGGGGAGGATGCGAAGCTCTTTGCGAGAGTATGTTACTTTCACATGTTACTTCCTTCCATTCCACCAGCCCGAGAGCCTTCCACTGCAGCCCTTCCATGGCCCTGCTCTTGTACTCCATGCACTGCCTCTGTCCTTGCAAGCACCATGATGTTCCTCCCCGTCTTAGCCTACACCGTCCCACCACCCTACATCTACCGAAGCTTACTCTTCTCCTCCAACCCACAGGGCAAAGTAGCTGAGCTACGCGCGGAGCTCACGGCGCCGGGCGGAAAGAAGGACAAGAACTTCTTGACCAAGAAGATCGCGCTGAAGAAGATTGTGGCCAACATGACGATGAGTAATAATGATATGGTTGCACTGTTTCCGGATGTTGTGGATACGATGGGATTGCCGAGCTTGGAGATTAAGAAGATGTGAGTGGGCCGCTCTAGATCTTGAGGTATTGGAAGCGGTATGGACAGGACACTGACGGGAGGCAGGTGCTTCTTGTTCTTGGTCAACTATGCGCGGGCGAAGCCTGAAGTAGCACTCAGAGCATTGCCTATATTGCTCAAGGTACGACGTCTTCCAGCTCCTCTACACACACAGCTGACTGACTTGCAGTCCAGGATCTCGAAGACTCGAATCCGCTCATGCGCGCGCTCGCCCTCCGGACCCTTTCGTATATCCACGTCAGGAACTTCGTCGAAGCGACCGTCCAACCGTTGAAGTCACTGCTTAAGGACAATGACCCATACGTGCGGAAAACCGCGGCTTTCACGGTGGCGAAGCTGTACGATCATGATCGAGTGCTTGTCGAAGGTAGCGATCTCATCGACAGGCTCAACCTCATGCTGCGGGATGAAAATCCAACAGTTGTCTCGTCTGCGCTGGCTGCGCTGATGGACATCTGGGAGAGGAGCGAAAGCATTAAACTCACAATTGACTACACGAACGCCAGCAAGATCGTGCAGATATTACCCGACTGCTCCGAGTGGGTCTCTTTCACCAACTGCGAAATAACTCTTGCTGACGAGAGGGCAGATGGGGCCAAACATACATTCTCGAAGCACTCACATCCTACGTACCGCAAGACACAAGCGAAGCCGCCCTCCTTGCCGAGCGCATCACTCCACGACTGTCCCACACCAACTCTGCCGTTGTCCTGACCTGCATACGAGTGATCCTCTACCTTATGAACTATATCGACTCCGACAAGACCGTATCGAGCTTGTGCACGAAGCTTAGCCCGCCTCTCGTCACACTCTTGAGCAAAGGTCCGGAGATCCAGTATCTGGCACTGAGGAATGCTCTGCTCATCCTCCAGCGACGGCCAGAAGTTCTCCGCAATGACGTCCGGCTATTCTTCTGCAAGTACAATGACCCGATCTACGTCAAAGTCACCAAGCTGGAACTCATCTTCATGCTCGCGACCGAGAGGAACATTAAGGAAGTTCTCACGGAATTGCGAGAGTATGCCACTGAGATTGACTTGCACTTCGTCCGGAAGTCGGTTCGAGCGATTGGGAAGCTGGCCATCAAGATCGAGCCGGCGGCGAAGCTTTGCATCAACACATTGCTCGATCTCGTGGCGACGAAAGTGTCGTATGTGGTGCAGGAAGCTACGGTTGTCATCAAGAACATCTTCCGAAAGTACCCGAACCAGTATGAGTCGATTATTGCGACGTTGTGCGAGAATCTGGACTCCCTGGATGAGCCTGAGGCGAAGGCAGCTATGATCTGGGTCATCGGTCAATATGCCGACCGCATCGACAACTCCGACGTCCTACTCGAAGACTTCCTAGACAGCTGGCAAGACGAGACCCACGAAGTCCAACTTGCGCTCCTCACTGCAGCAGTCAAACTCTTCATCCAACGCCCAACGAAAGGCGCCGAGATCGTGCCCAAAGTCTTGAAGTGGGCGACTGAGGAGACCGACAACCCCGACCTCCGAGATCGAGGTTACATGTACTGGCGCCTCCTATCCTCAAACCCAACCGCGGCCAAAGGCATCGTCATGGGCGAGAAACCACCCATCACCGCCGAAAGCGAGAAGCTCGACCCCGTGACGCTGGAAGAGATGTGTCTCGTAGTCGGCACGCTGGCCACCGTCTACCTCAAACCCGTCCACACTGTCTTTCGCTCCACCCGACCACGAAGACTCCAAGAAAGCCCCGCCCTCCAACGCAACAAACTGCCCTCCTACCAAGCCGCGCAGCAAGCCAAACTCCTTTCCGGTGGTATCCACACCAACGGCGTCACGAACGGCCAACCACCGAACGGCGACGTGCTAGACGAAGCAGACGCCTACTTCGCTTCCGTGGGCGGCTCGTCGTTCGCTGTCTCAGCATCTGGCGATTTTGCGGGTAGCCCGACGGCCGTGGCGGGTCGAGGAGGCGAGCAGATGTACGTGGTGAATCAGGGACAGGGGTTGGGGCAGATGGGGACGACGCAGCATGCGGTGCAGAGGGATGATGGGGAGGGGGATTTGTTGAGTTTTTGAGATGAGATTGGGCACGTAGGGGCACTAGTTGTCAGCCCAGGAAATGAGAATGACGTCTTCGTGGTCGCCTTGCGCAGACCAAATACCATGAGCAGCTACCGAACTGCAAAGACATTCTGTTCGACCTTGAGACCCCCGTTCCTACCAACTCTGAGGAAATAATCAAGCAGTCCAAGTGCCCAAATTCTGTACCATAGGCTGATACCCATCGAATCGCGGCAACGCCGGCAAGATCTGACTGACCCAACCGATTATCTGCGGCGCTCCGAAGCAGAGACGGCATCCTGTGGAGGTCGATTGCATTCGAAAGCTCTGTTTGCTGCTGGCCTGATGAAAGCTGCTGCTCACGCTGAAGGGTCCCAGCCCACGGAGAGGAGCCGCTGTTGGATTGCTGGGAGAAGTGTTTCTCGATGTGTTGGGTATCGCCGCTGAACTGTTTTCGGGTTCGTCAGCACTTACGACGAGAACGTGCAAAGGCGAAAGCAGGAGAAGACACACCTCGACCGTGGTATCTGCAGCGACGAGAGAGGAGGTCGGATAGGCCGGAAACATGCTGTAGTTGCTCAAGTTCGCGATTGCGCCGCCGTCAAAATTCATGGGGTCGGCGTCGGCGGCCTTTTGGGCGATCATCCATTTCTTCAGCATCTCCGGTCCCCGGCTCAGACTACATAGGAGTGGCATGTCAGTTGGGAGGTTGGGGTTGGGAACATTCATGGAGATGGAGGAGTATTACTCACTTGATGCCGTTGGCCACATCGAGCTCGTTGTCAGCAAAGAGCTCACCGTACAGCCACGGGCGACCAATGTTGACGACGAGGGCGGAAAATGTGACGCTGACGTCGCAGCTTGACATATCGCTGGAGAAGTCACTGCACAGGGGACAGAACACGTTAGCATTTTTGGAAGATGGGAAAGCATGGCATTCGATGCTCACCTCGAAGATTGGTCATGCGAGTAAGCCCCGCCAACAGACCATAAACCCCATCCAGCTCCACCACCAACGCTGAAGCCCCGTGAGCTCGTAGACGCCGTACTGCTTTGGTCTTTGGCAGAGAAGGAGCACTTGATCGAAGTCCATGGATCACTGGCCGTGCCACCTTGCGGCAGTGTGTTGGGATCGGAGCCAGCGGCACCGGGAGTTGTCGATGCACCAGAGGCGTTTGGTCCTACACCGAAAACTGGATTCGGATTCTCGTCACCGGCAACTGCTGCTACCGTGCCGTCCGGGACGCCGTCGTTGCCGGAACCTTTGCCAGCAGTGGCGCTGGCGATGACCGTTGGCCCCGGAGGCTGCGATGCCATTTTCTTGGTGCGGGCTTGCTCAAGCTTGCTGACGTTGCTCTGGAGCGTCATCAGTGTTTGGTGCATCCAGCCGCTGATGGCTTTCTTGCTCGTGTCTATCACAGCCCAGTCAGCTTACTTCTTGCCTAAAAAGACGACTGCAATGCTCAAGCAGTACAATAATACTTACCGTCTGTCATGGTCGACGAAGCCCACTTTGTCCAGTCCGCAGCAGCTTGGCGATGAGTATCGACGGCTGCCGCCAGATTTGCCCGGCTAGTGTTGAGGGTAGTAGTGGCCGTCTTCACAGCATCGTCCTCTAGGATATCCGCCGGCGTCTTCCCGGCCGCTTGAGCCTTCTTCATGGCTCCCGCTAAAACTGCTTGCGCTGTGTACGTCCCTTGATAAGCAGTTTGCAGCGTGCCGTCCGCGGCGGAAGGCTTTGTTGGCTCTGTGGCATCCGCTGCCGGCAGCGGGTAAGTGGCCTTAGTCGCATCAACAGCGGTCACGTTATTCTGGGCATCCACTGTCATGCCCATTGCCGTCGCTATGGTCAGATAGGAGATGCGTAACTGGTTGAGACGCTCGATCTCGCCATCCAGCTGGTCGATGCTGTAGGCGTCGTTCCTCGCAAACCAGCCTTCCACTCTTTGCTTGCACAGAGATGCCCTGGAGGTACAATCAGCTTTGAGAAGAGACTAGGAACACCGCGTCTTTGGCCTACCAGTTTTTGGGTGTCAGCGAAACTTGCTGAACCTAAGCCGAAGGATTGGAAGGGTCAGCAAGGGTCTCGATGCTTCGAAAATGGTAGGAGGAAAGGGAAAAGGGAGAAAGGGAAAGGGGGAAAGAGGACTTCGTTTGCTCCGTCGGTGTCTACGATCGTCGAATTTCGATAGGATTCCTGGCGAATGATCAGTGTCATACTACGAGAAGCAAGGGTGACGAGTCGCTCACTTTGCTTTGCTCGATTCTGGCCATGATGGAGTCGATATCTGGCAAGCAGGAAGTCCTTGGTCAGACCTCTCTCCAAAATCGCAATCAAAACCAAGCTTACCAACGATACCCCAGGTACACCTCCGTTAGTTCGCAGTACGGAGAACCTGCCGATGCCCACAGGTCGAGCAGCGGGTAGTCGAAATTTGGGAACCACCACGGCGGCGGCGGCGGCTGCTGCTACTGCTTCTGCCTCAAGTTGCTTCTCTTTCTCCTTCTTGCTCTGTCGCTTCTTCTTTGCCGCTGGCTTCTTCTCCTGCCCATCGTCCGTCCTAAGCTTCTTCGGACCAGGCCTGAGGCTGTCAGCTGAAACAGTCCCAGCAGCATCGTCAGCAACTGAATCATCCTCGCAGTCCTGTGCTTTACGTTTTCGCCATTTTGACTGGCTGGCAATCCCTTTCAATCGCTGCAACTCGGTATCCCCTAAGCCGGCTTCCAGAACATACTCAAGCATTTCTGCTTCTACTGGTTGAGCAGGGTCGAAAGCGACACCATCCTTCTTCACGTAGACGCTCCAATCTTCGTTGACGGGCTGTTTCTCGACGTTCAGCTCCGTTACTCTCAACGGTGAGAAAGTGATTTTGCGTTCCACAGCTGCTTCGTTCGGGTCTTGTCCGCGCTTGCGCACAAGCTCGACGTTGAAGACGAGGTTTGTCTGTACGCGGTCGAGTGGAGCATTCGTGAACGTCCTGGTCAAAAAGACTAGCAAGATGTGTCTGATGTACTCCCTGGTTTGGAAGTTAAAGCGCTCCAGCAGAAAGGTCCGGAGCTTCCCTTCGTCCATTTGTTGAAACCACCCTTTGCTGAGAGCCCGCAGGTTGTATGCTTGCTCGCGGTCGACACCTTGGGCTCTCGGTAATTCTTGACATGAAGGTCTCGCGGATAGCCGAAGGGTACGAAGATACTCCTGTTCGATTGCTCGAAATACTGTTTCAAGCATACTGTAAAGTGGTCGAGCTCACGGAGAGGCGTTTCGCACAGTACCCGACCAAGTCTTCCATTGTCGAACTGCGCAGCTGCAAGTGCGGCCCTCGGTTCACAGCCCTCGAGTCCTTTGGTGTCGTAGTCACCCCCGCTTAGAAGGGCGAACAGAATGAGACCTTGCCGATCATTGTTGAAGTCCCTTGCAATTATCTCCGAGCGGTAGACCTGGACCAGAGAATCGCTCTTCTTGTTACCCTTGCCAGGTTCGCGATGTTCTTTGATGAGTGCAGTGGCACCGAACATCAAGGTGTCGCCGTCGTCAGACCAGACAGCATCCACGATACCAAGTCGATTCAATAGAGCGCATTCAGCCTCGGCCTCTGCAGGAGCTCGATGATGGACGACCTTGAGCACATCCAGCGTCTTGCGGAGGGGGTCGATCTTCTTCCAGTCAATGCGACCAGCAACGCCGCCGCGCTTCCAGGGTCTTGAAGGGCCGTCGAAAACGAAGAGTGGCTGGATGTTCATCCGCATCAGACCGAGCACCCACCATAGGATGGCCTTCTCGATTGGATTGGCCCGAGGCTCCTTTGCCCGGATTGCAGCTACCTGCGCATCGGTCAAGTTGTGGAAGCGCCATCCCGCTTCATCAATGGCTACTCGCAGAGGTCTTCCGGTACGTTTGAAGTGCTCGGTGGAGAGCTCAGCGATGGAGTTGACCTCGCCGTCGCCAAGGATGTCTCAGAGGCTGTACAATGTTAGCTGACATCCAATGCATCGGAATATAACATCTCCCAGACCCAGGGATTCCCATGACGACTTTTCTTCACCGAATACCGCTCCTCTTGTCGAGACGAGGTGGAGTGAGGTCGAACGCGCCTCGCGGACTCTACGCGTGGGTGTGCCACATGCCTCGCGATACATGCTCAGAACTACGCCAAGTGGAAACACTCTCTGCACTTCACCCGTCGGCCTCAAGCAGACACAGTCCCTGCCCGTCCGTCGCTGAGTTCGTGGACCATACTCGGACGGAAGGACGATTCCCATGGACAACATATCCGCGGCCTCGACAACGGCGTACTCGCGATTCAATTGGGTGGCCACGATCGGCACCCCCTCTGCCAGGAGCCGCAGCCTCGTGGTGGCGTACTCATGGCTCTCGCTACCAGACATGGTCTACAACCACTGGGGTAGAGCCAGTCGCAACGGCCCTGTAGCCGCCAGCCTTGTCCGCTCTCCCGTGTAACAAAGCTGCGGTGGCGAAAGATCAGGCGACGAGGCAATGCTTCTTGCTAAGTCAGCGGCCGCGAAGGAGGCCCCCCAGGTGGACGAAAGAGGCCGCCAGACTCGACTTGATAGAAGTACCGCAGAGCCTCAGGGAGTACAAAAAGCCGGTTAGCCTCGTGGTTGGTGATCCTTCTCTTCTTCATTATTGGTTGTGGCTGGCGGCATTCTCTGTTGCACATCATGGCGAATCAGACGGTCCTCGATACCATAACACTTGAGACCATCCCGAAGTCGTGGCAGAGCGACTGCATTGCCCAGCTGAACTCGACCGCCTACGACTGGACGCATGGCTTGGTCGGCGGTCATGGACAGGCATTGTCGGGACTGACGAATGCGACTTGGGGTATCACCATCGAGACATGTGAGAAGTATTGCAACCATATCAAGATCCCATTCGTACATCACCATTCCGTCTGAACTGCCAGCTCGCCGATGATGACTTTTTAAAGGTCTTCGACTTCCAGTCATTCTCATCGTCGATGACGAACTACTTCCTGCCATGGCTTGCTCTGACAGCCCAGCTCCCCTTCGAGACCGGAGACTTCCTCACCAATGCCATGGCATTCTGCATGGCTGTCGGTAGTCCAGCGCTGGTCACCTTCTCGCTCTCCATTACCATACTCAACCGCTACTGGGTTCGAAAAGAGTTCGACGATCTGCAGACGAAAGCCCGCAGTCCCACTGTGCGCTCGCGGTACGAGATCTTCTCTGATCGTGTGCAGGCCTGCCGATTGATTCTCCAGGAGGCTCAACAGGTACCTCTGCGAGTCTGCCAGTCGAGAGGATACTTCAGCAGCCTCATCGTACTGCCTGAAAACGCCGCTTGGTGGGAGCGAGTCGAAAGGCGTCTCAAAAGCACACGGCGGAACGTCACCGCATCGCTGGTGGCCCAGATGGCATTCGCTGGCATAGCGTACCTGTTCACTGTGATCGCTTCCTTCCAGGCCGATCTTGGTGATCCTGCAACAGCACTTCAGATTGCATCGGGTAGTATTTGGATATGGTTGGTATGTTGAGCTGCCACTATGCCCAAGCGCAAGGAACATCACGCTGATAAGCAGCAGATTCCAATAATTGCTGGGTACGTGAATTGCAATACCGCATCTCAACCACCCTTCCCTTTCTCGTTGGCTTGAGCAGTCCGCTAACCTTGAGTAACAGCTGGATCACTGTTGGGACGCAATACAGCCACCACTCTATCGAGGACGCCTTGAGGGCGGAGCCCGCCTTCCGTGCTCTCCAGCCACCTGTGCAGCACGGCGCCGAGCTGTCGGATCCCGACGAGCAAGCAGGCTTAGTGGTGCAACCAGGACTCAACCCTCTGCCGCACAATCACCAGACAGCGCATGGCGGATTTGACGTCGCAGACATCAGGCGGCTGGAGCTGCCTACTTGGCTTGGCGCCGAGGTTGGCGGCGACGAACGCCTCAAAGGCCCCATCTTCAATTATGCAAGATTGTAAGTCAGGCTGGTTGATCGGCAAGGTTCTTCAGAGAAGCATCAAGCGCGATGCGGCGCTATGAGACCTTCTCAACTCCCCTTGAGGGTCCACATCACATGCTGACTCTGTATGTTGTTTTAGATTCACCTGGTGGCAATTGGCGTCCTCGATCGATCATGCCCTCTTCGAGACCATGGAGAACGTCACCCGGGGCGTGATATGCGCTCGGACTCCTCCGCCGACCTTGCCAGGCAAATGGACAGCAGAATCACACCTCAGAGGAGACAGTGGAGAAGTCGCCACCTACTGTAATTTGAACATCAACAGCTCTATCCTGGCCTACCCCGAGTGGTCCACGATCCCCTCAAAAGTCTACAAGCGCATCTTCGAAGCGATGTTCGTCGCGCTGTTCCTGCAGTGGGGCACGACTGGCGCTTCGATTATGATCGCATACCTAACGCCCACCACTGGTTTGGGCTGCAGATCCGGCTCGTATCTGCTCTATGGCGTCCTCGGCACCTCCAGCTGGCTTCTCCTCTTGGTGTCGATGCTGCTCTCGCATGAGGTCATGCTTCGGTACCAGATAGAGCACCACAACAACCCCACGACAGACTTCCGCCGCCACCCGGATCCAGGAGCCAGGACGTACGTTCGGACATGGAGCCATAGCACGCTTTGTGGGTTGGCCGTCGTCCTGCGAGTCTTTGGCAAGTTCCTGGCTATTGCCAACACGCTCTTCCTCCTTGCGACTTCGTTGATGGAATTTGTCGGAGGCTTTAACAATTGCTGGTGCATGGGCAATTGGATTGGCAGTAAGTGTTTACCCCTCGGTTTCAAAGTGTTTGATCAGCACACTAACAGGTTGTGCATAGTGGGCAACGAAGGATGGATCGTGCTCTTCAAAGGCGCCGATGCTCTGAGCGCTGCGGCTTCGTTACCTTGGGGAGGCGGACTTGCATTGGCGCTTCTTGTGTGCTTCCTCTCTTACACGTTCTTCTTCTTTGGCTCTTTGAAGACGGATGATGATCAATTCAGCAAGAAGATCTTGACGATCCTAGTCAGATGGTGTCTCGGAATGGGAATTTAGCAGAGAGCAGCCGTTGGGAACATGCCACAATGCGGTGTGTAGTATCAACAACCTTGTCATTATGGTTGCTCATGCCGTCAGGTATATTTTAATAAATGTCCAAGAACGATTTTCCTGACAGTTGGCGCTGTACCCGGGATAGATTTAAGGTTAGATGGTTGCTCTGGCGACAATCAGGTCTTGGCGGCAGTGACAAGTGACAAACGAGCCCGCCTCGGCCGCATCACATCAACCACACACATCAAAGGATCTACAACACACATTACATCCTTTCTCGCTCTTCGCACACTGCGTATCACTTACTTTTGAGGCGCACGACAATTGGAAAGACATACCATCACATCCGTAGCAAGATGACTTGAAGAAGTCCCCGCATCATCAACAAAACATTCCAACCAGGTCGCATTCCACTCGCTACCAGCCCAATGGCCTACCCTCATTCTCCCGACAGCTACGGTCCGCCGCCGGGCTACACCACCCCGACCAAGAGCCGCGCGCACAATGGCTCGACGATGCGCCTGCTGCCGAACGACGACGAGGACCAGAACAACAACGGCCGACCCTCCATCTCGTCTGAAGGCGGCTCGCCAAATGGCTCTCCCTACGATGTCTTTGCGCGCGCACGACAGAGACTATCGAATCCAGATGTACCGCAACAAGAACCACTGCCTCCGCCGGCGGTGAACGATAGCGACATAAGCAGTCTGCTGCGGGAGGTCGAGAGCTCTCTGGGAAAAGATCAGCCTTCAGGCGGTCGCGCAAAGACAACAAAGGTGCGCTTCAAGTACAAGGGTGAGGACAGAAGCGAGCCCCTTCCAACCGCAGGACCACCACCGCCGCCACGACCAGTTTCGCCAGCGCGGTCATACCAGCCATCAGTGGCCTCAAGGCCGATCTCAAGAGCGCCGTCTGTCCTCGATACTGCACCAGCAATGCATCCTCCTGTAGGCGATGCGCCGCCATATGCGCCTCCATACCGGCCTTCTTCAAGAGGCTCGTCATCGCCAGTACGGCCATGGTCACCATCACGAAGCTCGACTGAGTACCCCCGTCCGCCCGCATCGCATGTGCCTTTTGAGCCGGCAGACCTGAACGGTAGTCCGCGTCCAGGAACACCATCCCAGCAGTACACTGGTTCACCAAAGCGTCCGTTACCACCAGCGCCGCTGTTCGCTGGGGGCCGGCCACTGTCATCTGAGGTCGACCGAGATGCGCCAGAAGCCACAGCAATATCGATTGACGATGATGAGGATGAAGATCCGTTCGGTCCAGCAAACGACGATACAACACCACAAAGGCCGCCGCTCAGACCACATGACAGCTTCGCATCTACTTCGACATTCACTGATGATCTGTACGACGAGAAGGGCGATGAACTGAACGGTCCAGCGCCTGAAGGCAAGCAAGAACGTCGAGGAGCGCGAACGGCGCAGATGGCGAAGAAAGAGGTTCGACTGATCAACGGCGAGCTCATCCTGGAGTGCAAGATCCCGACCATCCTGTACTCATTCCTGCCTCGACGAGACGATGTGGAGTTCACGCACATGCGGTATACTGCCGTGACCTGTGACCCAGACGACTTTGTCGACCGCGGATACAAGCTACGACAGAACATTGGGTACTCTGCCAGGGAAACAGAACTGCTCATCTGCATCACCATGTACAACGAGAACGAAATCGACTTCACGCGCACCATGCACGGCGTCATGCGCAACATCTCCCACTTCTGCAGCAGGGCCAAGTCGCGAACTTGGGGCAAAGACGGCTGGCAGAAGATCGTCGTCTGCATCATCTCCGACGGTCGAGGCAAAGTGCATCCCCGGACGCTGGACGCATTGGCGGCAATGGGCTGCTACCAATCCGGCATCGCGAAAAACGTCGTCAACCAGCGCGAAGTGACTGGCCACGTTTACGAGTATACGACTCAGGTATCGCTCGACTCCGATCTCAAATTTAAGGGGGCTGAGAAAGGGATTGTGCCGTGCCAGATGATCTTTTGCTTGAAGGAAAAGAATGCGAAGAAGCTGAACAGCCATCGATGGTTCTTTAATGCTTTTGGGAGAGCGCTTAACCCGAATGTGTGCATCTTGCTTGATGTTGGAACGAAGCCTGGCGATGACTCGCTATATCACTTGTGGAAGGCGTTCGATCGTGACTCCCAAGTCGCAGGCGCTGCTGGGGAGATTAAGGCGGCGAAGGGACGAGCATGGCTTCAGCTGCTGAACCCGCTGGTGGCGTCTCAGAACTTCGAGTACAAGATGTCGAATATTCTGGACAAGCCGTTGGAGTCTGTGTTTGGATACATTACGGTCTTGCCTGGAGCACTCAGCGCATACCGATACCACGCTTTGCAGAACGACGAGACTGGACATGGACCTCTCAGCCAATACTTCAAAGGCGAAACGCTCCATGGCCAAGATGCCGACGTCTTCACCGCCAACATGTACCTCGCTGAAGATCGTATCCTCTGCTGGGAGCTCGTCGCCAAACGCAACGAGCAATGGGTCCTGAAATACGTCAAGTCCGCGACCGGCGAGACAGACGTCCCAGATGCCATCCCCGAATTCATCTCCCAGCGCCGCCGTTGGCTCAACGGTGCCTTCTTCGCCGCCGTCTACTCCCTGCTCCACTTCAAGCAAGTCTGGACCACCGACCACACCATCGGCCGCAAGATTCTGCTGCACATCGAATTCATCTACCAATTCGTGCAGCTCCTGTTCACCTTCTTCTCGCTCGGCAACTTCTACCTGACCTTCTACTTCATCGCCGGCTCCCTCTCGGACCCGAAAGTCGACCCCTTCGGCCACAACATCGGGCTCTACATCTTCATCCTGCTGCGCTATACCTGCGTCCTGCTCATCATGATGCAGTTCATCCTCTCCATGGGCAACCGGCCGCAGGGCGCGTACAAGATGTTCCTCGGCTCCCTCATCACCTTCGGCATCATCATGTTCTACAACACCTTCGCCGCCCTCTTCATCGTCATCAAGCAGCTGCAGCCCCAACACGGCAAGGACGCCGACCTGACCATCGGCAACAACGTCTTCACCAACCTCATCGTCTCCACCTTATCGACCGTCGGACTCTACTTCCTCATGTCCTTCCTCTACCTCGACCCGTGGCACATGTTCACCTCATCAGCGCAGTACTTCGCCCTTTTGCCATCCTACGTCTGCACGCTCCAAGTCTACGCCTTCTGCAACGCTCACGACGTCTCCTGGGGCACCAAGGGCGACAACGTCCTCAAAACCGACCTGGGCATCGCCAAGATCTCCAAAAACGGCACCGTCGAGATCGAAATGCCCAGCGAACAACTCGACATCGACTCCGGCTACGACGAAGCGCTGCGCAACTTGCGGGATCGCGTGGAAGTGGCGAAGCCTGGTGTCAGCGAGTCCCAGCAGCAGGAAGACTACTACCGCGCCGTGCGCACGTACGTCGTCATCGTGTGGATGTCGGCGAACGCCTTGCTCGCCATGATCGTGAGCGAGATCTACGACAGCACGAACGTGGGGGACAATTTCTACCTCAAATTCATCCTCTGGACCGTCGCTGGGTTGGCTCTGTTTAGGGCTTGCGGGAGCTGTGCTTTCGGGGTGATTAATATCGTGCATTCGATTATGGAGGGCAAGATGAAGGTGTTGAATGGGAAGGCGGGGTCGAGTTGGGGCGGGAGTAGTGGGAAAGGTGGGAAGAGCGTGGTTAGTGGGAGTAGTGGGAGTTCGAGGTGGACGGGGTGGGTGAGTGAGGGGACCGGGTGGGTGAGTGGGAAGATGAGTAGTTTGGCACCGAGTTCGATTGGGAGTAGCTTTGGGAAGTGATCAAGAAAAGGTGTGAGGAGTGGCGTTTGGGGTGATGGATGGGTATTGGATGTCATGAGCGATGTGTATGGGATGGTGTTTGGGCAATGCGACTGCGAAGTGCGATTGGGTACGCACGGCCTTGATTAGAGAGTACAGTAGTATCTGTAACATACATTAAAAGTCTGATTGAACTGCCGACGTATCTCACAACCAGTCGCTAGACCTAGACACATGTGGCGCTGTCTCTTATCTACCAATGTGTACATGATTCACACTCGATGACATGCACTTGATGCTCGAGAAGATCTCTGAGGCCCAGAAGAATTGTGCTCGTGTCCGGATGGTCAGGCCCAGACCTGGGAACGGCGACATCTGTGTGTCCCAGTTACTCTGCACGAAATCTCCGTGCTCTTTGCCACAATCCTTAGGAACCTTGTGCCCAGGTTCGACCACTTCTTTCAGTGTTGTGCCTTGAAAGATCGGGTGAGACGAGGTGTCGTGTTCATCACTGGATATTATCATGCTGGTGCACTTCAACCGTCACAGCGTACACTGTCCGTCCATGTACGAAGTCGCGAGCAGCCGACGCTTCCACAACAGTGTCCGAGTCGACCTCCAACCATGTCCGGAGTGTAGTCCCCTTGTCGCCAAGGATTCTTCTTGCGACATCTCTTTGGAAATGCTCGTCGTCGGCTTTGCTGTCGTCCCACCATTCAATAGAAGAAGGGCAGAATAGGTGCATGAGCAACCCCATCGTACCGGCCTCCATTCCTATGGCCAAGCCCACTCGATCGGGCTCTGTATGCGCACTAACGCTTTTCCATATGATGTAGCCGTGCGGAGTGAAGGGAAGAAAACAATTATGAAGGCCAGCGAATTCTCCCCAGGAAGTGATGGGCGCCACCATCGTTCTCGCCAGACTCTGGCTAAGGCAGATGACAACCACGTAGCCGCAGGCCCACGCTGGCTCGCGTAGCCGTCCGGGTCGCCACGTGACTAAGTCGTCATCTAGAGCATGCCGAAGGATTAAAATTTCACTCGTCGCGACTGTCGTGGCTTTGTCCAGCCAGAGGAATTCCAAATGCTCCCCGCTTCGGGCAACATTACTTGTAAATCTGCTAGATCCGAACCGGTCTGGTGTAAGCAAGAGCGCGGCCGGTTTCAAGGACAAAACAACGGCGAGCCCGGGGCTGGAGTAGCATCCCAAGACGCCGTATATCGAGCCTTCGGCCCGATGGCCATCACGTTGCACCACACGCAATCTCATCTCGAGCCCTGCGTTGCCAAGTCGGTATGAGCCCATATATTGAGGTCCCTCTCGCTGATGGATGTCTTTCTTGAATTGTGCCGGAGAAGATGCTAGTAGATCGTTACTGTGCTCGCCCGGTCGTGGTGTCCAGCAGAAAATGGAATGGTCGATCGTCGTCGCAATGATCTCCTCCTGTAGACGCTGAAAAGCCTTTTCTCCTTCGCCGTACAGCAGCGCCATGTCGACGTCAAACAGACCGATTAAGCAATACGCTCGGTCCTCCACCCGTGTTGTTTTTCGATCACCTGCCCATGACATCTTCGTGGCGACGCTCGAAGTCTTCAGGATCCCTCGCTGAAGGACCAACGTATCGATGCCGGTCGTCTCGGCAATTTCGAAGTGCAGGTCAGCTTTTGTGCCCAAATCAGTCCAGCCGGCGCCAAAAACCTCATGTTTTTCGGGGCGATGAGTTCTTGGAGGGTCTAACCTCGAGTAAACCAGCGGCTCCGACTGAAGGGGACGAGCGTTGCGTTTCCAGACACGCCCCTGCCTGTATAGTGGGTTTTCTCCGGGTATTTCGGGGGCTCCACGTCGCTGAGAAATGCATAACAGACCTCAGCCCTGTGATACCACCGATACATGGACCTGATAGCTTCGCCCAGCTCAGCGTCAATATCCTTATTGATGCAGCTGTGCCATCTATCAGTTGGAGAGCTAGAAGCCTTGCGGGTAGAGACTTACCACGTATCAACCCAGGCGTAAGCATTGCCATCTTCAAGAGCCTGCCGACACGTTTGCTGTATCTTCCAGTAGCCCTTCATGCCAGGTCCTCTGTCCTGCCGGAGGTCCTGGAAGCTAACCTCTTCCTCGCCCCAGGTATGTGAGAGAATGGCATATTGTTTCTGTCTCTCGTCGATCATGCACAAGCTGGATTGTCGACACGTCCAGGAGCCACATTGTGGAAATGGATGGTCATCACCTGTGGCCAGCCAGGCCCGCGCAGGGTAGTGGAAGGGATGAAGAGACTGCTGTGACCCAAAGTACAATAAGCAAAAGGACACTGGCTTTCGACACGTCGTGTGTTGTTCGGGCTCGCGCAGAGGTCCTCCGGTAGACTAGGATTTTATCTCCACAGTGAGGATGGTGGACCAGCTCGACAAGAGACGTATGGGGTTTGTAGCCTCCAGTCGAGCACGAGTGGTAGCACAGCCTCGCCGTGCCAGCTTTGCCGCCAGCCTCGCCGTGCAGCATTGCAGCTTGTACCTTACCGCCCAACTACGCCTCATCGTATCGCACGACCTCGCCAAACGCCGACACCACATCGGCCAGCGTATAAACCGCTTCAGCGCGCGGCAAGGTAGACGTCTTCACCCAGCCATTACTCCACGGAGCGTCAGAGCCTTGTGGTACTCCACGCTGAATCGCAGAAGACCAGGCGGAGATAGCCGCCGCCCTTGTGTCAAACCGGCCATGGCGCGTGTAGCTTCGGGGTACGAGGTATATACATGTAGATCGAGGACTGTGCCGTCTACATGTCGACATATGCGGCTACTTCATCCCACAAGGTTGGTCAAAATGAGTTGTTTCGGAGAGTGGAAGGAGGGGTGAGGTGAGCTGAAGTCGGCGCGCACGTCCCGACGACTCAACTTTGATTTTGGCAAACACGACCACGGCCAAGGTCCCAGAGAATGCCACGAGACATCAACGTTCGACATGATAATCCTTTCACTACCAATACGAAGCCACTCAACCAAAAAGACATGAAGAATGCTCAAACATGAGAATCGAACAGCGCCTCGCGGCAAATAATACGAGCCATATAACCACCCAATCCACCCTCCTCCGGAATCATCAACGCCTCCCCTAGTAGTCCGTCAAGAAACATGCTTGCCATTCCGTTCTCATCCCATCGCACATCCATTGCCCATCTCTCATGACAAACGGCGTCGCGTACCCAAACCCAAAGCCCTCCCGTCCCGGAAAAACCAGCCCAGGAGCGTCACAAAACGCCAGCGACGCCCATTACCCAACCCCCAACCTCGACAAAAAGCACGTAAAGCCACCACTCAAAACCACGCGCATCCCAGTCCCACGGTTCAATCCCTCACCGCCGCCCTAACAGCCAGCGTCAACTTCTCATTCCTCTCCACCGCCGCCCCCAAATCCTCATCGTCCTCCAACCGATAATACTCCCCATCATTCTCATCCCGATACTCCATCTCCAGCTCCTCCATATCTCCCTCCTGCTCGCTGCCCTTATACTCCAGTCGCCGTCTCTCGACGATCTTCTGGTACAGCTGATCGTAGTTGAATTGCCCTCTCGGAGGCATACGGATGACGACGCAGGTGTCGCGGTCGAACCAGGCTTTCACTTTCACCTGGGCGGTGGACGCAGGGCCGGGGTTGCCGGAGGCGACGGAGGGGTTGGAGGGTTGGGGCGTGAGGGTTTGTTGGTGGGATTGGGTGGTGTAGGTTGAGGGGGAGCGGTAGTGGGATTGGGCTTGCGAGGAGGGTTGGCGCTGGTGTTGGGAGTAGCCGTTGGAGGCCTGGGAGGGGTTGTGTTGGTGGGGTTGGCGCTGTTGTTGCTGGTAGCCGCCGTTTTGGTAGGAGCTTTGCGAGGCTGCCGAGTAGCGATTCTGTTGTTGAGCGGGTTGGGCGTGGCGTTCGAAGTCGTCGGCGTTCTCGTCGACTTCGTAGTCGCCTGGACGAGGGGCGAAGAAGTTACGCACAATGGAAGAGCAGGTGATGTGTTGCTGTAATCTCAGCAGATCTCGCAGGTACTCGTCCAGGTTCGTCCGGCGGCCTTCGGTGATGTTGTCTGTCACAAACTTGACCGGTCCTGGCATATATGGAAGTATCCTTGGCTTCCCAGGCACAGTCCCAGCCTCCTCCGGAAATGCGTTGATGAGATTGATCTGTAGTTCGTAAAAGTCCTCGTATATCCTCGATAGATCCCAATGCGTGCCGTTGGAGAGCTGACACTGCACTACGAAGTGGAACTTCTCATCCACATACCTGTAGCTCGGTACAGATGCCATTTCCGGCGCGAAAAGGTTCTGCGCTTGCTGTTGCTGCAGATTATAGGCGTTGCTCGGTGTCCTCTCATGGCTGTAGCTGCCGTGATGCTGCGATCGATTGCTCAAGCTCATCCGGTCCATGCTCTGTTGCATATCCTGGCTACTGCTCGACACCGTCCCGAGCGGTATACTCGTATTCTTATACTCCGCCGCCATCTTCTTCCACTCTTCCACCCGCGGTATCCCCGCCTTCCTAACCGCCTCCACCGGATCTGGCACCGCCTGCCCCGTCGTCATATCCCGAATCTCAATAAACGACACCGGAATCAAGCCCGGCCCGCCCAACCTCGTAATCGGCTTCGCAACGAACCACTCCGGATTACTCTGTGCAATCACAATAATCGCCTCCCCCTCCTTCGCATCCAGCTCGTCCGGCCGCTCCGACACGAAATCATACGACACAATCCCGTAAACCCCACCCGCATTCTTCCCCACGCTCTTACTCGCCCTGTGCCCTGGCATCGCCATCTCCGCCGGCACGCTCGTGCGCGGCGGAGCGTGACCTATCTGCGAAGGAGGCGTGGACCGCTGCTCCGCGTACCCAGAATCGTGCGTCTTGCTCGCCGAGCTCGTCGAGTCCCCGCTATCCCGCACCGTCTTGCCCACGTTCTCAAAGTACTTGACCGGCACCAGCCCGCGCTCGTTTTTGAGTGGATTGCACGCCTCGTACCAGTCCGGGTCCTTCTCGCGGCTCACGACGTGCAGGAAGTCGCCGGTGGAGAAGGAGAGGTAGATGGGCGGTTCGGCGGGCGCGTCGTAGTCGTAGAGTGCTTTGATGACCTGGTCGCGCAAGTGTGTCAGTCACTGTGCTCTTCCGTGCGACCGCGCAGGGCTTTCGCGGCAATGCGACTCACCTTCTTCGGCGGCTCAATGGCTATAGCATCCTTCTGTGGTATGGAGATCTGCACCGGTTTCGCCGAGTCGTGCTTCTCGCTCTTCACCGAGCGCCGGAACTGTTGTCGCGCGCGATTGTCAGTATACAGCGCTTCAAACTCTACTCCCGCCACTGCGTTGGAGGGGGAGAGGAGGAGGATCGGCGCACCTTCATGCCTGCGACTTCAAAGTAGTGCGACAGCCTCGAATCAACCTAATACGCCGAGTCGCAGGAGTAGAGAATCCTTGGGGTATCACAATATAACGAGCGTCGCAGATGGTGTCGCAGTTGGGGTTTGGAGTGGAAATGAGGTCTTGAGGTTGCAAAAGCGACGCTTCCGGCAAGCCCTGCTTCTTCCAATTCGCTTTGCTGCTGCGCCCGCCGTCCGTCGCGGGTAGGAGAGGCTGAAGCTGAAGGGAGATATCAAGTTTTCCTCACAAACACAATCTCAAGAAGAAGACTGGCAGCGAAGGGCTACCCCGGTCACTTGTTCGTGTTGAATGATGCCCGGCCGGGATACGATGGAAATTGCCAACGACTCGTCGCGATCGCAGATCTGCTGACTGCACGATTTGCGGCGTGCGTAACAAAGGATCTGTTCACGTTGGCTCTTTGAAGACTCTGCAACGACCGTCTATAGTATATCCTCGCAACGATAGGAGGTACCTCCCTTTCACCCTCCGTCACACCTCCTTCCCTCCACCCCCAAATCGACCGATCGCAACAGCACCAAGCAGCCTTCAAAATCTGACAACAAACGGCGCCGCCCTACCTACCGGCGCAGCTCCGTAGTATATGCACCGCGATTCACGTTGCCCACACGCTTCCCTCTCTCCCCGCCGCCTCTTATTCGCTTGTTTCCAGCAGCACAGACTCGGCTTCGGGTCCGACAGCATGGTTCCCGGATCCTTGAACACATCGCTGTCTTCGACTACTGTCGGCGTAAAAGAAACGAGGAAGGAAACCACGCGAGATGGAAGATTCGATTGCTTCAGCCCAGCTGTCGGGCTACTGTAGGATAGCGGAGACGCTGTCGTACCTGCAATTTATGGGGATCGATCACGTGTGGCAGCGAGATCGTGAAAGGCTTGGGTGAAGTGACGTTCAGCTGCATGCACACAGTGTGCGACATGTGATAGCCTCACTCGCCGCCGGTGTCGCTGTAACACTAACAGAAGGGCTAGGAGGGTACGCCGCCTCAACGTTGGTGGATTCTACTCCTCTCTAGGAGAAACGTGGCTACCATGAACTTCACAGGACAAGAGGCTACAGCCCAGGAACACAAGTCTAATAGATTACAAACCTCTACACCACCCCGCGACTCCCATCAGCACCCGGCGATCGTGGCCCTACCTCATGCCCTCGAAACCCTCCCTCTAGTTCCCACCTCGGCTTACTCGCCAACGGTATAGGCGGCGGCGAATCCGCTTCCAGAGGTTCCCCCTCAAAGGTGACATATGGACGAGAATCTGCTTCCTGCGCCTCCTTCCCAGGCAATTCGACAATCTCCTGGTCTCTACGGCTGACGGCATTACCCTCGAGCTGGCCTTTGGAATCGACGTACGGGCGTTGACTTCTTGCTCGCTGGACGGAGCTCTTGCCAGCTCGCTTCCGGCGGAAGATCCAGAAAGCGCCTGCGAGGAGGAGGAAGGCGAGTACGGCGGCGCCGACGCCGATTCCGGCTTTGGCGCCTGTAGAGAGGCCACCTTCGTGGTCTTGTTCCTGGCTCTGGTTTGACTCGGAGGTTTGTGACGGCGAGGCTGGGGGGGCCCCGGCACTGCCACTACTGCCACTGCCACCCGTTGACATTGAAGCCGCTTTATTCGGCGACACGAATGCCTCGATGGCACTTTGGGGCAGGATTGGCGCCGACGCGGGCGTGAACAAGCTCAGATCTTCCGTGGACCAGCCGACGACGACCTGCGGCATGGTAATGCGGGTCGGGAGGTCTGGGCCTCCCGTGCCCGGAAAGTCGGTATAGCAAATGCCGATTCCCAGATGCCCTATACGACCAGCCACTTCCCGACGGCACGAGTCAACCCAAACCCCACCGTCGACGCCGCCGCAAGGAAGGCACACTTACGTAGGACACCCCGCGACTCCGAACCCCCATGCCTCCTCGGCGGCCTCGAACTTCTCAAGCCCACACGGCAACACCCCCGGACTGTAGGTGATCATTGTAGTATCCGAGCCCGTGTTCCAGGTGTAACCACCCGTGGGAAAGCAGCGGTCGGCGACTGACATGCGGCATTGGACCGAGACAAGGCTGAGGGTAGTACACCCTTCCACGCTCGTCGGCTTGGTAGGGAAGCACGAGCTCGGAGGGATGAAGATGATGGTGAGGGGTTCCAAGGGAGCAGGGAAGGAAGGGATTGGGGTTGACTCCAAGGGTCCTTGGTCTGTCGAAGAGGCGGGCTCCGTAGAAGCAGGGGGGGACGCCCCAGCTGTGGGCGCTGGGCCGGTATTCGTAGTTCGTCCGCTCATGTTCTGTATGGTAAACAACGCTTCTCAAGCCTCCAGTCCTAGGACGCCTACCTCTTAGGTACTTACAAGCTGATCAACCACACGCAAGGCTGGCAGTAGAGGGGTCGTCGCAAGCCTGAAGCGAGACCACTGCAAGCCACCAGACCAGCCTGTTATCTCGTGGTTGTTCGTTGGTTGGTCTGTGCAAATGCATATGCACATGTACTGCACATGTACCTTAGCTCTGTGAGTAAGCGAAGGGGTTGCAGCATAGCAAGGGCCGATGGCAATTAGCCTCAAGTATGATGCGAAGGACTTACTGCACAAGAGAGTCGATCGACGGCAACGCTCTTTCGTTACGCAGGTCCGACCTTACGGTGTAGACAGATGTTCCTACTTGCTTGTAGTCGTCGGATTAGAAACGAGGCCACGCATTGCGGCGTGAGGTGGAAGACCGATTTCTCAGCCCAGCTTATGGCGTACTGTACGTGAGCGACGCATTCTCACCTGTAAGTCCCTACAGCTGCGCGATGGATCGAGTGGAAGTTGTTTGGAACTGAGGTGAATGATGTCGAGAAGACACCGCAGCTACTCACAACTCATATCTGACCCTTGATATCTACGCTCCGGAACGCTGCAGCCCGCGCGTTCTCAAACATCAGACTCGCCTTGCCGGTCAGGACACGCACCTCGCCACCCTCTCCTCCCTTCTGCTCGATGAGATGCTCCGCCTTGTGCTGGCACAGGAAGTCCACGCATTGCCGTAAACCTGCCTCCGGGTCGTCCTCGCTGCCTTCTTCGCCGTGGAATGCGAGCTCTTGGGTGAGGAATGCGAGGCCGACGTCGGGTTTGTACCTAGCACAGTTAGCAAGCATATCTTCTGAGGAGGAGAGATCGAGCCTACGCCTTGCAGATCGCAGCCATGGCAGCAAGTCGCTCTCGCTGCACGAACATGTCGAGGAGGTAGGGACCCATGAACGGAGCATCGTCGTATAGCCTAAAGAATTTGTGGTAGTTGCCAGAAGCCAGCGCCGATCGCACCTGCAATGCATGCTGCACCGCTGGCTTCTGCTTGTCTGCTGTGGTTAGGTCGGCCAACACATCGTTGACGCCGGTGCGGTTGGAGGTGTAGATGAAATACAAGATGCGGTACGCCACAAACTCCTCCGGATTGCCGCCCATATTCGACTTGTACAGTGCACGCAGCTGTGTCTGGCACTGATTGTACTCACCGAGGTCCCCCATCTCCAGCGCGATGCGGGCGTGGAGCTCGTACACCTTGACCGTGAAGGAGCTCTTGATGTGTTGTACCGTGAGGTCCTGACGGAGAGACTTCAACTGGTCGCAGGCGTAGGAGTAGTTGTGCTCCTTCTTCCACTTTTTCCGGACAAGGTCGAGGGCTTTCTCAAGGATTGGCAGTGGGCGGACAGTGTGCGGCGCTGGTGGGGCAGTGAGACGGAAGTAGTTCTTCTCCAGAGTCTGGCACGTGCCTACAACCGGGCCAGTGGGGAGAGAGGAGTCATCACGTGGGTTTACGTATATAGATGGTTCCGGTGTTCCGCGACCGAAACGCTGCCGACGCTTCTCCAGGACGTCTGGATCGACGTCCATGGAGTGGGCTTGCATGGTATTGTTCTTCTTCTGTTGCTTTCTCTCCTGGGTCTTGCTCAATCCGGTGATGCGGTCGCCGAGGCCATTCATCCCGGTCTTCTTCTTCCACGGCGGCGTGCCGTCTTGCTGCTCCGACCCGTTCAGGTCGGCTTCTGGTGACTTCCTTTTCCTGGCGTGAGACGGGAGAGATGATAATCCGTCCGACGAGAGCAGTCCGTAGGTGTTCATGTTAGTCATTGGGCCGTTCTGCGCACGATTACGCATGGCTTCGTCCATCTCTCGCTTGATGAAGTCTTGTGGCAGATCATAGGTGTACCAATCTATGGTGTTCATCGTACCAGCTTCGGCTGCCTCGCTGATGATGGACTTCAGCCTGGCCTGCATGATCTTCGGGTCTACGCTGTCGATCTGGTTTCCCGACTCAAAGGCACGCTGTACGTATGCTCGCACGCCAGCACCGAACGGCTCCTTCGGCTTCTCGGGTGATGACGAAGCCTGCGGTGCTGGCGGACGTGAAAGCGTGTGCCGGACTGGCACCGCAGTGTATGAAGGTGCTGAGTTCATGCTGGCGGTGTGATGTGATGAAAGAACTGATACTGGGCGATGCTCGCTGACCGCGGCGCCGTGGGCGACAGAGGAGAGGATGCACCGGTGCGAGCGAGCGATGGCTATACGTGGTAGACCTGGGTGTGCCTGATCTGTGGTGGTGGTCGTGGCGGTGAACAAGAGGTACATGGTTGCAATTGCGCGCTTCGAAGTCAAAGGTTTAGCCGCGCCAAGCCATCACGTGACCGACCTAGACTCGCTTTGTCGTCGACATCTCGGTATCGGTCTTTCCAATTGACAACCTTTCGACAACCTTTCTACCTGAAAACTCGGAACGTAATACCGGCTTCTAGACTCTCCCGGAGCCCACATACTGCTCCTCGATGTTTGAATGTTCCTTCGCCACCTGGACCTCACAGCAGCCCTCAGGCCACTCCTGTACGACGAGGAATCGCTTCTCTTCGTAAGTCAAATCGATAGGTGGAATGGTTGTCCGAGACACGGTCAAGGCTCAAGGGCTGCGCAGCTCTCTGAGACCTTCATGTCTTTGATTTAGCTGACGAGAGATTTGCTGACCCTTCTTCTCACCGCTTTTAGGTCCAGGACAATGTGGGCTTGTATGAGGGCAAGTTCAAGATCGAGGGCTACCAGAATGGTCTGTCGTAAACTCTCCTCGACTATGAACCCGCCGCTAACAATTTTTCAGGTCATGCCTACTTGACATCCCACCGAGTCTGCTACGTTGATAAGGACGAACCACGACAACGCTCAGTCGCCGTAGATCTCAAGGAGATTGAACGAACAGAATTCTATGCCGGCTTCTTCAAGTCTTCACCAAAGATCACGCTCTTCCCAAAGGCAACAAAACGAACGTCCCAGGCGATCAGGAGCCCTGTCCCGAAGTATGCTTCACCCAGCGATGGACTAGTCAGTAGCGCCACCACGCCGCCTAGGTCGACAGCTCAGACCCCAGCACCAGCCCGAGATCTGAACGCTACCTGGGTGTGTCCTATCTGTGGCCTCTCGAATCCCGTGCCCAATAGCTTTGACCCGGCGACCGCGAATCAGCATACTGCTCTCCCTCCTTGTCAGGCATGCGGCATCAAGCCACCGCTTGCGCTCATGATCAAAGCCTCCATCGCTTCCATGTCGAGTAGAGCGTCAGGGACCGCTCAGTCAACCACTTCGACTTCCTTTGCTTGTGACAGCCTTGCTCGTAACGGCTTCCACACAAGCGCTCCAGCTTCTGGTGCCGGGGCGGCTGGAGTCTGCCCACGATGCACATTCCATAACCACGCCTCACTCAATACCTGCGAAATGTGCGGCGCACCTCTGCATGCAGCTCGAGAAGCTACAGTACCTGCTACAATCACCGAGCCGCAGCGACCGGAATCTCCTGGACCATCCATGGCAGGCTCAATCGTCGAAGATGACACGATTGAGACCATCAAGTTCTCCTTCCGCGGTGGCGGTGAGAAGGTCTTCCAAGACAGACTGAAGGGTGCTCTGGTCCAGCGCAAGTGGCTACTGCAGAGCGCACCGCCAGTGCCGAGACCGGCGCAGCCAACCACTCCAGGATTTGGAGGCTCGGGCCAAACATTCGATACACTCAGCAGCAGCACACCACAGCCGCGAGTCGTGGGAATCGCGGGGCTCGAGCGCAGAGGCGAAGAACTCCGCCAAAGCAACCAAGCAGTCATTGGCACCGCCTTCGAAGACCTGGAAGCACTGATGACCTCAGCCAAGGAGGTCATAGCAATGGCTGAGGAGTTCTCCAAATCACAGAACAGCGCCAACGGTGACTCTGTAGAAGCAAGAAATGTGCTCTCTGACTCGGCGTCAGTACTTGGACTTGTCACTACGAAAGACATGTTGGGCACTGGATCCTCTTCAGAAACGCTGTACATCACCGAGCTTGCGCGCAACCTTGCTGAGTTCCTTACCGATGACAGGAGAGGCATCTTGCGCAAGGAAGGTGGCATCATGTCTCTCGTTGACCTATGGGCGGTTTTCAACCGGACTCGCAATGGCATTGAGCTGATCTCGCCGTTGGACTTTGAGAAGGCTGCCATGACTTGGGAGACGCTGCACCTGCCAATCCGTTTGAGGCGATTCAAGAGCGGTCTGCTGGTTGTGCAAGAGAAGAGCCGCACTGACGAGAAGACCATTGCTAGTTTGCTGAGCTGGCTGCGACGACCGCAACAAGCATCTGGAGCGCCGGAAGATGGCTTGCGGGGCTCGCTTGGTATTGGTGTCACCGCGCAAGAGACGGCAGAGCGCTTCGGCTGGAGCGTCGGTGTTGCCACGGAAGAGTTGGAGATGGCTGAAGACACTGGAGCGCTCTGCAGAGATCAGTGTCTCGACGGCATCAGATTCTGGGAGAATCACTTCATGAGCACTTTCGCACAATCGTCAGAACAAGCTGACGCAGACATCTCGCACGGGGTGCAAGCTATGGGTATCTAGACAAAATATCAAACCAAACAAACGCCAAAAAATCCATCCATCGCACCCCAAACACCTAAACACCTCAAACAGTGATCCATCACCAGTCAATCACCCACTCACTCGCCCCACTCTCCCAAAACTCATCACAAGCCGCCTTCAAGCCAAAATTACTCCTCAAGTCCTCCACCCGCAACGGATCCCTCGTCAACGGATCCGTCGGACTGCGCTTCAAATGCTCATAAATCGTCGCCCGCTCGTACGAATGCCCGTTCTTCGTCATCACCGGATCGTGCATTGGCTCGAACGTGATCATATCGATTAGATGATCCGGGATCTCACGAGGTTTGTGGTTAGTCGGGTCCGCTATCGCGAACAGAGTTTTGAGCTCTGCGATCTTCGTATCGAAAGTCGACAAGATCTCCTGGTTCCTTTCTGACGCTTCGACAGGGCCGAGTTCTTGGTTGGAAAGCTGCGCAGAGATGGCGTCGAGGTCGCGCTGTTTGTTGGATTCGAGAGTCTCTTCCAGTTCCGCGCGGAGGTGGCCTTGCCGACGCAAGCGGTCGCGGTCGCGGGTGGCGAATTTGGCCTTTTTGCATTTGAGCACGAAGGAGGAGAAGGTCTCCAGGTCCTTTGGGGAGATCTTTGCCGCTGGGGATAAGGGGTGGCGGACTTGGTCGTAGGCGGTTAGGGCGGAGGAGAGGGCTTCGTGGGGGTGGTGGAGGGCTAGTTGGGCTTGGGCTGGAGGGATAAGGGTTTTAGCGGAGTGGTAAGGAGGGTTATGTGGTGCCAATCAGGGGTGATATGGCGGGCACAGCCTTACCCAGGAAGTAGAAGGCCTTATTGTTTTGCGTTTTTGGACCAGCGACTTCGATGCTCTTCAGGCAGTCGTTGACAGCGTCATCCCACCGTTGGAGCTTGAGCCGTACGTTCGCCCGGTTCGTGAAGATGAGTGGGTTTCTTGAATATTTCTGAACGGCTTGAGTGTAGAGCTCCTCGGCTTCGATGTACTGGCCGTTGCGGAATGCAGCGTTTCCCTTCTCCTTGAGTTCATCGGCTAGATAACTCATTGGTGCACTGTTTCCTTGATGGCAGAGTATGAGTGTCGAAGCTTCGCGGACAATGAGACTTATTAGCAGGCGGCGTTGTTGGCCTCAAGGAATGTTGTCGAGCCGGCAAGAACGAGGCTGTTTGCCGATGGCGGTGCATGCATTCTGGACCACCTGCAGCCAGCCAACGAAGCAAAGCTTGTCAGCGAGGCTCTCTCATTCTAGAAGCATCCACCCAGCAGCGTCTGACAGTTGTTCACCCGTCAATCCCATCGAAAATCATAGACGCCGCCACGGGTGGTCGACGAGGGTTGACGAGCTGCGGTGAAGATGGTGACCGGTTCAGCTGTCAGCGACACAGTGGGAAACAACAACATCAAGTGTCCGCGGCAACGAGTCCGAATGATTTCAGCATTGAGCTGACATACAGCCAGCTGTAATAGGGAACCAATCTGATCGCACGGGGCTATGGGTTTAAGATGCGAATGCGTTTGCGACATTGGCATTCTCTTCCACCTCTTCCGGAATTATCCAATTCTATCTCCGTGTTCTGCATCACTGGCCCACACCAATTGGGCGAAAGGGAGAAGACGCACTGTAGTTAAATGGATTGGATGGCTTTGAATCGGGGGATATATGTTCCGCAATGGAGTTTCGGTATGAGCTGAGAGACGATATAAGTTGTCTGTTCCTCCTATGACACACAACCATTTCAACTTGCAACAATACACCCTCAACAGTATCACACTCCGAGCAAAATGGCTTCCAACAGTCTCATCACTCTCATCACAGGAGGCACGCTTCTACTTCCAACCCCAAAAAGTCTTGCCTCCCACTGACAACCCCCAGGCAACTCCGGCATAGGCAAATCTCTCGCCGGCCTTCTCGTCGCCGACGCCAACCGCCACGTCATTATCACCAGCCGTTCCATCGACAAAGGCAATGCCGCAGTCGAGGAGATTAAAGGCCTCAAGCAACCAGGCAAGATCGAGATGGTGCAACTTGACCTCACCGTGCCCTCCTCCATCACCGCTCTCGCCAAGGACATCGAAACCAGATACGGCCGCCTCGACGCCCTCGTCAACAACGCCGCCATCGCCGACTTCCCTCCCAACACTCCATTACCAGAACGCATGGAAACATCCTTCAAGGCCAACGTCACCGGCCCGCTCCTCATGCTCGAAGCCTTCTGGCCCCTCCTCATGAAATCCACCACGACCCCGCGCATCATCAACCACAGTTCCGGCGCCGGCTCCATGCAAATCGTGAAGAACATGCCCGACTGGGCCTTTGGCGAAGTGCCGATCCCGTATTTCTCCAGCAAAGCCGCGCTGAACATGGTGAGTTGCAGCTGGATGCTTGGGCACAGAGGGGAGGATTACAAGATGTTTACGTATTGTCCTGGGTTCACGGAGTCGAATCTCGGACCGCATAATAAGTTGGCGAATGGGGCGAAGCCGGTTGTGGAGGGCGCGAGGCCGATGGTGGCGATTTTGGATGGGGAGAAGGATGCGGAGCATGGGGGGTTCTTGAACCACGAGGGGGGACAGCATCCGTGGTGAGCGGTGTCCGGATGGTGGAAGGGGAGTGTGCCTGGGGTAGCTGCGAGAAGTATGCTATGCGCTGGAAGAATGATTCCTTTCCGCTCTAGCATTCGAGATCCAGGATGTAGTGTCGGCGATCATACTGCAGAAGATGTATCCCAAGGTTGAATCTCGAGAACAGTAGGGCGGAGACTGCTGGCCACCGGATGATGTACTCATTGTCGAACTGCAGGGATCAGATGAACCTTCCGGGCCTCTAGAAGACTGGCTCAGAACCAGTTGCTTGACTTCTTGCGTTAAGGCCATCGTCAATGCTATGATGAGTATCACTAGAACTTCATGGATCGCGCGGCAGTGTGACTTGCAGTCCTGACATCTCCTAGTCAACAAATCATTATGCAGCCTTTGTTGCTGCCTTAAGAAGCTCCAGTGTACCTTAAGAAATGAAGGTTGTCATCGTTGCGGCACAGCAGACAGTCTCGCATGCAGAGTGACGTCTTGGCAAGCTCCAAACAGGGCCACAGCCTCTCCAACCCGGGGCAGCAAGACGGCAGGCACCTGCAGAGCTGCGCGTGATCTGTCCGATATTACCGCCGTAGAGAAGATAACAGACCCGGAGTCCTCGTCCTCTGAGATGGACGCAAAACAACAGAATAAACGAAGGACAAATTCCATTGACATGACGCCAATTCTCCCAGGTCTGAAGGCCACACCGGCCAAAGTGCAGCAATACATCTTCCAAATCTTGCAACATGAACATCTCCCGGGCCTGAAGGCCACACCGGCCGAAGTGCAGGAATATATCTTCCAAATCCTGCAACAGGAGAACTTTGCACAAGGCAAAGCAGAGCAGATCGCCGGCCGCTGGACCGTGGGAACTGGCAGAGAGTTGCGCTCCTATCCCCCGGCCATGCTGCGCAAGATCTTGTTCTTCGACATGGATGAGCAGGAGATATGGAGGCTGTACATGGCACTCAAGACTCCTTACCACCGTGCAGCACGTCGGAATACCATTGTGATGGCGCTGAAAAGTACGTCGAGCAGCTGTCTTGTCCGCGCGCGCTTCTCAAAAGCAGGCTAACTGACCTTACTCGCCAGTCGGCGTCGCGTTAATCGCGCCCACTGTCCTCTGTTTCGTACAAGCGTGTCGTTCGGACATGCTGGATGGGCCGTTTTGGTTGATTGCGACGGTTATTTGCATGTTCGCGTTGGTGTGTGACTTGACAGTCTTGCTTATCACCTACGTGATGGAAGATCCGGAGAGCGACACGGAGAAAGAGTTGCAGAAGTGGATGCAGACAGGGTCTGATGGCAATGTGGACGATGGGTCCGGGCGTCAGAAGCAATAGTCGTGCTGAAGCTTGGTGGCGAGCAGACGGCCGGTCGGGATGGTAGAATCGTTGGCAATCTCCTCTGGCAACAAACTCGTTTCCTTGAAGCAGTAATCGCTGAGTGCATGCAGCATATGTACATTCTATACCACCTCTTCAGCTCGGTCCCTAGATAGCCATGTTGGTTAGACGTGGCAGCCTTTGTGTGATGGCTCTTGGGGATGCGACCTCAGCTAGGTGAAAGTTTGCATTCTCCGGTATGAGGGCTATCCATGCATATAGGTAGGGATGCTCAGCTGGACCTGATGCGGTCTGCTTGACTACACATGCTGTCGTTGACCGTCATTACCTGCTCGGTTCGACGGGGTGAAACCCTTGGAGCACATACCATCCCCAGACGCCACAGTCGGCGGAAGGCGCATTCTGAGGCCGGTTGTCGCCGCACGGGAGGATCGAATATCGGTAGCCGGACCTGGAAACTAGACTTCCGCTTACGAAGGGACAAGCTGTAGGTGGTGTTTAGAGTTCCGTAAGGAGACCCCCCTGGGGCGAGGATAGAACTCCAGGAAGCGGTGAAACCTTATCATCTGGCGTGCTCAAGGACGGGCTCCATAGTCTGCTCATTCTCGAGCATAAGCTCAGTCGTCTGTTCGTTCTTAAGCAATCTGGCGAAACCATGGCCCGAATGCCCCGGTCGTCAAAGCAAGGTGAGGTAACGTGCTTGGGGCCTCATGCGGGTTGAGCTGCTAAGATCCAGTGGCGGAGTCTCCCCGAAAGCGACTACTGCTTAGTGACAAAGCCACGGCAGTAGGAGTCCAATGGACGAGGTGAGCGGCATCGCGGCAAGTGGATGTCTTCGATCAAGGCACACGAGCAAGTCCCGGACCAGGTCTTCCGGCAGCCATGTCGTAGTTCATCCAACCAGGAGGACGACATGTTGTGAAGGTGTATGCATGAGCAACGCTATCTTGAGTCGACATGCTGCTCCCTTGCATTCGGCATGCTGTCGGTATGCAGAACAAGGATCGAAGAAACGATCGTTAGCATACAATAAGATTCTATTTGATGTTATAAGCATGGTTCTTGATTGATCTTGATCATGTCTTTCATCGGCGGCGCTCCTCGCTTCCACGCTGTCGGGCTCGTCGATTTGGGTGACTTCCATCTCGTCCCGAAACTTAGATCTTTCCTTTGACTTCACTTCATCCTGCGTGCAGCCCAAGTACCGTACCATATTCTCTTTTCGTAGGACTGACTACATGCGACGCATCTAGACCAATTGCTCACCGAGGCTATGCAGTGCCTCTTACTGTACCATGCTCCGAGCGAGCCTCGACGATGTGCAGCTGGACTTGACGTGTGCTTTCGCAGCGGAGCATCCACTGCAAGGTTGCATCATCCAGTGGCTGTACCATGGCGACGCTTCTAATCTATCGAGGGCGAGACCATTCTAAGCAGCTATCGCAGGACCGACGCAAACAACAGCCGGAACACTGAATGCCGTTGGCAGCGCACAACAAAATGCGGAAGTGGTCAGCCCTTGGTGCGGTGGACCTCCGTCGACGGCATCAACCTGCCCTCCGCCGCCGCCCGTAAGCGTAGTGTCTGCAAGACCGTCAGCAACTGGCCAGTCGGACCGGAGAGGAGAAAGCGTCTTACACTTTGAGGTACAACTTCAGGTCTGGTGTTCGAAGCTCTCGTATCGCTCCTGCCATGAGCTGGAGATAGGTATTCTCCGCCATGCCGCCGACGTGGAGGAAAGGGTACAAAGAGAGGGACTTCAGCCTAGTCGCAACCATCAGCACATGGGACGATATTGTTCGATGAAGTGGCGCAAGCTGAACGTACATCTTCTCGACTGCGTCGGTCTCTATCGATGTTCGACCTGGTCGACGCATCAGCAGCTGTTCCAAGTTGGCATCCTGTCCAGGCCAGCATACCGGTAGCCCAGTCGCCAATAGGGAGATCAATCGGTTGGCCCCGTACATCGGCGAGACCTTCATGCTCAAGCAACCTTCGAAGCTCTTGGCCTATCCGGGGGTTCTTGCGCATGGTGGTCATGGTACTGACATACCACTCCCACCACCTGCCAGCAGAGTTAATATCCAAATGCTTGTACGACGGCTCGTACACACCTCGTCAAGCATGAGTCCATACGAAGCCGGCCGTTCCATGACTGAACACGAGGTTCGATCTCGATCATTTGCAGCCAACCATTGCCGCGCTTCAGCATCAGACACAAGTCGTGCACGTAACTCGGCCAACGGCTCGCATTTATACCCTCTGCGAGCAGGCGACTGTTGATCAAGTGGAAGCTTTCAGGCCCGAGCCCATGGCGTCTTGGATCTTCGGAGAATCTGGCATTCAAGTTCCATCTCTTTCTTTCCCATTCCTGGACTGCGTCTGGCTGGTCCTCGTCCTCTTCCGGGTCTTCGTCGTCGTCAACAGCCCGGCCGAGGTAGATATCGATTCCTGTGCCCTGGAAACGGAGGGTTAGCTATTAAACCATTGGCAAGATGCACAAGCATTCCATCGACCGAGTCGTCATCTCATCATGCACCGGCAACGGGAGACGCATGTTACTCATGCAGATACTGACATCGCATTCACCCGAGCAATCATCGATCAGGCCATCGATCCACGCACCCTGACCGCATCCACAGTCCAACACTTTCGGTGCTCCATTGCTGTTGCTGTCGTTGGTGGCCGGTGGAAAGGGCGGCAGTACGACTTGTCCTTGGAACAAGTCGCGGAGTGTACGATGAAGCTCTTCGATTCTCTCATGTTCCTTCTGTCGAAGCACCCTCTGTTAGTTCCAAACTCTTTCCTAGAGGACGTCGAGCAACTCAGGAGACCTGTCCCAACGGCAACGTACCCAGTCTACCGGAACACCGTAGACATGATGCTGCAGACCGAACCGGGAGTATATGCGACCAGACCTTCGGAGTAACTGGTCGTCGGTGGGCTGTGGAACTCTGTTGGCCATCTATGACCACGATCAGGTAGCACCAAGTATGTTGACTGCCGTCTTGGTGAAACGAAAGGAGACTCTTCCCAACGCTGTGGTTATGACTCCACTCTCCACGATGTGATCCTGCCACGAGCCGACTAGCTGGTATCGAACGTTATGCACAACGGAGGCTAAAACTCATGGCAACGGGAGAGGCTGACTTGGAAGATATAGCATGACGCAACAAGAGTCTTTCCGATAGTCCAGCTGCGACGTGCGGTGCAACAGAGCGATCCTATCCTGAGCCGTAACAGCGGCATCAAAACCGGCCAGCTGACCGCGCATCCACGTTTCCATTGGGTTCGAGCACAAAAGGATTCCTGCGCCTAATCGACAAGCGTGCCGCAGCCGCCTCTGAGATGTGACGGCCGGAGCAATCCTCGCCACGGGATCGGCTAGTTACAAGAGAACGTTCGATCGGTACCGTACGGCGAAGTGGAACACGTCTACTTTTTCACAACGACCGGCATTGTCTGTTCGGCTCCTGGTTCGCTAACATACAGCCGATCCACGCTGCTGGGTCGATACAGGCTACATAATGACTACAATATTCTGCCCACGGCAGGAATTGACTAAGATGGTTGTTTGAGGAGACTGACACAAGCTCTTCGACCTTCCATTGTCATCCATCCGATGGCGAAATCGACACTACTTCCTACCCTCCCGACCAAAAGGTGACGCTAGAATACCACCAACGTCGACCGACCGTTGCACCCTTGTCCACGCCACAGCTCCTCGGGACGGTGCTGACGGCGGCCCTAGGGTAGGGGATCTGTTCGCATTGCCTTCGGACACCTCCAAAGGACAGGTCACTGCCAACGGCGGTCGATACATGTCGTCTTTAGGATTTACCCGGTCGCTAGGATGTCAGCACCCTCTCTCCTTCGAGATGGAAGAAGTGTTGGGCAAGCTCTCGTTGCTACAAGGTGCACCACCCTTCCGTCGGCGTCCGAGCATTCTGTTCCAACAGCGTGGCACCAGGCTGTCGCTAATGCATGCATGTTGTCATCTTGCATTCGACTCGGGCAGTGTTCGGCGGAGACAGCGCGGTGTTGATTGACCGTCGACCCTACGACTTCTCGTTATCCGACCATATTGTCCCTCACAAGGTACAACCTACAGTAGTAAGTAAAACACTGCTTCCCTCATTGCTCGTAACATCCACAAACTCCGTCTCCTATCCTCGATCTCTGTGTCGGCAAACCTACCGCACCGCGATGATGCTGGCCTGCACCTCATGCATACTCTAGCTGCTTGCGCACATTTCCACGCCACGCTATCGTCTTTCTGCCGATGCGGAAGCGTGCGCTGTTCAACCACGACCCCTGTCCCAGCGGTCTGGGAATTTCTGTTACACAACATATGCCACGCGAGGAACATACCTAGAGGCCGCGCCGCCGCGAGGGACTTGTATCTCCTTATTCTCTTCCAACAACAAATTTGGGGATGGCGGTGGCATTGCCAGCATAAGGATCGGTATCGACGACTGTGAAGCTGAGGATCTTTCTCAACTCACTGGCAGAGACGTAGTGGCCTGACCAATATCTTCCCGAATACACCCGCGGTAACGTACAGCGTGGCGTCTCGCTCGCTCGGAAGATGCCGGGATACACACCCTACAGTGCTGTTCCGACGACACGTCAACATTACCACTCACCGACCACCAAATTGCGTGTGCTGCACCGAGTGATCGGGACTCGCCGCAAGTCCGAGAGCCGACGAGACTGGTAGACTACTCTGACCGAAGTAAAACCCTTGATACGGTCAGCGCTTGGAAATTGAGAGAATGTCATGTCAAGCAGCTGTGTAGACCAGAGCAACCTCAGGCTCTCGACAGCTCTCCCAAAAGGGTCAAATGAACGAAGCCCTGAAGCTGAGCTCTTTGTTGCAGTCCAGCGACTCTGATGTGGAAGAGGTGAGCTTCTCTGGACCGGTCTCATTGAGTATCATATTTTCTTGCCTGGATGCCATCAACTGGTAGTCCCGGGCTTAACTTGCTTACCTTCCTCATGGCAGGCAGGGCACTAAGTTAATGGTTCTACTATATTTGCGAAGACCTTGGGGCGACGATGACACGACGATCTTCGCAATTGCTAGAGGTTCGAAAGGCTATCAAGGTGTCGAACTGCTAACGAGTACCACAGGTATGTTAGTCATACGATGACGACCAAGCACACAAGCAACTCTCCACGCATCAATCGAAGTCCTCAGAATGGCACGTGCCTTCAGCACCGCCTCTGCCTTTCCACATCCCATCACCAATAGATGCTACAAGACGTCGACGTCGCACAGACCGTCTCCGTCTTCGTCCTCTTCTCATTAAACACCGTCGTCACCGGCGCCGCGCAGCGAATCGCATAACTCGGGCTCGGCTCAATCGTCGTGGTCGTCAGTTCACAGCATGAACAGTCACTGCTCGTCGTAGTCGTGTGCGCCGCTTTGGTATACACACAGCGCGGCTTATGGTGCTCGGTGATGGTTTTCGTGCAGGCTACGAGACCTGGTCCGATGCCCATGGAGCCGGTGACGGAGGGGGCGTCGACGGTGGTGGGAGTTGTTGGGGTTGGGGTTGCTGGTGCGCCGGAAGGAGAGCAGGAGGTCACGGTGGTGAGGCCGGGTTCAATTTCTCGGGGCGTTGGGCAGATCATCATGCACATGATCCCCGTCGTGACGGAGGTGATGGAGCAGCCTGCGGAGCATCAGTATTGTTTGCTATAGGTTGGAGGGCGAGGAATGTACCTTTGCAATCAACGAGGGCTGTTGATGTCGTCTCCTTGTCTGGTGGACAGCAGCCACCAGGCAGGCCAATGGTGGTAGCACATTGCGGTGCTTGAGGAGCGGCCGCGGCCAGCACCACAGCGCTCAAGAAAGTAAGTCCGTAACGCATGTTGGTGGTATGTGTAGTTGTGCTCGCCGTATGTGAGGTCGAAGGAGTTGCAGATATCCTTCAAAGCAAACAATCGATAGCTTTATGATCCCACAGATCCAACGTCAGACGTCGCTCGTTATGAAGGCTAAAACAACATTGGGTACTGGTGCCCATGGTAAGACTATATTTGCACCGGTCACACAAGCATCGTATTCCTCCCTCCTTGGTCGCCTCGCCGCGCCTTCTCTCCGCCAATCGCCGCCGCATCGTGAAACAGCAAGGAAGCTGTTCAAGCACTTGGCACCTTCCTACCTTTCCCCTTTGACGACACACAGTCAGCATCACCACATCCGCAAGACCATTGCCATGGCTACACAGGAATGTACGGTAGTGGCATGTGCTCGCGCTGGAGGGTGGCATGGCGAAGGCCTGGCGAACGTCTTCGCACCAGCGCGACGAAGTCTACGATATGCTTTTGGTCCGACGTCTGCCCAGCAAAGAACATCCGACAATTTCGTCACGCCGATCAAACACTGGCTCCGGGTAACGAAGATCATGCGACTCATTTTCGGTACGTACAGAGTTACCGGACCGACTTCACCCCCGATATTGCTGGATCCTTCGAAGGCCCGGACCGGTATATTCTACGGTTCACACCTTCTGGAGGAACACGAGCATGTGTCGCACACACGGCGGGGCCATACGACCCAAGCATGCTTGTGTCACAGCTCTGCATGAGTTGCCACGACCGCAGGGAACCTTTCGAAGTCCACCGCCAGCATGAACGGCCGAGACGGCGCAAATTGGCAGCAGTTTAGAGGATGCGAGCGCAACATCCACCATCCTTCTCGCATTCCGGACCAATACTCCACACTTTGAATGGCTGGTGGTGGAAGCTGACCGCGACCCTGGATGCACTCAATACATCTCTTTCCTGGACCGACTCTTCCAATTCACCATTTTGGAGCTGGCGTGCGGAATAATACCCTCTGCACCTTGCGCATTCGCGTGGAGGTTCTCGTGGTATCAATGCTAGACGGTGAGATGCTGCGACACTGCTGCAGCTCGATCAGTACGGCTCGAGTCTGCGCCGCGGCTACACCGGCAGCGGTTTTGCGGACTGGTGTCCCGATGGAAGGCCGAACTGCTCCTCCCTGGACCTTCGTCGACCCTTGCACTGGTATCGGTTGAATACACCTCGCTTTGGAAGAAGAGAGTTCTACTCGCGACGGTCCGGTACCCAAAGCTATGTCGAAGGCCGTCGAGATTGCCCCTCGGGTTCTTCGGGCCGGCGCATGCTCGTGTCGTTCTCGCGACTTCGAGGAGAGGTCGACGCTCGCTTGAATACAGCCTGGTACCTTGCGCTATGTGAAGTTGCTCGAGGCGGAGGAGTGTTAAAGTGTATGGCTCCCTGTCCCAGCTCCCGCTGCCGGAGAGTTTAGGATGTTGGTGGCCAAATGTATCACACAAAGGTATGTGCTGGCGAGCAACGAAGGTCAGATGTGTTTGGACAGTTTTTCAAAGTTCACTTCTGAGCTATTCGTGCTCACTATCGAGGGCTCACATCGGGCGTGTATCATTGACATTGCTTACTTTGATCATATGCTTCGCACGCCATCACAACCCTCTCACTTGAACATGCACGTGTTCATTTCAAGTTCATCGCCACGATTCAGTTCACTTTCAGTTCTCAAACTTTTTCAAAATGCTTCATCACAACGAACGCACGCTCTCACTTCTGAGACCATCATTCTTGATCTTGCTTTTCTACTCATTCATCTAACCCCTGACATCTCTTCCGCTTATCAACCTTCTACCTCCTTTCCAACTCTTCGAAACACTTCCACAACTCCTACAAGTCTCACCATTAGCAGTTGCCAACCCGTACCCGGTCTGCTCATCCGACGAGGAGAAACCCACCAACAGTCTACTACTCACATTTGCACCACTTCAATCACCAATAGTCCTACAGCTGGGTGGCTTTGCTTCCGAGTCAACTCGAGTCTCGTCACAATTCTATCCTATTCACTGGGCTATTGACTCTTTCCTTGTCAGTTCTTTTGCCTTTCCGGACCACATTTTACTCGAATCAGCCACAGCAATTCTTTATCACCAGCGGATCACGAGCCTCTCTTCATTCACTTATCCAGCTCTTATTAGCTGGACCTTTCTGGAAAGGCCCGTGCTCACAATCACAAGCACTCAGAACGCAGCCATATAAGCATCATGGCCTACCCTCACCACTCCCTCTCCCACAGCCAGTGGGCATCCAACGACCCTTCCGACTTCCCACACCGTCCACGCTCTCACCATCGCAACCACAACCAGGCTCCGCCGCACGCGCATCACAACTACCACCTTAACCCATCCACACCAAGCTTCCAACCGCACAACATGGCTATGCAACCATACCGCAACGGTCCGAACGTCCCCACAGCCATTCCGACCCCACCCTACAGTGGCGAGAAGGAGAACATCTCCACCGACGAGCTGTGCCAGGTGAAGAACTTCGTCATACACAATCACTTCGACCACACCAAAGACATCACCACCCTCGAGCGCCAGACCAAGGACAACTGCGAGACCATCGAGGCTGTGAAGACGATTGCTGCCAACGACATCCGCGCCCTCCAGGACGAAATCGACCAACTTCGCAAGGAGGTGAAGGGCGGACAGCAGCAAGCTGGCGCCTTGTCCCGCACCAGCTGGGCGGAGGAGAATGGCCAGCAGCTCAAGGATGCTACCAAGGACTTCAGCAAGGAAGGCATTGCCGAGGCTTACCTCAATGAGGCCAACGACTTCGAGAATGCGGCGTCGAAGTTGCGTGAGCAAGCCAAGCAGTTCGGTGCAGTCGTTGCTGTGGACTCGCCGATGGGCACGAGGGGTGTGAAGATGCTTGCGGTAGGCAACAGCATCAGCGCCGGAGAAGGAGTGGGCAAGGCGGACTTCGCATGCTGTGGCAAGTGCTTCGAGGCTGTCGAGAACATGCTCGAGCACGTCAAGGACGCCCACGCCTTCCTCCCCAACACCAACGAGCATCCTGTCATGGTGCAGCAACTGGACAACAGGAAGACCTTCAGCGATGCCGAGGACACACCGACGCACATGCCCGCTCGCCGCACCAAGGCTACCAAAGACAACACTGCCGAAGAAGTCAGCAAGCTAGTCCACAGCAGCCGTCCGAACGCCGCGACCAAATTCGACGACTGGCACAACGAGCCCAACGCCGCCAAATCCGAGAGCAGCGACGACGGCCGCACCCTCTACAAAGCCTACCAAGCCGTCTCAGTCACCGCCTCCCACCCACCACCCCAATCCTCCTGGCTCCCCCTCGCCGTCCGCAACATGGGCCCCTCCATCCCCGTCCCCGCAACCTCCCTCACCCTCCAACCTTATACCCACGACTTCCTCACGCACAATCTCGGCGGAACCCAGTACTCCCCTGGTTTCCACTTTATCTCCGGCCCCTCGGAACTGCCATCGAAATCCTACTGGCTCCTCGACGCCGCGCACGAACCGTTCCTGCCCTCTCGTCCAGGCGAGCATGGCGCAAAACTGACCGCGTTCTTCAACTCCGGCATCCATGAGTCAGGCGAAGCGCCCGGGGAGGAAAATTTCCTCCACGTGCCGGTGTTTGTGATGCGCGAGGGCGGGGACGGTTACGAGTACTTCGGCAACTACTCCCAAACCCGCTTCAGCGACAAACTCGACCTCGAGCGCGTGATGGAGTCGGTGCCGGAGCACGTGCGGCGTTTCTGGGCCGAGCAGCTCGCGGACCCCGGACGGCCGGCCTGGGTGACAGAGACGCTGATGGAGCATTTCTGGCCTAAGCCTGCGTATCCCGGTCCGATCCCTAGTGACGCGGCTGCACAGAGCGAAGCCACGGACGCGAAGAAGGAATCCGCCCGCGAGAAGAGGTTACGCAGATCCCTCGACGCTTATGCCTTGGAGTTGAAAGGGTGGAAGAAAGAAGCCGAGCTGAAAGTCGCGCTGCTCACGCCCGAGGCGCTGATGAAGGCTTTCGGGAAGGCCGACGCGGACGAAGAGCCCGGGTTAAGGTTGTGGTGGGAGTATCTGGAGTGTGTGGAGTGGGATGAGGGGTTTGTCGGTTTCCTAGAGGGGTTGAGGCGGAATCCGGGATTGCAGGGGACGTTGGCGGGGAGGAAGAGTAGTCCGGGATCAGGGGCGGGTGTGCAGAAGGCCCGGCCGGCGGTGGGTGGGAAGGTCGTGAAGCCGGGTGTCAATGGGGTAGAGACCGTCAAGCCTGCTGCTGCGCCCTCCTCTGCGCCAGTGAAGGACGCAGCCAACACTTTCAAGCCCACCGACCGCAAAACCCCATCCCAAGTCCGCGCCATGGCCGCTTCCGCCTCCGCGACCCCCAAGCCCGCTACCTCCAAGACGCACACGTCCGGCCACAAGCCCTGGGAGCAGAAGCCGCCGGTCGTCGTCACACCCTCGCACGCTACCAAACCCGCCCACGCCACCAAGACCCCGACGCCCACTTTGCTGGATGCATGGAGCGAAGCGCGGCCACCCTCGCCGGGACCAGCGCCAGCCCCAGCAGCGAACGGCACGGGAGACCTGGATCTGGCGAAGCGCATGCAGCATTCCTTCACCAAAGCGAAGCCAGGGCGTGGCAAGACCGGTTTCGGGTTCAGGGGCGGGGAGGGCGAGAGGTATGTGGCGCCGCATATGCGTGTGCGCAGCGGAGACTTCAAGGGCGATGGTGGTCAGGAGGGCGGAGCCGAGGACGGTGATGGAGGTGTGAAGGGTAAGGGCGAGGAGAAGGAAGAGAAAGGAGGATGGGGCATGAGCGATGAGGAGATGGCGAGGCAGATGAGGACGGGGGAGTTCTTTAAGGGGGTGTGGTAGGTTGTGAGGTGGTTGAAGTGAGAGGATGAGGTGGGGGGATGTTGAGCAGGGATGCGACTTCTGGAAAACGGAGACGGAGACGATTGGTGAGTGAGGAGACAAGGATGAGGGAGAGGAGAAATCGCGTGGCATGGAGTTCAGCGAAGACATGAAAAGCGGCTCGGGATGAGCAAGATGGCATGGAAAGATTGACTTACTTGAGATTCATGGGACCGGGCTGGACAGTGACCAAGCTGAGCTCTGTTTCAGAGATGGTCCTGCGAATAAGTCTCAATAGTCAAATCTATGCATCTCAAACCCCCAGTCCACCTCTTCGCCGAATAAGCGCATAAAACCCATCGAACCTCAACACATCCACCTGCCCCATATAACGCCCTCATAACCACATCCTCAAACCCAGTACGCCCCGTTCATTTATGCATGCTGTACAAACCCCTCCACTCCGATATCTTTCCTCTCAAATCTGTATCCCCATCCGCCTGGGCCCCAAATACAACAGCCCCCCCAACCCCGTCATCCCCAACCCCACCCACCACAACTTCTCCGCATTAATCGCCTTGACCATGCCCACACCCTCCGGCCGCGCCTCCAGCTTCGACTTCCAGTTGATCGGGACTTCGTTTGCGAAGTCGCCGCCGCGTTTCTCGTGCTTGCTTCCTTCTCCCTCACTGCGCTTCTTGTTCGAGGCGGCGGTGGCGCTGACGATGGGGTTCAGCGTGGTGGTGGGCAGCATTTGCGGCGGCGAGTAGATGAGGTAGAGGGGCATGAGCGGGGAGCCGTCGAATTGGAAGAGGTCGAGGCGGGGGATGTTGTGGAAGGGGTCGGTGTAGACCGAGTATCTCTGCGTAGTAGTATCAGCACCGCGTCCCACTCTCTCTCTCAATACCGCTCCTCCTGCTTCGGGGTGGAGTTGGTGTAGATAGACATACCTCAAACGTCTCCGTCTGGTTATACCGTAAGTAAATACTATTATCCGAATTACACGGCTGGCTCGTCAACTGCCGCCCATCCACCGCCAGCGGCTCCAGCTTCAAACTCCCGTCCGCGTTGAACGTCCAGCTGCCGTGCTGCCACTGCATAATCGCGGAGGGACAGTCCGGGGCGGTGGGGTTGGCGTTGGCGCGGTAGTAGGCTTCCTCGAAGTAGCCGTCGGAGGTGAAGGAGTAGGAAATGCCGGTGTGGTCGGGCTCGAGGAGGTTGTCGTTGAGGGGGTCGTAGAAGCCGGGGCCGGTGAGGACGGAGCGGGATTTACTCGACCACGTCCCTTGTATCCGTTAGCATTGCATTTCACGTCACTCCCCTCAACAGGCGACGTTACTCACCAACGAGATCAGTAGGGTATGAGCCCGTCGCAGGTGCCCCGGAACCGGACGGTGCTGCTGCTGCTGCTGCTGGCGCGGCAGAGGAGGACTGGGCATTGCCAGAGTCGACGAGGGCGAGGAAGGCGGCGAGGGAGTAGTAGAGCAGCATCGCTGCGGTGGGGGTTTCTTGAGCGACAGTGGTGGGTGGTTGGTGGTTGGGTGGTGTGTAGCCGGTGTCGGTGGTGGTGGTGGAGCGAGTGAGGTGGATGTTGTTGTGTAGTCGTGGTTGCGCAACGGGAGAGACGGGATGTTGTGAGATCAGGTGCCCTGCGTGTTCCTGGTGTGGCGTTGCTGCAGGGGTCAAGTTTCTAGCGCGGCGTGGCGGCGTCGTAGGGCTGAGACAAGATCGATACAGCAACAGCAACGAACAGGGTCAACACTTGAAGTTCCTACTACCATCGTCAGGTGTTTAGAGTGATAGACACAGTATGGCGCATTCGGAACAACAGCTGAACCTCGCCCAAAGTATAGGGATGATAATAATGGTATAAAGCTCATAACCTCTGCAAGCAGCCAACAACTCATCGCTCGTCCCATTCTTCATCCCTCATGCGTCGTAGAGCATTAGCATTAGCGGAGCAGAGCAACCATCACCTCATCCCTCATATCCGCGTGCAGAGCCAAATCGCCCTCAACCTCCACCTCCCTCAATACCGCTCTCGCTCAAACCTCAGCCAGACGTCAACCTCCTCCCGCTTGAGTGGTTCAGTGCTTACAGCCCATTCTCCAATATCCGCACCACCTCCTTCCCGCATGCCTCACACTCCAAACCCTTTGGCCGGAACTTGTTGCCCGTCCCTACCATGCTTTCGTCCGCTTCTAAGCACTCTTTCCGCCTTTGAATCAGCGCTTCGACCACAAGCACTAGGTCCTTCGCCCCAGCCATTTCACCATGCTCCGAGCGCAAAGTCTTGAGCAACCGCTTATCGAAGCACATACACCACTCCTCCACCTCCGTCCTGTGCTCGAACCTTACCACCCCGTCCCCTGCCCGCTTCAGCACAAACGCACTCGTCCCCTTCCCACCCCCGGGCAAGCGCGCATTAAACACCACCTCCACCTGCGTCAGCGAACCCGCCATCCCCCACTTCGGCGTCCATCCCTTCAACTCCGACGGCCAGAAGAGTGAGTGCGCTTTCAGATCCAGGTTGTCCGTTTGGCGGATCACGAATCTGTTCCGGCTGTAGAAGGTCGAGAGGACTTCATCCCGCAACTGTCGACAGCCCAAGGCGAGCAAGGGCTCGCGGGGGAAGCGCTTGATCACGATGCTCGACGAGGAGGAGGTGTGGGGCCGGATGATGGGTTTGAAGCATGCGATTAGCGGGTCCCGACGCACTGTTAGGAGGCGGTAGATTTGGTTGCGGATCTCGCCGGGAAGGGTGAGGAGGTGGAGGGGTTGCTCGCGGCGGGGTGGGGTGCCGTAGTATTGGATTGGGCGGGAAGTCGGTCTGTGTTTGCTCTCTGCGCTCGGTTTGGCCGGTGGGGTTTTAGCGACGCGAGGAGAGTTGGCCGTGTCGTGCTGCGAGAGCTTCCGCTTAGGCGATCGCAACTTGCTCCTCGGTCGTAGGGAGCGGGGTTTGTCGAAGACGCCTGGTGCGAAGCGGGCGTTGGAGTCGTAGGGGGGTCCTGGCCATTCTTCTGTCGGCGAAGCGGGCTTGAAATCAAAGGTGAAGTCCTGGGAGGTGCCGAAGTGATATGCTGCTGGTGCTGCTGCTGATGGTTCACGAGATGTGCTGAACGGGTTCGTGGAGAGCAGGAGACCCTCCATTTGCTGGGTGAGTGAGGAAGACTGGCCGTGTTCACTGCTGCTGGTGGACGGTGAGTCGTGGTTGAGGGTGTGGTTCTGCTGCTGACTAGAAGAGCGCATATCGGATTTCCTCCGCCTTCGGATGCGGGCGATGAGGGACTTGATGGGTGAGGGCATGGCTGTGTTACTGTCGAAGCTGTGGTGACATGCTCGTATTGGTGTGATGGTGAATTGGGTCACGGTTTAGGAGGAAGTGTGTACACGGTTGAAGAAGGACAAACGGGTGGCAGAGGACATGCAGGTGCAGTCAGAGAGCAAGGTGGGATGACGAGCGGCTAGCCTAGGCGGTGCCTGCATTATCGCGGGGCTGGGCCTGCTCGCTCTTGCTTACCTATGCACGCACTCAATTCACTACCTCCTATTGATACAGCACGTGAATGCATGTCATACAGAGCAATGAAATCAGGGGTATCACACGCTAGAAACGCTACACAACGCCCTCCTCCACCGCAGGCACAGACTCGTAGCCTCGATACCTCATCCCGCCCCTCGGCACATCATACAGCGCGGTATAATCCACCCGCTCACCCCCCAACAATGCCTGACCATCTTGCTTCCTGCCAAAGATCGGCCCATCCATCCAGAAGTCCTGGCAATTCCTGAACACACCTCTCGAGAAAGGATTCGAAGGTTTCCGCGCGGCGGGCGTCTCGCGGTCTTTAGCGCCCTTGTAGCCTTGGAACGCGATCGTGTAAAAGGCGTCCAGCCCAAGCAGGCGGCTCCATTGCGTGAGGCAGCCTTCTTTCTTCTTGCTTTTGCCGTGCTTGTGGCTTCCGACTGGATCTGGACCTGAGCCTGCTAGGCCGACTTGGGCGCCTTCGGTGGTAGAGCCGGTGGTCATTGCAGTCATCAGCGGGCCGACTTGACCATGGCCTTTCATTGTCTCGAAGGTTGTGAGTGCTCGGCCGACCTGCGTGAGGTGCACGAAGAGCAGCATGAAGGTCCAGGTGAGCTGCAGCGAGGCCCAGGCGTTCGTGATGATGGTCATGGGATCTCGGGAAAAAGGAGCGCAGAGTGGATCTTTAAGAATGGCGCAGTTGAGCTCAGGAGGGTCAGGGAGGCGTTCGATGTCTGCCGTGTTGTCAGTGGAGGCTCAACACGTATGATTCTCAAGGAACCGCTTACATTTGATCGTAAGCTGGACCAGCAGTCCAATGCCCGCAATCATGAACACAACGTAGAGCAAGAAATGCTTATGGTTATTCACCCCAATGCAATTGTCCACCCACGGGCAGTGGCTGTTACAACGTCAGCTCCGTCCAAACTCACTTTCCAATTGTAGTGCAACTCACTGATCCTCCCTGGCCACACACCGCCCACACCGCCTACAATGCTTACTCCTCAATGGCTTCCGAATCATACACGCCGTGCAAAAATGCACCTCGTCAAAAGCCCCATGCTCCACCAACTCATCAATCGTGTTCTTCGTCTGTCCGCGACTCCCACCTTTCGGAATGAACCCCGGATCCGCCGTCATCGTCAACGCGTAGAAATATGCACACAAGCCGTAAGCTATCATAAACCCGAAGTTGAGCAATATGTTCGTCGACAATGTCCAGGGAAGGATGTAGAAGACGTACCGCACGCCGACCCAGAAGAGCGTGCCGGCGAAGATGCCTGCGAGGAAGGGCGTGCGGTGCATGTGTTTCATGTCGGCGGGGGCCCAGCGGAGGGTCTTTTGCACGAGGGCTTGGAGGGCGTAGCCGACGAGTAGGACGCCCGGGACCGAGATCCAGACGAGCATGTGCGCGAGCATCCAGAGCTGTAATCCACCCAGCGCGAATGGCCAGAGGAAGAAGAAGCGGTTGAAGAACCATCTCCGATCCTTCACCATTGGTACTGGAAACCCCATCGCCCTCCCTTCCTCATCAAACCCCGAGTCCACCAGCGCTTTGTGCCATTGCCTTTCTGACTTCATCTTCGCGGCCGTCGCCGCCGGACTATCCCCCTCCGTCTGTCCTTCGACAGGTTTACTCCGCGCGAACCGATCGCTCCCTAACTCCACCAGTTTCTGTATGCACCCGTAGCTCCCCTTCACCAAAGCCCAATGCAGCGCTGTAAAACCCATCTCGTCCGTCGCGTGAACATCTGCGCCCCATCGTAACAGGACGTCCACGCATGCGCCGAAGCCTTTGTATGCTGCCCACATGAGGCTGGTATGCCCTGACGCATCGGGCACGTCGACGGGGATGTCGGGTTGATGCAGCAGGAGCACGAGTTGGAAGACATTCCCATCTAGCGTAGCGGAGTGCAAGAGGTTGTAACCCTGATCATCGCGGATCAACGGGTCCGCACCATGCGACAGCAGCAGCGAGACGACAGAGAGATGACACCGTTTACTCGCCCACAACACCGGCGTAGCCTGCGCGTCCCCGCCCCTAGCGTCGACGTCCGCGCCGGACTGCAGCAGGAAGTGGCACAGGGCGAGGTGGCCGTTGATCGCGGCCCAGTGAAGGGCGGTGATGCCTTGGTCGTCGGTGGAGCGGGCGGTGTATTTTCCCGTGTCGAAGAGGCGTTGGATGGAGCGTAGTTCGCCTAGGCGGGCCAGTTGCATGAGGTCTTGCTCGACGGGGAGGGGGGGTGGGGGGCTGGAGTCTAGGTCGCTAAGCTCGACTTTGGCCAGGCCGTCGGAGCTGCCATCGTCGCTGGGGGAGGCGGAGGGCGTGCGGGAGGGCATGGTTGGTGGGTTATCGATGGGGGGAGTGTCGGAGGATCATTGTGCGGGTAGTCGTTGCATTGTTGAGATGTATCTAAAGGGGCGGAGGGCGGAGTGAGTTGCATGCTCGAGGTCGTCGTGGCTGAGTAAGGCGTGATGCGTTGCATCCCGAGCTTGACCTCTTCGACTCTAACATACTTGTCCTTCTAGCATACAACGATTTCAGTCAATTGGCTTTGAGAGACATGCTTCACACCTTGAGCGTTGTTAAGACGCATCCTAGTCGCCGCACACGTTCTGGCCAGGTGGCGTAAGACAAGTATCTTCTTCATGCAAGCACTTAACGCGTGTAGGCGTGCATGCTACCATGTCGTGTCGTCTTGTCTTTCAATTTCATAGTCTTTTGAGCAACGACGCGGTGCTACAACCCCTCCTGATCTGCCTGCTTGCGGACCATGGCGAAGACACCAGGAAGTACAGAGCACAAACATAAGAACCCAGGTAGAGTACGGTAGGTAACATTCGGCCTTCCTCAAGTCTCTCTCATATTCCTCCCTATACCTTCTCTACCGAAAGACAAAAGACCAAACACAATGGCCTCATCCGCCACCCAAGACCAGTTCTCCAACCTCTCCTGCGCAGAATGCCACTCCACCGAGCGAGAACTCGGCCGGCGTCTCCATCGCTGCAAGGGTTGTCACAGCATTTCGTACTGTTCGCGCGATTGTCAGCGCGCTCATGGGCCGTCGCACAAGTTCCAGTGCCCAATCCTCAAAAATGGTATGCCCTCGGGCGAGAGCCAGTTGGGGGGTTGCAGGACCACTGTGAAGATGAGAATAGGCGCGGAAGCGGCCTCGTCGACTGGTAAAGGCGACACCAACCTCTACTACCTCCACCAATCCATCCCCCACCTCCACGACATCCGCCTCACCGGCCCCTACTTCACCCCCCTCGAGCTGGCAAACGACATGTACCATTTCTTCGGCCCCTCCTGCTTCCGCGCCCGCGACAAACTCACGGAAGCCGTCCAAGCCGGCACGCTAATCGACATCGAATCCATCACCACCCCGGTCCACAACGACCAGAACCGCGTGCGCACCTGCCATATCCTCCGCGAAGCGAACCCGACCGTTCGCGCTCGCATGCCGGGGCCGATGTACTACGTCGCCTCCTCCGCCATCCTCACGGAACTAGCCGAGCTCATCCCACACGCACCCGACGATCCGTCCGTGATCCTGCCGATGAAGGATAAGCAGGTCCACGGGTCTTTTCTGGACAAAGACGAGGCTTTCGCTAAAGCGAGGGAGGTGGCGAGGGAGGTTGCGGCGGGGATGGAGGGGAGTGGGATGATTGATATTCCGCAGCATATGGCGATTAGTCCGGCGGAGATGATGCTGGTTACGGTGGCGCAGGTGCCGATTGGGAGTGGGGGGATGGTGAATGTAGGGGTTTATTTCTCGGACCGGAGGGAAGGTCAGGGGGAGTGAGGGTTTGGAGGGGGGATGGGTGCGGTGTTGGGAGGAGGCGTCGTTGCTTAGTTTGTGCGTTTGGGCTTGCTGATGATTCGATGTTTTTGAAGTGAATGCTGTTCCATGTCGACGGTGTGTTGCTAAGAGGGGACTATCTCATCCGCCCAGGAAGAAGACTATTCATACAAGCAGGTAGTTTCGCGCCAATGTCCCCCGGGAGGTACTTGTCTTTTGAATCTTCTTCCTAGGCGGACGACGCACGACGTAGTGAAGTTTAGGGATAGGATGACTTCGTCGGGTTTTTGAGCGACGAAACGAGGAATAGGGGTTGGGTAATAGGCTGTAGTGCTGTTGATATGACTGGCTTTCTTCGGTGGCATCGACATTTGAGGGGTTTTAGAGCGCGATACAAGCTTACTGACTCACCAGTCCGGCAGGCGATTCGCGAACCCCCAGGTCATCTCACATGCTCAAATACCATCTATCTACTTAAGCATTCGCTATATCATCTCAATCTCTTCATGCCACTTGTCTGACCCACATCAAGCCGCCACTCAACACCTTCCCCCTCTGACTCCCCCAAACACCAAAGACCACCTCGCTCGCCCCTCCCTCTCCCATGCCTACCCAGCAAACCTAAACCTTACCGCCTCCAGCCTCCCCAACCCCTCCCTCGGCGCAACATTCCTCCTCCGATACCCACTAGTAAAATCCTGCAACAGCGCCCTCACCCTCCTGACCTCCCCACTCTCAATCCGCTGCTCCACATTCCGCAGCAACCGCTCCTGCTCTTGGGGCGCAATACTGCCCTCGGGCAACATCTGCACCGTGCCCCCAACCCATTGCGCGGTTTCCCTTGGCATAAGCTGGAACAGCGCGAGGAGCACGCCGGAAGCGTCCGGAACGCAGTCGGCGGGGAAGGTGTACATCATGCCTGTCATGCAGCGCTGGACGATGGCTTCGCCGTGGGTGGAGTTGAGGCTGTGGACTGCGGCGCGGATCTCGGGGGGGTTCGTGCGGTTGCGGTATTGGCCGTCCAGGTCGAAGTGGGAGGCGGGGGCGTGTTCGTCGCCGTAGGCGAGGAAGTCGCGGAGGAAGTGGAGGGTAGCCATTAAAGGTTCTTCTTTGAGCAGGGTGAGGGAGGTGGTGGCGGCTTGGAGGATGGTGGACATGAGCGGGGAGAGGAGGAGTTTCGGCGTGTGGTAGAGTAAGACGTCGGTAGTGAGGCGGAAGAAGTCTTCGATGACGTCGGGAAGTTGTTCGGGCGGCAGGTCGTTGAGGGTGCGCAGGAAGGTGGTGACTTGTTGTTCGTAGAAGGTGTAGATGGCGTCGACGGTTTGCTGGGTGACGACTTCGGAGACGTCGGAGAACTCGCGAACGATGCTGTCGGTGGCCCAGAGGAAGCAGCCCTGGCGGCTAGAAGAGAAACCGGCGGAGAGCTTTTCGGCGAGTTGGGGGAGGAGGGGCGCGGTGTGGAAGCGGTAGGAGAGGACCATGTAGCGCCAGCATCTGCAGATTCGCTCGATGATGGGCACAAAATCGTTGAAGCCTTCGGAGATGGCGGCGATGATGGGGAAGACCTCTTCGAGGTATTGGACTACCGGATGGGGTTGTCCTGGCGGCACGGTGGGGATGACCGTCGATACCATGGTTGTGATGAGGTTGAGTTTGTCAGCAATAGCGAGCTTCTGCTCCTTTTCTGTCGCTGATTGCGCCATCGCCATTAATCGCTTGATGATAGGGTCGCAGCACATCTTGAAGGAGGAATACAGCGTGTCCAGCGGTTGTTTGTCCAGCACTGCGGAGACGCCCTCGGTGACTTCCTCCTGACTGCTTGACGGTAGAGCATCGAGTTTCGACTCGCAGAATTGCTGGAGCTGCGGCATGTAGTCCTTCAACAAATCCGCACAGTCACCGCAAAAGAACTTGAAACTCAGCGCTGCCGCCCGCACCACCTCACTGTCCTTATGCGAAAAGCTGCCCATGATGAAGTTGAGCTGGTCCTGCAGAGTATCCGGATGCTTCGACGTCCAGCGAGTATAACGTCCGAGGACCATAACAGCCTGGAAGCGGACCTTATCCTGGTCCGGTATCTGCACGATTAGTGGTATGAGTCTCGGGAGCATGATATTCTCATCCGGCTCGACCATCCGGCCCATTGCTCGCATGCTGAACAGCGCCGCCTCCAGCTTCTGCCATTTCGGTATCGCGTTTGTGTGGGCTTGCGCGCCGTAGGTGTTCACCCAGCTCTCGATCTGGTTGTAGCTCTTCGTCAAGCATTCTGTCACGCCAATGACCTCGCAGCAGTCTTTCAGCACATCTCCCATTTGATGTCTGAACTCCCTGAACTTCTCCTCCGCTTCCCGATCGCCATCGAAGATATCTGCTTTCTCACTTTCGGGAAACTCGAGATGGCCGAGCATGACATCTACCAGCTTCGAGTAGATGTCCACGAATTGAATCCGCGCCTCCATGTACCTCTCCAGCGTAATGTACTGCTTCAGCTCAAACCAAAAGTTGAAGGTCTGTGACAGCGCATCCAGCTCTTTGTCGCGTGCGCAGCACTCCAGTATGCACTCCACCAACCCCCTGTACTGATCCGGCTCCCGCACGATCAAGATGACCCACGCCTCTCCAGCTTCCGCAAATATCCTTGTGATGCCCTTGAACGTCTCCCAGTCCTCCTCTTCCGCGCATCGCTGGATTCGAGGCTGCAACTGCGCTAACCGTGGGAAGACCGCCTTAATCATGGGCATATTCGCATCCACCTCTCTAGTCTCTTTGAACACAGCACACAGCGTCTCAACCGCCGAGTCAAACGACTGATCCGACTGCACCGCGTTCATGATCACCTCCATGAGCGGCGACTCCACCACTTCATTCAGAGGTACCTCTCTCAGCCACGATGTGATGCACTCCATGAGCAGCGGGTCCTTGGACGCCGCATCCGAGGACTGCGCATATTGTGTGAGTAGTTGCAACACCTGCGCCGCATTTTGCTCCAGCAGCTCCGTCGTCCGTGTCGACAGCTCATCTTCTGTGAGATTGATCTTCCTTCCCTCTGTCACCTCCTCCGGCAGCACATGCAAGAACTCCAGCACACACGCTATGCTCGCCTGATCGCTGCCGAGAGTCGAGACCACCACGCTCATCACATCCTTCCACTCTAGCATCTGAATGGCGAGGTTGGCGAGGCACACACATAATTGCGTTCGTATGGGCTTCGGCCCTTTGGCGTATGAGGCGAGTAGTTGCAGTAATGTATCTCTCAGCTGGGGCAGAGACTCTCGTGGTAGTTGGTGGAAGTCGAATATGATCTGCCACAATGAAGCACATCAGTCAGTAGCCTCGCAGCCGTGGCCTCTGCATCTTACCCTACCTTCCCTTTCAACGTCGTCGCCGCGAATAACTTCGCCTCGTCACTCGACTCGGATGACTGCAGCATGGCGAATGTGGACGTCCATGCCTCTGAAGACTTCTGGAACTGCTCGAGGTAGGAATGCGCCTGGCTCTTCTGGTTGTCGCCGACCCGGCTCTGCATTGTCGCGAGCGCATTCAGGACTGGCGCAAAGGCCTGCTGCCCGTTCATCGTCGCCGCCGCTGCCATGGTTGGTGGGGTGAGGGGGTCGTAGTGGTTCGACGTGGGTGGTGGTGGTAGGCTCACTGGAACATCAGCATGCTCTGGTCACCGAGAAGGAAAGGTAAAGGAGTGACTGGCGATCGTAGTGGCTCGTGGTATTGTTGATATGGAGGGGTGGAGAGTGGCACAACATCATTAAAACGAGGCTTCCTCCCGCATCTTCACAAGTCTTGGCAAATTTAGAGTTTCACGAGCTTTGGACGTCCAACAAAATTCCACCGACCTCCGCTCTCGAACTCAGCATTCACCACGCCATTGTCAGCGCCATTCACGACAGAAGAAGAGCGCGCGACCACTACGAATACACCATCGCACACGTTCCACTCCCGCGACCACCCCCATCTCACGCGCCAACTCTTACCAACCACCACCCACCACCATGCCCCCGGGCGGCGGCGGACGCCGCGTCCTCCTTCCCCCAATCAACTTCATCTTCAAGCTCCTACAATCACACGCCACGGTGGCAGTCTGGCTCTTCGAGCAAACGGGGCTGCGCATCGAGGGCAAGATCCGGGGGTTCGACGAGTTTATGAATCTGGTGATTGATGAGGCGGTGGAGGTGAAGCAGCCGACGAAGCAGGATCCCGCGCCGGAGAATGCGAGGAGGGAGTTAGGTGAGTTTACGTCCATGATTGAGAGAAGGGGGGGATGGGGGTTTGGAGAGGGTGTGCTAATGTGTGTGGTGTGAATAGGGCAGATATTGTTGAAGGGGGATAATGTGTGTTTGATTCAGGAGGTGATTACCTAGGCTTGGTCAACCGTCGGAAACGGGCATTGAAGCATGCGGCAAGCTATGCGCAGGACAAAAGAAGTGTGGCGGGCATGGCGGGCATGGCATGGCAGATGGACGGCGGAGAAATCGAATGGAAAGCAAGCTTCGAGCGCGAAAAGGACCATGCGTGCCACCGTCAGCCAACGCATTACGTTGGTGACTGGACTGGATACGTGGCAGTAGCATGCGCTACCTTGCTCCATCTCCCCGCACGTGGGGGTGCAGCATGAGCGAGCTCAGGTCAACGTAAGTAGCCACCAAATTCACAGAAATCACGACAAGCACTTCCGCTCACACTCAGTCGTCTAAAGTCAGTAGTCGTCCATCACCAACGGCGACCGCATCCACGATCCAGTCGTTATCAGTGATCGGGATCTCCTGTCCAGATGGCAACATCTGCTCTGCAAGGCACAAGCCAACTACTCCAAGTTAGCATCCAACCTGCAACACCCTTCAAACCAAAAACCTTACCAAGATACGGCTTCCTCGTCCCATCCGAACACCACCTGCTCAACCACCCATCATAAAACCCCCCTCCATGCCCCAGCCGATTACATCCCTCATCAAACCCCACCCCGGGCACCACAACAAAATCCAACGTCCCTTCACCTCCCCCCTTCCTGCCCTCCCCATCTCCACTGGCCTCCATTACATCTCCATCCCCCAATCCCTTTCCACCCATAGCGTTCTCCCGCCCCTCCACCGAGTCAGCAGGCAGGGACGGGATGCCCCAACTATCCCGTTCCAACCCCTCGTAGTCGTCCAGCGAATGCAGGCGAAGCATATCAATGACCTTCCGTTTCGCGCCCTCAGGACGGTGGATATACGGCACGAAGACTTGTTTGTCATTGCCCAGAGCGTGTCGGACTAACTGGGAAGTCTGGGCTTCGGCGGCGGGCATGGAGAGGTAGATTGAAAGGCGCGTGGCGGAGCGGTATTGGGGGAGGGAGAGGATTTGTTGTTGGGCGCGGTGGGATTGGGTGGTTATTTGGTCTTCCGAGAGGGTTTTGAGGGTGGTTTTGATTTGTTTTCGGAGGTCGGCTTTGGATTGTTTTGAGGCCATGGTTGCCAGAGGACGGAGGCTAGGTTTTAATTGTCCCGGAGTCGTTGTGGTACGAGTGGAAGTGATATGGCGAGGACGGAGTGCACATCGCTGCATGGATCCAGTCCGGGAATAAATCGAGCTACTGCGTTCGACTACTCCTCGACATGCTACCTTCCCATCGCTCGTCTCATGTTCGGCAAGATTAAGTATAGAAGAACCTGTGGTGGAGAATTGTCTATGGTAGCCCAAAAGTGATTAAGTTGCATTAAAGGATCACTGACGCGCATGATACGTCGGCGTCGAGCAGTCGAGGACAGATTTGGTAATCACTCTTGGGATCAATCATCCTAACTCCGCCTTCGCCATCGCGCCTCTTCTACTTTTGCTGTAACCTTTCTCCTTGATCGCCTGTACTATACCTGTTCGGTGGTTCACTCGAAATACTACCTAATCCCCGCGAGCATGGTATACGGGCAACAGCTGCCATGGCGGACAGCTCTCCAGCAATCCTCTCGGAGATCATACAGCACCTCGATACAAGCATGTAGGGTCTGCCAGGCACAGCTACGAGCAGCGCAACGGCCTCCGCCTGTCTCGATAGCATCGCGATCGTCCTTAAGACCGCTACAGGCCACTTTGCCACTGTCACGAGACTTCTCTACATCGCCGGCGAGGAGGAAAGAGAAGCCGCCTCCACCAGAGGAGGATAACGCAGAGGCAAAGGAAGAGCGCAAGGAAGACGTGACCGACAAACCGCGGGAAGAGGCCGACAGCGCAGAGGCGAAGAGTCGATCAGAGCCAACACCCATCCCCGGCGCAGGCGATGGCAAGGCCGCGAGCGCTGGTGGCGACTCTGGACTCAGCGGAGGAGATGGCGGTGGGCGGAAGCGAAAGGGCCAGGAGCGAGGCCTGACGAAGATCCAGGTACCTGATGTGTACCCGCAAGTCATGGCAATCCCCATCGCGCAACGACCACTGTTCCCCGGCTTCTACAAAGCCATCACCATCCGAGACCCGAACGTGATTGCCGCGGTGCAGGAGCTACTTAAGAGGGGCCAGAGCTACGTGGGCGCATTTTTGCTGAAGGACCAGGAGAGCAGTCAGGATGTCATCAATGATCCGAGCGAGGTCTACGATGTTGGGACGTTTTGTCAGATTACGGGAGCTTTCCCGGCGGGACATGATGGGGATAGGGCGTTGCAGGCTGTGCTGTACCCTCATCGGAGGATCAAGCTGAGCGAGCTGATACCGCCGCATCGAGGACCACCATCTGCGCCTGAAGCTGAGCAAGCAGCACAAGCGACTATTGAAGCGGCGCCAACAGAAGAGCAGGACAAGTCGGCTGAGAGCAAGGATGAGCCGAAGAAGGGGGATGTTGTAGCTTCTTTCGAAGAGCAGCAGGCGAAGGAACAAGCTACCGCCGCGCAGGACACCAACGAGAAGTCAATCGACTTCGAGCCCAAGTACGACCCTACCAGCTTCCTGCGCACATGGCCTGTATCCCTCGTGAAGGTCGAGAACCTCGCCGACGAGCCGTTCGACAAGAAGGCGCCCACTGTTCGCGCTCTCATCTCGGAGATCGTCAATACGTGCAAGGAGATTGGCGCACACAACCACCTCTTCCGCGACCATGTCAGTGCCTTCGCCATGTCGCAGTCTGCGGCCAACATTGCAGATGAGCCTGCGAAGCTTGCCGACTTTGCTGCCGCAGTCAGTGGAGGCGAGATGGAAGAGGCTCAGAGCGTGCTAGCCAGCCTGAACATCGAGCAGAGACTCAGCAAGGCACTGGAAGTGATCAAGAAAGAGCACATGAACGCCCAGCTTAGCTCAAAGATTAGCAAAGACGTCGAGAGCAAGATCCAGAAACGCCAAAGGGAATACTGGTTGATGGAGCAAATGAAGGGCATCCGTCGTGAGCTCGGCCTCGAGAGTGATGGCAAGGACAAGCTGGTGGAGCGGTTCAAGGAGAAGGCGAACAAGCTGGCGATGCCCGAGCAGGTTAAGAAGGTGTTTGACGAGGAGATCAACAAGCTTGCGCATCTGGAGCCGGCGGCGAGCGAGTTCAATGTCACGAGGAACTATCTGGACTGGCTAACACAAATTCCGTGGGGTCAGCGGAGTGCTGAGAACTTTGGTATTAAGAATGCGAGGACTGTGCTGGATGAAGATCACTATGGATTAAAAGATGTCAAGGACCGGATACTGGAGTTCATTGCCGTCGGCAAGCTACGCGGTACGGTCGAAGGCAAGATCCTGTGTATGGTCGGCCCGCCTGGTGTTGGCAAGACGAGCATCGGGAAGTCGATTGCCAGGGCGTTGAACAGGCAGTACTACCGCTTCAGTGTCGGTGGATTGACTGATGTGGCTGAGATCAAGGGGCATAGGCGGACGTACGTTGGTGCGCTGCCTGGTCGGATCATCCAGGCGTTGAAGAAATGCCAGACAGAGAACCCACTTGTGTTGATCGACGAGGTCGACAAGATTGGGCGAGGGCATCAGGGTGATCCGTCGAGTGCGTTACTTGAGTTGCTGGATCCGGAGCAGAACTCGAGCTTCTTGGATCATTACATGGATGTGCCAGTCGACCTGAGCAAGGTGCTGTTCGTCTGCACGGCAAATATGACAGATACCATTCCCCGACCTCTGCTCGACCGCATGGAGATGATTGAGCTGAGCGGATACGTGAGCGACGAGAAGATGGCGATCGCCGACAAGTACCTCTCACCTCAAGCGAAAGAACTCAGCGGCCTGAAAGAGGTTGACGTGAACCTCGACAAGGACGCCATCCTGGAGCTCATCAACCGCTACTGCCGCGAATCTGGTGTACGAAACCTCAAGAAGCAAATCGAAAAGGTCTACCGCAAATCCGCCCTTAAAATCATCCAAGACCTCGGCGAAGAAGAAGGCGTCATGGCCGAATCCAACGCCATGACCGTCGAAGGGAAAGAAGCCCAACAGGAAGCCGAAAAAGACACCACCGACCCCAAAGACACCCCCGAACAAGCCCAGATCGAGAAAGAAACCACCGAGCAGCCGCGCATCGCCCTCAACGTCCCCTCCAGCGTCCACGTCGCCATCAACAAGGACAACTTGAAAGACTACGTCGGCCCGCCCATCTTCACCTCCGACCGCCTGTACGACGCTACGCCGCCGGGTGTAGCGATGGGACTGGCCTGGACGCAAATGGGCGGCGCGGCGCTGTACGTCGAGTCCATTCTCGAGAACGCCCTCTCCCACTCCTCTCGCCCGGGTCTCGAGCGCACCGGCAACCTCAAAGCGGTGATGAAAGAGTCCACGCAAATCGCCTACTCCTTTGCTAAAGGCCTGATGGCGAAGCACTACCCAGGCAACAAATTCTTCGAGAAAGCGCGCATCCACTTGCACTGTCCTGAAGGCGCAGTTCAGAAGGATGGGCCTTCGGCGGGCATCACTATGGCGACGAGTCTGCTGTCTTTGGGACTGGATCGGAAGCTGGATCCCACCATTGCGATGACGGGGGAGTTGACGGTGACGGGGAAGGTTTTGCGGATCGGCGGATTGCGGGAGAAGACGGTCGCGGCGCGCAGGGCCGGGGCAAGGATGGTGGTGTTCCCGAGGGATAATGAGGGGGACTGGATTGAGTTGCCTGAGGTGAGATTAGTCCCCCCCCCCCCATGGCTGGGTGAGATCGGGTGAGGTGATTGCTGACGTAATGAAATTGCAGAATATCAAAGAAGGCATCGAGGGCAAGCCCGTCGACTGGTACAAAGACGTCTTCGACCTCGTGTTCCCGGACGTCGACGAGGCGGCGGTGAATGGGTTGTGGAAGAAGGAGCTGGCGAAGCCGTCGAAAGAGGAGCGGGAGAGGGAGAGGGAGGATGAGATGGAGTTGTTGAACTAAATTTCCCGTCTCATCTTGCCAGCGCGGGTGGAAGCGTTTTGCTGGATCGAGTTGTTGTACGAAGGGTGATTGTGGGCAGAAGCATTTGCAAGGCGTCTTTGAAAGGAAAGGCAATATTAAACGGTAGCATGGCGCGCGCGGCTTTGGATGGGGTTATATGTACGCGCTGCCGCGGACGGGAGGTGGTGTAGAGAATTTAGATGCTCCGCTCTTGTATATACGTGTATGACGTGCATGTGCATGCTTGTATCTCGTCGTCTATGGGGCGATACTGTGCTTACCTGGGCTACCATACTTGTTGTCAGGATGATCGAGGTATTGGTCAGTCGGTGTACATGGAGGTATTGTATCCTTCTGGCGGCAACCATCAGCATTTCTCGGGCACATGACAAGTTGGTCTGGAAGTCGTTGAGTCTGGCGTTGCTCTTCCATGGTCTGCCTGATGGACAGACGAATGGAAGGCTTGTGGATACAGAGCAAATGGAGAGAGCGGCGGATTATATGTGGGCGCAGCTCGGTCGAGATGAGGATGGGAGCGTTAAGTTGAAGACGCTGTGAAGGTGCCATCGAGCAGGATACCATGGATTGTCCGCACGTAGACCCAACCCCGGAGCTGCTTGAGCTTGTGGCCGGTTCTGACGTTGAACGAACTGGGAACGTGTCTTCATGGAACGACCTCATCTTCCTTGAGACATCATGGCCAGAGGTAAGCACGCTCCAGTATTCTCACTACTGCGTCCTCTACAGCGCTACTCGATCCACCAACACGATAGCAAATCTGCCTGAGCCTTGCATCAATCAGCTTGACATGGGTACCCAATCCTGAACACTTCAAGAGTGCAACCTTCGATTGGCTCTCATGGTTTCTTGCCTCATATCAACTCGCCGCAGTTCAATATCAGCTAATTACGACGGCCAATACTTCGTTACTATTGACAATAGCTCCGCACCCGCCGACTGCCTCGGGCCGGCAAGCCATCGATGCCGGCAACGATGCCGCCCCAATAGTTCGGGACCGACACGCAGGCAGACCAGGATGGCCGTCGCCTGCGATTGCCTCTGCACCCCACGCTCCTCGTGCCCGGCGATTGAAGGTCTGCGGATTGCTTGAAAGAAATGCTAATCCCTTCAGTTCCCAAAGTATGTTGCAACTGTTCGATCTTCTGTCTATCATTGCAACTGTCACATTATTATGTTGTTGATCGCAGCCTTTTAACGTCGTTGCTCCGTTCGTTCCTTGTTCACGATCAGGTTCTGTTCCTACCTTCCTAACGGGGTAGTTGCAGTCGGTGATGGGTGCTGCAGCACGCCCGTTTGGTCGACGCGAATCTGATCCCATCTTTGATGAGAGAAAGATGATACGTCCCTTATCCTGATCCAACGATAAGATGCCTTGCAACTTCACATCATTCATCTTCGTCCCTGCAGCGTCGTTCGAGCTCGGGGTTAGGTTCTTCCAAGACTCCCACTGCATCACCCAACGAGGCGGCACCAGTGTAAAATTTCAGCCAGCCACGCCGCCACTTGAGCGCCTCTACCGGCCGCTGGGGTGCGTGGATCGCCATGCGGTGCGAGACTGCTTCCCCGTCGTCGATCATGAGCCTACTTTGATCGCCTTTGTCGCGCGACAAGCTCTCAACGACAACAGCCCGATCGATGCGTGAATGAAGTCAAGTCCAAAGATTTCGATGTTGCCGTCTAACGACCGTTGTAGTACTCGGCACACGGACTCGCAACCAGCACCCGATTCGCGTCCCGAAGATTTCCGTGTCCTCCAAACCATCCAACTCGTGGCTGATTGTCAGTGCCCAATCTCTGGGGTTCAAGGCTGAAGGAGTGCCGCTTCAAGACGGAATAGGAAGTAACAGCAGCCCCCGTTGCCTGCATCGTCTTCGCGACCAGGGCGCTGGGTGCTACTCTGAATCAACTCCAATGGGCCCTGCCGTACTCCGGTTTGTGCAGTGCATGCGACCTGCCGTCCTGATTGTGCAGGCAAGTTTGGCACGATTCCACGCTGCGTCTGACGTGCGGCGTGCCTCCTGCTCCCCGCCCACGCTATCGCAAGGCTCAAGCCTTGGTCTTGTTTAAAAATCATGTCACCTTGATCGAGCACAAGCCAGTCCCAATTTAGAGCCGTGCGGAGGGAGGGGTGAACCCCAAGAGAAAGTCTTGCCGCTGGTCTGTCATCGCGGCTCTGCTCAACCGCTGTCTTGTCTCTGCGAAGACTTTGTTCTTGTCCTTCTACACCAAGGCAGGACCAACTCCAACATTGAGCGCCGCATACACCATTCTATAGACCAGAGTGTCTGACGCGCATACATACCGATAGTCGCAACGTTGTGGCAGCAGACTGGGAGTCAATGCAGGTAGCGTATGAGGCGGACGCTCAATTGGCTCAACCTTGTTCGCGAATCGAGTACCTCACCTGCTGGCGCATGTAGAGGCACTCCCGGCGTTGCCTGTGAGTGTACGGCGGGAACCTGGAAGCAGGCACTGGGGTCCGGAGTGGATTCATACAGGACGCGGACCTGATGAAACGATATTCTGGACGATGCACATGGCCGAGTGAAGTCGCTACACCCACCTCGCATTGAATCTCGACCGCGGGCCCTCATGGCGTCCTCCAAGCATTCAAAGGGATCGAGTCAGCCAAATGACAGCTTCCCAACACAACCAGATACATCCGAAGCGGAGGCTGCCTTGAGAGCGAAACTGTCTCGGAAGCGCACAAAGACCGGATGCCTGACATGCCGCAGACGCCGCATCAAATGCGGTGAGGAGCGGCCCATCTGCAGGAATTGCATCAAAAGCAAGCGCAACTGCGAAGGGTACAACCAGCGCGTTGTGTTCAAGCCTCCCAGCTTCGACTTCCAACCTGGTCCCCATGGCGGGACTCATATCACGTTCCAAGCAGGTCCAGCGCTAGGTCCCGCGATCCCGTGGGCCATGGAGTATGGCCATGCTGCAGCACCACAACCCGATCAACAACAACCAATGTTCTTCTTCGGCAGTGGGCAGCAACAGCAGTATGGCTTTCATCCCCAGGAGCCTCAGTATCAACCTCAACAACCAACTCCACCCGCAAATCAGGTGCCTCAGACCCAGATACCAATGCAATATCGTTCCGAGGGCACTACGCTATCCCAACACAACCTTCCCCTACACAACACTTCGCTACTCCATAGCACGACGCCGGGGTGGGAAGTCCCTGGAGGCGCGCCCATGTATCCTTCCGGGTCTATGCAATTCTCACCACAAGTGCCGACTCCAAGATACGCACCAACCGACTGGCCACCAGCGCCCACCATGAAACAGGAACAGAGCTGGGAGACCGTTCCGCCAACGCCTTTGACCATGCCTCCTCACGAATCACCGAGCTCAAGTCACTCTTCGCGAACCCTTGCTGGAAGTCATCCAACAGCTTTCGAAGGCTCACCGCAACCATGGCTTACGAATGGTCATGTACCACGTCCTGAATTGTGTCGACCTGTCGACTACCGACCCCCGCCCGCTCCTCCACAACCCATCCACCAACAATACACCCATCATCAGACGTCGATTCCACCTCACTACGATGCACCGGAATTTTACGAGCACGAAGACCATGCAGAATCCTCAAGAACACCAACACGATTTCTCCAACAAGCGGCAGTGGAGACGTACGATGATGAGTACTACGACGTAAAGTCAGATGAAGAGTTGGTCTCAGGCATGTCGCTGGCAATACCAGGAGAGCAAAATCTTCAACTGTCTTTCCAAAGCATCATCAACGCGAACAACATTGTCATACAGGACCCGCAGACACGTCGATACGACACGTTCATTTACCCGGGCATGCTGGACCGCTACCGGCCTGACGAAGTCGCGAACCCCTTGAACAACGAGGCGACCGCACGGCTTTTCTTCCATTTCGTCGCGGTCACGGGCCCCATGCTTTCGATCTACGAGCGTCAGGTACGCAATACGTCCATGCTCTTCACGGAAGGTCAGATACCATTTTCGCAGCAGGGCCTCTGGACATACACAATGCCGCAAGTGGCATTGAAGAACAAGGGTCTGCTGCACGCTATGCTTGCTCTTGCAAGTCTACACGTCGCGAGGTTGACGAATGCATCTGACACGCCATCTTACCAACACTACGCCTGGGCCTTGAAACGAATCCACTCTAGCGTCGCCAGAGAGAAGCAACGATATGCCGTACCCACGATAGCAGCGTCGATGCTTTTGGGCTTCTATGAGGTCATGACGGCCGATCACGTCAAGTGGAATACACACCTCATGGGCGCCAAACAGTTGTTCCTAGAGACAGACTTCTGCACAATGACCAAGCAGTTCAGGCGGATGAAGGAAGAAAGAGCTGGCCCGCGTAACGGCAAGAGAAAGTACTCTAACATGTCTCAAACGCAAGGTGAGATTCTCGATCAGATTCACGACGTCGATGAGCGCCTGGTGAGCGAGTTGTCGGGGCGTGAGGTCAAGTATGATGCGCACGGACAGATTTTGACTGCCAGCGAGACCATACCAAAACCTCTGGATCTGCATAGTTTTGAGATTCTGAGGGATTTGTATTGGTGGTTCTTGAAGCAAGATGCGTATCAGAGCATCATCAGCGGCAACCCGCCTATGTAAGCTATTCCTTTGACTGAATTCGATGCATGCTAACGGTGTTTAGGCACAACTACAACCGCTGGACTGACTGCCCTCCACGTGCACCACTCGGCAAAGCCGATGCCGTCTATGGGACTTTTGACCACCTAATACTACTGCTTGGACGGATCGCGGACTTCTCGGCCAGGGACCGTACGCGGAAACTGCGAGTTATGGAAGCGAATGGCGGACAGTGGCGGCCACCTCAGGCCACGAATATACCCGGCCTGTCGCAGGCAGCTCCTCCGACACCTGTGTCAGCGGGGGGTGGGCAGCCACCAAGTCATCCAGGCTTCTCCGGGCCACCACCAGCGGCTGCAAATCCTCCAGAAGGTCCACAGTTCTTTGGTATGGCACCTCCGCCGCGGCAGAACGTGCAGATGCCGTCGTCCTACAGGAACCTCCACACCAACAAAATCCCAACCCCGGAAGCAGCCTCTCCACAAGACTTTGTCGATCTCAATGCCGCGACTCAAGCTGCAATGCAAGAGTACGGTCGCATTCGCACTGCCCTTTTTTCCTTCTCAAGCAAGCTCGGCGACCGCTTCAAGCCTTTGACTGCCGACTACCAGCCGCCGCTGGCGACTCCCTTCGGCTCTGCCCTATTCTACCGCAGCTACGACATCGGCTGCATCTGGGCCATCTACCACATGGCCATGATCATGGCCATCCGCTCGCATCCCAACATGCCCCCTGCAGCGCACGCCGCCGCCGCGGTCGCCGCCGGTGAGACCCACTTCTTCGCCAACGAAATCGGCCGGATCACGGCAGGGATTGCTCCTACCTCCCTCAACCAGTCTCTGAACCCCGGTCTAGGCGCTGCTCTCTCCGAAAGCAGCATGGCGACGTTCTTCGCGGCTATCCAATACCAAGACGCCGAACAGCGCCGCTACACCGTCGAACGGCTGAAGGATATCGCCCAGCTCACCGGATGGGGCAGCACCGAGCTCATCGCGAATGGCTGCGAGACGGCGTGGGTGAAGGCTGCTGCTGCGGGGAGAGGACCGCCGTACACGAGGATCGCGAGGAAAGTGCAGAGTGATGATCCGCGGCTGAATGGGAGTTGGGAGCACTTGGACCCGAACATGCGGCCGGTTGAGCAAGACAAGGCGGATAGGCGGTTGGTGCCGACGGAGGGCACTGCGAGGTTGAGTTGGGCGATTGGGATTATGGGGACGGAGGAGGATGAGGTGGTGAAGGGGGATGGGTGAGAGTGTAGTTCTCCGAGACAGCTCGAAATATGACAGCCTAATAACACTGGCCAAGGCAGTGGATACCTTCGTCTTGTTCTGAGGAGACAGTGTCCCTGCCCTTCGTTTGTCGACGACCTTACACTGAGGCCGTCTGTACAAAAATGTAGCTCTTGGAGACAGCTCGATATACGACAGACCAATAACAGTGTCCCTGTGTAGTTGTTACGTTTGCCTTGTTCCGAGAAGACACTATTCCTGCCCTCGATCGTTAACGACCTGAGCGTATGGCCGTATCTACATCGCCGGGGCCAGTCGTTCGATTCTCCGACCCGCAGCAGTCGAACACGGTATCGCTAAGGTATTTGTAGCATGCTTTCTACAGAAATGCTACGGAGCCACCACCTCATCTGTTCGTTACTTCCATGTATCATTCGGATCAACCTGACTGTCGCTGTCAATGGAAGCTGTTGTGTTGCAGGACATGTGGTGATTCTAGTGGGACAAAGGCCTCTTGCGCTTCATCGTTCGACGCCTACCTGCATATGATTGTACTACGTACGTTGGCAGAACCACGGTTACCTGCATACATGTATTCAGGTAGTGCAACTACATGTCTGTCCATGGACCTCAGGCGGCTGCGTACATCTGGTCCCGGCGTTCATTCTAACCCGGTCTAGTGCATTACAGACCGAAAAAGGCGAATACAGACCAAAAAGGGCGAATCGGCCACAAAACGTTGTTCAACTCCTTGCACAAGATGGTATACCTCCCCCCAACCACCCGCACCTCCACCAGGACCAAAAGAAGATGACAGCACGTTGTCACGTGATGAACCACACCCGATTTGAACTAGGTCGCGTGCGTTAGAACGGGCGTACTGAGGACACAAGGAAGGAGGAGGAGGTCTTACCGGAT